CTAACAAAGCAATGCATGAACGCAAATCCAGGAAGAGGAAAGCAATCACATTAGATCCTGCCCTGTCAGCCTCTCAGATCCAAGGGATAGTTGAGCAAGAGGAGGTTGAAGCACAAATAAGGGAGCAGATGCCAAGGGCTCCAAAGCGTGCTAGTCGGTGTAGCAAGTGTGGTTCCTTTGCTCACACCTTCAAACACTGTACAGTAGATTGAATAGTATTGTTATATAACACATTTAAGTCTCAAAGCAATCTATTAAGTATTGGTTGAGATAATCAGTGTTAAAGGTGGTAGACACGTAATTCGTGGACCACGCCGTGGGGTGGACCGCGCTCTGGTGTTTGACGTTAGCAATCCTATTCCACCTGCCGGACACTAGTAATTATACTGTAATGAGGATTATTGCAGGTGTTGACTTTATTCTACTGTACCCATGCCTTTATTGAACCGCATTTGTTTGTTTCCGACCTCAGGCGGCTGTAGATCCACATGTGCGTTCAAACAATCGTGACAGGAGGAATGAGAGGCTTCTGGATCGGGAGGTGCTTCAAGCTTGAAACCCGAGACGGCAGCTGCATTGGACTTTCCAGCCATTACCATCGGGAAAAGACCGAATCACAGTCCCCTCGAGGAGGCAACTTTACGTCCATGTCCGAGCACTATCGCGCAGCGTTCTCCGAAGATGGAGTCCCACGCCCATGACAGGTAGATGGTCTGTAATCTTCTGTTATGATGCGGGCTTCGTGCATCGACGACTTCTGCCGAGACAAAAAAAGCTTCTCGCTGGCAGCATTTATGGTGGGGTCGCGAAGAAACTTCTAAACTTTGTAACACATAGGCGGGAATTTTCAGCCATGACGTATCTGCCTACTGCATCTACCCATGCCATACCCGACATTGGCAGCGCCCACAAAGCATGGAAGTCGTGGTGGAAGCCGATGATATGATAGTCTCGGATAGCGAGTGTTTGATCGGAAGAATATTCACTGCGCCATGGTATGATATCGTCAGAGAGAATTACAAGGATGTGGAAGGAGACTGGACTCTACACCTTGGTGATCCCCTTATAGACCAGCGACCCGGCAAGGCCATCTTCCATTAGACGTACTGTACACACTGTAAAGATACCTAGGTGTGCGCACTTCTCTTGTACCGCGCCTGTCTCTCACAAGAGTACCGCCACTACAGTACGAATCAACAGCCATACGTGCGGTCGCCCACCGCATCGTGACGAACACACATCAGGCAATGGAACCGTCCAATATGTGTTACATAGCGGTTGCAGACCAACACAAAAGGATTGCGATGGTGTCTTCATAAATGTTCATGGCAATGCGAATGTAATCGTGTGGTGAATGGTAGCCTTGACACGCAGCCATTCGACAGCGCGTCAAAATTTCTTCACGTTGGGAGAAATGTCAATGTAATCACACCAACGCAGCGCCATTCACAATCCATCATCAGTCTCCACATTAGACCACTCGCGCATCGTCAAATTCTTCGAGATTATAAGAAATTGCTGGCTGACCAGGTCATTCTGATACCATGTTGAAGCAAAAGCAATTCGTGCGGCCCCCCAAGAAGCAGAAGCCCAAAGCGGCAAATCCTGAGTCACCAGAAGAATTTCAGGAGGCCGCCGACTTTCAGGAGGACGCCGGAGGCAAGCATCGTGCTGGAGACCCTGTGAAGTCGGCCAGAGCATTCTTGCGAGCACTAGACATCTACGATCAAGGTCGGTACATGGCTTGTCGCCTCCAATGTCAAGAGCAGTTGCCTTGGCTCTTGAGCTGTTCTCTGACTTCATCCGCTCACAGGTCTTGCGAAGCATCCCAAAAATTTCGATTTGGCCTACAACAAAGCTCGTCTACAGCTAGAAATCTCACAACAAGCCAGCTTAGTAGACCACATCGGTCACGATGTGCACGAATGGCTCTCCATCGCTCTGCAGTCACATCAATATGCGCTCAGATTGGACGAGCAAAACCCCGACCTACTCTTCAACACCTCACAAGTCCTCACGAGCCTTGCCGAATCACTCGAGGAGGCCGACATGACCGACAAGGCGATCTCAATGTGGGAGCAAGCACTTGAGATCCTGTCCTCATGCTTATCACGCCAGGAAGTCATGTTCGAGCAGCATCGTGCGGATTTTCCTGACAACGAAGATGGTGGAGTCCCGCTCGAGCAAGAGAGCACAGAGCCATCCACGGCAGCTGCACCCGACGTGGAGATGCTTGACCAATCCGAAGAAGGGGAACAATCAGCCACCATTGAGAGCCCAGTGTCAGCATTAGATATGCTTGATACCGTACATGCGTCGCTCTCGGCTCTAATAGCTTTGGTGTCTGTGATGCCAGGGAATAATCTGGAAGGATTGTCAAAGATGGCACATCACTTGACGCAAATAAAGGCGCCTGGCTACATCGATCTCGTGCCGACCGAAGAGCAGGACCAAGCACGGGTGACTACCGCTGGCTTGCGCGCGACATTCACTGCAGCTCTGGCAGACTCGCAGTATCAGGCCGAGCTGATCGATCTGCAGACGTACGCTCAGAGCTTGAACGCTTTCCAGGTCCCCAACAAGGAAGCTCATGTCGTAATTCTGGGCTCGGAAGCAGAGGCGCGACTCGAGCTTGTACATTCGGCCATTGATATGGCAGCCACCACTTTACCGGTTCTGCTTTGCTGGAAACAGCTTTCGCTGGCCCAAGAGGCCCTCACAAAAGCGGCCACACTTAAAGATGAGGACGCACAGGCACGCAAGGCAGAGATATATCAGTCCAAGGGCGACATCGAGCTCATTCGGCATCGATTGATTCAATGGCCCTCGACGCACCAACTTGACCCGCTGACCGATGCCGCGAAGAAGTCTGCTCCGACTTTGATCCAGAACGCGAAGAAATTCTACTCGGGCTCAGCGCAGTTTGCGAGTCGAGATGGGGACGAGAAAGCCGAGGCCGTGGCCAAACAGCGGCATGCTATCGCGCAAGGGATCGCAGCTCGTTTCTATGGAGAAATCCAACCTGATGAAGCTATTCTGGAGAGATTGGCTGCAGAAGGAGGACAATACATCGATGATTACCTGCTCGATGGGGACCTGCTACAAGCGATCCTCAGTGGTGGGTCTCAAGCAGGACGTAGCTGATCGTAGTCGTTTCCGAGCCTAATGTCCGTAAAAATAATGAGGAGGCTTTAGCGAGATGTCGGATGAAAAGCATGTTCATCAAGGTTCCAAATGCAGTGGAAATGTATCTGCCCAAAATTAGCCCACTCACTGGAAAGTCCATTTTCACGCCACACGCACGCATTTAACAGTCGGTCTTTTCCTAGAAATGAGAAATCGTACGTGCGTGAATGGATAATGAAAGAAAGCGGAGGTCTTATGAGAGGAAATTGTAGTTACTTTGACAATAAATCACTACGCAATCTGCACTTCGGCTCCAGCTGTGGATCTCCTTTGAATTTCTAATGTGGACACTGCTGCACATCCTCAACTTCGAAAGCCGCTCTCAAAGTTTTTCCATTGATTATATCCATACTAGCACATGGTCTTATGACCATTGCAGGCGGTGGTCGATTACTCGCTAGATTGCAAGTAGCATATGTGGATGTCAAGGCTGAAACAGCGTGAAGACAGTACAACGTCCCAGCGAAGCTCAAATGAACATGTTCACAAGCACAAGGTACACTGGGACTGTCTCTAATGGGACTCGATGTAACCACACACAGGGAGTTTTCTGAATCTGGCGAAAATCAAAGCGTCCACTGTGACTCTTTCAGCGAAAGACAAGCAAGGCTCGCCGTTTGGCTTGCGAACCTTCAGCAAAGTCCAGGTGACATAGCTCCCAATTCGAGCAAAGGCGGCTGACAGCTGCGAGACGCATTTCACCGATAAAATCTTGTGCTAATGATCGCCGCCGCCATTCCGGTGCTCGCTTCGAGTATATGGGCAGCAGAACGCGAAGCGATCCCGAGGAACGATCACATTGGATCAAGTTGTCCTTCGAAGATCACAGTGAATGCGGACTCAGTCAATGATGTTCTCGACGGAGGTTTCGCACACGGCTCGCTCCATTGCATCACAACAGCTGCGGATCTCGATAACGGAGACCTGATCAACTCGACGATCGTCTCGCATTTGACATCGTCGTCTGACGCAGTAGCTACGATCATCGACAGCACATTGGCTTTTGATGTAAGGCATCTGTACAGAGCCCTGACTGCCTCGATGGGCGGTGTGGAAGATGCCCAGCAGCGAGCGATGCAAGCTTTAGAGCGAGTCAAGATGATGAAAGTTTTCGACTTCGAGGGGCTGATGGAGGCTATAGAGGAAACGAAGATTACGATGCAGCGTCCAGGGACCAGTGCGACCGAGGAGCCTATGATAGAGGTCATACCTCATGGCACCATTCCGGACAGTGAAGATGAAGAGGAGGAGGAGGAGGAGGTTGTGAAAGGACCGTTACGGCAAGACCAGGCGGACGAGACAACTAGACAGGCATCCAAATCGCCTGCTGGTCAGTCGCCACAGACCCATAGTTCAAATCTGATCATTGTGCAGGACATTTCACAAGTTGTAGGACCACTATTACGAAGCAATTACACCCACGGACAGGCACAGCTAGATCGCTTGATAAAGTCTCTCGAGCGGCTGACGAAATCCCATCAGGCATGCACAATACTATTCGCGAGTGCGAGTTCCAGACCCGTGCAAGAGACAGACCATCAGCTGAGTCAATTCGCGACTTGTTCTCTTCGCCCTGCTCTGGGTGACAACGTTGGCTATCTCGTCGATCTTCACATCTTCAGATATGTATTGCCTGCTGCTGAGATGACAAGGCTAGACCAGTCGCGAAGAGGAGAGATAAGAACGCGTCCCGCCTCGGAGCCGGTTGAGATTCTAGAAGTGGTAGAAGATCGTTATGCCAGCCGAGTGGGCCGCTGGGCCGCTGTGAGGCATGGCGATCACGGAATCCTCTATGATGCTCATTGATCGATGTGACATGCTGAGAATTTGGTACAAGATGGACCTGTCTGGCACGCTCCACCGCGAAGAAGTCGATGGCGACAGCATGTGCTAGATCCGCAGGAGCGCGCGACCCGCGCGAGGTCTATATTTACACAACACCCTCCAAGCCGAGAAAAAGAAAAAGAAGAAACAGTTCGTTGTCCCTCACACTCATTTCGGGTTGTTCGACTTGTATGTCGGTAGCCAGTTGCCATGCTTGATGTTCTTCTCCGCATCCGTAGCCTCAAGTAGTCCTAGTTTTCGTACCTCTCCGACGTCGGGTCGCTCGTCCTTCGGTATCGTGGCTTCGCGCCGGCGGTAGGCGGCTTGTAGAGCGGCGATTTTGTTGGCCTGCGAGTTTCGCGATCCAATGTCAGAACATCATTCCCTCACAAACGCGTGCCCAATGTATGCATATTTTCTGGCCCAGAACCCTTCCATCCAAAATCGAAAACTCCATCTTCATACCTCTTTTCGGTGGTGTAAGCATTCATAGTAATCCTCCAAGACCGGCACGCATTTGGCCTTGCCGGAGTCGTTCTCCGCGGACGTGTTGACAACGTAGCAGGCAAGGACCTCCTGCCAGAATGGAAAGCATCGTGAGGGACCTGAGCATCGTGTGGTCAGTTATTGATGACTCCCAAGACGTTGCAGGCAATAGGCTGTCGTGGGAGATTGCGAATCAGGATGCGGTGCTGCAGCAGGAGATGCATACCTCCGTTGAGGCCGAAACCGGACGACATTGTGAATGCGAGTGTTCCTTCGCTTGGACTTCGCTAGATTGAGGTCGGCAATCAATAGGTCGTGCGCAAAGAGTCGGTTGGGCGCTGGCTATCTGGTCGCATCGACTGGCCTGGGCAGAGGTCCTCGTCAAGCTTAGGTGATGTTTCGACGCAGCGACAAGGTGTTGCTGGCCCGAGCGGACGCCAATGCTGACTAACCCCAAGCCATCCCCGGCGCGGATTTGACCACTGGAGAACGCAGCAAAAATGTACACACGTGCGGCGTGGTACATTACCACATGTAAATACACATATATTACTTAAAGCTGATCTTTTATGTCTGCCTTTGCTTTTTTACATCTCATTTGAGAAATAATCCCTTGATCTCCTCTAAAAAAAAATCAAAGTTGAAGGCCTCACTTGCGCGACCACTATAAGCTCGTCCAAAAGCCAAGAAAGCGAAGTGACTGCCAACTACCGGTCGGACGTGCAAAGAAATTCGGGCCAGGATATCAGCCGTCGCCATCGATGTTGTATGACTCGATGATTGGGAGACTAGCTATGGTCTCGTTTATCCAGCGCGAGGCCCGGCTCGAAATCTGTATTCGCATGCCTTTGCATGCCACCACAGCCGCCTGAAACTCCCAGTCTGACTTGGTATAGAGATGGCGCGAATCCAATGGCAGACTACACTTCTGCAGGACAGTGGTGTACCGCTTCAATCGAACAGTAGAAACATGACGAGGAATACAATTGTCGATGATTTTGTCATGCCCGATGAGTGGTCGTTGATGGCTCGGGCGATGCCTGTCTTGCACCACCTCATCTCTGTCAATGTGGAAGCGAGGGAGTGCAATTGAGAAAAGCGAACGTGGAAACGTCCAGCTATCATGAAAGTCATACGCAAGCTTAGCTATCCCGCCGTCTCGACTCAAGCCTTCTTTCTCCCGTTTCTAGATATGTGTCCCGCTGATGTTCCGATGATACTTGACATTGTCGTGGGCGTCGATCACGACTGCAAGTCCACTCATCGCCTCGATACCGATGATGCCTTATAATGCGAGGTAGGTCCTAGAGGGCGAGTAATCCCGCGGATCTTCCGTGCAAAGCTGATTGAGTGTATAGCGGGACTACTTCACCAAATGTCCAGTCCATTGTTTTCAAAGAGCATGGGTCCTACAGACTTTACGACCAGCAGTAACTTCTCCATACTGGTCGTCTAAGCCGTACATACTGCCTTAAGCCCTGAGCGTGGCTGGTTGACCGAATAGGCTGGCCGAATCAGTTTGCTCATGGAACTCTTCAACACTCATGGGCTCGCCTAAAGTGCTCCACATAGATTGAGAACCCTCGTGCTTGCCATATTGCAGACTGTTCACACAAGCTAGGCCCATGATGGGCATGTCATCACATTATTTCACTGACATGTACTCATCGTTGCCATCCGTATGTCCTGCCCTACATGAGGAATGGCTACCAAGGTTGGGCATGGTGTAGTTATCAGGGTATCGGCCGCCGAGCAAGCGTTCTGATAACGGTTTTGTGAGATAGGCCAGCCATCTAGGGATTTTTCGGAGAAAGAAAGGGAATGCTGAAAACACCACGTCGACCGGCTGATAATCATCCGTAGAAGAGATCTTCTCGAGGAACAGGGTAAGACTATTGGGAATGCTGCTGAAAACAGTCGCGCCGAGCACTTGTCTGGCACTAAGGCTCACGATATCTTTGTAGGTGTCACTGCCGCTTGCGTACGCATCCCGTCCTAACTGTTCCGAGTAAGTTCCAGCTGGTGAAAATGCATGATTGAAATCTGGAAAGTAAAAGTTCAACAAAAGATCTGTGTCGTCATGGAAGTGAGACTTCCACACATAAAAGGTTTCACGAATGCCGAGCCGCGCGCTGAAGCAAACTGTGTCAAATGCATCCTGTGTATGGATGACTATAAACATCACGCTCGCCTTTGGTATTGTCCTACGCCCTCATTGCTGCTTTGGTACGCTCAACTTGAGCACATGGCTGTAAGCGAGGACAGGTTCTTTCTCCTTAATGGCTCGGACAAGCTGGTCAACGGCAATTTGCGAGCAGCTTATCTGCACGAATTGTTGGTGTGTGGTTTCTGCGACTCCACAATCATACCTGGTAATCGCTGGCGCCGTAAAGTAAGACACAGCCCGTTCTGCTCGAGCATTGCATCCAGTGAATTCTTGCTGGTGAGTTCTTTGGACTCTCCATGACTTGAGCTTGAGTTCGCCTCCTTCGACTACCAATGTCCGATTTTTCGATCGCTGCTCACCCAGTGACCGTTGACATCGATTCATACGTCTACGTTTGAATGGTCTTCTACCAAAATCGGTAGACAGCTCTCAGGAATGGATTGACGTAATGTGCAGGTAGGTGTAACAGGGGGGATACTGCAAATGATAATACAATCTCGACAATGTGGTCGTCGGACTTGGCGGGAGAGATGATATACGTCAAGTTTGTAGTCGATGCATCATATTTCCCAGCTAAGGATTCTGGATTAGCAATTGCAACCCATCAGTATCATGTTTTAAGAGCTTTGAGCTCTACCGAGTAGCGTGGAAATCGTAGATGTCTCGGGATCGGAGGCGAACCCAACCTGCGAGACGTTAGCCACGAAGAGGCTTGAAAGGACCAGAGGGACATGATCGCGGCTTGGCCAGCCCAGAGAATCCATCAGGGAGCCAGATTGCCAGGTATGGGCTACGCACAACCAACGGCAACACCAATGCGGTCAACGCCGATGCGCATGCATCACAGGTCCAAGTGGACAGCAGCGTCGGCGACACGAACAACATTGTCTTTAGAATCGGCAGCAATTCTGGTGCTCGAGGTGATGAAAGTAGCTTCCTCAGATGTCCACTTTGACGATCTGTGTGAGGGTCTATTGGGTGGAGTTGATGTCATCACTGCGCGGCGGACCAAGTTTCAGGTACGATGACGGACCTGAACAACTTTGAACATGACGACAATAGTCGTACCGGCGATTAGAGACGCCCAGATCGACCATGGGAACGTCATCAAGCCAATAGCCATGGCGGCCGAAGGTAACATCAAATAGCCCTGGAGCGCAACGATTCGGAAGACCAGGCAAGCACGTGGGAGAGCTTCGGTCGCGTGACCATCCCGTCGTATCTTGTGCAAAGCGGTGCGCCAAGTCTATTCGCTGCTTCAGAAATGCTGCAAGCTCGCAGAGATGCTCTGTAGCTCACGGTGGAAATCATAACTTGTCGGTGGCGGAGAAGGCTTTGCGGACTTCGCTGAGTCACGGGCGGCACTGGAGCACATTTGTAAGGCTCGGAGCCTGCGCCGATCGTTGTGACGTAGGCAGGCAGGTGAGTGGGTAGTTGCACAGGTATTGATCTGTTCAATGATGGGATGAATCATGAGGATTTCTGCAGAAATCCGTGGAGAAGTCAGGCGCTCCTGTGGCATTCCTGTTGGCAAATTCAGTTACCTGATCGGTCTTCGTATTGTTCGGACTGAGCGTTCCGAGCAGCTCCGCGGTGACAGGGCAGCTTCGGTGTCGCAATCTCTCAAGCTACGCAACAAGGCGATTTCGGCCGATGAGGGCCCGGTCTCCACCTTCAACCACCTGCACGCTTTGTCCTCTCGCTTCTCTGCAGAGTGACGGACCAGGACCCAACCGCTAGCTCAGTGGTGGGGCGCTCCAGTACAGGCACTCCACCGTGTGGACCGAGGCCCGATTGGCATTAAGAAGAGCAGTAGATCGTATCGAGGATCACGAACAACATTATGTGTGATCTGCACAATAGCATGTACGCAGGACAGACGTGCCGAAACGTAGGCAAATGCGAACATAGGGGCGCAAGTGTGTTGCATATTCTCGATGCAATTGACCTCATTACTTCAAGTGCACATGCGTGTCCAATATCCTTCCACAGATCCCGACTTCATCCTCTTCAAAATCTATCATTTGTAATGGGCGTGCAGGTGTGTAGCGTTAGACTTTTGTTAGGTGCTTTAGCTGCCATCCTCGGACTAGCACTTCCAGGCCAACTCTTGCCGGGTTATGAGACCTCTAGCTCCAGGCCCTTGTGATCGTCGCGACGTTGCACATGGCCGGCAGAATGCCAACAACGACGCACATGGTGGAGAAGTTGCTCGCCTACTAGGTACCGTCCAAAGCTTTGCATATTGGGCACTCGGGCCTTGCAAAGCCGCTAATCGAGCAAGCTCCCTGCTCTTCCCGAGCCGCAGAGATATTCGTACGGATATCGTCAATCTCATCAGATCGCGGCCGCATCCGTTCTACGTCCGGTGATGTGTTTGTTCGTTCTAGTGACAGTTGTGAATGTCGATGAGCTGCAGGGCTGGACACACCCCAGGCAGCCTGCTGTGCCTGCTCCATCTGGAACTCGGCATGGCTACAGACAGCAGCTCTAGGGGCACCTGAGATGGTAATGGGCAAGAATAGTGGGGCACGGTCCAGCCTATTCTCGTAACTGATGTACGAACCGATTGTATTTTTTCCCGGCATATCACGTAGCAGCATTTTGGCGTTCTGGCATCGGTGGCCGTGATTGATTGTTTCAGCCTTTGGACCGTCAGGTGCCGACCGCGAATATCGCGGATTACTGGGACGGAAGGAACTCACTCCGCTGCAAGCCTTCACGCCATGAAGTCCCCATCTAGGACATTTAAGAGCAATCTAGATTTCCTGATCGTCAGAGAGAACAAACGATCAGCGTGCTGTGGACTTAGACAGGAGTGACGAGCTCTCTCAGCGCCAGAGGACTCCCAACCTTCCCATTGAAGTACTTTGGTGACGATCGCATAATCCTCATTTCACTGTGTCATCATGACATGAAACATGAACACCGTCGTAGTTCCATTTGTACCTCGGTCGATTGAAATGTTACATGGCGGCAAGCACACCAAACTTGCGGACCTTGTGGACGATCCGATCGAGTCACTGATCGGCTTGTTAGGGACATGGCATCAATGAATATTCTACTTTGTTTGATGCGGGATCTCTGGTGAACGACGAAGTCGATCATGGCAAGGCCCAGTGTTGCACCGCACCACGGTGGATAATGGACACTGCCAGGTCAGGTGACCCCTCCCGGAATGCTGAAAGCTTGTCTGACGACCGATTCACAACCTGAAACACCATCCGCGCATACCCTTGGCATAGAGGCCGCGTAAATCAGAAACCGACCCCTTCAGCATACTGACGAAACTTCTCAACACGCTAGGACTAATCATTTGCCGTTACTGATATGGTTCAGGGGTATAGAACAGTCTTCGTTTTATATTTGCAGAGATCAAGGCCATCGCCGCGGGTTAGTGAGTGGGTAGCGACCGTTGCGCTCTGTGAGCGCCGGAGACTAACGCCCGAAGGATGGTTTACGGGTCTTCAATCTTGATTAGCCTATGTGAGATGCCACATCATGGCGCGCACAAGGCAACCGTATCTACTCAACTCAACTCGACCGGAATATATCCCAGGCGTTTGCATGCATGAACGAAAGCGACGTGAGAGTGGGGACGCCAGTCCTCTAGTCACAGAGGCAGCGAGCTGTAGATCGGAGTTGCAGTATGGTACTATCCAAAGGAGGCATTAAATGATCGATCGCGCGCTAGTTGCTCGAAGTTGACAGAGGCGGTGACTGGATCACGCAGGATGGGCGGAAGCATGAAAAAAAGGAGCCGTAACATCACCTTAAAACGTGCCCTACAATGCAGTCCTAGATCACTAGTGGGGCAGCATATACGACACGCGCGACTTGGGACCGTCCTGAGCGGCCGTTAGAGATTTGACTTGTAAACGATGCATGGACACTGGCCTTGTGATGATATCCATGGTCCCGCATCTGGCCTCGAACAGATTGGTTGCGGTGCGTACTGCCCTGCAGTGCCTGCACTCACCAAGCAAACGGCAGCAATTAACGGGCTTGCTGACACTCACTGGCGCTTCCGAAACTCCCACACACCTGGGCATGGCTCCAATTGGCCCGCCCGCATCCGAGAGGCCCTCACTGCCCCTCAGACCCATTTCGGCTACAATACTTTGCATGCATGTGATTCACATCCCATCTACCCGCGGACAGCTTTAGCAGAGAGAATGACATGCTCGTACCTGCGACAATCTCGATTTCCATCGCGCCTGAGCACAGCAATGCACCCTCCCTCTGCAGCGCAAGACCGGAAATTGTTTTCGGCTTCACTTAGAACAGACTAGTCCTGTCTTGTCCATATCAAGTTTCGGAAAAGCGCCCTTCAATTGTGAATAGTTCACGGTACCTAGGAGGCTCGTCCCGCCACGACATGTCGGAGAACACAGAGCTGTAAATATGAGCGTTCTGGTAAGCATAGAGTCGCTGACGTGGGAGGGAGGCACGCTGGTGTCAGCATTTGTACGTCGAGATGTGTATGCCAGGTGAGAGAGACGTTGGAGCACATTGGGCTCTTCACCATGAGGGGAACGCTCCGTAGTCGGGAACTTACGACTCGTCGCTGGTGTTGGGTAGTCTCGACTGTCAGCGGACTGAGGCGACGGTAATCTATTCGCCCATGAACGACAGCGCCGTAGCATGCTCTCTTAATCAGGTTCTAGTCGCCAAGCTGCGCGTAGCACTAAAGCGTATCCTGGTCCGCGTTTGTGACATCTCTGCCACATGGGTGTCGGTCCCTACCGCGATGGAACTGTGCAGCAAATTTGGGTCCGCTCGTTCGACTTCGTCGCTCTCAACTCGATATCAATGGCGGCCTTTCGCTGTGCTCAACTTTGGTGTCGATGCTGCACTCTGTAAATCCCCTCAAGCAGCGGCTGCACAAGGGTTGGCTCCTTTATACTTCCTCAACCCTCCCGCAATCGGGCCATGGTCGCTATCAGTCCCTTCGTATGTTCGGAGAACGTATAGGTGCTCGTTCATCTTATGACACTTGGCGATGTCGTGATGCCGTACAACATGTACCTGCTGTAGCAAGGGCCCGTTGCCCGTCCAGCCATGCGCTAAGTTCGTACCATAGATGGCGGCCGATTTTTCCACTCTGCGACGAAAGCCCAAGGCCGTGTTCTAGAGGATTGTCCGGTACGCGCGAAAGCACATGATGCAGAGCAGACTCGGACTGTGAAAGCGCAAGCGTCATGGTGGTATCATCACCACATACGATATGCCGTGGATCCGGACATGCGACCAGTCCGACTGGAGCTGTTGTTGCAAGCTCCCCTCGGGCTGTATCGAAGTGGTGAATGATGCAATTCTGGAGCGGATATCTTACAATGCTACCTACCTAGATAAGTATTTGAGAAGTGTGGGCGAAGCAGGACTGGTTAAGGTAGATCTACCAGACCGTTTAGAAGGCTGAGCTCGTGTAAAAAGGTTTGCTTTTGGAGCGTGCACACCCTCGGTGCTGTTGTTGAAAGACTAGCCCAGGGCTCGCTTCGACATACGCAATCATTCATTTTCCTATTAGTTTTTAGTTGCAATACATCAGTGGCTTCCTTGTCTAGTGCCGCCGGTAGACAGCGCTCCTTTACTCACTTTCCAGGGTCTGGCGTTTGCCATCCATCAGCCAATGGCCCAGTACCATTCACATCGTAGCCTCATAGGTCACCACAGTAGGAGGCGAAACTTGCCTCGTTATGCTGCAGGATCACAGGAGCGACTTTTCGGCCTGCAGCCTGATCGTTCTAGCCTGCGACCGACGCTGTGTGCCTTCGCTTTGTGGGCACTGCGTGCCGCCGTTTGACCACAACAAAATCAACAGCATGATTTGCCTCATGATTCACTGCTACTCTCATCGTCGTCTCGAGATTTGCCTGTGATTAACATGATTTCATACAAACTTCCACGCCTTAGTGTTGGAATCCTTGTGGATAAGTCGCTGTATCAGCAGCGTTGCTCCCCTCGTCTCTGCGTGAGGCTTGTCGAACGTAATCCCACAGCCGCGAAATTCACCCGCTTTGCTTCATGAAACCATGGCCGCGCCGGGGCAGAATAACCCACAGGACAATGCGCCAAGTGGTTCTTCCTCCACACCATATGCTCTCGATCATGGAGCTCCCATCATCATGGTCGAGGGCCGCAAACACAGCGTCGAGGATCGTCGCCGTGTTCGAGCTCAGGCCGCTCGGGCCAGCGCTGCCGCCAGTCGAGAAACTCGACAACGAAATCGAGGCGACCAAACCTCGAGACAGACATCCGCCATTCGTTCGGAGTCCTCTGGGCAATCGAACCAATCCGTCCCTGTAGATTCAGATGCAGCCGGCCTCCGGAGACCTGATCTCAATCGTTCGACCATAGTTGGTACGGCAGCGCCGACGCAACTTCCGCCAACGGAGCATGCGAGCATGCTGCCGAACACCGATGCATCGTTGATGCCGCTGACGATTTGGTTGCATGAATGGCTTCAATCGTCGCCGTTGATGCAGATTGCCGCTCTCGACGAAGGACGCCAAAGCTCATCCGGCAGTGTACGGCCTAATCCACTACCGGGACAAGCTCCGTTCGAAGTCGCACCAAGATCCGAAAGGGATGAGGCCAGATTTGAATTGCCTATCGCGGTTCCCAGAGGCTTCGCAGAACTTCAGCGCTCTGGATCAATCAACGATGCGCTCGTAGTGCTTGTTGGACGCACAGCCTGCTTCAACTTTGGTGGGCCCGGAGCGAAGAGAAGAGTGCAGGCATTGTTACGAGATGTCGTCATGTTATCCGGACAAGAGATCAGTTCACGGCCTGCGCAACGGGTTCATCAATATGTTCGTCTTGCTTGTGTATGCTTGACCCTCTTCCAATCGCAGAGAGCCAGCGGGCAGGAGATTGCTCAAAATCCGCAATATCGGGCTGGACTAGACGCAGCTTGGCAAGAAGCAGTGGCACTTGACCCAGGAGATTTACAAAATCCAAGCACAGCGCAGGTTCTTCTGTGGGCAGGAACAATAATCAGCTTGACGTGCGGAGCTCTTCCGGCTCCTTTAAATCCTTTGCTTCGTCTGCTTTGCGAATACTTGGAGCTCAAATCTTGGGAAGCATTACGGCATCTTCTGAGCATCTTCATTTATCCTGCAAGTTTCCTGGACGCCAGTTGCCGACAATTCTTCGAGGACGTGACCAGAGGTTGAAACTGTCGTGGTCGGCATTGGGCGATTATTCTTGGATATGGAACGGAGCACTGAGCTTAGGAGAGATCCCATAGAGCTTGCTTGGCATTGCGAATTTGCATCTGTCTCATGTGCGTGTCGCATTCGTTGACTTGAGAGTTCTTCGTATGCGTATCCCGCCATGTTCAGCTTATCTGTAATATTTTGTTACGACTGATCGCGAATTGCCTCAAGCACCGTGTCGCAACAGAGAGATGGCCTAACCTGCACTGCAGGGTGACCTACCTCTGCCTCATGTGCGCTGCTCTGGTGGTGTTCCAGTACAAATCGTGCTGTTGGTGGTGCATCGTATCTAGAACCATACCGTCGAAATCTTGTTCATGACGTGCTCTGTTCCAATGACGATCTGACGCGAATATCTTCTCTCGAAGATCAACGGGCGACGGACAAATGACCCTTGGTTGACACCGGAGGTTTTGGCAGACGCCAATGGCCAATGGTGAAGTATGAGTATCACGGAGTGGCTTGTATCACTTCAAACAAGAAAGATCGACATTGATTCTAGAAGGCGCACGAATATGAGGAAGAAACGAAAAGAAGCCCAGATTGCAAAATTCTGTCAAATTCACCACTGTCTGCGTTTACAGAATGGAGCACAACCGATTCCGACGCGAATGTATTGCTACCTACGATGGGTGGGTATGCCACTGTGTGATGTGCTATGACAGGTAAACTTGTAGAAGGTTCGAGTGACCTGTCGTCCAGCATATGGTATAGGCATGACAACAACCTTGGAAGCTCGCAGCCGAAATGAGGGTAGGCCTCGGATTTCCCAGCTTTCATCCCCATTGAGAGCCGCTTGCCGCTGCCCACCCGCCGCCAGGGCCCGGGTTTGATCACTTCCCGGGTTTATTGCGCAGGAAAATAAGCGATCTCCATGTGCTGAGCCTCAAATAGTCCCCTACCCCGCGACCCGGTACGAGTCCCTTGACAAATTTGCGTCGTCGCAGCGATGGTTAGACCCTTTGCACGACGATGCCGCGCATCTTGCACACAACACCTGAGACATGACAGCACGACGTCAGTCCGTGTCCGTATGCAAGACTCCTCCGACCTGCTGGACGCTTGTCCGCCATCCGGAGGTACCAATTGTCCGCCGTGGGCCAAGTGAATCAATCGGGGAAAGGTCCGGTGCTGAGAGACGACTTATTACTCGGAACTTGACGAGGCAAAGATGGCAGGGGACTGTGTGGCTCGAGCGGACGTGCATTCGGACATCTCAAGGTGTGTGCCATCGTGCGGGATTCGCATTGGCATGACTGAAGACCATGTGAACCATGGTGAATCCTTGCGGCATTGCATAGACATCCCACTCCTTTGCAGCCGAAGCCGATAACGACTGACGCGAATGGGCGGGAGTGATGGCATTGTGCAGCGTGAAGGCGACGATCGACCGTGCTAAGTCAAGCAAGCCTGCTGGAAAAGTCACACCGCACGTCGATTCCGCCCAGATGTTGTCTTCGCACCTACGCAATATCTCGGCTGTTCGCGACACACGGACAGTCAAGCTACTCCATCCCATTGCCTGCTTTGGGGCAAGCGCGCCATCTGCCTGCGCTAAAGCCGCATCCGTGAGGCGTCGGGGTACTGGCGTGGACCCTTTTCGCCTGTGCTCGATCTTGCCGCCATCGACGAACTTGAGGGCAACATTGGTCCACAATCACCATGATCGGCCAGCTCTGTTCCCTTCCATCACAGCGAATGACTCGCGGGCCACGCTTGCGTCACGCGGTTAGGCTTATCTTCTCCCTCCAGATCACCCGATATCTTCGAAGGGCGTACACATGTGGCGTGCACGCATTGTTTGTCGAACGCAAAAATGCATCGCATGGTGACGTTCGCGATCCCGGTTGGCCTCGCCATCGAGTCGTGCTCAAAGATCCGCCTCTCCCACAACGATTGCCAGTGATACCATGTGGATGCCATACACTACCAACCATGTACAGATTCGCATTTTGTGCTTTCGTTGCGGCTAGAGATCTCGCATTTATGTCAGGTCACTGGGTTTGTACACACGTACCTGGTACCGCCTAGCAGATCACATGGTGTGACAATCTGTAGATTTCGATCTCGCGATTGCCGAGACCCTTCGACATGAGATAGCCTGAGACAACTACCAGACGACCGCCAGATCCGGGCGATATCGCAAGGCAAGTTGATCCGTGCGTATAATTCCATTCGCAGCAGTGACAGCTACGCAGCTCGAACATTCTTTGGAGAACGGCTGTTGATGTGACTCAACAAGCATCAAGGCGGTAGATGGCATGTGAAGAGTGTTGCGCCCCGGTCGAAACATTGGACTTTTGCTCATGCAGACGACGTCGTGCACACCAACAGTATCAGCCACTCTAGCGACTTCTATCTTCGAATTGGGCATGTATTCCGCCAGATCTGACGGCAGTCATGGATGTGCAGAATCAAAAGATCTGATATACCGGATCGGGGGAGAAATGCGAAGAAAATTTCTCCTAGGCAAAATTCACCACAAAATGGATGCAAGGGACTGGACGGCGGAGTTGCATGACAGAGCACAAGCGACCTCTCCCGAATTTCCGTGATGAAACTCAAAATGATAACATTCAATATTAGCCGTACGACACTAATATTGATGGAGATAGTTCCCGTACAACGACGTCAAGTAACATATGACTCGTTTAGCTCTTTTCCAGCCTGTCTGCCCAGCGACCATATCATTCCAGGGTGTTAGGAGCATACAACCTGTTGTCCGATGGCCTAGCAAATGGTGATAGCCTATTTTACAAGAGTGATACATCCGCACCTTGGTCAGGAGACGAAGACATGAGATGATCTCGCAGGGACTTGTTGATGATTTTTAACACCTCAAATTTTGACTCAAAAAGCAGTCAGGTTGTGAGAAATCATCGATGCAAGCCATTATCTTGAATACACTGCCATCATTCCTTATCTCGAATAGCAATGGCCCACCAGTTGTCCTTTTCGTAACCTGACTCGATGACCTTGCCGCCTGCAGCCACAAGATCCTCCTCGATTTCATTCTTGCGATACAAATGATAATAGCGATGGTAAGTCTTGTCGTGTCCAGTACTCTGGCCCTGGCTGCTACTGTCGGCTTTTTTCGAACCACGTGTGACCCAGGGAACCATAACATCTTGATTGTCCTTCTCCGACCAGCCGCGTCGACTATTTTCTTGCTCAAGAGCCCACACGTAGACCAGAACTTGTCCACCGGGCTTTAGTATGTCAAGAATCGATCGGACAGCATCGACTCGACGCTCGGAGGTAGAAAGGTGATGCACCACGGCAATGGAAATGGCAAAATCGAAAGCGTGAGGAGCATGTGGGAGATCTAGGATGTCTGCAACCAGAACGGAATGCGGTTGATGTTGCTTGGCTATGGACACGAGATTGCTGGATCTAGAGGCGATTCATTTCAGTCGTACATTGATTGATGATCTCTAGAAATCGATGCTGCCTACCGATCGGAGCCTAGGATGAATACATTGGGATTCACGGCAAGGTATTTGCCGTTTCCACAGCCGACGTCCAAGCCTACAGAGCCATCAGGAAGCCCTTTGAGAAAGCGTTCAATGATGGGCCAGGGCTGCGATCACATGTCGGCTTAATATACCAGTTTCATTTATGTGATGATTGAGAAGGCGCCCAGCTCCTTGTCCCTTATTTCTGTCTTACCTTATATCTTGTGGAGGAGAAGTGCGATGCAATCTGCTCATACACTTCATGAACGTGTTCCTGCTCGTAGCCTTCGCCTCTTGATGTATCTGCCATGGGCAAGACAAGGCGGCTGCAATGGCAAATATGCAGACCTCAATAATATGGTGCTATATGGTCACCAGGAAGCTTGCAACGAACGTGATAGGAATGCAAGTCAGTGTCGCGTAGTGTTATGACCATGAAGAAGTCTGATCAAGAACCCTGGGAATAGCAACAGTCCTATAATTCTGTGTCGTTCAGAAAAGCGGCTCTGCTGATGAATTCATCTTTATACGCACAGACCGTCCGCCGTACCCTTCCAGGGTTCCCAGACAAGCACACTTGCCTGCATACATACGGCATCCTCACATCTCAAGATCATCGATATCCATTACATTCACGGGCGTCATCACAAGACTCTGCCAAAGCCAATTTATCGCTCAAGGCGTAGCGTTTCGGTTAGCTTGAGGAACGCTTGAGAAGAATCATGATCGTCCTGCCGTCAGTCGACTCACGTCATCGCCCTCGCTGATTGGAGCGATGGATGGACAAACCGAAAACACAAAGACTCCAACCTCTAGAGAGCGACCTTACTATGCTCGTAATATAGAATTCTACCACCTAGCCAGCCGCGATGCCGACTTTCGCGTTGCGCTAAAGGCGGCCAGCAAAGATGGCTTCATCGATTTTCAAGACGAGGGTTTTGTACTGTAGGTCATCAAATTTGAAGCGCGTGTCTACCTCTGGACGATGATAGAAAATACGATCCTAACATTTGGATTAAGACAGTTGACCAAGTCATTGCTAAAGGCTGATTTCGGCCTCACAATCGAGATGCCATCCGATCGACTTTGTCCACCTGTTCCTGTTCGCTGGAATTACATACGCTGGTTGCAGGATCTGATCGACAACAGCGGACCTTGGTCCGATACCAATGACATCTCAATTTTAGACGTCAACGAGCCACGTCGCCGAGTGACAGGCCTGGACATCGGCGTTGGTGCGTCCTGTATATACAGCCTTCTCGCATGTGCCAGTCGACCAAATTGGCACATGTATGGTACTGACATTGATGAGCATTCGCTGGGCTTTGCCAGAGCCAACGTCTCCGCAAATGGACTCTTGCACCGCATCACGTTGTTGAAAACCACATCGTCTGGTCCACTCATCCCGTTGGAAGGATTGGAGGTGTCGGGCCTCGATTTTGTCATGACCAACCCGCCGTTCTATTCTTCAAGTGAGGATATGAAAGCATCGTACGCTGGCAAAAATATTACACCCTCTGCGGTCTGTCTCGGTGCTGAGAACGAGATGATCTGCCCTGGCGGCGATTTGGGCTTTGCCATGCGAATCTTTGGCGAAAGCCTGCAGCTCCGGGAACGAGTGCAGTGGTTCTCCGTCATGTTTGGGAGGCTGAAGTCAGCAGAGACATTTGTTACACATCTCAAGACGTCCGCAGTGACAAATTTTGCTGCGTCTGATCTGCAGGCCGGGTTCAAAACGAAACGATGGGTGATAGCATGGAGTCACCAGGGTTTCAGACCGCGGAATGATGTGTCACGTCATGGCGAGCTGGTACGAAGCATAATGCCAGACGTTTCGGTTCAGACCATTACATTACCACGGCAGGACGCGAAGTGGGCAGGAAAGATTGTGAACGACATCATGAACGGACTCAACCTAGTGTGGCAATGGCAGCCGTTGCATCATGCCGGTGCCATGTGTTGCAATCGGGACGTCTGGTCGAGATCGGCCCGGAGGAAGAGGAAGTTCGACGAGACACAGAGCGTGGTCAACCCGGCTGGGCCGGAGGCATCAGAGGTCGCGCTTGCTGTGATTATCGCGTGCAAGGACGAAGCCGTGGAGGTGCGCTGGCTGCGAGGTCGGGACCGACTGATCTTCGAGAGCTTCTGTGGCAAGTTGAAAAGAGCTATGGGAGACCGGTTGAAAGTACTACATGAGGCAGCATGACAGAGTGTATCTGGACGATTGTCAATCTGTTGTTTTGAAGTTTCAAGTCAGGGTGCAGAGTTAAAAATTCTAGGAAATAATATCAACACCAGAGTTCCTCATGCATGCTGGCTTGGCACATTGTATGTGTCTCGTCTTCATGAATTTATGCCTCTACCACTTCGCCTCCGGGCTGTTCAAGAACTTGGTCAAGATTGCGACACGGATTTCCAACGCCTTCAACCACTCATCAAGTTCCTTCTTCACACGCTCTTGGTCGTCGCCTAGCTTGGCGTAGAAGTCGGCCCTGGCAGGTGTCGCGCTCATGGCAGCAGAGAAGATGGGTTTGATTAGAAAGGAATGGAATTTGGAGAGAGTGGCGGTGTATGCTTCCCGGAAGGACGTTGACAACTCCGCGGATGGGTTGCTAAGGTTCTTGCGCAGACCTTGCGAAGTGAAATCCAATCCTCTGTAACAGGGCAGGCGCGTCAGCACGATTGGCTTCAAGCTTTGCATCTGTCGCAAGCATTGTTGCAACTGCGTCTGCTTCTTACCTCAATAACCAGACCAAACCCTCGGTGGCGGTGTGCTTCTTTGTCTTGAGCTCGTTGCGCACGAGGTCCTGGAGAGTCTCGGACTCCAATGGGCTAGCAAGCTGTCGGTCGCGGACCTTCTTGATGTTGCCAGTGATGTCGTTCTTTACCGGTGTGAATGCGACACTGCCAAGCACATCGAACAAACCGACCAGGGCTTCAGATGCCTCGAGGAACTCGACGGTGTTGACGGCATCGCCCTTTGACTCGTCAACAGAGACTTGAGTGAAAGATCTCTTGCCGTTGTCGAAGTAGGTACCGCCTGGCGGGTATGCTTTAGTGGTGGCCATGTTTGTCGTTTTGAATTCTAAGTAGACAGGATAGGTAGGACAGTCTATTGAACAGAGCCAGCATATGTACCTATGCTCCCCGACTTTCTTATTACACCATTGGGGGCTTTGAGCCCCGCGGACGTCGTTGCACTGCGGCCGCTCCCGGCACATTCAGGGTCCATGTCATGCAGTTCGCGCCTACCAAGAGCCTCCCGAAATCGCTAGGATCCTGGACAATTCGCGTAAGCGAACCAGTGGCTTTATTAGAAGCCTCCACGCGTTCTGCAATAATTCCTAGCTGCAAGAGAGACATATAGAGGATTCGGCCCTTTCGTTATGCTTTGTCTACATTTGACGAAGGTAGTTCCATGTTTCCGACCCGCGCAGCCCGTGAATCGGTAGTCATCAATGGACGATACAGACGTCCGTGGCGGGGCATATCTCTGGGCATTCGCATGGCGTTCGTGTCACGCGTTGACATGCGTGCACGACGACGGCCGACGACGGCCAATGACGGCCAATGGGTCGGGTAAACAGAAGTATCATAAAGACGCAGGTCGCCAATGACTCAAAATGTCAAACTTTGCATGACACTTCTGCTTGAACAGGGACATTGTTGAACATATCGCATATCCTGTACAATATCATGTCCCAAACAACTTACAAGATTGCCGCCATTCCAGGCGATGGGATTGGTGTTGATATCACCGATGCAGCAGAGCAGGTCTTACAGAAGCTCGCTGCCGTAGTCGGAACTTTCTCCTTCGAGTTCACCACCTTCGACTGGAGTAGCAAGAAATTTCTGGAGCGCGGTTGGTACATGCCGGACGATGGCATGCAGCAACTCGCAAAGCATGATGCCATCTACTTTGGCGCTGTAGGCTGGCCAAATGTTCCCGATCATATCTCGCTCTGGGGCCTGATCCTTCCGATTCGCAAACATAACAACCAGTATGTCAATGTCCGACCTACAAGGATCCTGCCGGGAACGCAATCGCCACTTTCTCAATGTCAGTTACGACCTCAGGATCTGGATTGGGTAATCATTCGTGAGAACAGCGAAGGCGAATACGCCGGCCAGGGAGGTACCACACATGAGAACAGCCCCCACACAGTCGCCACTGAGGTCGCCATTTTCACCCGCGTCGGAATAGAGAGGATTATGCGCTTTGCTTTTGAGACGGCCAAGGGCCGACCGCGGAAGAAGCTGACTATGGTAACCAAGAGCAATGCTCAAAGGCATGGTATGGTGCTCTGGGACAAGGTCTTCCACGAGGTCGCAAAGGACTATGAAGGCCAAGTCCAATGGGACAAGATGCTTGTCGATGCAATGACTGTGCGCATGGTGAATAAGCCCGAGAGCTTAGACACCATTGTCGCCACTAACCGTACGTGTAAACGAGTTTTGTTGAGATCCCGCATCTGCTCTTGACGTGCTGACCGTATGTTGGAATAGTCCATGCCGACATCCTGTCTGACCTTGCCGCCGCGTTGGCTGGATCAATTGGCATCGCACCCTCGTCCAACCTCGATCCAACAAGGAAGTTCCCTTCCATGTTCGAGCCTATTCACGGGTCTGCGCCTGATATCGCAGGCCAAGGCATAGCCAATCCCGTAGGAGCATTCTGGTCGGCGGCTGAGATGGTGCGATGGTTGGGTGACGGCAAGCTTGACAAGGTTGCCGATGACCTTATGCAGGCTATTGAGAATGTCACCAGTGACCCAGAGACCCGCACTCGGGATATGGGTGGAAAGGCAAACACCACGCAAGTGACTGAGGCTGTCTTGAAACAGATCGAGGTCGTGTTCGGCAAGAAGTAAACGCAGCACGCGCTGGTCTTTAGCTTGAATGCCATAGTGTCCCGATGTCAATATTCATGCCAGTCCTGTGCGTCGTGCTGTTGTCCGTGTAAAGATCATCATTCGCCAACTGTGACGCGCTCCACCACAGGTCCAGTGATAACCTTCGTCTTCCTTCCCGTACCATTCTCCCACTCGTTCCAAGGCTTCTTGCCTGCTCGTAACCATGGCCAGGCGACGAACATTGCCCTCCCGCTTATCAAGCCCTTGGAGATAGCCCCATAGACGTTACTATCCAGCGTTTCCCTCCAATTGTCCCCTTCAACCCACACATGACCCGGCGGGACCCGCACTCTTCCCTGCCACATCTCCCACCGCAGCGCATCCGGGTTCACGCGACCATTCACGATATCCGCGGGTTTACGTTTAGGATCCAACACGACGATGTCTCCTTCGAGCGCAATGACGCGTTTGACGGCCGAGCTCTCAGGCCGTTGCGGCGAGTTGAACATGACGATGGCGCCGCGCTGGAGGTCACGCGTCGGGGAGAACTTCTGCCAGAAGACAATGTCGCGGGCGCCGGTCAGATGATAGTCCGGCGAGAGCGTCGGCTGCATCGAGCGCCCATGGATATACGTATATTCGAGCAGGTTGTCGTTTATGAAGATGCAGATGGGTGTCGCGAGTGCAACAGGCAAGACGCCGCGGGCGACAATGGTGCGTACATTTCCGAACATTGATCCTCTGTCCGATGTTGACAGATCGTATTGAATCGTCCACTCGGCCTTGGAACTGACGCCGAAACAGGGTGGTCGGAAATAGCCGTCTTTGCGGAATGGGTGAGGCGAGATATGTAATGGGTCAATGTGGTGATGCCATTGCGTTCCGCATTGACCTTTTCACCTACCACCTGGGCACGAATTGAAATTATTCACATCACAGCTAAGATAAGATTCATGATGATTTCAGGACGACTGTGAAATATGCTTTTGAGAAACCTTTTCTGAACATCGTATCTACTTTATCATGTCTCTCGACGTGAAGAACATAGGAAATCATTTCATGGCCCAGCTGGAACTAGCTTGGCACCACAGACAAAATTAAAAACGCCAGAAACAAACCGAATCCTTTTCCTTCAATTCCCAACCTTCCCATACAATGGGAATCTAGTCATCCTCGTCAGAGAAGACCTCCTCACCACGCTTGCGGCGGGCCATACGGTCCTTCTTCTTCTTGCGCAACTCGGAGGCAGTAAGCTTCTTGGCCTTCTTCGTCGACTCGATCTTGTTGCCCATGGCGTCAAACTTCTCTTCCTCCTCGTCATCAGCCTTGAGACGGGGTCCGGCACCCTGACCCTGAACCCAGTTGTGACCGGAGGGAGTCATGCGGCCGTCCAAGCAGGCCCAGACTTCTTCAGTCAAGTCCTTGGTGAACTCGGCAGAGTGAGTGATGATGATGACACCACCCTCGAACGACTTGAGCGCCTTGGAAAGAGCTCCAAGAGAGTCACGGTCAAGGTAGTTGGTAGGTTCGTCGAGAACGATCAAGTGAGGTCGCTGCCATGAGCAAGCAGCCAGGACAACCTTGACACGCTGTCCTCCTGAGAGACCACGCATGCGAGAGTGTGAAACAAGCTCAGCATCAATACCGAAGTTGGCACAGTGAGACTCAATTTCCTTTCGGACTAAAGGACGGAACTGTCCACTGGCAAGAGCCTCCTTCTGGTCGACGTCAGCAACCATCTTCTGGTGAGAGGCGATGACCTCAGAACGGGGAATCCAGGCGTTGTCAGCAGTCATCATGGGTGTCCATCTCTCGTTCTTCATGCCGATGTTATCACCGAGCGCGAACGAACATTCGTATTCGTACGAGTTCTTGAACTTTCTTCGTGCGTGGATACCAATAATGCGACGCTGGGTACCCTCAATTCTGTAGATCTTGTCCATGGCCTTCTCATCCTCCTCGGTGACGATCTTGTTGGCACGGTCCATGGTCTCACGGTCCTCACCGGTCTGGAAACGCCACTGGATGTATTCAGAGGGAGTCTTGTCGAGATGGTGATCGATGTGCGCGAAAGCGTGCTGCTTGATGTAGGCGATACGGATGTTCTCGTGCTGGTAGACCTCACCCTTGGTAGGGATGAGTTCACCGGTCAGAACGTTGACGAGAGTGGACTTTCCAGCACCATTGGGTCCGATGACGGCGATACGGGATCCGAGCGAACATTGGAAGGTGACCTCCTGGATCTGAGGCTTGGGTGTGCCTGGGTATTGGAAAGTCATGTTGCTGACACGAACAATAGCCTTGGCCTTGGTCTTGACACCCTCGAGGAAACCCGGCTCAGGGAACTTGAATTCCATCTCGGAGGCACCGAGTTCGTAGTACGACTTGGCAGAGGGCACACGCTTGACGAACTCACTGAGCTTACCACGGTAACGCTTCAGCTTGAAACGCTCGTAGTGAATGACGTGCTGCACAACATTGTCGAGGAACTTGCTGTCGTGGGAGATGATGATCGATGTGCAGGGAGAACTGGTGAGGTAGTCCTCGAGCCACTTCACGTTCTTCACGTCCAAGTGGTTGGTCGGCTCGTCGAGCAGGAGGATGTCAGGTTTCTCGAAGACAGCACGCGCAAGAGCGAGCTTCATCTTCCAGCCACCAGACAGGGCAGTGATGGGACCGCTGAGCTGCTGGTCGTTGAAGCCGAAGGAGAGAAGAGTGGAAGTAACCTCGTCCTTGCTCAAAGTCAAACCGGCCTGGTTGAGCTTCATGAGAGTCCAGTCAATGACGGTAAATTCGGTGTCGGCGGCGTCCAAGTCGTGCTCGACGTAGACGGTCTTGACCTCGCTTTGCTTGGGGAAACCCTCAACCTGCTCGTTGTTGATGGCACGCATGAGGGTGGTCTTTCCGGAACCGTTGGGTCCGAGGAGACCGTAACGCTGACCACGCTTGAGGCGCAGAGAGGTCTGGTTGAGCAGGATCTTAGCGCCGTAGGCCAAGTTGAAAGTGCAGTTGCAGAGATCTTCACCCTCCTCTTCATCAGGCTCGACGGCGCTCTCATCAGCGGCAAGCGGAGAGGCGCGCTTTCGCAAGTTGTCAACGACGCCGGGCGCGTCCTTCTCGCCAACAATCGAGCTGAGGTAGGTAAGCAGGTTAGTAGACCAGGTGACGTTCTCAACGACCTTCTCGTCGACTAGTTGACCACCAATGGCCGCACAGTATGCCAGGACAGGGCCGAACTTCTTGACGGCATCCTTGTGGCTAGTGCTGAGGAGGTCGTTCAGCTTCTCAAGGACCGTCTTGACGTCGCTGTCGTGTGAAACCTCAGGGATCTTTCCATCCTTCACAGCACCGACACGAGTCAAAGTGTCAAGGGCCTGCTTGGTCTTCTCACGAGCTTCAGGGTCGGCAATGTTGTCGTTGTTGTAGTTCAATTGAGGCATGAGCTTCGGCAAGAAAGCAGCAACAATGTTGGGGTCCTCGACAAGCTTGCACATGTTGTCGACAATGACCGCGGATTTACGCTTGATGGCGGTCTCACGCTCCTTGAGACCACGCTCAAGAAGAGGCACCATGATAGCGAGAGTGGGCTCGTGCACATCAGTGACGAAAGTGGTCGCACCGAGCAAGTGAATGGTCTCGGCAACGTTCTCTGGCTGAGCGATACACTTGATCAACTCAGGGATGAAGCGGTCGATATCTCTGTTGACGATGAGAGCGCAGACCTTCTCCATGGTACCGTACGCCTTCTTCTTGACCTCCGGCTTGGTATCCCACATAGCCTCGGAGACGATGGGAATAAGTTCCGGAACGCGGAAGGCAGTCTGAGCGGGTGAGACCTCGCAGAGAGCCTCGATACACTCCAAGTCGGTCATCTTCTCGGGCCATTTCTGGGCGTTGCGGATGGACTCGATGAAGTGGGGGATGAGGAGCTTGCCAGCGTTGGCGTTCACGGCCTTGGTGATGGAGAGAGCAGCGTTCTGAGCAGCAACCTTGACGGTGGCCATCTTGTCTCCGACTGCGTTCAACGCAAGAGGCAAAAGCTCGACGAGGTAAGGCTCGACAGTGGGCGAGACCTGAGCGTGCTGGGCGATGGCAGCAATGGCCTCGCATGCATTTTGTCGCACAAGGGCATCCTTCTTGTTGGCGAGCAGCTTCTTCAGGCTCTCGACGGTCTTTGAGGGTGTGTCCAACTCTTGAATGTCGCCGTTGATGAAAGTGGCGAGCTCGATTGAAGTAGCCTTGGTCTCGTCGGCAGTCTTGGAGACCGACAACTTCGACATAAGCTCTTCGAGCACCTTGAGGCTCTGTGCGTTCTCTTTGGCGGCCATGATTGCAAAATCGGCCGACTAAAAAGAGAAAAAGAAAGAAAGAGGAATGATCTGGATAGGCAAAGAGGGAGGAGGGAAGAAAATATGTAGTTGGCAAGATTGGAGTTATGTGTAGTAAGGCGGGCGGCAAAAAATTACAGTGGGCCCCGCGCTGACTAGTGTCGGTATCGATAGCGATGTCCCATTCCTTCTGCTGTTCCGCCTCCATACCTAGGTATACACACAAAAGCGGGACAGAACAGTGAGAAAACTTGTCCAGTCAGACTTGTCGCGTGGTGATTGCATGCTTTCCCGTGTTGATCCGGTCACTGTTTTCGAGAACGCCGGTGCATAAAGTCACACTCGCCATGTTGTCTTGTTGGGTGTCCCTCACTGTGTACGGAAAATTCCTCGTGGGTAACGACAGGGACCGCCGCTAGCGCTCAACAATGCTGACCCCGCCAACGAAATAAATAAAATTATTTTTGGTGGTGCGCCCTCTGTGCGAAAACCCCCGAGACTTTCCGCTTACGACTCATTTTACAGTACCACGTAGTATGTACCAGCATCCAAGCCTCGTATGAGGAACCCCTGATCACAGAGCAAATAGAGCATACGACTGTGGTAGAATACAATCAATGGATGATTTGGCGTGTTGCAGGCGAGTGTCAAGTTTCTCGGCCGGCATCTAATTATACATCATGCTGTGTTATTATAAGTTCAAGGCGGCAGAGAGGAGCGGAGGGACTCCAATACCCTCCAGGGCTGGTTCTGGTGAAAGAACAGTGGCTCCTGATGTGCAGTCATTCCTGCAACCGCTCTGCTCAGCTCATCAATATATGAAATGACCCCGACGTGAGGAACAGAAGTGGACTTTGCGAGTCCCGGAAAGAGTTACAGCCTCTGGTGGTAGCGATTCTCTTCCAGACCCTTCTGCATGCTATGGCAAATGCAAGTGTGGTAGAATGTACTCAACGACCGCCCAGATCTCGAACTTCCACGCACTCGCGCATCAGCAAGCTTTAACTTCCTCCGCGCCCAATTTGTACTCGACGGCGCCAACCCGCCACCACGCTGTGGCGGAAAGCGTTCTGATACGTCCCATCAGGTGCACGCTGCGTATCGATTTTCCGAGATCTGATCGTCAGACCCTTTGGTGCTCTACATGGACGACGCTGTGGTATTCATCGTGATCCTGCATAAAATCTTACCGAGTCAACCTAGGAACTTTCCTATGCCCGCTGGACTTGCACTGTAGGCTCTCGGTGGGCTTAATAAACATCAGTTCACGAGTGTGTCCATCGGGAAATGGTTAGCACAGAAATGAGAAGAGATGTTGTGCACACACTCGATCCAAGGACACTATCCTTAAATTTCTAGACTAGCTAAGCACGCACAATAACGGGGTCATCCATTAGAAACCACTGACTACCCGTGACAAGTATCGGCCCAAATTTCGCGCTCACGCCACAAGGTATCATGAAAAGCAATCGTAAGTAAATCAAATCAACACGGCGGGAGCCCTCAACAGAAAAATCGAGATCTATACCCTCAACGGCTCCTGCCTCTCCTCAATACAGTCTTGACACTCATGCCAGCATCAGTGCCTTCCAGGAGAGTTCGCATCAGAACAGAGATGGGTGATGGCGACAACGCGCCTCATTAGGGGATTCCGTCCCGCAGAATTTTTTTTGTAATCCTTTCAAGTCTAACCAGACGGGGTTGAGGTGGTTGACAGACCGGTAAGAGATCGGCTGGGCTGAGCAGCTGTGGGTATCGACAGTGAAGCCACTGACAGATTTCGGCTCGAACTACCCTGCCGACTAGGAATCATACTTGGGTTAGGACTTGCCGGTCGGCTTCCATGAGGCGAGCGCGGAAATCTTGACGCCAGTGCGTGGTCAGGACCAATGACCTGTCCCGCATATGGTGATGCGGTTATGATCGTGCCAGGTGAAGTGAAAGGAGGTGGTATAGGACTTTCACTGCGGAATAGAGGATGGATGTGGGCCTGGTCGGAGGAAGATATTGATTGCCACGGGCTGGCTGACCGAGAAAGCTGGCGTGTGGAGTTTGTCTCGATAGCCGAAGTCAGACTTGCGAGAGGGTGAGATTCGTCTTCGACAGGAGAAATTATCACCGTACCATCGAAGGGCCCATCGCGAGGGTCAGACGGCGACACTGGTCGGCTTCCTGGAATGGTCTCGAGAGCCGGCCTGCACAGTTTACGCCCTGATGTTGCATCTGGCGCTTCAAACGGAGCAGATGCTTCCCAGGTGGCAAACTCGTTGGCCCTCTGAACAGCTTCGGCTTGTTCGAAAATTGAGACAGTTTCCTCGTTATCGCAGGAAGTTGATGTCGAGGGAAGCTTCGCGTTCGAGCTCATTGCACGAGTCTCGCGACCCTCGCTGGGCTCGCTCACCGTGATTGATGATACTGCAGGAATCGATGCGGCCCGCCGGCTAAATAGTGACGGGGTCGACAATGAACTGAGCCTGATCTTCAGCGGACTCTTGGACAGGAATTCATCGAAGTGGCTGGATCGGCGTGTATCAGTCACACCCTCCCGCGATGCTGCTAATTGTAGCCAGGACCAGGCGAAAATGGTGATACACGGGAGGGTGCTGATGCTGCAGAGCACGAGTCCGACAGCTGAAGAGATCCTCATGCGACTCGGGTCTACCGTTTCGCCCATGCGGTCGAATTGGGAGAACATGTAGGCTATGGTAGCCAATGTCATAGCGGTTCCAAGGCTGTATGAGATCAAGCCTAACATCCAGACAGGGATAGACATATGAGTGCTCGTGCCTTTGACGCAAAGGGTAAGGATGAGAAGCAATAATGAGAGAGCGAATAGATCTAGGAGAGACGCCCCTAGAGCTACGCCAGCAAATGGCTCGGCAAACCAGACTTGCAAGGTGATCCACACAGTTGTGGCCAGAGTTGCGAACTCTGATATCACTGCCGCGGCTGCAACAGCAGGGAATAAGAAAGATAGACGCCGCATGGCGATATGTTGGCCTGTTCAAGGCGTTGAAAAAATCGGGACTGGTGGTAATTGAAAAATGATAGTGGAAAATGCAAATGTTAAGGACAGGAAGGGTTTTGCCGTCGGTGCTTCAGGAGGTCATTCTGCGGAAGAATCTGGCGAGCTTGAGATGAATGATCATGACCGACTTAAGGAATGGTAGGTCAGAGGTCGGACAGGTCGTGGCTCCGAATATTAGGCTGAGAAAAGAACATGTTTGCAAGCTGCTCGACTTGAGGACGACGGTAATCCTGATAAGTATATACATCTGCACAGTCTAATGAGGCCTTGCAGTGTTGTTCGAAAGATCTTGGTTGGCGGTCGATCGGGGCGACAAAAACGTGCAACGGCCGAAATCCGACAAGCCACCCCGAAATATTCCAAGGCCCGATATAACAAACATGCATTGTCTGCAATCGCTTCGGCAACCAAGCTGCCGTGACGAATTTCACCTGCAAGCGATCAGCAGTTTAAAACGTTGGTTCATTCGGAGCGGCTCGCCCGATAATGTCCAATCTCGTAGCTAGGCATATATGTAGACGACGAAACCGAATGACGCCGCTCATGGCCGATAATACTCGGACAGCGTTGCGATTTGTCACTAATTTCGCTCGGCATGATTTCGCACGAACGTGTGCGATGTCTTGATCGAGTTCTACATGCCATGCCTGTTCCGTCAGGCTGCGAGTTCATGGATAGCGATCGAAGTGTCGTGGCTTTGCAACATACCAGCGCTCGAATGCATGTCAAAAAAATCTTTCACATGCCGGGCCTTTGTATCGCGTGATGTCTCAGCCAGGACTTGCCACGCCAACGCGATAATTCTGTCTTTACACGCAGATGAGATGCATCAAAGCATATCGCAGCAACCTGTATCGTTAGATTCGTCACTGTAGAATCATGTAAACATGGATAATATAACGTTCACCAGAGCGTTGACAGAACTATCACCAAGGTGAGGTTTGGGACAGGCGTTGGCCGAGCCGCCCGGGACTTTCCAAGAGGGCTCACGACCATCTCGAACAAACTCAGCGCACCTGGATCTCTCACTGATCACTGTATATCGCCCGAGCACGCATCTACAGAGACATCTCGGAGCGTCAGAATTTGAGATATATCTCGTCTTATGATCTGCCGCATTGCCAATGGTTCACATGTTGAGACAAGCTTGTCTGTGTGAAGCTTCTCCACCGACAACCAGACGATGTCGTGTCTGATATACATGGTATGGCCACGCGTGAATAGCATTGACGCACATCAATGTGGTTGACTTGATTGTGATCAGCAGACTCCTGTTGTCTAATGAACCCGCCTGCGATGGCACTTGGGAGAAATTTCGCATGTAGCATATGACGACAGGCCGATGCATCGGTATGATTGTCACGACAGGGCAGCTCACTTTTTGCCGAGTGCGCAGCGCACCGCAGGACGAGGTTCTTCAGCGGCCAACGGTGTTCCGCTGATCTGGTTTGAGCGAACTCGGCTAGCTCGGCTCTCATATCTTTAACGCGTCTGCAGTTGCCGGACATCTTTGTTTGTTGTCGGAACGTTGGTTGCATACATGCGTCTTCCATAATGGGGCACAAATTTTTCGTTGGATCGCAGCGGCGGCCCGACCACGGTCTGCTTATATTGGTATCACCATTGGGCGTGGACCGTTTCGACGGGCGTGCCGCTGCGAGATCAGGCTTGATCACAGGCACCTATGTATCTGAATGCATTTATCGTCGATACCTGGGGATATGTTATATCTATGCGTGTGTGCTGCTCTGAAATTCTGCAAGATCCTGGAATGGAAGCATGCAAACACACCTGGGCATATTGCATGAGAGCAAGGTCAAATTAAGTAGAGAGCATTGCCCTGCTAAGTATACTACATTCAAATGCGACACACGCATATGGTCTCTTCTACTCGTACATAATTCATTACATGAGCCACTCAAGCCAAAAAAAAGCTGTCAACGAATAATACGCAGTCAGCTGCGATCATGCTTTTCGCGAAACCTGAGCCGATCATCCTCAGACTTGCGTGCACACCAGGCTAGTGCTGGTTGCGGTGCTCGTTTGCCGTTGAAGGTGCCAATGAGCCAGTCTGTTACGGAGACAACTCGGGTCATCTGGTCCCAATGTCCACCTTCTTCAGTGTGTTCGATGACATGTTTCGCGATGCGGCCGCGTTCGTCAAAGTCGAAAATGAAGATCCCACAAAATTCCTCGGGATCAAGTGATTTGTCTGCTGATTCTCCTTTTGTCCCAGCAATAAAGGCCTTGATCCGGTCCACAGGGTCCTTTGCACTGATGCCCATACCGCGATATATCCCGCCTGTGCCGTCACGGTGCGTTGTCTTGCCACATGTTTTCCATTTGACCACCAACTGCTCTTGTCGGTGCTCTTTGCTCACACTGGCGCCACCTCGTCGGATCATGCGCTCCGACAGAATGCTCAATTCCACATTACCGATCAGCGGTACCCTGCCCCATGCCACCGGCGCAGTCCAGAGGGCTGCGACATATGCGATCCGACCAGAGACAGTCGGCAGGTGCGGATGTGTCGATGGGAAGAGGTGCAGACTAATCTGCGGGGACAAAACCTCCGATGGTAGCGGCTCTTTCAATAGTGTTGGAAGTCTCTCGTGAAGTGTTCGAATCGTCTTGCCGAGCTGCAGGGTGCGCTCATCTACTCGCTCGTCGCCAGGTTTGTGGTCGAGAGAATATGCGCAGGGCGCCGTGCTGGTGAACCAGATATCTCTTTCATTAGGTCCGACGTCCTTGACTTGGGCGAAGCATCTGCAGTTCTGCGAGCAGAGGCGTGGCTGTCGACATCGTTGAGCAGGCCTGGCTCCAGTCACTAAGAGCCGCTTATATGCCTGTGCAGCATCGCACTTCAACCGACGAGAGCGTAGAGACCAAAGTGCATGCTGCGTCATCTATGGCCGCGATAGGTGAGCTCATCCATAAGTGGGTCGATGTTATGTGCGAAATTGCTCGAATGCGGACTTTGTCTTAAGGGAAGGCGTAATGAAATGTTCAGCAGAAGTAACTGCTGATGTGGCAGGTGACAAACGAAGCTATAGTGGTTGGTCTTCGGATAATATGATGGTGTATTAGGGCAGTACTAACAAAATTAAGGCATTCTGCAGGTGTAGGGTGTAACTAGACCCGCAATGACGTCGAATCACGGGCTGTCAAATTGCACGTGAATTTGCTTGTGACATTGGGAATGTGCTGAACCATTTGTTTCCTCATGACGGTAAAGTAGGCCAATACTGTGAGGCATATGTCTTTGTTTCGACATATATCTCCAATGGCCCAGCATTCCTATGTATAATGTGAGAATACTTAATGTTGTATGAGAATTGGTCAACCATGCTCGGTATTCCCTCTAGAGTGCCTGAACTTCCATTGTACTCTCACGCGGTTGCTGTAATAGGCGAAATGCGCGGCGACACATTGTGCATCTGTAAAAAGGAACAGCATCCAGGGTTTCATTAAATCAGGTAATGTAGAGTTTCTCATGAATACTAAAGGTACAGTTCATCATCGTTTCCATATTTTCCACCAGGGGATAGTTTCGTGGCCTCCACTCCGGGAATGATTTCGACCCAGGCGAAACCAGTAAAGTGGAATTCCAATTGCCAGAAAGCCAAAGACAATGAGCGCTTGAAGTGGCTTCGCAAACACTGCTCTGCTCACCAAGAATAAGCTAACACAGCAGAAGATTATGGGCGTGATTATCCAGCATTTATAAGGTCGCTCCAGATCAGGCTCCTTGACTCGGAGCACGATCAGTCCGACAACAGCGGCGAAATAGAAAAGGTACGATGCAACGCCATAGAACGTCGTCAATGTTTGGAAATCACCGACGGCAAGGTAAGCGGATGTGAGAACGGCATTGAGAATGAGGGCGTAAATAGGCGTGAAGAAGAATCCGGGTTCATCGGCAAGCCAGCCGGCTAACCTCTTGCTGCGTGCAGTTCTTCTCGGAAGTCGCATGCGGTGTGCCGAACTCGAGAAACCGATCGTGCTGAAAAACTCCGGGATGTAATTCTCCTTGCTGGCTTTGTAGATAAGGCGACCGGTGGTAAAGGTCGACGCATTGAGCGCACCGAAACACGAACCGGCAACGGCGATGGCAAGCACAATCGCTCCAGCTGGGCCATATACGACACTCGCAAAGTCGACGGCGATTGTGTTCGAGTGCTGAATAATCTCGGTCGGCAGAACGAAGATATACGCCAGGTTCGCGAGGATGTATGATACAATGACCAATGGTAAGGCTGTGTGAATGACTTTGGGTAGGTCGCGACCGGGATCGACCATCTCTCCCACGACGAAGTTGGTGTTGTCCCAGCCATCGTACGCCCAGAGTCCAGCGTAGAGTGCGACAGCCCATTGCGAACTTGACGTAGAAGTACCCTCAAACCACGGAGTGGTGCGCCACGTCGTTGAGAGCGAAGCTTTGTTGTATGCCAATCCGGTAGTGCCCACCACTATACCAGTGATGGTGATGACGAGGAGACCAGCAATCTTGAAGAACATGAAAATGTCCGCGCTGCGAGTCCCTAGCTTTGTGGAAACACAGTTCATCAGGGTGACGATGATCAATGCGGCGAAGGCGACCCCCTTGTTGACCCAGGGGTTGACTGCTTCGGCGTCGGCGCCTACCACAGCTCGGACAAGATATTCTCCAAGGATGAGCGACACAATGGCTGCGGAACCGGGCTTGAGAACTGCCACGGAACACCAAGTAAAAACAAATCCCGCCCATTCTCCGAATATCTTCGCCAGATACACCTGCGCGCCTCCGTTCAGCGGCAGGGCGCCTCCTAGCTCCGCATAACTCGCTGCGCCTGTCCATGCCAATATACCCGAAATTACCCAGATGATCAGGGCCGCACCTGGCGATCCTGCGTTGCTGTTGACGCTAGCTGGTGAAGAGAATATGCCACTGCCAATAATCACTCCAACGACGAGCGATAATCCATTCAAAAACGTCAAGCTTTTGTTTCTTTCGAGGTTTTGCTGGCCCGGTGTATCAAATGTAGATGTGTTTGGTGTGCCCAATGCGGTGTATCCAGCACCGGAGGACGTCAGGGGAAATAATGCGTTATTGAAGTCGAATGTACTTGACACCGAATATGATCTGCGGTTGTGGTTGATCTGGCGAGTAGGCGTAGCATCATCCGATGACAGTTTCCGCGAACTCGGCGCGCCTGATGAGGACGAATCTTGTGATGCGCGGCCATGGTCGTGCGACGAGCTTGCTAAACTCGCAAGCTCCAACGAATCGCGAGGGGGCGCAAGTTGAGGCGCTTGGTGCGCCATTGTATGTGCACCTCGGATCGGAAAGATGAAGAGGATGCTATCGTATGGTCTTGCTGTTCAGTAGTAATTGCTCCATGGCCGCACAGGAAGATTAACGGTGCACAACGGGTCGCGTGCCGTGATGAACGTTGGTCGCTGCCCAGGTCATCGGATGGGCGCGACTTTCACGACCGCCGGGACGGTTTGTTAGCCCCTAGATTCCCAAGAAAGCTTCGTAGGGCTCTCCCCAGGACTGTTGGCACAACACACGTGCATGCTAATTTCCTGGCAACAACATGCCTCGACTTTACATCGGATGGTAATATCAATCTTCCAGGAGAGGAGCATTCCCACGCGATCGCATTTCACGGTCATCCTACGCGCTGTACCTCGTATTGTGCACTCTGTAAATGCGCATACAGGAGGGCCCGCGTGCATTCGCCCCAGGGTTGCAGCTAGGGTCAGCTTGGGGTTATCTGCTGCTGAATACACAAGGCGCGAACAGATATCATGACCACCCTGTTGAGAAAAAAATCGAACATCGCACTGTTAAATACGTCGAGACGCCCACACTATGTATCAAACTCGAGGTCAATCACATGTCCGATACACAACGACTGACATACCATATGCTTGAAAGAGGACCACAAGTGGCCCGTGAGCTTACGAGCACATTCGAAGGATCAGTTCCTCTGTCACATACAAGGGGCATACGCCAACATCACGCAGATTGAGGTCGTTGCGTTGCCATGCAGCGTGTGAGTTCTGTTGCACTCATGTAAATTGGCGGAGGCATACGAACCTCGCTAAAAGCCGGTTTCAGCTTGCGAGTTGCGACAGGAGTGGCTAAGGTATCGTTGCGAGGCCTGACCCGATTTCTGGAAACACAATAGTAAGAAGCCCTCTACTTCTTCTTCTTCCTAGATGGTGAACATCGCGGCAAGACGCCGCGTCTTGGGGAACCCGACTGCTGAGGAAATTGTGCATGACTCGGCCGGCACACCGAAGATGAGCATCCGAGAAGCGATCTCTGCGGAGTATCGCTTCATTCGACTGAAAGTTCGCGAGATTCAGTGCTCAAACTTGAGTTCTTGTACAGCGACATTCTTATACAAAGGCGATGGTATGGTATACATAAACTATTGAGGGTAATGTGCGTAAATCTATTTGAGAGTAGATGTGTCAGTGGAAATGGGACCAGTCTCGAGCATTGTATGTAACGCCACTGACCTGCTTCTTCCTGAGGTGTACTGGAGTCTCATTCTCTGGGGCTCCTGGGATGGTTTTCTCGATTTTCTGTGGCAGAGCCGGAATTTAGCACGTCTGTCCCACTCACGCGCCCAAGAGTTGGGGACTGACCAGTTTCTCGAAGACGCAAGCATTCAAGTTGCGCTCAAACCGTCTACATTGCCACAGCTGGTGGTTGTTGTTGTCCAGGCATTCCCAGTGCGCCCGAAATGTTTCCAAACAATTTTTCGTGACATCCTCCAACACCGATGCCGCACATCGGGTCACTTTTCGGCCCTCCCGGAGACAATCGAGCTCGCCCTTACCGTTCGACTCGGTCTTACAGAGCATGAAATCATCGTTGTATGCCTTGCATCGCGCACCAATGAAGTAGCTGGCAGAAAGAAGTGGCGCGGAGGATGAACCAATTTCAGTCACTTTCGGGATGTGATCGGGGAGAGGCGTGACGTCGATGAGGACCTGCTGATTGAACCTTGGGCGCGGTCAGGCAACAAGCTCAGAAAATCAGTATTGGTTCCAGAATACCTACCGGGGCTGACGATCGGACGACATGTTGAGAGGCTTTTCTTCAATGGCAATAGGCGCAGATGCTGTCAAGCTACAGCTCTTGACATTGAAGCCCGGGAGTAAATCCACCCCAAGGTTGGGTGTAGGTAAGCGATGTTGATTGATACGGTGAACTATTCAAGCCATCGGTCAACATTCCTGATCGCGGCCCACGGCCCGCAGCGTCAAGCTTTCAGGAAACGCGACAACACGCGAGAGCTTCGGCGATGATTACGGAGTAGATCTTGCATTGCGCCAATCTTCACCTTGCGCGATAGCTCGGAGATTACCCTTCGAAATCTTACGGCATCATTGCTCAACACTCGGCAAATCTCGTGGAGTTGTCAAGTCTTTGTTGTGACGGAGGGTCAGCACCATAACTCTACCTGGAAACTTACCGATCTCTGTGCGTCGGAAATATGAGTCTTTTCGGATCAAACACGCAAACAGCACAAGCACCTTCGACGGGACTATTTGGCTCCGGTCAAAATGCTGCACCATCCGCGGGAAGTGTCTTCGGCTCAGCTTACAAGCCAAGCACGACGCCAACACTAGGAGGTGGATTATTTGGACAAGGCGCTGCCCAGGGTGCTCAAGCAAATGGCAATTCGAGCGGGTTTGGCTCAGGTGCTGCTGCCTCGAGCGGTTTCGGATCCAATGCGAATGCAAATGGCAGTCAACCACAGAGCACAGGGGGCCTTTTCGGCTCGACCGCCATCAACACCCAGCCCGCTTCGGGAGGTCTCTTTGGAAACGCAAATACAAGCAACAATAATGGAGGTAACAACCAGGCTACTGGTAACAGCTTGTTCGGAGCCAGCCTAAATCAACAACAACAACAGCAACAACAACAACAACAACAACAAACGACCGGTGCCTCACTATTCGGCGGTGCACAGCAATCGAATGCGCAAAGCGCGCCTTCTCTGTTCGGTAGTACTTTGAGCGCAAGCGTAAGTTCGCAATCATGAAACGTTCCATGCAGACAGAATGACGCAGCTGACGGAGTTTGCAGAATGCGAATAAACCCTCACTCTTTGGAAGTGCACCGTCGCTGAATATGCAGCCACCTCAGCAGCAGGCTTCACAGCAACTAGGCGGTTCTGTCTTCAGCCCACCTACCGTCAGCGTGGGTGCGCAAGGACACCTCATCCCGTCCGCTTCACTTCAGCGGTTGCAAATGAGTGGCTTCTCGACTGTACCCAACGAACGAAAGATCGCCGATCAGATCAGAACGTTGACCAACAAATGGAATCCACAGGACGGCAACACGTTATTGAAGGCTTACTTGTACAATGCAGTCGACAAGTCATACGCTCCCTTTTTCTACCCAGATGCTCAGTCAGGCGAAGACGAGCAAGGCTGGGAAGAGGCACTCAACCAAAGACCAACCATGCCAAAGGTTGAAGGCGCTGAGGCGACTGCTCTAGCTTTCGTGCCCGTGCTATGTCGTGGCTTCAAAGCTCTTGGCGACAGAGTAGAGACACAAGCCAAAAGCGTGCTCGAAATGCGGAATCGACTCCATGAGATGAACAATTCCTTAAGTGCCGTCATGGACAAGCACCAGCAGTCTATCACTGTTAGGATAGAGAACGCTAAGAGACAACACCAAGTTCTTTCACAACGATGCTTGCATCTGGCTGTCAAAGTGCAAGTACTACGCAACCGCGGCTATGCACTCGACGCTGCAGAGGAAGGGCTGCGCAGGACACTTATCGATCTAAACCAACGAGTGCACGATGACGGTCTATCTGGGCGCGAGGATGAAATTTGGGCTCGAATGGTTGCACTGCGCGAGCGAACACGTTGGCTAGAAGAGGAGGGCAAGAGAGTTGCTGCGCAAATCGATACACAGCAACAGCAGAGGCAGAATGGTGCTGGAAGCGGGGGCAACAACTCCGACTCGATTCCGCAGCACGTTCTCCTCAAGACGCGGAAGATCATGAAGGACTACCACGACCAATTGACGCATTTGAGCAAGGAGTTAGAAGAAGTTACGCAGGAATATGCGCGCTACCAGAGCGCGCAGCGGTGAAAGAGACGGGATGTTCCACATAGCGCTGCTCAACTCCGCCTCCAGCCGTCAAGATTACGAAACTATTTTGAGCATCCTTACGTCTTTCCGAACGATTGACGAATGGCGTTGCCAAGTTCGATTTCATATGGAGTCTTGTGAAGGCACGGTCCCCATCAACATATATAGCGAAGGCGTTGAAATTTTCGTGATTGTCGTTTGGGACACTCTACTGTACACTATCCTTCCACTTCGCCTCTTATGACAACGGCTATGCATTGCTCGGGATGATATCATCTCCAGAATGAACCCTTCTTCGCGGTTGCGCCCAAATAGAATGACATGTGCGAATTCATAACCCCAGCTCTTAATACAATAGTATACACGTCGGTGCAAAAGTCGTAGCCTCTAGAATAGGTTGGTTGCGTATGAGACGACGAAAGGAGCTGCGCGACAGCATCGTCAGGATCGAGATGAGAATATTTCAACCTTCAAAAGATCACGTACAGAAATACAGGACGGTGCACATGCCGACGAAGCCGTATATCGTTGCTCTTGCAAGTGTCTCTTGTGCTCTGATCTCGTCCGCTGAGGGTTGTGGTGGTGCTGTGATTGGACTGTATTAGGATTGCTCGTGGAATTGCGTTGAATCGGCACCTTACCGCCTCCAAACATTATGACGGTATTTTTTCGCTGATGGATGATTAGAAAGTTGATGCGATACTTCGAATGCGATTGCGGTTGCGGATCCGAATTTGTCGTTGAGAGTCTTGACGCTTGTGAGATTCCTTAGAGCATGTGATGAATTGAAGTTGTAATATCCCCGTCACGTGAGCACGGGCCTCTACGCGGAAGTCACCAACGTCGTCCACTTGTATCCTCAATATCAATACGACGAGTTGCCATCTGTTCCCAACAACCATCCTTGGAAACTTTCGTCGAGGTCCAGCGAACAGTGCAAACCGATCGCCAAGATGGAAGACCTTGAGGATCCTCAGGGCGCGCCCGTCACTGGTGCCGTGAATGAGCCTGAAGGCAACAAGGATCCCCGGGATCCGCTACGTCCAGGAATTGACGAAGAAGACAACGCTCGCACGCCGCCGCTGGCCGATCCGACCGCAGATATGGAAGGACGGGAGGACAATGGAGAGCTTGGCATGGGCGACGAGACAGATGGGCAAGCCGCTGCCGATGACGACGATGAACTGGAGTCAGACCTGGAGGAATTGGACGAAGCGGAATTTGAAAACTTTGACGCGTCTGCCGTGAACATCTCGGCCCAGCCGATGCAAGTTGACGAAAGCAACGTGGCTTTGCTGGGTGTGCACAAACGCAAGCGGACTGCGGAGGAGGAAGCTGAACGCGAGAGGAAGAAGAAAAAGAAGGAGCGGAGACGCGAGAAGCCAAAGAGGAGCAAGAAGGCTGCCGGAGACGACGACGATCTCGATCAAGGCGAAGACTTGGATGGGAAACGTGCGAGGAGGAGCAAGCTTGGTCCTGATGGGAGACCTGTCAAGGCAGTGAGAAGACCGAGGACCCCCGAGAATGAGGAGAACCTCACACCAGAAGAGCGTAAGTTTGGACCGAACCGGACTGCAATGAATTGTTGCTGGAACATGACCTCTAACGTGACTGTAGGACGACGTCGTGCTCTCGATCGCAAAATGGAAGATGCGCTCAAGACCAACAGGGTCTCGCGTCGCAAGCAAGCTGTGGTGCTTGAAGAGCGAGCTGATCAAGAGATCGAGGCGATGCGTCAACGCATGGCCAAAGCCTGCGAGATGGACGCTCAAGCGCGCGCCCAAGGGGAAGTCGCGGTGTACAAGCTCAAGATTCTGCCCGACGTGGTGGAGCTGATGAACCGCAACACGATCCAAGCACAACTGGTCGATCCGGACGTGAACATCCTGGAAGCGGTGCGATTCATGCTCGAGCCGGCCGATCAGGACGCCGCTCTCCCCAACTACCAGATCCAGCGCGAGCTCTTCGCCATTCTGACCAAGCTCAACATCGGCAAAGAGGCCCTGAAATCCTCCGGAATCGGCAAGGTGGTCTTGTTCTACACCCGCTCCGTCCAGCCGCAACCCGAGATCAAACGCCAAGCCGAGCGCCTCGTCGGCGAGTGGATGCGCGTGATCCTCGGCAAGAGCAAAGACCGCCGCAACATCTCCGTGGAGACGCGGACCTACGACCCCTCGGTGCAGATCCAGCGCGCTACCGCCCCCAGCCAGGCGGAACAAGTCGCCGCGGCCGCCGAGCGGCGGCGTCGCGTCCTGGAGCCCAGCCGCCCCGCGAACCGCGCTCGTTTGGACAATGCCGGCGTCGGCACATACACCATTGCTCCCGTCAGCAATCTCAGCAATGTGCAGGGCATCGGGGCGAGGAGGCCTGGTGCCGCGGGCGAGGAGGCGTTCCGCAGGATTGCGGCTCGCAGTGCGATGAAGGCCAACGGGACTGGGAGACGATGAGTGCTCCGTCGGGACTCCAGTCCCTCCGGCGCCCACCGCATCGTCCTACATTTTTCTCTTTCGATCTGTTCTCAGAATGGAGTTGTGGAGTTTTCCTCCGGCGTGAATTTCAACGCGGAATTTTGTCTCTAGACCATCATGTACTACCATCATTGTATTCAATGCTCCGTTCAATGCAGAAAGTGACTTTGTGTCCCTGGCGCCCATTTCGCATTGCATTCGCGAGTGAAAAAAAAACCACTCGCCGCGCTGAAAACGTGAAATCCTACTTCGCGAAACAATGGAAAGCGCAGAAAACTCCCCAGAATTGACCACGCCTTCGACCTCGGACCAGAGAGGACGTATTCTACGGAATAGATGATCCCCCCGCACCCTCACAGTCATCCTAGAAATCCTCTCGGGTCCAACCCCTGCACCTCCGCACTCCTCGCCTCCCCCTCGAACACGAACTCGCTGACGAGCTTCCCGCTCGCCGGCCCGTTCTGGATCCCCCAGCACGTGTGGCCCGCCGCGAGCCACAGGCCGGCGACGTGCGTGCGCCCGATCAGCGGCGAGCCGCTGCCGGTCACGTTGGGGAGGTAGCAGGCCTGGCGGGCCGTGACCTCGCCGGCGGCCAGCTCGGGGGAGATGGCGGAGACGAAGTCCACGACGTCCTGGCAGCGCCGCGCGTCGACGGCGACCTCCGCCGTGGTCGCGGGCAGCGCGAGGTCGTGGTCGCCGTCGCCGCACGCGTACACCTCGCCGTGCGGCCGCGCGTAGATCTCCGGCGTCACGATCTGGCCGGCGCGGGCCGGGTTGCGGCCGAAGGGCGACGGGAGCCGGATCTGCGTGAAGAGCGCGTACGCGCTGACGGGCCGGCTGGGTCGGATGGTGACGGAGTGGGCGCGCAGGCCGGTGATCGGGGCGTCGGGGTAGAGGGAGCGGGTCCAGGGGCCGGCGGCGAGGACGATGTCGGTGGCGGGGACGGTCTTCGAGGTCCCGTCGTGTGTGTAGGTGACGCCCGTGACGGTCTGGCCGTCGGGGGCATAGGAGATGTTTGTCACCGGCGCATCCTCGAGGATGCTTGCACCTTTCTCTTTGGCGAGCTCCGCCATGGATGTTGTGAACTGGTAGGGATGGACCTGGGCGCTGTCCGTGGGTGTGCTCATCTCGTCGTAAGTACGTATTCCATCGGGATGAACCCAGTCTAGTTCTGGCGGCACGCCTGCTGCTCGAAGCTTTGCCATTGCCTCATTGCTTCTCTTCTGGAGGCTGACATTCTCCTTGACGTCGCTGTTGTCGCCACTCATGACATCGTCTTTGCCTGCAACGTTCGTCTTGGCAGTCTCCGCAGGCACATCCCGACCGTCACACTCGACCTGCGCACAGTGGACTGCCCGGTAGCCCCATCGCTGCTCTCCGTTGTGCTCTTCGGCGAGTTGCTTGTGGAGCCGGTAACTCAGGGGGACGATGCTTGACGGATATGCCCACAAGGCGAGTAGGCCGCCGGCCTTTCCTGATGCACCACCTGCAATCTTGGTTGATTCTAATAGTGTGATTTTATGCTTGCTAGGGTCGTACGAAGGGTGCCTCGTGAGAAAGTATGCAGATGTGCAACCGATAATGCCACCCCCGATAATCACAATGTTCTTGGTTTCCTTATCAGAAGCCATGGTGGCGAAAGAATTTGTGCAATGGGAGATCTTGAACTGCGTCGAGAAGACGCCAAACGCTCGAATCTGTATCGCCAGGATGCGAATCTATCTATGCGTTATTTTTGTGTGGCAATGGTCGACTTCTGTGAGATTATTTCGAGACGTGGCCGTGGTGGTTGACTACCAGTTGCCACTCGCCGAAGCTAGATCGAAGTTGCTCGGCACATCAATGGTAGACACCTCGGAATCCTGTGTCCATTACGTGAGCTTACGTCACTTGTGCATTACCTACTGGAAACGAATAACTCCTGGAGATCGTCACGACATTTTCCTGCATTGATATCAAAGAGTTGCAGTCTGAACGGGTGTTGCTAATCAAGCTCGACATTTCGGTGGCACGTAACAACCCGTTCGAGCATGTGGGGTCGACGACGACGATTTGGACGTAGTGCGGCTAGCAGGAGAAGCCAATCTTCGGGCACGTAACCAATGTTGAGAGAGATGACGAACAAAACAATGCTGGAGAGAACAGAAGTTTGCTGCATTTGCTTTTTCCTTTTCCTCATCTCGCCACCGCGACTTCCGAATCGCGTGCGACCAGTAGTCTAGTGGCAGATGCCAAATCTAGTCAAGCATGTCATAAAAGCCAGTCCGCGAACGGCGGAATCCAGCCATCGATGCCACAAATGCGCGTTCCAACATAAACTCCACATCCACGCGACCGGCCGTGGTGGAACTCCGCTGATCGCTCCACTCTGACTGTCCATATCCCGCACCCAGAACGACCCGTAAGAGCCAGAAGACGATACGCTTAGAAGCACTTGCGGTGGACGATGGAGGGGCCAGACTCGTCGTACTCTTGCTTCGAGATCCACATCTGCTGGAAGGTCGAGAGAGAGGCGAGAATGGAACCACCGATCCAGACGGAGTACTTTCGCTCCGGAGGCGCGATGATCTTGACCTTCATGCTGGACGGGGCGAGGCCGGTGATTTCCTTGTACATACGGTCGGAGATACCAGGGTACATGGTGGTACCGCCAGACTGGTCAACAAGTTAGCAAAGCCCGTCCTGCGTGTACAAGCCCGTTTGATAAAAAAAAAGCTGGAGACCTACCATGACAATGTTGCCGTACAGGTCCTTGCGAACATCGATATCACACTTGGTGATGGAGTTGAAGGTGGTGACGTGGATACCGCCGGATTCGAGACCGAGGACGGAAGGCTGGAAGAGAGCCTCAGGCGCACGGAAACGCTCGTTGCCGATGGTGATGACCTGACCGTCGGGAAGCTCGTAGGACTTCTCGAGGGTGGAGCTCTGGCTGGCGGTCTGGATCTCCTGCTCGAAGTCAAGGGCGACATAGCAGAGCTTCTCCTTGATGTCACGGACGATTTCACGCTCGGCAGTGGTCGAGAAGACGTAGCCACGCTCGGCGAGGATCTTCATGAGGTAGTCAGTCAAGTCACGACCGGCCATGTCGACACGGGAGATGGCGTGAGGAAGAGCGAAACCCTCGTAGATCGGGACGACGTGGGTGACACCGTCACCGGAGTCGAGGACGATACCGGTGGTACGACCGGAGGCGTACAGGGACAGAACGGCCTGGATGGAGACGTAGAAGGCGGGTGCGTTGAAGGTCTCGAAGACGATCTGGGTCATCTTTTCACGGTTGCTCTTGGGGTTGATGGGAGCCTCGGTGAGGAGGACGGGGTGCTCCTCTGGCGCAACACGGAGCTCGTTGTAGAAGGTGTGGTGCCAGATCTTCTCCATGTCATCCCAGTTGGTGACGACACCGTGCTCGATGGGGTATCGCAGGGTGAGGATACCACGCTTGCTCTGTGCCTCATCACCGACGTATGAGTCCTTCTGGCCCATACCGATCATGATACTATGCTCTTGTCAGAACCGCAGGCCACATCGTGACGAATCGGAAATCCGTGACCTACCCGTGGTGGCGCGGTCGGCCGACAATGGACGCTGCAACGATTGTGAGCCCATGATCTGCGATGAAGATTTATCGAGAAGGGACAACTTACGGAAAACAGCACGCGGCGCATCATCACCGGCGAAACCGGCCTTGCACATACCGGAGCTGCATCGATGTTAGCTTTCCGATTCTCTCGAGTTTCACGTTCGACCGTCTGAGCAGAAGGGCACAGGCGCAGGCTGCACAGATTCCACGGTCGCTCATTCGCTCATTGGAGATCCAGAGGATCCCGTGAGGTTCTTTGAAGTGGCTTACCCATTGTCAATGACGAGAGCTGCGACCTCTTCTATTTGTCGCATCCACGTCAGTGTCTATCTCTTCCGCAGTCGAGCCGTTCAATTCGGTTGCGCAGGTGGTGAAGTGATCCGACGTACCTTCCATGGTGGCGGTGTGTGTGTGAGAAGGAGTGTTGAATAAAAAAGGTGGGGTGTGTGTGTTTGTCGCCTCAGATGAGGTTTGAAGACGTAGACGAGAAGAAGTAAAGAGTTAGGAGGAGGGAGTGAGTGTAGCTGTACGGAGAGCTACAGGTGACAGTGGTGCGGAGGCGATAGTCGTAGTAGAGTACGTCGTCGGGTGGAATATACGAGAGAGAGAGAGAGGGAGAGGGAGAGAGAGAATGGGCGATTGGTAGCGGCAGCAGCAGCAGCAGCAGGAGAACGATAGGGAGTGATGATGAGATCGATACCCTACAGTACAGTAGTAGCTTCTGGGCTGTCTGTGTGTGCGTGTGTGCGTCTGTGGGTTTCCCGGGGGGGTTTTTTGCGGTGAGAAGAGGGCCAAATCCGTGCTGGCAGGCAGGCGGGCGGGCAAGCAAGCAAGCAAGCAGGCAGGCAGTCCAACAAGCAGGCAGGCAGGTCAGGCAGAGGCCAGGTGCGTTGTGGTTGTGTTGTGTGTGCGTGTCAGGCTCCCAGATAATTCCACCCCTCTGTCTGTCTGTCTACCCAGGGTGCCCATTCATGTGTGAGATTGATGATACTGTCCCCTCTGCGGCTCTCTACCTGGATTGGAGCTCTCTCTACTCTCTACCTTGAATTGACCGCCCTCCCTTCCCTGCTTCCTCTTCGTAATAAATCTACAGTCAAAGAACACAGCTATGATCCCTATACCTGTGACCTTCGTCCTCCATGCACAATTGCCCCAAGACGGATTCCAATGGACGATAAGGAGCGTTTCGGGGGCATCAGGCCAGCCAGATTTCGGAGCTGGACAAATTCAGCTGTAGTGAGTGTGCTGAGAGAGTGGGGGCAAAATGTTAGAGGGAAACAAAAGGTCGACCAGCTCAACGCAGCTCGATGATTGGTCGATTCTGGGGGAATTTCCAGGGCCCAGCTGTTTCCGCCGGTCGGGAATGGAATGGAACGCCCTGTCGTCACTTCCTACCAGACCGCCCAGGTGGAGACAGACTTCGATACAGCCCTGGGGGTCCATGGACGCCAGTACACTTGGACATCCCGGAAGTAGGGACGGCAAGCAAGCAAGCAAGCAAGCAAGCAAGCAATCCATCAATACTACAAGTGCCCATCTACTGTAAATAAATCGCCTTGGTACATGTCCACGGGGAGCACTCATCTTCGTCCGCAAGACACAATTGATAACACTCCCGGGCGCCATCTCGACTGGCTATTTCCGTGCTGCGTATTCGCCCGTCGTGCTTCTGCCACAATGCACCCAGCTGCTCAGGTTGTCCACATTCACGCATGCGGCACAGCCGCATCACCATTTCGTCCCGTGTGTGCGAGGATGCCGCCGCGCGGATCTGGCCATTTGCCAAGACTTGCTGCACCTCTGCGGCTTCCCGTCTACACACATGTACAGTACAGTACAGTACTACCTAGGTAGGCACGTACATACAATACACCGCAGGCGCCCAAATATCTCCGTCCGCCATGCGAGATGTCAGGGGTTCGTCACAGCAGCAGCCGCAGCAGCAGCCTGACCCCTGATGGGACATATGTTATTGAACAAATGATTGCGCGGCTCTGCTGTGCCTCCCATCGATAATTTCGTTGCCTGCGTATGTATTTCATTTCGTGACAGTTATCATGCGGCGTTCGAGGGCTCCTTTTGCTCGGTCAGCTCCACAGCGGCCAGGTGATGTGGATTCGGCTGCCTGGGTACGCGCGTCCGAGGTCAGGACCCCCATGACAGCAAACCCAGGACGCGGCGTCATGATGAGATCCACGGATGACAAAGAATGTGAACACGCGAGGCTCCCGTTGGAGTATCCATCCTGCAGTATCTCCAGGGACCCTGGATAACACGATGGACGGATTGGGGGATCACGCACGTGGCACCATCGTGGGATTTCGTCTAGATCTTGGCTCACTACCATCACTAGGCGGACCGGCCGGTTGTTCCGCCTGTGCAGGCGAGCACTCCTGTGTCGAAAAGGTTGGGGATCTCGCTCGTCGAGGCTTGGTTCCGGATGACGATGATGATCATGACAGCTCCGGGCGACAAGCTGCGACTTGTGTGATCTGTAGATCCCTGTCATTTGACAGCTCCCGGAACCAGCATCGCGGGACCCTCCGACTCCGTCCCAGTGATGCCCAACCACGGCCTTGGCGTTGTTAGTTCGACCTGCAATATCTTGTGTCCGCATGCATAGTTGATGGCGAGGCCGCGGTACTCAGACGGACAAGCGCAGTCGAGTCATCGCCATTGTCACTCGGAAGCCTCTCCCATCGATCGATGAAGAAATCCACGTACAATCTATACTCGGAGCTTACGCAACGTCTATTCTATTCGTTTTCTGCGACAATCATTTCACTCATATACAATCTTCAGATCGTCATCAAGATGTTTGTTTCAAAGGGTTGGGCATGGCAGCCTTGACGAAGGCATCATCCCCCGAGTCGACGCCCGCCGGCTTCGACACCAACTTCGATCGTAATTGCTCCATCGGCAACGTCCACTGCGCCGGACTGACCATGGCCGCGTCCATGCCCTTCTCATAGAACCCTCGGAAGGCCTCGACATCGGGTCCTGTCGCCTTCTCGTAGACCTCGCTCAGCCGATACCGCTCGCTGCAGAAATGGGACGAGATGTAGCCATGGATATAGCATCGGATGGTCTCGCCGACTTTGGGATCTCGGCCGGCGACCACGCCCAGCAGCTGCTTGCATGCGTGGATCGATTGTTCGGTCAACCTCTGTAGCGCTTGCTGTTGGTCGATGCCGTCGGTGACACACCAGTTGGAGACGAGGTTCGCCTCGTACTTGTCGAATTCCTTGTAATAGGAGAGCAGGTCATTGACCAACGTCACCACACCATCCATGTGGGCCGTGACGCAGGTCAATTCCTGGAACAGCTCTTTCTGATTGAAGTCGCAGGCTGGAAACAACGTCCCGGCCACGACTCCGCCGAGGCCGTTCATCCGCCGCAGAAACCCCGGGAAGCTCCCCGCGCCAGGATATCCCTGAAACGAGGATTCCTCGATCCAGCAACCCTGGAAGAAGTCAAACGTGCTCCGCATGATGTTCCATGCTGAAAAGGGATCGTAGTGTCTCAGGAGGTTCGGCAGGCAGTCGTTGAACAAGACCCACATGGGGTGTTTCTGCTCCTTGCCTTGCAGGAGATCGGTCCAGAACGTCGATAGGACGTCCGATTCCAGGCTGATGGGATGGTCGTCCAGGATGGCTATGACGGTCAAGAAGGTGTTGATGTCGGTCAAGATGTTGACCGGCACCCGACTCCAAGCGGACACGACCAATTCGGGCATGACCCGGGTCAACGTCAAGAGGCGTTGGGGATTGACTCCCTCCAGAGCCCGCTGCGGCAGAGGTCTGGAGAAGTGAGCGACCGTGCCCGCATGGATGGTTCGTAGGGCTTCGATGCGGTCCTGACGATCCCAATTCGTGTCATGATATTCGACTGCATGGAGGAGACGCACAATCGACGAGCAGTAGTCGCTCGTGGGAAAACCTGATTGGTCCATGATGCTTGCAGGATTGAGGATTGTTTTTTCCGTGTAAGCGGGTGGAGGGATTGTTGTGCTAGACTTGCGATCTTGACAACCGTTCGCAACGCTTTTATATATCAGGCAGAGTAGCTGGATATCATTCCGGGTTGCCTGAGATCGTTCATCGTATCACGGCTATCTGGAAGGATGTTTGCGCGACCTTTTGATCATAACCACTCTGGAACCGCCCCGAGCATGAGCTTAGACATCTCAGCCTCGCGTCAGCCCCCCACCCTCTGGTTATCCGGCAGTGATAGGGGACATTCAGGCCTTCGGCAGTTCGGACCCCAACGACATTGAGCTTGCATATGTCAAAGAAGGCGTGAGGGGTTAGGGCAAAGTCTAATAATAATAGTAATATGGTTTGGAAGGACAGAAGATGGATTTGAGCCCCCTCCAACTAGGACTCGTTCCTATTTACACTGCCACACGGCCCGATCAGTTCTGAGATGAGGTTGTCGCTTGTACACAAACAGATGTGGCGGTAATCCATGCATGGCACGGGAATCATGCAACAGGAGAGCGCCATGTTGTCGCTGCCGGTCCTTCAATTCCAGACGCGCGATTTGATGCCTCGTTATGGGCCGAAGTATACTCAAATTTCGCGCACGCCCCGCGATGCTGTGTGTCAATACAACGTCATAATGCCGGAAATTCTATTTGGGCGGGTAAATCTCTCTGTCTATGCTACATGTAAGAGTCTATACCACCGCCGACATGGTTCCGATAATGTTCAGATGTCGTAGAGATACGAGTCAGGCTATGCTTTTGCAAGGTCCACCATTCAATACCATGGTGCAAAATCTCAAGTCGAGACAGGAATATACATGTCACGCTTGATGTTTCTTGACGAAGCTGCTAGAAACAGCTAGCGACTTCATGTGGAATTTCTGTACTCGGATCATCAAACCGCGCCGGGCATGAGAGACATGATATGACTGTTTATGTGACCGTAGTGACCCCATGGCACAACCCACCACATCTCTGCCCCCATAAAATTCATCTCCTTACTAAACAAGTGAGTCGTCGAACTTGAAGTTCCGTCGCGTGGAGACCCACATCCAAGCCGACATCCATCCATCCATCCATCACCATGGCTGGCTCCCTCAACAACCTCCTCGCGTGGTCCACCGCAAACTCCGTCGCACCCCAAGATGGATCCGCTCCGGCATCGAGCACTCCCTCCTCCGGCCTCAACGCCGAGATGCTCGCCGAGCTCCTCGGCGGCCCGTCCGACGCCGACCGCATGCGGGACGCCATGAGCGCCATCACCCTCCCGCTCGAGCAAGTCTCGCTGGAGAACAAGCTGATCGCGTGGGACAACCTGGAGCAGCTGATCGAGCAGATCGACAACGCGAATAACATGGACCCCATGGGCCTCTGGCCGCCCCTGCTGCGACAGCTGGAGAACCCCGAGGCCGAGCTGCGCCGTATGGCCGCGTGGTGCGCCAGCACCGCCGTCCAGAACAACGTCAAGGCCCAGGAGAAATTCCTCGCCGAGGGCGGCATCCCCAAGCTGGTGAAGCTCGCGACCGAGGATCCGGTGCAGAGCGTGCGGAAGAAGGCGATCACGGCGTTGAGCAGCGCGGTGAGGAATTTCCAGCCCGGCCTGGACGAGCTGGAGCAGAGTGTCCCCGATGCGATCTGGACGAAAAAGCAGGGGTTGGATGCCGCGGACATGGAGGCGGTGGATGAGGTGATTTCGGCGTTGAGGGATCATTCGGCATCGAGGTCGTGAAGATCTGGGGTCGGCATGTGTTACGAACTTCTAGACGACGAAATGTTACAATGGAATATTTTTGATGTGACCACAGCTCAAGAGCTTGCAATTGTCATCACATTGTACTGGGTATGAGAACAGGATAACGTTTTGTTTCCAATAATTATCTCCCGAATCCCATCTATCGCTCTACCGCTCGACATGAAAGTAATGATGATGATGATACATGATATGCTCATACGCCGCGCACCTTGCGATAACTCGGCGGCCGGACGGTACGGCGGATCAATTTCGCCGCGTACACCGGCACCAGACTGGCCGCCGCGATCCCGGCCACTCTCCACCAGAAGCCGAGTGAGACGACGAACTTCAACGAATAGTAGCTCCCCAGGAATGGCAGACTGCCGAAATAGATGGCGGCCGTGCCCAAGATGCTGAAGATCATGACCGGGTGCCAGGTGGTGATCTCCGCTGCCACCATGACAATCTCGTTGATGATCAGCACCGTGTACGAAACGGCCACCATGCTCTTGAACCCTTCCGTCTCGAGAGTGGAGGTCCCATCGGCGGCGGCTCGGGTGGTAAATCCTGGCACAAGTAGCTCCGAGCCGCCTTGGATGATGAGTCCCTGGTAGATGGAGATTCCCACCCAGATGAAGAACGTCCGGTAGCTCAAGTTCCGCCCGGTGGTAAGCTCCTTGTACAGCTCGGGGTAGAGATTCGCGAGGCCTTCGTCGACGTCGCGATCGAGCACGAGGCTGAACACAGGCATCATGGTGTAAACTGTCGCATACCCGACGAGCAGCCAATCCCGGTAAAGCGCAATCGGCTCGAAGTCGGATGCGATGCTGAATACGGTCTGACAGATGGCGATGATCAGACCGCGGTGGATGACGAATTGTGCCAGCTTGGCGCTGCGTTTGTAGCTGTTCCGTCCATGCCAGACGAGCAATTTGGTCAGATGCGCGAATTGTGTGATGCTGAAATCCGCTGCGAGTGAAGCCTGTCGGCCTTCTTTGCCAACAATGCCAACGCCCACGTCCGCCGCTTGGATCATGCTGACGTCGTTGCCACCGTCACCGATGCAGGCCACGCGCTTCTTGGTGTAGGCACGGATGAGATGCGCGACGTCGGCTTTCTGCGTAGGCGAACATCGGCATGCTATGACCGCCGGCAGCGTGACGGCCAGAGAGATGAAAGCATCCCGATGATACTGCAGGTAAAGAGCTAGGGACTGTCCATCGATCAATAGGGCAGCATTTGGCTGTGTGTCCAGCATGCTCAGCGCTTCCAGTGCGGCTTCTCTTCGCTTCAGGCCTGCAATTGTGTGGATGTACTGGCCTCGGCTGACCAGCTTGGAGGAAATGGCAACACAGCGAGCGGTCTCCACCTTGTCACCCGTGAGCATCCAGATCTTGATGCCGGCGTTTCTCAGCAGCTCCAACGAAGGTTTGACATGCGGCTGGAGCTTGTCTTCAACGCCCGTCACACCAAGCAGCTCCAGGTCGTTCTCCAAATGCTGCTTCACAGCTGCCGCCATGTTTGCGTCGCGGCCCGACAAGCTCATCGCCGCTGCTGCATGAGCCGTCGAGAATGCCACGTATTGCTGTTTGCTCAGGTTTTTCCGGCCGACGACCAGTGTCCGGAGGCCCTCGCGTGCCATGTTGCCCGTTTCTTCGTCGAGCCAATCGTTTGCTGCAACAATCGTGGTCATGACGGTGTCTGCACCTTTCTGGAAGAACACAATCTCTCCATCCTCATCCTTGTCGACGCTAGCGTCGCGCACGAAGCGGACGATGATACCCATGCGTTTACTATCGCTGGTGAACGGAAAGACGTTCAGGATTTCTACCTTGACCGCTAAGCGCTGATCACCCGTGAACTGTAGCGAGATGCTTTTGCGATCTCGATGCGCAAGGCGCAAGCCAACCTGCTCCGTCCATTGTACGATGGCGATCTCGTCGGGTGAAGAGGCTTGATAGGAGATGACAGGCGTCCCATCCTCACCCTCTTCCATAGTGGGAGTCACATTGTGGCAGAGCGCGAGTGCCAGGACGAGATCACGAACTCGAAGACCAATCTCTCGTCTTGTCCGAGTTGAGCCTCCGAGAAAGTTGGTCGCCGTTGATGGCGAGAACAAATCGCTTGCACCAATTTCTACTCCTGCCGCAAATGCTTGCTCGACGTAGCTGCTGACTTCCTCCATGGCTTCGCCGCCATAGCTAACAGTTCCAACGTGGATCTTCTTCAGTTCCATTTCATTTCTCGTTAATGTTCCGGTTTTGTCGCTCAGGAGGTATTCGATTCGGCCAAGATCCTCCGGGATGGTGCTTGTCCGAACAATAGTGCCGGGAATGCCTGGATCGCGATGAATTTGCCACGCGTATACACTCTTTCCCATATCCAGATTGACCCGCAAGGAAATAGGCACAATGCTGCTGAATAAGACTAAGAATCGCATGGCAGCTAGATACCAGGCCTGGTCGCCGTGATCTTGGTAACCTTCTAGCGCTACTAACACGATGCTTAGTGCTGCCGTTAAGAAACACAATATCTTAGTGAGCGAATTGATTTCGTATTCCAGCAGACCAGTCTTTGATCTTGAAGGCGAGGTGGATAGTGCTGCCCGAGTCTGCGATCCGGTGTACACAACGACCGCGTGGACCGTTGTCGAAGATGCCAGCACTGTGTTAGCCCACGCTGTGTGATCAATGTTCAGAGGACTGGATGGACCCGATGAGGGAGATATAGTCCCTGCCGCCGAATCATATGGCGCGTCGTTACTAGCAGCAAGCTCTATTGTTCCGACAAAATCGTTGACCTTTTTGTCTGGTTTGCCTGCAACGATTTGAAGCCGCACATACTCGCTCACAGGAAGATTCTGGGCAACTGGCGATGCCAAACGAAGCTTCCAGTCGGTTTCACCATCAAGCTGGTCAGTGCGAATGAAAGCTTCGCCGCCGCCTCCCTGTTCCGATTCCGAAGAGGTCAACGGGCCACCAGAGCTTGCCCCAAGGTCGGCCTCTGATGAGGCGCCATCGGGTGCTGCATGTCTTGTTGGAATTGATGCCTCCGTGGCGAAGCTTTTAAGCAACACTACGTCGGCGGGTACTCTTTGATCTTTCCCGAGTACTAGAACGTCTCCAACCTTGAGATCCCGAGATGACTTTAGAATTTCTGTGACGCGCGAGCTGCAGCTACTCTGGGCTGGACCCTCTCGTGATTGCAAATTGCCATTATTGTCCTCTGTTACTGCCCTGCGCTTGCCTTTCTTTTTCTCCGACAATCCCGAATCCCTGAGCGTCGCCGCACTCTCACGAGCACTGCGCAGAGCAGCCTCACTCCGATCGAAATGTAACACAGTGTATGGCTCACTGTTTGCTTCGTTATCCCTTTTCCGCCGGTACACATCATCGTAAGCCTCCTTTCCCAGAGTGATGCACAAGACAAACGCCAAAGGCGCAATATATGTCAAGAGATAGCCAACGCGCAGAGCCGGGATAATTTGGGACAGGGCGACCAGCAAGAAGTACATGTTGAAGAAAAATTTGAACTCATTGAATAGAGTCACAGGTATGAACGACCATGGTGTGTATTTGGCGTTGGAGACAGCGTTGAGGGGAAATCGGGTCGGTTGTTTCTGCCCAACACTTATGGTTCTGGTTGCTGTTGGATCATGCTCCTCCTCTAGGTCGTCATCGTTATTGGCGAGTGCAGAGGGAAGTGAGATCGCCCGCTCCTTTTTCGTAAAGGGAAGGTATGACTTCAGCTTCTGCATGGGTCCGCGGCGCAAGTCTGCCTCTGATGTTCTGCGATGCCTCACACCCATATTGCGAGTTCTCGACGCTCCGCTTCCGTATGCTGTCTCATTCTCCACCAGGCCCTGCAACTGTTCTGCATCCGTCTCGTCATCGTACCGGTTGGTTCGGCGACCGGCAAAGCGAAGATTCTGAAGTGGTATGCGCCGGCCGAAATCAACGGGGTTCCGGATATTCGTAGCAGTCGTTAATGTTGTTTGAGGGTCTAATTCGTCAAGGTCGAGATCGGAGTCATGATCATCTTCGTAAGTTTTGTCGTATCCGTCAGGATTACCTGGCGATCGCCGGAAACCATTTGGCACCGACATGACGGCATGTGAATAAGATGTTCAGCGGCTTCGTATCCGGGGTCATGACGGGGACGATCGTCGCAAGCTCTCGGGTGCTTTCTCGTGCTCACATGGGCTGTGGAAATTGCTGGCGTGGATCAGGATACAACATCCGAGCAGTACGATGCCGTTCAATGAAGGTTGGGCCTACTGAGTATGCGACATGTCTGTATGATATCCTCGAAGCCCTGCCTGGCTGCTCGAGCTCCATGGACAACTTTCATTACGCAATACGCAAGGCACGTGCCCGTACGGTAGAGACTTGACCCGGCTGGGCAGAAATTCATAGTCGCGTTTCCCCAGTCGCGTCAGAAGGACATTAATTGTGACCCTTTCATTAACTCCGGCAGGCCTTCTCCACCGCGGGTTCGGCGTTAGCTTTCCCTGTCCTGTTCAGCCGGTGCGCTTCTGCAGCGTCCGTGATGGTCTAGCTGGCTACATCTCGGCACATCCATTTACATCATCATTGACGCGTGGAAACCCATTGCGCAAACTCGACATGGCCTGTGGAGGAGACACAAATCGATCACCGAATTAATAATATCATAGAATGCGACCATGAGCGACATTGATCACCAAGACTCCGGCGGTGCCTCCGCACCCGGCGCGGTTGCGACTGCCGCGGCAACTTCAGTCGCCAACCTATCAAAATCTCCTGCGACGTCGCACGCGGGCAACGTCGAATCCCAGAGGAAAGCCGCAGACGAGGCTGATGAAGAGGCAGACGATGATGATGAAGATGAAGACGACGAAGACGAGGACGAGGACGAGGATGACGAAGATGAGATTGAGGAGGATCAAGATCGCAATGACCACGCCCCTGATTCATCCAAACAGCGCAATGTGAAGGCATCGGCAGGTGGCGAAAATGCTCGTCAACATTTGGAAGCTGCGCAAACTGTCAGCGATGAAGAAACATCCATTTTCTCGCCAGAGGACGATGCGCACGACCAGGAATTGGAAATGGAGGAACGAATGCCGGACACGGCACCGCTAAACGATAGATTAGAACGCTCTGAAACGATATCTTCTGGAGTTGACGTCCGCGATGCTGCTGGCGCCTATGAGCACCAGGGCGAAGTTACTGAACTTGAAGAGGCTATTGAATTGGCACCAACTGCTCCACTCATGCTTGACCAGGAGCCGCAACCGGTCGTGAGTGAATCGATCGCAGAATCTGGAGTGTCTGTTATCGAAGAGGATGCGGTGACCGAGCATCAGCAGGCACAGGTCAAACGCAGCTTCACCACCAACTTCACGGAAAACACCACTCTCGATGATGTAGATCAGGAGGACGAGGGTGCCCCACTGAATAGCGATGACTGGCCCGCTGTCGGAGACGACAAGACTTTTGGTGAACTTCTCGACGACAACAATAGGGTACCGGGAGACGCGAAAGCCCAGTCTGCTATACCGGTTGATGGCGCGCAGGACAACTGGGGTACTGTTGGTGACGATGACACATTTGGCGAACTATTAGGCGGCGGGCAAGGAGACTCGAAAGCGCCAATATCCCAGTCTGGAAATGAAGAAGACGAGGCGGCTTTGTGGTCTGCTGCATTGGACGACGAGCTCTTGGAGGAAACTGAAGACTTGGACCCATCTTTGTTTTTTGGTGATGATGACGAGGGATTTCTTGATGATGCTGCACTAGATCCGATCCCGAGTGTACAGGCGCAGCCACAATCTCAAGCAAACCAAAGCTCATTCCCTTCGACTGGAGATGTTTCCCGAGTCCTCGGAAATGCGCATGGACGGTCCTCCGGCACACCTCAGACCGGTCTATACGATTTATACGGCCAGCAGCAGCAGCCCAAGGCACGACCGGAAGTCTCCAACGCACAGAGCTTTTCCGACAAAGCAAAGGGAGGATACCAGTCTCCTTATGATTTACCAATGGATGTCGTCAAACCTCGGCAGAGACCGCGCCAGTCACTTACACCAGCCGCGCAGTCTTCGACACCTGTCCCGCCCCCTAGGACCAGCAGTGTGTCATCCTCGTCAGGCCCGCCCGCAATCTCCCGCCCTCCAATGGGGTCCGCACCGCCATCGTCTACGCCTAGTACGCAAGGAGCCGCCAGTTCGGGACCGACTGCCAAAGGTGGGGATGCCTTCTTCGCAGACCTGCCCGTAACAGTGAAGCCTCGTGGAAGACAATCGAGCTCTTATGTTCCGCAAACCCAAGGTTCTCCTGCGACATTTGGAACACCTCGTTATCAACAACCGCAGGAGTCGATGGGGGCTCAATACGCAGGGTTTTCACGTCCAGATCAGCTTCCACTGCTGCCTGATCAGCCCACAGCGGTCCCCTCGATACCATCTCAGATAAACGCCGGACCTCCACCGAATTCACGATACTCGCCAAACAGTGCTAATCGCGCCCCGGCGAACAATCGCTTCTCGCCAGCGCCACCTCCAGGCCCGGCTGCTGCATCTCGTTACTCGCCCGCGCCTGCCGCAGCGACAAATGCAAAGCCCGGTCAGTCGAAACGGCAACCTAGCGTGGGTGCTATCCAACAAGCCCATGCATTCCTACCTCGCACAAGCAGTCCGTTAGCCTTCCAGTCTGAACGACACCACCCTAATGCATCCTCGGCAACACTGCCATCCTCACCACCGCAAGACTTCGGCCTTCGCAGTCCCGGAACTCCTGATAGGGTTGTCAACTCAAAATATTCGCCCCTCGAGACTCCCGGGACGCTTGGACCAGCCTTCGGATCTGTTGGCAGCCCGCCGGTGAGATCAAGACCTCAGTCTCCCTCCACGGTTGTGAAAACGGCAAGATATACTGCACACTCGAGCGTTCCGCATCCCGCGTCTTCTCGTCCCACTGTGCTGCCTCCCAGGCAGCAATACTCTAAAGATCTGACATTTGTCCCGCCGAACGATGATCGCATTCGAGATCCTCTGGAGAGGTGGAAAGGTCACCCGATATTCAAGTGGTCTGCCTCGGGAACCATGATAAGCAGCTTTCCCGTACAGACTCCCTTCTACTCGGCTGGCCAGGGCGCACCCAGCATCAAATGTACACCTGGCGCTATCACACTGCAGAGCGCCAATTCCCTGATCGTCCTGGATGAACGCCACAGCAAGTATCCTGGACCGCTCCCTGCCCGTGCAAAGGGCAAGAAGAAGGAGGTTCTGCTTTGGATGACAGGCAAAATTGAAGATCTTACGCGGGCGGCCGAGAGCGCAAAGTTGGACTTCCAGACTGATATTGACATCAAGCAGCGGACCGAGGAAAAGCTTGTCTTGTGGAGAATCATGAGGGTTTTCGTGGAGCACGACGGCTCATTGGATAATACCCCGAAAGTCGCTGAAGAAGTGCGGAACATTCTTCTACCGAACATTGCCGACATCAAGCAAAGCCTTGAACTATCGAGTCCTCAAGCAACCACCACTGCGTCATTGACAAGCCCGTCCTCGGAGAGAGCGGCCATCATGGAGATGCGACAGGCGCTCTTGGAAGGCCAAAGGGAACGTGCTGTGTGGCTGGCAGAGGAGAAGAAGCTTTGGGGTCATGCAATGCTTATCGCCTCGACTATGGGTCAAGAGACGTGGAAGCAGATTGTTCAATCCTTCGTGCGCTCGCAAGTCAAATCTGTCGGTAGCGATGCGCGCAGCCTGGCGGCCTTGTACCAGGTGTTTGCTGGTAATGCGGAGGAATGTGCTGACGAATTGGTGCCTTCTTCCGCTCGAGCAGGGTTCCAGATGATCTCAAAGGTAGACGGGAGTGTGCATGGCAATCCACTCGAAGGCCTCGACCAATGGCGCGAGACACTTGGCTTGGTTGCGGGAAATCGCACTCCCAACGATGGGCAATCTCTGCTTGCCCTTGGCCGATTGCTGGCGTCCTACAACCGTGCAGAGGCAGCTCATACCTGCTATCTCTTCGCTCGCAGCCTGGTCAAGCACAATGGCGTCGACGACCCTGAAACCCATTTCGTGCTGCTCGGTGCTAACCACACTGGGCCGGAGTCAGCTCTCCTTGGTAGTGACCTCGATTCTATCGTCCTGACAGAAATCTACGAGTGGGCATCGTCTTTGAGTGCGCCTGCCAACGCTGTGCACTATGCTCCGCATTTCCAGGCTTTCAAGCTCATCTACGCCCAGGCACTTGCGTCGCATGGACTGAAGAGCAAAGCTCAGTCATATTGCGATGGAATCGGTGCCGCAGTCAAAGCATCAGCCCGTGGTTCGCCATATTATCACCCTGTTCTCCTACAATCGGTCGATGAGTTCAGCGCATTCCTGTCACAAACACCGCAGAGTGGTGGGCAAGGCTACTTGACCAAGACCGCCATGAATAAATTCTCATCTGGAGCTGCAAGCTGGATCACCAAATCTCTGTTGGGAGATGACGAACGAGAATCCGCTGCTGGCAGTGGTGGTCCTGGTGGAGAAGATATTAGCGGCCCATTCGGAAAGGTCAATGGTGATTCACCTACAATCAGCCGTACGGTATCAAACACTGAGCTGTACAATCCCATGGCGGCGATGAACGGCGGCTACCAAGCAGCTTCGCCTGCACAGCCTCAGCAATATCCACCGTCTGGCGCAACTGGCAGGTACGCGCCCAACCATGGCGCGAGCCGTTACGCCCCGTCTGTCGCAAGCAGCGTCAGCAGCATTCCTGAGGCATCACGGCCACAAGGCTACCGGTCCCATACGGCCGGGCCATCGATCCAGGAGAGCCTCCGCTCAGATATCGGCAGTTCATATTCACCATCTGATCCCGGGCGACCATATTCATCCGACTCGAGACAAGCGGATTTGCAGGATCAGCCCTACGGAGCATACGGTCAGCAATACCCCAGGCACCAACAGCCGCCCGTGGCAGAAGAAGACGAAGCACAGGATGCATTCTCGCCGCCGACTGGTCTAGGACTTCGCAGTGGATCAATCGCAGAGGATGAACCGTTCGCATCGACAGGCGGTGGGTACGAGCCGCCGACCAGCGGCTACGAGCCTCCATCGTATCAGCCGTACGAGCCGGAGCCGGCGCAGCCCAGCGACGACGAAGCCGCACCGAAGCCCAAGAAGAAGAGCTTCATGGACGACGACGACGACGATGATCTCGCCCAGCGCGCCGCGCAAATGAAGAAAGCCCAAGCCGACCGCGAAGCCGACGAGGCCTTCAAAAAGGCCGCCGAGGCCGACGCCCAACGGGACAAGACCAAAACCTCGGACAAGCGCAACAGCGGCTGGCTGAGCGGCTGGTTCAAGAAGGACGGGGCCGACGGCCAGCAGCAACAGGGGCCCATCCGCGCCAAGCTCGGCGAGGAAAACTCCTTCTACTACGACGAAAACCTCAAGAAGTGGATCAACAAGAAGGGCGGGGCCGACGCCACCGCCGCCGCCTCCGCGCCCACCCCTCCGCCTCCCCGCGCCGGGCCCCCCAGCCGCCCCGCCAGCACCGTCGGCGGCCCCCCCTCGCGCGTCGCAAGCGGCTCCATGTCCATGCCCATGCGCCCGCCGACCTCCCACTCCATGGGACCCCCGGGCTCAATCTACAGCTCGACCCCGCCCATCGACGGTGGTGCAGGGGGCGGACCGCCCTCCGGGCCCCCCTCTCGCGTCGGCACCCCGGGCTCCGTCATGGGCGGCGGCGGAGGAGGCGTCCCCGTGCCCGCGGCCGTCGCCGCGCTGAACCCGGGCCTGGCCTCGACGCCGCCCTCGCGGCCCTCGACGACGATGAGCGCGGACAGCCAGCTCGACGACCTGCTGGGCGGACCGTCCGGGCCGAGGAAAGGCGGGGCGGCGGGCGGGGCGAAGAACAAGAAGAAGGGCAGGGGCTACATCGATGTGATGGCGAAGTGAGCGGATGTCCCGTCCGTCCGTGTATGTCCCTATCTGTCTATCTGTCTCTCCCCGATGCCGATGTGATCTGTCAGGGGGGGGGGCTTTCGACAGAAGATGGAAGTCCTGTTTTTTTCTCTCTTCTTTCCTGTCCTTGCTTTTCTTGGGATTTAATGATATGTGTATATGTATCTTTCGGGGGAATCGGGGCCGGTGTCGGGCTGGGCGATATGGATATCCCGTTTCGTTCCGCTCTTCTTTGTCCCCATGTGCGAGAACGCACTTGTGAGTGGAGATCGGGAGCCATTCTTGGACCGTGTGTGCATTCCGCTGCTGCTGCGGTGGTGGTGGTGGTGGCGGTGTGGTGTGATGTGTACATATAGTCTTCCACTGAGAGCAGCCAGCGGGGCAGAGAAGGGGAACATGGGGGTTTCGTTGGGCATTTCCCGAAAATAAGAAAGCATGTTCTCTCTCCGGCGGTAAATCATCATGTTTGAACTCTAGAGAGCCGCATCTACGGATCGACGTGACGGGGGTTTCCCGCATAGCTCCTTTCTCCCCTTTGTAAAGAAGAGAGATGGAAAACCGTGACGGGAACGGAAAAAGAAGTTTTTCAAACGACATCTACAAATTATTTCATGAACCTCCTACTCATCGTCCAGCCTTCCCCTCACCTCCTCCTCCCCCCTCTCCCACCGACGACGACGGCAGGCTCCGGACCCCGCCCTCCCAGATCTCAAACGGCACCCGCCCCTCCGCGCCCCACGCGCTGAAGACGACCCGGCAGGAGCGATCCCAGCGGTCCAACTCCTTGTCCTCGCCGGCGAGGTAGGCCCGATCCTTGTAGACCGGGGATTTCAGCAGGGCGATCCGCGCGGAGAGTTGGTTGGTCAGGGCGAGGCCGAGGCTGGGGGTCTTGAGGTCGGTCGAGGAGGGGTCGTCGCCCCAGCCGGTGAAGAAGCGCTGCTGGTGCTCGAGGGAGAGGGGGTCCGCCGTCGACAGTTGAGGTGGAGCAGCAGCAGGAGCAGGAGGAGGGTCGGTCGTCGTCGTCGTCGTCGTCGTCGCACGGCCGAGTGACCGCTGGCTGGACGTCCGCATGACCTGCTGCGGCTGCTGTGATGAGGGTTCGATCGGCGCGAAGCGGTCGGCGACCTGGTTGGCGACGACGACGGTGATGTTGTGTTTGCGGGCGATGTCGCGGAGCGATTTGGCCGTCTGGGCGATCTCCTGGCTGCGCTGTGCGAGCGTCTCTGCGCCTCTCTGGGATCTCGCGCCTGGGCCGCCGCCTGAGCCGCCGCCTTTGTCGAACTCGGCGCGGTAGTTGGCCGCGATGCTGTCGACGATCACCAGGTTGATGTTGTGCTTGGCGATCGCGACGGGCACCTGGAAGTGCAGGATGTGGTCCTGGGCGACGACGTCGTGGACGTGGGTGCTGTGGATGCGGCCGAGGGAGGGACGTCTCTCGGGCGGAAGGGCAGCGAGCTTGGGATGCTGCTTCAGGATCTGTGCCAGACGGGTGGTCTGGAGCGGTGCCTCGGTGGATATGTAGAGCGCCGAGCCGGGCGCTGCGTCCGATGGTCCCCCATCGTCTGTGCTCTGCAGTTGGGATGCGAGTAACAAGGTCAAAAGGAATTGAGTCTTTCCCGCAGCACTAGGGACATCGTGTCAGTCATGCGTGAACCCGATGTATTTGGGATTTATGATGTACCTCTCGCCTACGACCTCGATCAGATGACCGGGGAATAAGCCACCGGCGAGCGCCGCATCAAGGCCATCGTCGAGGGTGCTTATGGGGTTCGTCCCGATGGTCGTGGTGGGAGCGGTCGTCGAGGCATCTGGAGCAGAGGCCGAAGCGGATGCATCGCGGTGCAGGGCGGAGATCAGGGCATCCGTGAGCTTCTCGACTTCCCCGGGCGGGACTTGAGCCCGCTTGGCGACGTGGACGGCGTCGAGGGTGAGCAGATCGACGACGGCGACGCATGCGCGTTCTATGGACGGGATGATGTGGGAATACGGCGAGAGGTCGAAGTCTGGCAGGACCGCCAAGAGATTGCTCATGGGGAGGGAAGACGAAGATGGAGGAGGAGGATGTGCATGGTCTGGTCGGACACGGCTTCTTCGTCGTTTCCTCGAACGCGTGTAGTGTATTTCAAGGCGATGATGATGATGGTGGTGGTGGTGGTGGTGGTGGTGAGGGATGTCAACGCTCGGGATATATATGCTGGGCGATTCCTCCTGGTGTGTCCAGCACTGTACTGCTGCTGCTCTCACTCGTCGTGGCGTGGAGAGGAAGTTGGTTGTTGATGTCCACGATCATTACACTACATACCTAGGCATCATGAAATGGACGGAGCCCGCCCATCTACTGTACCTATTAAGGAGGGATACTGTATCTACAGTAGGGCTAGTGCATCTACGGCAGGTACATACACATGTGGGAGGAATCCTCTTCGGTGAACGAACTGCTTCCCACATGTACCTATTACCTACCAGGTAGATATGTATGTATGTGTGTATGTATGTATGTGTGTCTGTATGTATGTATGTCTGTGCAGGCAGGGACGACACCGATCCCCGCTGCAGCCGTGCAACTTTTGCGTATATGCCCACCTCACCTCACCTTGGGGGTATCCATAGACTATACCAGCTCACCCGGTGTATTCACTCGTCACTCCTTGTCCCCCGATCGATGCAGGCGCCGATGTTGTCATGATCATTCCTGCTGCACGCCAGCTAGTGATATATTCCCCGAACCCTGGACGAAACCCGGAGTGTAAACAAATCTCGCCCAGACCAAACTAAACTGCACCTACCCATACCACCTATACCACCACCTAGGTAGGTATGTTGGATGTTGGATGGCTGCAAGGGACATTCACATGGTGGATTGCGGAATCCTGCATCCGCAAATCTCCATCCATCCATCCTCCCATGGACATGGCTCTCTGCGGCAGATGCGGAACTCTCCAGCATCTATCATCATATAGACATGTCCAGCAGTGTCTAGGTGAATATCCAGACGATTTGCCAACCAATGGGCGGACGGGGCGGAACAGTCGGTCCATTTTGATGGACCGCCGACTGCACCAGATCCATACAATACATACCTAGGTACGTACGTATATGGAGGATAATTGTTATTATCATGACTATCAGCAAGTGAACAAACAGAAGAGATGGATGGGATGGAGGGCATAGTACCCAGTAATTAGTACAGTACAGTGATACAGTAATAAATAACTATGAGGCATACATACTGCCCAGGTGGACTATCAATCCAGGCCAAGCCCCCGTCTGTTCCCCCGCAATCTCTAGGCGAAAAGGGCAGCTGCTGGAGTGCGCCGCCGTTCGTGTGATGAGCATTGAAGGGGAGCGGCGGGGGACATGTGACGATGCTGCTGTCGGGCGGGCGGTTTCTACTGGAATAAAGTTCATCGTCAGGGATTATTACTACAGTGTGTGGTGAAAAGGACGTCATCTTCTCTTTCTCCCGTACGTCACATGCCTTTTCCTGTCTACACCTCCAGTAGTCTCGCTTCCCTCATCATCACCATCATATCACCACAACAACAACAACAACAACAACGACGATTGGAGCAGAGACGGGAGGGAAGAGACACACAGTACATACACACACAGACACAGTACACACACACAGAGGAGGGATGCGCATTCATCAGTGGGAACATGGACATGATTGATATGTAACAATACATACATGCACACCTGTGCGCATCATCCCTCTGTCTGCACCGAGGGAGGCCGTAGGAGACGACGCTTCGTGCTGTTCCTATAGCCGCTATAGTAGCCCCGTCAGGCTCGAGTCCGATTCTCACATGTAGTAGCTATGCATATATGTACACGCCGGATGAATCTATATAACAACCTCTGCACCCTCCTCCTCCTCCTTGTCGGTTACATTTCCTCGTTGTTATTATCCATTCGACTCCGTGTGTGTCAATTAAATCACTGCTCCTCGTCGTTGAAGGGGTGAACGAGTGCGATATCGAAAGAGAGACACAGATCCCTCCGACACCTCTCTGTCCCTCTCTCTCACGTCCAGTCTCGTGTGCCAGCCGCCAACCGCCAGCCAGCCAGCCAGCACCACCAGCACCACCACCACATGATCGCTGCTTCGACACACCTCGTCACGCAGAACCCTTCCATTCACCACCACCACCACTACTAACATCACCACCACCACTGACACCTCGTCCTCGACATCTATTGCACCCTTCCAGCGAGATCCTTTCGTCTAGGGATTCCTGCCTGACCCGTCCGCCTTCCTCCTCGACCGAACCAGGCCAAGAACCTCCCCAGGTCAGTCGCGCTGATGTTCTTCTCCGATCTCTCCCATGAGCCCTTCCTGCGTGTGGTCGACTCCTCACGTGGCAGCTCTTTGCGGGTTCCCACCCCAGCAACATCCACTGCGGAAAGAGTCTCTTTCTAGACATCTCTCAAAGCACCCGAGATGGCCCACCATGTCTTCTTCAACTCGCATTCCTCCTTCGTTCCCGGCACCGTCCTACAAACAGTAATCTAACCCAATCATGTCGCCAGTCCCGATCCTGTGCTCCAGTTGGAAGCCCAGTCATCGATATTGCACCTCCGACCCTTCTCCCATGGCGGAACGATCCATGGCAAATGCCAAAGAGGCCACCCAGAACTTTTCAAAGGAGAAGCAGAGCCCGCTGGCTGCCAATTCAAACTCCACATCGAAACCCGGCATCACCTTTGCGGCGCAAGACAAACTCCCCAAGCTCCCCATTCCGGACCTCGAGGACACCTGCAAGCGCTATCTCGCCTCTCTGGAGCCTCTACAATCCGCCAGGGAATATGCCGAGAGCAAACGAGCCGTCGACAGCTTCCTCCACAACGAAGGGCCTGACCTTCAGGAGAAGTTGAAGGCATATTCCGCTGGCAAGAGCAGCTACATCGAGCAATTCTGTAGGTCGAAGTCCGGAAACCATTCCCAGGTCTCTCCCATCCCCGAATGCTGATTTTTTTTCTCTCCAAACAGGGTACGACTCATATCTCAACTACGACAATCCTGTGGTCCTCAACCTCAATCCATTCTTCTTGCTAGAGGATGATCCTACACCTGCTCGAAACAACCAGGTCACCCGCGCAGCGTCGCTGGTCGTCTCGGCGCTCTCCTTTGTACGCGCGGTCCGTCGTGAAGAGCTTCCTCCGGATCAGATTCGCGGCCAGCCGTTATGCATGTATCAATATTCGCGACTCTTTGGTACCGCACGCATTCCCACTGCAGACGGCTGCCACATCGGTCAGGATCCGACCTCGAAACATATCATCGTCATGTGTAGAGGTCAATTCTACTGGTTCGATGTTTTGGATGACAACCACGACCTGATCATGACGGAGAAAGACGTCAGCATCAATCTACAGGTCATCTGCGACGATGCCGAACTCACACCCATCGGGGATGCTGCGAAGAGCGCTGTCGGGGTGTTGAGCACGGAGAACCGCGCGACTTGGTCTGGCCTGCGTGAGCTGATCGGCAAGGACGAGGGATCCAACAACAGCGATTGCTTGAATATGGTCGACTCGGCGCTCTTCATCCTGTGCCTGGATTATACCGAGCCATCGAGCAGCTCCGACCTCTGTATGAATATGCTTTGCGGCACCTCCGAGATTGAACGAGGTGTCCAAGTCGGCACCTGCACGAATCGATGGTACGACAAGCTGCAGATCATCGTGTGCAAAAACGGCAGCGCCGGCATCAACTTTGAACACACCGGTGTGGACGGCCATACTGTCCTCCGCTTCGCATCCGATCTATACACCGACACTATTCTACGGTTTGCACGAACCATCAACGGACAGGCGCCGACGCTATGGGCGTCTCAATCCCCCGATCCATCGAAACGCGATCCGGAGAGCTTTGGCGATGTCAACACCACGCCTCACAAGCTCGACTGGGACATGGTGCCGGAACTTTCGACCGCGCTGCGCTTCGCCGAGACCCGATTGGCGGACCTCATCCAGCAGAACGAGTTCCAGACGCTCGAGTTCGAGACCTACGGCAAGAATTTCATGACCTCGATGGGCTTCTCCCCCGACGCATTCGTGCAGATGGCCTTCCAAGCAGCGTATTACGGCATGTACGGTCGGATCGAGAGCACGTACGAGCCCGCGATGACGAAAATGTACTATCACGGCCGGACCGAAGCCATCCGCCCCGTCACGCAGGAGAGCGTCGAGTTCCTGCAGACCTTCTGGGCCGACACCACCCCCGAGAAAAAGGTCGAGGCTCTCAAGAAGGCATGCGGCAAGCACACCGCCATCACGAAGGAATGCTCACAGGCCCAGGGCCACGACCGACACCTCTACGCCCTCCTGAGCCTCTGGCAGAGGATGCTCGACGGCCACGCCGATGGGATCCTCGCCGACGGGAAACCCGACGCCGACCCCGGCCCCACCGACGAAGTCAAAAGCAGCAAACCCAACCACAGCCAAAGCCCCGCCCGGCACCAACACCTCAGCCCGATGCCGGCCATCTTCGCCGACGCCGGCTTCGACAAGATCAACGCCACCATCCTCAGCACCTCGAACTGCGGCAACCCGTCGCTCCGGCATTTCGGCTTCGGCCCGACCAGCGGCTCCGGCTTCGGCATCGGCTACATCATCAAGGAGGGCAGCGTGTCCATCTGCGCCAGCAGCAAGCACCGCCAGACCCGGCGCTACATCGACGCCCTGGAGTCCTACTTCCTCGAGGTCCGCAAGCTGCTCCGCCAGCTCCACCGGGACCGCGTGCCCACCAACAAGAACGCCTCCCGCGCCCGCGAGGTCGACGACGGCCACCGGCCCAAGGGCTCGCGCCTGAAGAGCACCGGCCGCATGGTGGCCGCCGACGCCGCGGCGGCGGAGCGGAGGCCGGAGGAGGCGATCGAGGAGGCCGACGATGAGCTGGGCGGCTGTAAGTTTTCTTTCCCTTCACCTTTTCTCTTTTCTCCCTTTCCCCTTTTTTTCCTTTACTTCCTCTCCTCTTTGTTCTTCCTCTCCTCTACTCCCCCCTTCCCCCTTTGTCGATGTGATAAAATAAAAATAAAAAGAGAAACGAGGATGTCGCTGACCTATGATTTTCTTTTCTTCTTCCCCGGATAGACGGCTTCTTCGACGCCGGAATGCTCCTCCAGGCCCTCAAGGCCAAGGAGGAGAAAGAGGTCCGGCCGAGCGAGAAGGTGGCGCAACGGCGCGAGGTGGGCAAGAGGCTCCGGCTGATGGAGTATTAGAAGGGACGTGATTTGGAAAGTGAAAGATAAAATAAAAAGCAGAAGAAAGAAAGAAGAAGAAGAGTCGAGCGTTTCAGATAGCCGTCCTCGGGTGAGGGCGGGATGAGAGGATTGATGATTGAGCTTTTCTGGGGTGGAGGGGGGGGGGGGGGGGGGGGGGGGGGGGGGGGGGGGGGTTTGGAATATCGGGACATCTCATCTTCCTGGACCTAGGTCCCTTCCTCTGATATCACTCCTACATGACTAGCTGGATGGATAAACATGTGGGAAATACCTCACCGTGTGATCGCCGTCGCTATCAGATATGATTTCTTCTTCTTCTTCTTCCACCATCACCCCCGGAACGAGAAATCCATCCACCTTTCTATGGGAGAGAGGGAAATCTTTCCCTCTTCGTCGTCCCCCCTATCACGGACGATTCCGCGAATCCACCGTCTCCTGCGATCCGATGTCGCGCACGTTCCGGATCCGGATGGCGTCCGGCGATGGGGGCCCGTCCCTTCTCTCCTCCTCCGCCGTCGGCGCCGCGGGGAGGACATCCCCGGGGGCGGGAGGAGAATGAGAGGGAGCATGGGCATGGGCATGGGCATGGGCATGCGGGGGTCTCCTCCCGTAGACGAAGCGGAATTTCGTCATCAGGCGCCGTTTCGGATCGGTGAATTCGGCGCGCACGCCGGCCATGATGAGCCGGACTTCGTCGACGGTGTAGTTCTGATCGAGGGTTACTTTTTGGTTTTTGCTTTTGGTTTTTTTGAGGGGGTTTCGGGGTTTTTTCTCTTTCTTTTTTTTTTTCTTCTTCTTGATTTTTCGGAGAGAGAGAGGGGGAGATGTTGCTGCCGGAGGGGGGCGGGTGGGGATCCACTCACGAGGACGCGGGTCAGCGGGGCGAGGGTGAAGGCCGGGATGCACGAGAGCATGTGTTCGAGCTGGAAGGTGCCGATCTCCTTCAGGCGGGGGTCTTTGGTCCAGGTGCCGATCGGGACCTAAAAAGGGGGAGAGGGGGGATTGTGGTGAGTTCGGGGATTGAATGGGAAATCGTTTCTTCTTCTGGGAAATGTTGTGCGGCTTCTTGCAAGCAAATAATTGGCGTCCTGGTGGTGGGGCGTGTGATACGTTGCTGATGGTGTGGTCGGCGCGGAGGGGATTGCAGAAACGAGAGAGGGGGCGCTCGCGATCTTTGCTCACCTGGACGACTTCTTCGTGGACGTCTTGATAGCCGGCTTCGATCATCCATTGTTTCTGTCGGTGCGCCTGGACGGCGCAGTATCCCCCTGTGAGCGAGGGATGCTTTTACACGTGCGGATCTGACCACGGGGGGGGGCGATCGATTCCACTTACGACGTTCATCGTCCGACCGGATCGTTCGGCGGCGAGGTTGACGAGGACCTGCCACTCCCGCGTCCGCGGAGCCGTCTCCAGGTCGGGGTCGTTGTACGCATAGATGGCCGTGTCGTAGTCCTGGATCTCGAACCAACCTCCCGGGTTCAGATGCTCGAGCGACCTCCGACAGAGGAGCGGCCAGTCGGAAACGCTCCCGCCCATGCCCCGGCCGTGGATGTAATCGAATGCTTCATGGCGAGCGTATGTCCAGTCGGATTCGATGTCGTCGACGAAGAAGGAGCAATTCGGCGGGCGCTGTGGTGATACAAACGGTCGAGATCATCAGTCAGACGTCGGTCAACTGTCGTACAGACGTTGCATAGAGATCACCCTTGTCGGGGTTCGGTTGATGACAGGGATGCTTGGTGGTTGTGTCTGTCTTACCCATTGCGGCTGGATGGGACTTAAATCGCAGCCAATGACCGCTGCGTTGGGAAATTCGTCGGCAAAGTCGATCGCCCAGATGCCGGTACCTGTCGGAGGGGCCCGCCGCGCCGGGTTTGTTATCAGCAGCTTATTATCGAATTCGGCGACATGGTGCTCTCGCCCGTGTAAATAATATCAACATCAACTCGAAACTCTTGTGACAACGTATCCAGCGATCCTCCTCCTCAGACTTTTCCGCTGAGAAGTATCATCCTGCTCTGCAGCGCACTCGAGAGAAGATGGGAAACCAAACCCCGTCGGCGGGAAAGATCTCACCTGTTCCAAGATCCAACACCCGCTTCAGATTGCGATCAATGGGCGCGAAATGCAGGGCGCCTCCTAGCTGAAGTCTGAAAATGTGATGCGACAAATCCAGCCGTTCCTGCTCCTCGGCATCGTTGGGGAGCAAGTAGTTGCCCTCGCGATAGGCATGGTACCTTCGGCCGTTTTCGTAGACGTAGCTGTAGATCGAGGACGTGATGGAGGATCCGTCGTCGTCGTCGCCCATGACCAGGGGAAGAGTCAAGCGGTGCACTGCTGTGCCTTGCTCCCAGCGATGGACAGAGAGGAGCGGAGAGAAAAGATCGAGAGCTAACAGGATGAAGGGAAGAAAAGACCGCACCCAGGGAACTTTCCGACTGGCTGGTGGTTCCAAGGCCTGGAAGTGCTTGAATGTGTTTCGTTGTTCTTCTTATATTCTTACATGGATGTGAGGATTTCTTTTTGATTGTTCCCTTGACCAGAGGCTTATATGATTCGGGTCACAGGCGCTGCTGTATCATGATGTATTCATGCGTGCAATTAATTGCTTTGTCGCCTCCTGCAGCGTCACGATCGCGGGGTGTTGGACTCGAGCCCGCGCTCCGAATGCTGCTCGTTCTCTTGCGCCCGGCTTGTTCTCTTCGCCTCACATGAAGCGATGTCGTTGGGCGACGAGGAGGGAATTCGGGAGAAGTATATGACTCGAGGGCAGGGGGGATTCCATTGGCCCAACGCGTGAAATAAGGACCACGGCCTGCGGGTTCGAGATCATGCTAGCATGCTTTGCTGTTCATGCGGCCGCAAGCCCGCTCATGTTGTTGGAATCCTTCTGCGCAAGTTCTCCAACCAATGCACCGCGCAACATTAACTTTGCCACCAGCTTATCAATGATGTTGAAACTGGAACTTCGTGCTTGAGATCTCACTATACGCCGTCAAGTAATTGCAGAATGCATGACCATTGAGACATCCGAGAGAGGTACAGGGCTTCATCAATTCATTTACAGGGCGGTCACACTACATCTCACGTCGTCGGTTCCCTCCCCCTCCCCCTCGGCCTCGTCCACGTCCGGCAGCGTTCCCCCGAAGCATCATCGGGCTACTCTGCAACAGAAGCGAACTGTCCTGCAGGCCCGAACTCATCGAGAGCCGCAATTCCCGCGGACTGCTGCTGGCGAGGATGTCGGACGCTTCCATCTGCGCGCGCATCCTCGCGATGAGCGCAGGCGCGGTCTGCGCGTCGATCAAACTTCGATCGACCGGGGTGGCCGCCGCCGCGTCGGCTGCCGCCGGACGCCGGACGATCTGCTCCACCAGCGAGTTCTGCAGCTCCGAATCCGAATCCGTGTCCTCGACCTCGGTGTCGGTGTGTTGGTAGCTGCCCGCCTCGGGGATGGAGTCGTCGAGGTTTCGCTCCTCGTCCATGCCGAGATCCTCTTCGTCGCGGGCGGCGCCGGTCAGTTCCTGTGCCTCCATCTCTGCGTAGCGTTCATCGTTCTCCTCGTCGGAATCCACGTGGCTGCCTTCCATCATGCTGTCTTCGTTGAAGGTAAAGTCCGTGGTGTTGGCCTCCGCTTCGGGGACGTCGTCGTCCAGGTCGCGCTCCTCCTCGACTTCGCCCGCAGCCTCTTGGGCTTCCGTCTCAGCCGCCTGCTGTCGGGCTTCTTCGAGCTGTTGTTGCGCTTGCATGTCCGCCAGACCACGCTCTTGCCTCTCGATCTCCGCCTGTTCCAAACGCTCGGCTTCTTCCTCGTTCATAGCCTGCAGGGTTTTGGGTACGCCGGGAGGACGGATCCAGAACGCGCCGAAATTGCGCACCGATGCCTTGCGCTGTGCGATGGCCGTCTCGTCGGCGGCGAGCATGGCCAAGGGACTTCGCGCATTGAAGAGTCGCTTCTCCTCATCGCGCAACTGCCGCTGTCGATGTGATTGTTGGTGGCCTTGTTGACGATTGGCGGGCGGAGAGTCTGAGCGGCGACGAGGATTCGATCGCATCCATGACGACTGGTCGTCTTGTGGTGGGATCAAAGGTAGAGACAGCATCTTCTGATATGCATGCGTAGCACGACCAGCCGTATGAGATGACGAGTTCGATGTTATTCGAGGGTTCGCGCGCGAGAAGTACGCGCAGATGGCGTTGTCACGTCATTGATACACCGGCGACGCGAACGACGAGGCAGTCACCACCATGCCAAAGCTTCGCTCTTATCCGCGACAATGTCGTTGTGTCGGTAATCGTCTGGAATTATATTCATCGGGATGGATGTTGATATAGGAGCCCAGAAATTGAACATTTACGGGACAGCTTACTAGCATCAAGACCGGCTCCGCGTCCCCTCCTAATTATTCGGAGGGTGTTATTATTGATTACTCTGATAACACGCAGTACACAATTGAAATGTGGCTGGTGACGCCACGAGACGCACTGAGTTAATGGAGTTACCCGTCGGTTGTCATCACTATTTTCGCTGCTTTACAACAACCCGCGGTGACGTACCTATCTCATCAATCCAATCAATCCCATCGGACCCCTCGCGCCATCTGGCCCCAGACGCTTAATCGGTTCTGTTCATAACTGGACGACACCGTGCTCTTGCTGGTCAACGATCCGGATGTCAGACGCGTTCAAGTCAGGAGGTTGTCACAGGGAACTCTCGTGTAGGAGGCCGGGCATTTCTCTCGCACGGTCGCCGGCCGATATCCTCTGGCGATCATGAGTCGGATGCAGGCTGCTTGCCTCCAAGGGGCTACTTGTCTGCGAATGGTCGCTAAGATAACAACCCCATCGTCCGATCTTGGGGTCAATCAAGGCTTCGAGGCCGCCTGGAGCTTCCTGGATCCCCTTGCCTACACAAATGCGTTGTAGCAGGCTTGATCATCACGCCACAGCTTCCTGCATAAGTGCAACGCCTCGTGCCTTCGAAGCAGTGAGCCACCACGCATTCTGTCCCCGCAGCCGGCCTATTCAGCACTCCGACAAGACCTGAAACGCCCGTGCGAGGGTGAAGAGGGCGTCTCAGGTCGTGAATTCAGGCCTGGCTAAATGATGTATCGCTTCTCGGACGCCTCCAGGTTTTCTAGAGGACGGGATCGCCGATGCGCCACAATCAACCTGTTCAGCACTTCGAGAGCATGGGAATCGCTCGTGCTGGCGAGGAAAGGGTCGCGAGACCTTACGTAGCCATGGTCAGCGGAATGGCACACAGCTCACCGGATTGGTCGATGCTACTTGTCGACGGGAAACGCGAATAGCATTCATCTACGGAGCCATGCGTCCGTGTGATCGAGTTCGACTTCTGCCGCGAGGATGAATGCGATACATGGTACCGTACCACCGAGCATTGCTCAACCCCGGGACAGGGCTTCTCTCCTCTTCCGGCTGGCACACGCCCAAGTATGCAAACCTTCACTCTATTATGAGGCATTATGGGATCTGCTTCGACCCTGAGGTCCTGCGAACACCTCACTCCGTCCGCTGACGTCGATGTCGGCGAACTGGGTCTGACTGGTCCAAGTAAGCCCTGTGGACATGTTCACCGTTCTTCCTCAATCACGAAAGGCTTGGTCCAGATGCGGAACGATAAGTGGCGCTGGTCTCCCTTACTCGGCCAGCCAATGACACACGAGCATGAGCATCTCGTCTCGACAGATCGCTCGATCATCACGAGTCTGTTCGAAGCTGCCACGATGCTGCAGGACAATGGCGGCCTCTCACCCAGGAACAATGCCTCGCTGGCTGTAGCTAGCTCTGTCACAGAGTTGTGTCCATTCGTGTTCCTCAGATACGTGTGGCTCGGCCAAGCCGAGTGGCTTGAGAACGAGACCAGGTCTTTGTGACAATGCATTGGGTAACGTCGGTCGTCTGTGCTGGGCATGGCCAGTGAGACGCGACGACGCACGTCTGGATTTGACAGCTTGCTTGGTCATGCCGAGTCGGCGTCATCTCAACATTGAATCGCAAGTGGAATGCAGCGTCCAACGAGTATAAATGACAGCGAATCGCGACCTCTTCTGACGTTTAAAATCTCACGCTACTGACCTCTCAGACATTCAACTCTTCAGCCATCTTAGCTCTCAGACGATCATTTCTGAGACTATCAACATTGTAGGCCATTGTGATTCAGCTCTACCCACGACAAATACCATCACCAACTATGCACAGCACTTCGGTGGTGAGTCGGCCATATCTGCACATGGCATGGCATAAATCGGGCTAATCGCACCTGATTCAGGGGTCGCGCACCACACCAATCACTGGTGTTGGCAATGGATTTAATTCTCTTTTTCAATCCGCCATGCCTAGTCAACTCCAGATAAATGGCCTTGAGCCAGTCGCAGCGAAGCAAAATATGGACGTCTACGTCTGTACTTCGACCGCCGATCTGTACCAGAATCTCGGCATCACCGCCGCTATTGCCGCAGGGACTACCTTTGGGAGCTTCAAGACCCGAATCGAACTCGTCAATGAGATTCAGAGCAGCTTCAGGTCGGTGACAATCCTCGTCGTCTATCACCGGATCACTGGTGGCAATTCTCTTACGAATGCAGGATTCATTCGGACGCCCACCGACGCTCTGTCGTTGTACCGCCAGGGTGGAGACTCGTATGTCTCATCCGTCTCTACAGGCGGCTTCTACATCGCTGCCTTGAGCTATGCGACTTACGACGAGACGACTTTCCAGAACGTGAAGGCGCAAGCTGACGCGGACTTCTCTGGTTGGAAGGGCACGCTCAACGCAGAATTCGCAGCGAACATTACGAATCTTGCCAACAACACCCATACGACTTCAACCTTCCACCAGAGAGGCGAAGGATTCACGAGCCCTTTGCCAGACAGGAATACCTTCATGTCTTTCATGAACGGATTCGGTTCACCGGACTTTCAATTGGACCTTCCAGCAGTTCTTGACTTTTCGCTGCAGCCGTATACGAACATGGAGGGATGCCCTGCCGGATTTCGCGTCATCGACGGCTATATTGACAGTTGGACTGGAAGGAATAGCATACATCCCGGCGCTAGCCTGACAGCCATTGCCGAAACAGTGCTGGCGAGTGAGCAATTACTCAACGGCGTTCAGACCATGTACGACTTCTACGGCTGCCTGGCTGCGGAACCCAAGCTTGCAACAGCCAAAGCACAATATACAAAGATCTTGTCCGACCTCGATGCATGGCTCAAAGAAGTGGATGAAGACCCGACCAAGCCCGGCATCGCGGTTCCCACGATCTCGCCCGACGATTTGAAATACCCGATTGCGCAGTACTCGCTCCTCTCTGGCCCGGTCGGTCCCGGAGGGGGCGGGGACACTTTCGCAGACATTCAGCTTTCCATGATAGGCCGATTGGTGCGCCCCTCGCGGGTCGCCGTCCATTCTGGTGATTCCGTGGACAAGATCGACTTCACCTATTCTATGGTCTTGGGTGATGACAGCGATTCTTGGTACGTCAGTCGCGGCGGCGGCGGCGGTGACTGGTACGCTGCCATCGACTTTGGACCCGGCGAGGTCATCCTCCGAGCCGGGCCGCTTTGGTGGGGGGGCGATGGACTGGTGAAGTCGGTCGATTTCGTGACCACGACTCAAACCGTCCAACTCGGCCGGCAAGGGTCGGCCCCCTACAACTGCGTCTGGGACAAAACCGATACGACTTGCTTAGTTGGCTTCGCCGGAAGAGCGGGTAGATACTTTGACGCGCTGGGGGTTCAGTACGTCCAGTTTCAGCCCTGCAAGTGGGCAACTCCCCCGACCACACAGGGTTTGAAAGCGCGCAGCACGAAGCCGGCCCCCATCAGTGGCCTGCGCGATCCCGGCGCTCTCGATCGCGACGGCACGCCGGTTGACCTCGTCATTTCCCCAGACCGTCTCCTCAAAGCGTTCCTCACCACCAATGCCGGGAAAGTCCTCGTGCTCTACGGGGAAAAGGGGGGCTGGGAAAATTGGCTGCAGTGCGAACTGGCCTACGACCTGCGAAACAACTTCTCTCGTCCGGGGTATCTAGACCGCGAGAAATCTGATGTCTACGCGAATGCGCCTGCTCAGCGCTGCGATCTGTTCCTGACCGAGAGGCCCGTGGGCAACTTCACTCCCGAAACCATCGTCATCGAACTGAAGGCCGCGGGAGTGCGGCGAAGTCCGACGGACCTCTTCAACGGTGTCAGAGATGACATCGCGAAGATGTTCTCCCCGAACCCTAGGATCAACAAATTCAATCCGAGGTGGGGACGCGTACAAGCCTTTGCCTTTGGGGCGTTCGTGGCGAACGACCCGGACACGGTATTCGGGGCCTATAACGGATGGGGCGGGAACTCGACGAAGCCCACCCTGGTAAAAATCGGCAACACGGTCGACCACCTACAGCTCGCGCTCGTCATGTGGAATTACAAGAACTACACATAGAGGGATGGGATCGTCGATCCCCGGAATGCTGCCGAGATTGTCTCTGATGCCGGCGCGAAAAGGAGAGGGCTCTCGGTAGCCGATTGTGACGACGGACCGAGGATGGACAGGACGGGACGGGACGGTCTGGCACCTCCTCCGACGTAGGTAGGAGTCCTCGCCACTCATCGCTTCGCTCTTGGAACAGGGACGAAAATACTGCGGGTCCTCGTGGTAGGGTGGTCCTTCTCGGCAGGGTGAAGTTATAGGGCGAAGCGATTTCGCATCGGACTATGAATGAGAGCTTTTTCCCCGTGAGATGGCCTCGCGAGGTGATGACATCCATGAGGTGGAACATGACCTCCGCAAGACCAATGGCGATGGAAAGTCGACGAGGTGACGACTGCGGACGGGGGATTGCTCCTCTGATGAGTCAGCGGACCCGAGGCGACGACCCGCCGCCGGGTGGGTGGAAAAGGCCCCCACGCGGCGCGCAACACGCAGAAACAGGGCAGAGTTTCGGGCGGGCATTTTCCACGCTCTAGCACACTCACACACACGTGCTCTCCGTTTTCGCTGTTGTGATAAATAACATGGGGCACATTGGGAAATCCTGGACAGGATCATCCTTCACCTGCTCTATTCGGCAGTTGCTTTTGGGTGGGTCGCCGGCGCCGCCATGGCTCGAGCGGCCCATTACCTGCCTAGGTAGCCTACGTCCATGTATTACTACTATACTAGTAGTAGAGTAGAGAATTGTGTTGTGTCGTATTGTATTGTATTGTATTGTATTGTATTGTATTGTATTGTATTGTATTGTATTGTATTGTATTGTATTTGTATTGTATTGTATTGTATTGTATTGTATTCGCCGAATCCTCCCAGCACGCTAGAAGAAAGCCGCCGTTTTCCATGCAGCGGGAGGAGCGAAGAGGGTGATGTCCACTACCAGTGAAAGCGCTCCGAACAGGCACGAGGGATGAGATGAACCCTTGAAATCCAGCAGAGTCTCCCCCAGCCAGACGCCCCGATCCCCATCAATCAATCAATCAATCAATCAACTGTGAAATCCACCCACCGACGGCGCCACTGCCTCATACAGCAACAATAATAATGATGATGATAACAATAATGATAAACACCGGATACAGTACATGCCCCTCCAGCAGCTTCATCATGTTCAACGCGGACGGCCTGGGAATGTCTGCATTGCAGCTTATAGAGCAGCTTGTATTGCAGCTGCCTCATTAGTGGACATGTTCCGAAACCCAGACCGGATCCAATCGACGGGTTTCGCCATCGTCTCCTCCTCTGGGCATCGACCTGCGACAGAACCGACGCACGCGCGCATGTGCTGCCCTTCCAACTCCACGCACAGGCGCATGGGAAAGCGACTACTGTAAACATCCAGTGGATGGTGGCACTGAATACCTAGGTGGTAGGTAGCCTTGAGATGATCAACCAGGCCCGTCTCCCAATGCGGCAGTGTGTCCGGCCGTGAGACTTCATCCCACCCTGTCGAGCGATGATAAGTGCTCTGTATAAAGTAGGAGCGGTGGCCAACAGACTACTACAGTGCTATATAGATATGAGGAGGCCGTGTGCTGTGGTGCTGTAGTTCGAGCATCATCTCTGTTCCCTCTGTCCAGCTTTGCGTCGTCGAGATCTTACACATCACCGCCGCGGCAAGATGTTCTCCTCCTGGACCACCGCCTTGGCCGCTTGCGTCTTCCTCGCGAGCGGCGCATCCGCCCAGGTCTCCATCGCCGAGATCAACGGCAACCGCTTCCTGTCTTCCTACCAGGGCCGGAATGTCGTCGGCGTGCGCGGCCTCGTCACGGCCAAGGGACCCAACGGTTTCTGGCTGCGTTCCACCGCTCCCGACGGCGATGATCGCACCTCCGAGTCCATCTACGTCTTCAACCGCGCGGCCCTGAGGAACGTGACCGTGGGCAACATCATCACCCTCAACGGCCGGGTCTCCGAGTACCGCTCCAGCGCAGCTTACCTCTACTCCACCCAGATCGAATCGCCGAGCAACATCGTCACCATCTCCGTGAACAACACCGTGACTCCGCTGGTCATCGGTCAAGACACCGGCCTCCCGCCGACGGAGCAGTACACCTCTCTCGACAACGGTGCTGTGTTCGGCGTCCCTGGGAATCAGTCCCGCATCTCTGCCGTCAACCCAATCTTGTCGCCCGCCGACTACGGCCTCGATTTCTGGGAGAGCCTCAGCGGAGAGTTGGTCACCGTCTCCCAGCCGCATGCCATCAACCGACCGAACAACTTTGGTGACACCTGGGTGGTGGGCAACTGGCCGACCACCGGCAAGAACGCCCGAGGTGGCCTGACCGTCACTGCGGGAGACGCCAACCCGGAGGCCATCATCATCGGCAGCCCGCTCGACGGCTCGGCCAACCCGAGGGATACCAAGCTCGGTGACGAGCTGGATGAGATCACCGGCGTGGTGGCCAACGTCTTCGGGTTCTACTACATCCTCCCTTTGACCAAGATTACCGTGACCCGAGCGAACTACCCTCAATCGCCTCCGCCGACCACCCTGGTCTCGGACGGGGCGTGCGGCGGCATCACCCTCGGCCAGTACAACATCGAGAACTTCAGCCCGCAGTCCACCACCATCAACGCCATCGCGCGCCAGATCGTCGACTACCTGAAGACCCCGGACATCCTGTTCGTGCAGGAGGTCCAGGACAACAACGGCCCCACCGACAACGGCGTCGTCGACGCCAACGTGACCCTGTCCACCTTGATCGACGCCATCAGCAACGCCGGCTCGCCCGTCCGGTACGCCTTCACCCAGATCAACCCGGTCAACAAGCAGGACGGCGGCCAGCCCGGCGGCAACATCCGCACCGCCTACCTCTTCAACCCGGCCGTCGTCCGCCTGCGCAAGCCCAACCCGGGCTCCAGCACCGACGCCACCCGGGTCCTCGCCGGCCCCTCCCTCAGCTTCAACCCGGGTCGTATCGAGCCCGCCAACAGCGCCTGGACCAACAGCCGTAAGCCCCTGGTCGCCCAGTGGGAGACCCTCGACGGCGCCAACCCCTTCTTCACCGTCAACGTCCACTGGACATCCAAGGGCGGCAGCAGCTCCATCCAGGGCGACGCCCGCCCGCCCGTCAACGGCGGCGTCGACTCGCGCACCGCGCAGGCCAACGTGACCGGGACCTTCATCCAGCAGATCCTGCGCCTCGACCCCCAGGCGGCGATCGTCACGGCGGGGGACTTCAACGAGTTCACCTTCGTCCAGCCCCTGCAGACGTTCGCCTCCGTCTCCGGGCTGAGGAGCCTCGACGAGGTCGTCGGGACCCCCGACGCCGAGGTCTACACCTACCTCTTCGACATGAACACCCAGGAGCTCGACCACATGTACGTCAGCGACCGCATCGCCCAGGGCGGCGCCGCCGCGTTCGAGCACGTCCACGTCAACACCTGGGCGGCCCCGGCGGACGAGATCTCGGACCACGACCCCAGCGTGGCCAAGTTGAACGTCTGCCAGGCCGCGTAGAGGGGAGGGCGAGGCATGGAACGGGCGGTCGGTTTTGTTTTTGTTTTGTTTTTTTTGCTTTCTGCGCGTCCCTCGCGTCGCGGGTCGTTGTGGGTTCGGACCTCGGTGGAGCCGTAGTTTGCATGGCGATAGGAAGATGGCATCGGGGGGGGTGTGATTGACAGGTTATCGCACTTCACGAGAATATAGAATCGGAAATTGACGGGGCTATTGGGAAATGGCTTCATATAGGACCGACCCTTTTGTTGATCTCCGTTGTCGTGATACCGGAATGACACGAGCCCGACCTCGTGGAATTTGATTCGATCTATAAAACACTCCTAAACGCCCGCTGGACCCCCCAAAAGAAATCGTACACGCATTCGAAAACGCAAAGGAAAGGTGCGGCCGGGGCGATCCCGTGCGCGAGAGACGTCCTCACTTGGCCACGAGCATCTCCCGGGGCGCGGGCTCTTGCACGTAGTCGTACTCGATGTTCGTCCGGGGGCCCTTGGACGACTTCTTCCGCGACTTGGGCGGCGGCGCGCCGGGTCGTTTGCGTTTGAGGCTGTCCAGCTTCTTCTTGAGCGCGGCCGCGTCGGCGTCGTCGTCGTCCCCGTCGGCGCCGCTGGCGTCGTCGCCGTCCTCCTCGCTCGACGCGCCGCCGTGGGCCTGCTCGTCCGCGCTCTCGCCCCCGAGCCAGTCGTCGAAGTCCTCCATGTCCTCCTCGTCGTCCGACTCCTCCACATCGCTGACGTATTCCACGTCCGCTTCCTCCTGGCCCCCCTCCCGCTCGTACTCCCTCTCCAGGTTCTCGTCCTCCTCCACCTCCCCGTCGTCGAGGTCCTCGTCCAGCACGCCCTCCTGGCTGCGCTCCAGCCCCCGCATGACCTTCTTCCACACGTTCTCCTCCACGTTGAGCGGCCGATCGCCGTACGCGCCGCTCCGCAACCGCTCGACCAACTCCCGCTCGATCGCCCTCTCGATCTTCGCGGCGGCCTCCGCCTTCCTCTCCCTCGTCTCCTCCCTGCGCCGGATCTTGGGCGCCAGCTTCGACACCATCCGCTCTCCGAGGCGGTCCTCCTCCTTGGCCAGCTTCGCCGCGCGCACGCGGACCTGGGTCAGCCGCGTGAGGCGCTGCTTGCATTTGTGGATGAGGAACTTCGGCCAGTAGATCAGCCGCTCGTCGACCTGCTCGAGCGCTTTGGCGTAGTTGCTGCTGAGCCGGATCTTCTCCCACCATTTGTTCGGCATGTGGGAGCGCTCGACCGTCTTCATGTAGAGGTAGAGTCGCCCGGTCGCCGGGTCGGAGCGGATGGTGGCGTAGCGGGAGTTGGCCAGCGGGCAGCTCTGCCGGTTGCAGAGGCCGGTGACATTGTGCTCGTTGCGACAGAAGGTTTGCTTGGTGGACTTTTGGTGGGAGGAGTTGCCGGGGAGTTTGAGTTTGAAGGAGCAGAACTGTTGGTTGATGATTGACCAGACGATCTCGTCGGACGCCATGGTGCCTGTCGTGATTATTGTTCGTCGAGGGAGATTGTTGTTGAACGCTCGCCGACCCGTAGCTTTTTTTGCGACCCCGACAGAAAATGTTCAGCGTTCAGAAATCTTGGCGTATTTAGTGCCGGAGGTTGGATCACAAAGGCCGACAATTACTCGGCAGACCTGCTTCTTTCTGCAATTCCAACGTCAAACATCCCCCATATTACAAGCGACCTCATAGGTGACCCTGCACGAATGAACACATTGCTTCATGGCGTCGAGGTATGTACTGCAATCTGTCCCATCGTCAACTCGGCGTGAACAATATCTAACATGGCTCAGATTTAATAATCAGCGCGACTCGCGCAATGCCTTGTTCTCGAACTATGACCCGAGCGGATCGAAATCGGGATCCGCATCGACGACTCCTCAACGGTCATCGACACGAACTGCTGCATATTCGACATATCAAGGAGGGGGCAGCTCGCCGTACTCATATGGGATAGGGAACGATTCGGCATCAGACATCGGAGCGCGTGGGCCGCCGAACGGAGGTTTCAGCGCATATCCTGCGGGCAATGCAGATGGATTCGGGGGCAAGAGCAAGGATGGTGGCTTCCGTGCGGCCACGCCGAACGGCAAAGGCCAATATAGCAGCGCGATGCTGGATGAGCTAGAAAGTCAAAATGACGATCAAGCGAGTGAGATGAGCAAAAAAATCAAGATGTTGAAAGGCGTGAGCATGATCCTCGCATGGAAGAGTGAAAGAAATATTTCCAATGCTGACCCGCTGCGTAGCTGACGATTGCCATTGGCGATGAGATTCGCGACAGCACTGCTTTTGCCGAGAAGATGAACGACACGTTTGAAGGGACCAGAAATCGATTGCGCGGCACAATGAACCGGATGCTGCGGATGGCGGAGAGAACTGGCGTCGGTTGGAGAGTTTGGCTCGGATTCTTCGTCTTCGTCTTTCTCCTGTTCACTTACGTTTGGCTCTTCTGAGTTCGTCAACCATTCGAGATTCAAACCGCATCGAGTTCGGGAGCATTTCACGGCGTTTCATGACACAACATTTGATAAAAGTATCATACGAGGCAGAAAGCATATCGAGATCCAATCAAACATGTGCGACACACTGAACTCGTCGTCACCATTGAAGCGAGACATCTTCGAGAATGAATGCATGATAATGATCGACTACTTTTAGATCACCTTCTGGTGTGATATGACTGTGCTTCTGACGACACATCACCTGCGCAAATCAACTCATCTTTGACCGGATGAACAACCGCCGTTCACGGGCTCCCACGTCAACCGAAGCCAAAGGCTCGCATCAATCTATTTGATCTCGCTCAAGCTCGTCACAATCTCGAGCCGATTCTTGTCCTCCGCCGACAGAGGGGCATTCCCCGGTCGATCCACCACTATGGACTTCATCGCAATCTGGTGAGCCGCATCGACCTCTTTCACGTTATCACTGAGGAAGAGGATCTGGCTGGGCTCGAGCTGGAAAAGAAGAAAGCATGTCAACCAATCGCAATTCTCGCTTCGTCACACACGCGCGCGCGCGTCACGAAACACATTCTTACCTTCAAAGCCTCCGCGATCGTCCTGTAGCTCGCCGCCTCCGTCTTGAGCCCCGCATTGACCGTATCAAACCAGCCCTCGAACGACGCCGTCAAGTCCTCGACGGCGCCGCCCGCGCCTCGCACATGCCCGAAGAGCAACTTCTGCGCGAAGACGCTCCCGGAGGAATAGATCGCGAGTCGGAAGCCCTGCCCCTCCCAGGCGCGCAGCGCCGGCGCGACGTCGGGGAAGAGCGTGGTCGCGTAGGCCCCGCTCCTGTAGCCGTCCTCCCAGAGGTATCCCTGGAGGTTCTTCAGCGCGGCGACCTTGACGTCCCGCCGTGTCAGGTCTTCCACGTGGGCCTGAAGGGCCTGCGGCGAGCCCCGGACGTCCGCGGGGAAGGCGTTACGATAGCTCTGGAAGGCTGGGTCGTCCCATTGTGTGGCGAGCACAGAAGGGAGGGCCTTGAGGGCGTATGGGAACTACATTGATCGGAGAGGGAGGATGAGCCGATGACCCCGTCTGGGTTACGATGACGTTCGGGGGGGGAGATTATTGGGATATGGACAACGGTGGGAGGAGAGCGCGAAGAAAAGTGCTCCTCCATCATGGCGCCTCCTCCTTTCCGTTCTCCTGCCATGGGCTGTGGGAGATGGGAAGTGTCCCTTTAGCAAGGCGGTGAATGACCTACGAGGGTTTCTTTGACGAAAGAAATCGGACAGACCGTCCCTTCTGCAGGAGATCAAGAAACCAGGAGTCAGTCTACGATGTAAAATGACTGGACGACGGCGACATCGATGCAACGAGGGAACGAAGGGCGGTGGGAACGAAGCGAAACGGAAAAGAATGCACCCGGGGGAACAAGACGAAGATTCTTCTTCGTTCCTGCCTCGTCTACACTTCGGAAAATTCCTTTTCTTGGTACACTCTTTAGGGACGGTGAAGGGATGTTCGTCTAATCGTTCAAAAAAAAAAAAGAGAAATGCCCTCTTTCTCGTCGTCTGTGCTGTGGTTCTCGAACGAAGAGTTCGTAAGCTCGTACCAATGTCAAAAAGGATGCACTTGATCCCGTCCATCGCGGATCCGATGCCACAAACGGACAAATGTAAATCGACAAAGGAACAAGAGATTCCGGTGTGCTGGTCTTTTTTTTCCTTCAATGTCGGTCTGGGAATAGAAAAAAGTTGGTGGCGCGTGCGGCGGTGGTTCGACGGGTGAGTTTTCTTGGTAAACGTGGGAAAGGGAAAAAAGGGCTCGAGACGCTGTATCTCTCTGCACACCTGCTTCTTGCGCTACCACGATCAACGGCACGGGACGACAAGTTTTCCGTTCGGCTGGGGTTTCTGTCGTGTTGCTTGCGGGACATTTCCCTCTGTTGGCGAATTTTCCTTTGCTTTTTCTTTTCCCGGGCTTGTATTCCTGCCCTGCGCGGTGGTAATTGGGAAAGAGCGGTGTCGGAACTCTAAAGTCGAGAAAAGTCCCGGAAGACGTCCCTAGCTCCCCCGTTGCGCATACGACGTGGGCTGCGACATGCAAACACCGACCCCGCGAACGTCGAAGGTGTGCGCCGTATGCACGCCAGGATACTAATCAACATTCAACGATACAAGCAGATTCATCGTTGTTGACGGGACGGCTAGGGTCGAAAGAGATGAGCCTGTCGATGTGAAGAAGATCGTAATCTATACGCGCCGCGACTCGCAGGGCAAGCAGAAGAGCTGCTGCAAGGGCAACTCCACAATTGACCGTCCCCACTTCTTCATCAGCGTCGCAAATCGCCTCGCGACGGTTTTGAGCAACTCATAGTTGACGGGGATTCCGCTCTTCGCTAGAGCAAATAACATCGTGCAAACAGATCAAATGCGGCATTGAGACCCGGCAAAACAGCAGCACGAGGGACGTATCGAAAATACACATCCTCAGGCCTTCATCCCCAATCTCTCATAACCACACTCTCATTGGGCATGACCCGTCGTGCAGTTTTAATCTTGAAACATGCATAACAAGCGTGCAGCGTGCAGATGCGTGGTGCACCAATCCGCTGCCACCACAACATGGTGCATCTGATGAATGAAGATGGGCAGCTGTACATTTGCATATCCTGCGGCGCGCACACACACGCGCGCGCCAGAGAGCGTGAAGAAGATTGGCGTGACTTCTGATTCAATCAATCACAGGGACAATACGCAGTGATGTTGGCAATGTTGGGTTGGGAGATCTGAGACATCGCCTGCACATCGGCCACGCGGTGAGCGCGAGATAATGGGATGTGGACGAGTGAGCTTCGCGCATTTGACCACGGATCTCTCTTTCGACTGGTTCGGCTCTGGGTTGTCGGGTCTTGGCCTGTGATTTTGAGAGATTCGCAGACGACACGGCGCAGCGGACAGTCACAAGGCGGCGACGACGGTGATGTTGAGGTCACCGTCTTTACGGATCGCTCGTGCACATACCCGAACGTCCAATGCTAATGTTGATGAGGAATTGGGAAAAATGTTTTTTGTTTTCGGAGAATACTTGAGTTTTCTCTTCACCGCCGTCACAGTTAGACACTCCTCAACGCAACCGACATTGTCCTGTGAGCAATGCTTTGACAATAACGTGAATCATGATCGTGCTTTACTCCGAGGCCGATCCGGACTGTATGCAGTCGTCGAAGTGTCGGCGTGATAACGAACAGTGCTTGACTCGAATGCTCGTTCACGCACGTTATCTCTGTCCATCATCAACTCGGCATCTCCATAGCCCGTTGATGGCGAAACCTAAACCAGATGGTGTCGTGTCGAGGAGCGTGCATGAGATGGCCATCAAGGTTCCGGACGACACGTGATCTCCGACGCGTGTCCGGAGATTCCAAGACCTTCTCATCAGACTTTCCGACTGTGGCCCATTCCCACCTAGGTCCCTTGCCTGGCATGTGCGATCGACACGAGAGAGCCGTGGTCCGAGGGGGAATATTCCGGTTCGGAAAATACTGTGATAAGCACATTCGGACAATATCTACGTAGACGAGTATGCACAAGATTATGAGGTTTCATCTACACAATCGAGTGCTATCAAGGCACATGCATGCATTTTGGCCGGGTTGGATGAATGCCCGTCCGTAGCTTTCCGGGGAGGAGGAGTACTTCATGCGACTGACGTCAATGTTTACTCTCGTCCACCCAAATCGCATCGCGAATGTAGCGACCCTTCTGCGCGCGGTTTCACATTATTATCATGCGCGAGACCTGCAGTGTTTGCCTCATCGCATTTACACACGAGATTCAATCCACATCAGCAGCAGCCCAGCAGCAGGCATGACGGTTCACCGCTGATCAGGCCGACCGGCCAAGCAAAAAAGCGAGTAAGAAAATTTCAGTGGTGAGGACAATCCTTCCGGGTGCAGAGGAAGAAAGGTCCTACGCCCAGTTTCCTCGCAACCGGATGGCGTGTAGTCTGGTCGTGGCTCACACAGGTCGAGCAATGACCATCGAGGCTGGCGTTGTTCTGTCGTGCCATCTCAACGAGCCTGTCTCGTGCGCGCAGACATTCCAGCACCGAACCGTGCCACGAGGACAGAAAAACCTTCCCCCGGACGGAAGGAGATTATTTCGGCGGCGGCGGCAGCCAAGGAACCGTCTGTCACAACGCGACGATTCGTCGTAGTCCTAGTCGAAGGATTTCACAGAGGAGAGGGGGAGGACTTCAGACTATAGTACTCTGCAGGTTGACGAAGTTCTGGGCGTCTGGTACAGAAGGTGAGGTGGCTGGACCGTGACGGCCGGACTGCCCGGACAAGCTACAGGATGGAGAGTAAAGATATACTTGCACATATTTTGTCCGTAGGATAGTCCCCGTCGTCGTGTGATCTGAACGATCTGCTAGCCAGCCAGCCGAATTCTTTCTTTTCCAAGGTTCAACCGTGGAGTCGCGGTCATGTACCAACCCTAGTTCACTTTCCGTCTGAGCGTGCAGGCAGTAGTAGCTTGCTCCCCCGTCATAAACATTTTCCAGACGGCAGGGAAAGCGACAGAGAGGCAGAGATTGTAGGGGAAAAAATCGTCGGGGTTCTGTGCGTGTGTGGGACATGTGTGTAGGTGTTGCCATTGGGTTCTCCCGCGCATGCGCGCACATACGCACGAGCGATCACGTCCCGCTCGCCATGCTCTTCAATGAACAAGCCCATTCCACCTGCCGATTCATCGCGCTTCACCGCGATTCCGGTTGAGGATGGAGACGAGAGCGCGCTCAACATTCCTTCACCGATTGTATCATGGCCGAATCGTCCATTCGGGGTGTGTGTCTGCACGATCAACAGGAGACATACGAGAGGAATGATGATGGGATGGAGAACCGAACGCGTCGTCGATCTCCAACATCGTCAACTTCCACGCGGCCTTGCATGCATACATAACCCTTAATCGTATCGTGTGATAGGACACACACGTCGTCTGCCGCGCAACCGCATACCGCCAGCAAAGATGCGGTCTTGAAACGTAATGCCAAACACACACAGTGTCACGTCCACCACAGAGCGCAACCCCAAGAAACGACGGAAACGATCACGAAACATCCGGCTGCATGGGAGTTCGTCATCTGAGGAGGGAGGAGGCCCACAATGTTGTCGATCGAGCGTCGCATGCGGCAGCGCGTTCGTCTCATCATGAACCAGGATCATGATGCGAGGACGAAGAAGAAGATGATGATGATACAGATCTTCGAGCGTGTTTACATCATCAACCCCGCTCCTCCAATTTCAATTTCCCCTTCCCCCGTCCAAAGGATTCGCCGAACCTCGTGGCTGATCTCCCCAGGACAGCAACCGCGTCGGCGTGCTTTTCGTCTCCCGGAACCAGACATCAGTATTTCCGATGGGGACGACCGAAAGATAGAGGGGGAGGGGTCGTATGCTGTATGGTGTAGATGATCAGACGCCCGGTCGATAATGGAGATAAGAGGGCAGATAACGCAATCTGGTAGCGCGCCTGAGGTTTCGATTACAGCATCAGGGGAGGCGCGCAACCAAGCTGCGAAGGTTTCGCAGTTATCTTGCGAGACACGCTCTTTCCGCTGGTTGGTTGTTGTAGTTGGAAGATCATCTACACGACCACGCAATTCCGCCCAATAGATTGCAAGGCACACAAAGTTCACACGGGTGTCAACAGCATCTACAGGGCGATAGAAACCGACCGGCGATAATCATACCCTTGAATGTCTCGATCGCAGACCCGAAGCGAGTGCACCATTGCCCGATGGGATACCCCGAAAGATAGAGCTATACGATAAAACAGACGCCGGCTGCCCGATAGCGAAGAATGTCTCGCCATCAATCTTCGATAGACTGTTCGACTCTGTATGCGATAGTTCACCTTGGCCGGACTATTCCGCATGACTATTGCCAATTTTTCTCAATGCACGAATTGTTCATCGGACAATGGTCTGGTGTGATGATGTGATGTGACGAACGAGCATTTGCGGGTGCAACCATTCGGCATGCGCGCGTGCGTGGTTGTGTGAACTGGTTCTGTGGAAAGGACATAGGTCTACCATGTGGCGGCGCCTGGCTCACAGAGAGCGAGCAAGGAAGGGGGGGCGCGTGTACAACAGAGTACAGCACGGTGCTGGAGGAGTGTGAGCGGGCGGGAGACGAGGTCTGGGTAGGATGGAAGGAAGGGACAGGGTGGTCCAGGCGCTTGGCTGAGGAAGCGGGTGCATGCAGGACCTCTCGTGCCCAGTCCTTTTGGGGGTGTTTCTCGCTGGAGACCAACAGGTCCCTCGCGTGAGCAGCTGGCGAAATGCGCTTAGTTTTGTCTGGCGCGAGGCGGATGAGGCGGACTCTGACGCTGCTGCATGGAAAGTTGGGGATGACCAACTGCAAATGTAAGGAAGCCCGAGAGGAAAACAAGTCATCAGTTATTATGATTGATGCGGTTTATCATGCAGAATGAATTATCACAGGACGAGAGGGACTGGATCGCGATCCATCATCAGTCGCTTGTGGGGTCCCCGCGGCGGCAGAAGAAATGTGTACAGTACTCTCCCCTGAGATGTATTGCAGGATTGTTGAGCGTGTACCTAGTATGATGATGTGCACATTGTGGGAGCAGCGTACGACAGCATCAGGAACGCCAATCATTGGCTCGTCCTGCACAGCGAACACTACGACTCAAGGTACTGTAGAACAGGATCGAGCCGGGCAAGGGTCGCCCCCAGAATCACATCATCGGTCATCATTTGATGACCCTTATTTCGTTTTCGGTCGACGATGGAGCACGTAAGTCACGCGCCGTTGAGGACAAATTATGTTTCTATGTATCGGCGGTGGATAAGACCCAGATGGGCAAGCCGACTGGTCAATCGGACATGCATGCGTGTCGTCGTTATACGGTGGACGTCGTTGCTGCCGCCGCGGATATTATTGCAACGGTGGAAATGATGTGATGCCACCTGGTTGATCACGATGTGCAAGCATCATTCACATCACCTGGACAGATTTCCACATCGGTCGTCCATTTGGGTCATGGTTCGTTGCGTGGCACTATCGTCGTCGCCAATCGGGAACTGGCGCAGAGGTGGGGTCTAGTCCCGAACGAGCCAAGTGTGACGGATTGTCTTCGCGTCTGCTGAGGGCCTGGGTAGAAAGCAGGACGCCGATGGGGAAGGGGCGGTCCGTGTGCTGATTCCCTGAGGCATCGACCCTCGTTCATTGGCAGGCACCAGGACAGGACGGGACGGGTCACGCAGACCACTTTAGAGCAGGAATGGATGGAATAACGTGCTATTTACTTCCCAGGTGCTGCCGGAGTACCTAGCATGGTCCAGAATTGTGTGCATGGTCACAATCACCATAACCTTGGAATCCTGTAAATAACAATTATTATTAGGCGGGGAGAGGAAGAGGCACAGCTGGAGAGAGAAAGAAGGTCATGGATGGAAACGGAATGGTCGGCGTCAGCTGGCAGACAAGATGAGTGGTCAGGAATGGACGGGACACGCGGTCTATCTTTGAACGACTCGATGGCGTTGGTCGGGACCCGGAGGTAATGCTCAGATATTCGGGCTCCGGTGCTGCGATCTACGCGTCATGCTCGCACGGTTGAGTGCACAAAAGTCGAACTAAAGTTTCCAAGGTTGTCCTCGAGGGAAAGGCCCAGCCGCCGTTGGGCGATTGCATGATTGCATGATTGCATGATTGCATGGCACGCCAGCACATCCATTCGTCTAGTCCAGTACCTACCTAGTAGTGGTTTTTATATTATCATCGCCAGGAGCGTAGAGTACAGTAGTCTGTTGCAGCCGTACAGTAGTCTCGAGCCGTGGCCGTGGAATCATCTCGACGATCCACCACCTGAGCAGTTGTTGTTGTTGTAGTTGTGGTAGTCGTAGCAGCAGCAGCAGGAGGAGGAGTCAGTCGTGGCCACCACTCGTTCCCTCCCTCCCTCCCTCACCTCACCTCACCTTACCTCACACGGGCGCATACGCTGCCTCTTCTCTCCAATTTCTCGCTCTCTCTCGTCTCTTCTCTCTCTCTCTCTGCTGCCTCCTCTCTGACTCTACTATTGCGTCTCACCACATCATCACCGCTGTATTACCCTTGACACACCTTCTTCCACCTTTCCACCTACTACACACACACTACTCACCACACACACACCTCTCTGCACAGTACCTACACATACACCACCCATCCCTCCCTCCCTCCCCAGACCTGCATCCAACTTTCTATACTTTGTCCTCACTCTACTGTTACCACCACCACCACCACCACCTGCCGCTCGCCTTACCCAACCGCATCGCATCTCTCTTTTCACTTCACCTTCACCGCTTCCTACCTAAACCACCTAACCCATAATACTCCTTCCCTACCCTCTCGCCTTGACCACTTCTTCACACCTCGATTGTTCCACCAGCGGCAACCATAACAACCACTTGTGTCGCCTCTCTCCCCTGCGCCTCATTATCAGTCTCTCCCTCCTCTAAACTCGGCATCACACTCACTCGGCTCACACGTCGCCTGTCTCTCTCTCTCTCTCATACTCACGAAACCTCGTCGAGCTTGAGAGCGTTCGCAGTTCCTCTGGTCGCTCCTTCCTACCCCGTCTATCCGACAACGACCTCTGGATTTCCCACGGTCCTCGCCCGCTGTTGCCCGCCACGACCCGTGGTTCACGTACCAACCGCCCAGCGTTGGACGACGCGACACCTCGACCAGCAAAGAGACGCTCGACACCGCCCGCTTCACCCAACACGGTCACCTTTTCCTCTTCGCTGCTACCGTGCGGTCAACCTGTTCTCGAACAGTCCTGGCAACGACGGAAGTGACCGACGAGCTCGATTCAGCCTAGGCTTCTGCCTGGCGACCAATCTTGCCTTCGACCCTGCAACCGCCCGACGACCACGAGCCGCAAGCTTTCTCAGTTCCAATCCTCGCATAATACTTCCTTTTCCACGAACCGATACTACTTGATCTCCGCCTCTCGCACCCCGCCGACGACCGCGTTCAGATGTAATCACGACCTCACGTGCCAGCTCCCCGCAACGTCTTTCTGTGCATCGTCACCGGCTTCTTCGCGCTCGTCCCTCCTGTTTGTTTCTCTCTGTGCCTCGACATCTCCGCACAACGACGAACAGTCACCGCCAATAAAATCTCTCGCAACAACAACAACAACAACTCCTCGATAACACACACCTCCTCCGACATCTCTCTCTCTCCTCTGGGTCTGCTCACACTTGTCGAGAGTTCTCTGATCTCACGCATCCGCGTCTGACTCGGTCCTCTCGTCACGTCCCGACAGCTCTGTTACTCCCACTCCGCACCTTGAACTTTCCGGCTCTCGAATCATCTACATAATACGACTTGGACTTCATAACCTTCGCATTCCCCCGAGGTCGCTGAACGGAAACTTGCTTTCCGTTGCTTCCTCGACGTCGACACGATCCCAACAAGTGCGTAGCGGGCGATCGACAGCGCCGCTCGCATTCTCGATTCGCACATATGAACCCAACGACACCACTCACGATTTTCATGTCCCTTTGATCGCATTTGCAGCGTACCAGCATTGAGCGTGTTTTCCTTGTATTCTTATACCACCTTACCCTGGCCCTTCCGCGCAGGACCCTGTTTTATGACCTTTCGACTCTTTGCATTTTCAATCTACTAAATCTCAAGCATCACGAACAATTCTTCACGACCCCGGCACAATGGACTGTATGCGCTCGCACTTCGAGCCGGGCAGGCCGCTCGTCGATGGCCGCTTCGTCACCACCTCTCCTCTCAACCACGGCAGCTTCGGAATGGTCTTCCTGGCGAAAGACACTCTGACTGGCGATGACGTCGCAGTCAAATGCATCACCAAACCTCAAGCCATCGGTGATGCTGGAGCCTGCCCGGCTTCCCTTGCTGTGGACGACCGGTCTGAGGAGCTGGCCATTCACTCTCGCCTCGCGAACCACCCCAACATCGTCAACCTCATCGCTGACATGGACACGCCCAACCACCAATACATGGTTCTTGAACTGTGCACCAACGGAGATCTATACGAAGCCATCCGCGCCGGCAAGGGTCCTCTCGAGACCGAAAACGTTCGGGACTTGATGCTGCAGCTGGTGAGTGCCGTGGAGTACATGCACAGCAAAGGTGTCTACCACCGTGACATCAAGCCGGAGAACATTTTCTTGACCTCCACCGGTTCGATGAAGCTGGGGGACTTCGGCTTGGCTACCACGGAGACTTGGTCGACCGAGTTCGCTGTGGGTTCGGACCGCTATATGGCTCCGGAGCAGTTTGATGCGTCTGTCTACGGCTATGGATACTCTCCCGCCGCTGCAGATGTCTGGGCTATCGGCATCATCCTCTTGAACGTCCTGTTCCAGCGCAACCCCTTTGCTACTCCCACGTCCAACGACCCCCTCTTTGCCGATTTCTCGCGGGACCGCCAGAGCCTTTTTGACATCTTCCCAAACATGTCGTACGACACCTACAGTGTGCTTGTTCATTCGTTGGCCTTGGATCCTGCCAACCGATCTCTTGCCGCTGTGCGGGAAGCCCTCATGACTGCCGTCAGCTTCACCACCGAAGACGAGGCTCTTGACGAGTTCTGCACCGATCATCATGACGCCGTGCCCTTGGCGACTGCTGCTCGTGAGCCTCTGCGCACGCCTTCCGTCACCTCTCCTGCCTTGCCTGGTTCTGACTCTTTCCCATGGTCCTCGGCTCTGCTCAAGGTTTCACCAATGGCCACTCGTCAATTATCAACCATCCCTGACGAGGACATTGACCTGTTTGACAGCGCAGCGACGTCGGACTGGCAGTATGGCGATGCCGATCAAGCTTCTCTCTCCTCGGCCATGGACTCTGGCCTGGGCATGTCGTACAAGTCCGCAAAGTCCTTTGAATTGAAGCCGCCGATGGCGTCCCGTCTGAAGTCTTCTTTTGTTGGCTCCCTGCCCATCAGCTTCAACCGTCCGTCCTTCAAGTCTCCCTACGGCACCACCGGCTTCTCCAAGAGCTGGTCGGACCTGTGGGATGAGGAGATGGAGCAGGATGAGGAATTTCATGATGATCTCAACATGGACCACGTCGATACCATCACGCCGAGCACACCTCAGCCGCAGTCGCTCCCTGAGGATGGTCGTGGAAGCGCGACTCCGCGCCAAGCACTGGCCAACCTCTCCGTCAATGCTGCACCGTCCTCGAAGAGCACCGATGGCGTCAAGACCCCTGCCGAGCTTCCCAAGACCCTCTCGTCGTCCATCCTTGACAAATGGGCAGCTCTTGGTAACTTCCGTCGTGCCCGTCCGGAACCCGTCCTGACGGCGGCTGCGATTCCTGCGCAAACTACTACCAGGAACACCTTTGGCAATTTCACCCCCTTCAGCTCTTCTTCCTCGGCCAAGAAGAACATCCCTATCAAGAAGGACAACACTCCACCGTCCCGCGACCGTGCACCTTCTTGGCGGCAGGGCAGCCCACAACGTCTCCGCTCCAACAACCCCAGCCGGATCTGGCAGGAGGACGACAACTGGCGTACCCCAAAGGCAGCCAAATCTTTCACCTCTCCCTCGTCGCCGCCGTCCTCGACGGGCGTGCGCTATTCGCCGCCACATCGCAAGGCCGATGTGAATCTGCTTGATGCGGATTCTGATGACGGCAACCAGTGGGATGGAAATTTCCGCAATTTCCACTTGTAGCCTTCCCGGCTCTCCTCTACTCTCCTCTCAACCATTCTTCTTTTTTCTTCTTTCCCCTCTTCTTTTTCCCCTTTGGGTCTCGAACCTCATCGTCACTTTTTTCGTTCTCATTTCTTTCCAAAGCATTTTCTTCTCATGACACTTGCAGGGTTGGTGGACGGCAGCAGCATCGGGATGGGACAAACATCCTCGGCGCTTCCAAAAAAAATTGTGAAGGCATTTATTACCCCTTTTCATTATGTCACTGATGGGCTATCGTATTGTCTTTTTCGCTATTATTTCATTATGTCTCGGAAGGAAAAAAAATTGTATGGGAGAGAATCAGGACAACAGAGAGCCTCTGGTACGCCATGCTCTAGGATGCATCGCTATTGTGTTATTTTCTTTTGATTTTCTTTTTGGTTCGACGGGGGAGTGTCAAGCTGCAAGTGTCAAGAAGAATATTGTTTTTGGGGGGAGATTTGGAGTGTGACTTTGTTTGGTTGCGAGACAGGAAAGACGAGGTGCCTCTTGGAGGAAAAGTTGTGTGGTCTGGGAGGATGATGGAGCCGGGATCGCTCGTTCTGTAGGATTAGTTACATCGCTCCATCTTTTCGCCTGTCCTTCTCTCCGGAGGAGGATGGCGGGGAAGGTTGTGGATGTCGAGAATTATAAACAGATTACCCGCTGATGATTGTTCCCATTTCCCTCACTCTGATCTCCTTCGTGCCTGGTAAGTCCTCGTGCGTCTCGTGTCCTCGCCCGACCCTTGACTTTCCCTTGGAATAGACGAGACATCGACCTCCGTCCGTCTAACAAACTGTAGACTATTGACATACCGTATGACTTTCCCAACGATAGGATCACACCGATATCATTGAACCGATTAGTCCCTCTCCGACAGTACGCACAATTCATAGCACACAGATGCAATCGAGCCCTCAACCACTGCACTCCACTCACACATCGATCCCATAAGTAATCCCTCCAATTTCAATCCTCCGGCAGCCGATACTCCTCCTCACAACCCGGCCACCTCGGATCCACCAACCACTCCCTCCACCACTCCCTCCTCCTTCGTCGTCCAACCTCACCTCCTCCTCCTCCTCGTCCTCCGTCCTCTCCCACGGCACCGACTTCCTCCACCGCAACCGCAACCGCAACCGTCCACCTCCTCCAAATCGCCCTCACCGTCCTCTCCCCGCTCTCACTGCGCCTCACATGCAGCACCAGGCCGCCGCCGTCCTCCGCCCGGTCGTCGCCTCCCCGATGCCAATTCTCCAGCCGGAAATCCGCCGTCGAGATCCCCCTGAGCGCCAGCGCGACGGGCGAGTCCTCCGAGGTCCACGCCGTGTTGTATCCGTCCGGCCCCGGGTAGAAGATTCGCAGATTGAGGAGGCTCATGGACGAGTTCGGGGCGGAGCACTCGGGGCCGGAGCTGGGGAAGTGGGTCGCGAGGAGGCTGGTTAGGGCGTTCGGTAGAGAGGCCGGAGACGTGCTGGGGGGTGCGGATGCGGTTTTGGCGGCGGCGGCGGCGGACGTGAGGATTGGGGAGCGGTTTCGGTTGCGGTCGATGTCTTCTTCTACTTCTTCTTCTTCTTCTTCTTCTTCTCCTTGGCCTCCTTCTCCGTTGTCGGTGGTTTGTGAGTTTTGTTGCTGTAGTTGGAGATTCGTCTTCTCGGGTGGAGAGTAGACTCCCGTGATGTGGAGACTTCGGGCGTGGTAGGCCAAATGCGGGAAGACTGTCGCGAGGAGATTCAGGCCGTGGGGATATTGTACGAACAGATGTGTGCGTCGCTGTGCTGGCTTAGGGAAGTTGTCTCGTAGCTCGGCGTGGATCCTCTGACATGTTGCCAGCAGGGAACAGTGTGCTGTGGTGGGGAGGGCCACGTTTCTGGCGAGTTCATGAGCCTCGGATGAGGAGTAAAGGTGTCCATCGTCCGTCACAGTTGAGAGCAGGGCAGGGTGGTAACCACCCTTTACCGCTAACCTGTAGCTTTGAGCTCCCGACGAGTCGATAGATGGCATGCATCCGAGCGTGATGTCTACTTCATCGCGCAGGACGTATTGGTAGATTGACATGCGGAGTTCGAAGGGGAGTCCCAGCAATGGACTTGATCGATCGAGATACATTGTTCTTGATTTGAGTGATGATATGTAGTCTTGTCGAAACTCCTAAGGCACTTGGTATGAGGTGATATCTTGATCGTTCGTCTCGGGGACAATGTCCGTGGTGCCCGATCTTTCTGGCCGAGGACTGCTCGCCTGCGCCGTCTGTTCCACAACTATTTGGTCTCGATGGTGCCGGTGTGGTGCAAGCGGATAGATTATGGTCGCGCACTCCTCAACGATAGAACAAGTTCTCGTGTATGGGCAATCTATTGCCTATCGGGTCAGTCAAAACCTTAATCTCCGCACAACATGCCGTCAGTCAGTCACGATGGTAGTACCGCAAGATCCCGTACACATTGACACTTTATCATCTGGACATCTGGACATTTGGACAAGGATGTTATCGCTTTTGGCGACGTGCTTAGGGTTGTATTTGGGGTTGGGGTTGTTGGCGGCTCGGGCAACCCTATGACAGGACGACAGCCGCATATGGAAATGCTATCAAGAAACTTGAAATCTCATCACGACTTCAGCACGAGGGAGTGATTGTCCGCGAAGGACATGCTCCCCATCAATGCCCTATACCTTCCGTAAATCACCTGACGATGATATGACGATGCAAGCTAGGCGCGCACGACAACCATCATGAGGCGCTTTTGTGGTGCCAATTGGTTCCGGCACGCGCAGAACTCACACTGAGATGATAAGACACAGTCTCATCGAAAGCATCATCAACAGAGAATAGCCAGATATCGCGACACGATGGAATGGATAGGCAACAGTATGGCCAAGAACCCGAGAAATGATGTGATTGGAAGTGTCGAAGAGGCATTCATCGCTTCGGTTGGAGTTTGAGCGATGACTGCCCACGAAGGCGTCTTCGATATGGATGGCGTTGAAACCGAAGGTCGCAACCAGCCGGTGCGCGTTGTTACACCTCAACGAATGCAACACTGGTCGTGGAGTGCTGGCAAGTTGAGATTGCAGCGTCGCATCAACAAGGGTTGATCTACCACATGAATGCATGCACAAACTTCCTGCAGACTTCAAGATGCTCCATATCAAACGAGATCATCCTCTCTTCAATCCTTCTCCCCAGGGAGAGGAGTGCAGATATCATGATGCCGTCATTGTTTGTCGATGCTACCTCATACCTCCAACACAAGGTCAGACCAGGGGCAGAGCATAAGTGGCAGAAGCGATACCAATCCACAACTATGGCAAGTCTGCCAGGTTGAGAAAATCAAGATATGAGATGCCTCGGCAGAATACAAGCCATGGTCTGGTACGAGCCATATGTTCATACCCCGAGCGCTTGGAGTTGTCCTGTGATATCTCTGAAAATGAGGGGCGAGCTGAAGAAATGTAAAAATTTCAGGCGTTTAAACTGGCTTATGCAAGTAATTTGCTGTTTGAGCCAGGTAGTGCCGACCCGGTCCTGGCGGGGATATCATCCTCGACCACCATGATGACGAGAAAGGACACGACAACCATCATCCGAGAATGTCCGGGTTTTCTGAAAGGTACCGCCAGCGCAGAACGTTGGCTTTTGAAACCGCGAGCCAGTGGACGGAATATCAGCTTCCAAGAGATGATAGTCCTCGGCTCTTCGCATGGAAGACAAGATACCGACAGAGTCGAAGTATCGTGACACTCCCAAGTCTTCACCCTCGGCGCCACCGCGATCGGAAAAGGCTCCAATCTGCGGAGTCCAGCATCATCACGGCAGGGGCATTGATGCAGAAGTCCATGCGATGGAACAGCGAGTCTCGTCGCTCGTCGATTTGTCCGAGGCAGTTTCGTCGTTGCGCCGTGACTTTCAAGTCGCCATGTAGGTATCGACACGCAGAGCGCAGGATCAAAGAAGTATATCGCGCATGTCGATCTCGAAAATGCCATGACAAGGCAGCTTCGACCCGGCATAGCCCACATCCATCAAGTTTAAATGTCCTCAAACCAATATTGTGAGTAGGGCGTGTATTCGGTCCGAGTTCGAGTCGTACGCCTGCAGATACTGTCTTTCACCCCGAGAATGTGCAGACACGAAAGTGACCATCCTGGCCATGCCCAGTACCGGGGGCCTTGAGGCTGCGTCAAGACTGGTGACATCGCGCACTGTATATGGTACAATCGTAATATTGTCTGCCATCTTGTCCCGCCTTTTCCCGACATTCAGCGAGCGTTGATACCACCGCCGCCGGAACCGTCAAGGCCACATTGTTGCCGGAAGCCTGTTCCTACAAACGAAACTATAGATACCGAAATGCAGTGTGACTTGACGCAGAGTGATGTGGCATTGCACTCTCAAGCTCGCGTTCTCTTTCATCTCGCCCCGAACTTTCGCATGAATAGTCCAGCTCGCGAGCAGCCAGTGTGTGCAGGTGCGACATGGAGCTTCCGTGACGACCTGCGCCTGGCGGCGCTGAGATTCTCACAGCCGCGACGTTATAATCCCGAGTGCTTTGCGGCCACTCCCACATGATTCGGTAAGGTCAAGAAGAAATATCGGAGTGTGAAGTCCGAGCGCGTTAGTTGCTGTGCGCGCCAACAGCTAGCGGGGAGCTTCCGCGGCGCAAGTGGGATTTCGACTGCCGAAATGAACCAACTCAACATGGAACGGCACACTCGACGACTGCCGTTGCGGCCTCGCAGTTTCGTGCTCGATGCTGAACACACTCGACATTCCGGATAATTCATCATGATTGCGAGCATGCCGCCACGCTGATACAGTCCTCGACATGCCTGGTACTCTGACAAAGGATTGCAACACATACGCCACATCCCGAAATTCATCTCAGGTCCCTAGCGCTAAGGCTGCACGATGATAGAGGAGTTTCGACTAGCGCCGTGTGATGCGCACGACAGGTTCACACCACCTATCACAATGTCATGATATGCAAGAGGCTTGAGAGACAAGGCGTTCCGCAAGAACAATGTCACGGATTCGTGAGTGCTCGCGAACCGGCACAGCAAACTCTCCACCACATACTTCGCGTTGGATGCAACCCCATGTCTAATCATCGATGACATCTGAATCGAAAAAGGCGTACCGGCACGGGACCCAGCATGCTCCTCGCATTTTCTTTTGATGTAAACTTGGGGATGTGACGATCTTTGAGCTGGTATTGCCATCACCTCAGCTTGTGGTACCGGTGACCTTGTATTGATGTATACAACAAGGGAGGCGAGCGGGGAATTTCACCTGTACATGCGCCCAAGTCGTCGCTTTTCACAAGACTTCAACGGTGTGGTGCTTTTTCTACTTCCAAGGTTGACGAGGATGCGATGAATACGTCTCTACACGGAGCGGGCCAAGGTGACATGGCATCGACCCCTTGTCGCGTTCACATGTAGATGCAATATTGGTCGAGCAAGTGCTCGGCATCTGCACATTTCTAACAGGATGTGATGCGCGTGAATGGATGCTATGGCTCGACCGAGATATAAAAGGTGACTGAGATGCGAGTCCATGGAGGTTTGCTCGGTTCTTCAGCACCAACAATCACACACAACAACCTCATCCGAATACCAACAAGACACCAGCAATCATGAGTAGCTCCAGCAACACCAACAACACCGCTGCTGGTGGCAGCACTGGCGGCACTGTCACTGGCACCACTACCACTGGCACTTCGACTGGCACTACGACTGGCACCACTACCACTGGAACAACGGACGCAGATTATAGGAAATGGGCAACCGAGTTTACGTCTAAGGATTCCGAGGGATCCAGAAGGGTGATAGAGGCAGGCAAGAAATCCCAAGAGAAGCATCAACGCTCCAGAGACAGGAGCTAGTCGATTCGCTGTAGCCCAATGAAAGAGGTGAGGAAGAATTCCCGCACCTCCATGATTGCCATTTGCTAACGAAAGATGAACAGGATTGCCACGCATGTCAAGTACCGTCTAGGTGTAACACCCTGATGCGGGGATGCCGAGAGGGGCCGCAGACGAGTATCTGGGCCAGGGCGCAATCTCTTATTGGCGCAACGTAATTTGGCGGATTGCGGTCAGGGATGTGGTTGAACATGTGAAGACTAGAGCTTGAACGTTGAGCTTAACGTGAATATAAACTCACATCTGTTTCTCTGTCATCGCAATTGTCTGTCATCGTATTGCTTTACCGTGCCACTACATTACTTTTGATCCACTTTCAATATCGTGTCGATGCCATGCTTTCAAACGAGATCCGCAAGATAGAGAACCAAGTGCGCTTCCATGACTGGGCCGACAAGTTGTATTCGTGTCGCAATGAGAAGCTCACGAATTGGGTGACTTCCTTTCATCCAGACAAGCTCGCTTGCCGCCTCGCTCACGATTCGGTTGATGATGACTGGAAGGGCAACTTTAACTGGTGTGTTCGTGTCATTTTCTCCAACGAAGACAGCTGGATCGTCCGTTTCCCGCAGGGTGGTAGGGTGGCTGTACCTGATGAAAAAGTGGAGTGTGAAGTCGCCGCTATCATGCTGATTCGCCAGCATACGGATATACCGGTGCCGGCTGTGAAGGCATGGGGGCTCTCACATGAAAACGCCCTTGGACTAGGACCTTTTATGATGTCCCAATTCGTGGAAGGCGTAAGCCTCGGCGGAATTCTTCAAGATCCGGAAGCAAAACACCGCTCCATGGCCGACAACATTGAAGACAGAATGCTTGAGAAGATCTATCGACAGATAGCAAAATTTCAGTTGCAGCTTGCTTCGCTTGATTTTTCGCACATCGGCGGCCTATCTTGTTCTATGCAACGCGATGACGAGAGCAAGATCATTACTGTCGACAAGCGACCGTTAACATTGAGGGCTCACTCAATATTGAAATTGGGTGATGTCGACGTTCTTGGTAAATGCATCCTCTTAAAATAGTGCGAAGATGAACTAACATGCTTGAGGTCTTTCGAATGCCACCTTTGCACATGCAACGGAGTACTTTGAACACATTACACAAGGAAACATGACACACCTTCGAGAACAGCCGAACTCAACAGATGACGAGGACGACGCCAGGCAAAGATATCGATATTGGACGGCGATGCACAAGCTTGCTCCAAAGGTGTTGATGTCAGAGTTCAACAATGGCCCATTCAAGCTCATTTGTGACGACTTCACACCGGCCAACATGATTGTCAACAACGCGGAAGATCTTGAGATTATCGCCGTCATCGACTGGGAGTGGTCGTACGCAGGTCCACTGCAGCTGTACTGGTCTCCGCCGCGTTGGCTGCTCCTACAACAACCTGATTACTGGAAAAAGGACGAGGAACGGCTCGATCGATACAAGCATTGTTTGTTCCTCTATCTGAGGATTCTCGAGGATGAAGAAGAGAATTCTCCAAATCTGATCAGTGAAGCTCGTCCTCGCGGCTCTTCCTTGATCAAACAGGCATGGCAAGATGGGAGAATTTGGTACCACCACATCCTGCTCGGTTCTTTCCACCATATCTCAGACGTTCCGTATCGCGAGCTGAAAGCTGTCGCACCGGAATTGGACGACCTTGCCAACGCAGTACCTGCCCAAGAAGTAGAAGTGTTTGTCGAAATGAAGATGGAACAACTCCGGACCTACAAGGCTGATTTGCCGAAGAAGACTGAAGAGTACCTGCAGTATGTCCGTGCTTATTTGGACAAGGAGGCCGAGGAGCAATATCAGACGGCACGAGCTATACTGGCGGAGGAAAATGAGGCGGAAGTACAACTTTTCAAGGCCAATCCAGGGGAAGGGGATGATGATGAGCAATTGCAGCTCTTCAAAGCGAAGCTGGCGAAGGAGGCTGACGCAAAATTGCACTTCCTCAAGGAAGCGTTGGAAGCGAGGAAGGAAAGGTCCGTGCCAAAGTACATGGCCATTTTGGAGGAGGACTAGCACCAAGTGATGAACACCGTGATGAGCCAAACGCTGTATCGTATCGGTGTTCAATAGAAGCACCTACGTATTTCGGCTTCGAATGCTGACTCCTCTTTGCAATTCTGGGTGACTTATCACTCAAGTCTTGCAATCTGCTGTGGACATTGGGAGCATGGCATGATGACAGATCCGAGAAATTTGTGTCGAATCAATCCGAGACGTCAGATTCCTGCGCAGCCTCGCCGGCGCTTGACTGTTTCTTGGCCTTCTCTCGAAGCTTTTTCTTGACTTTCTTCTCTCTGTTACGTCGCGTGCGTTTCTCGCGGTCCATGGCATCGTTTTCTTCGGCTACCTTCCGTTTCTGTTCTTCTTTCATGTTGCGGTCGGCGATCTGCTTGCGGACCTTGATCCGCGCAGCTTTGCCTTTGCGCTTACGTGTCGCGGGCGCTGCTGCGCCTAGTAGCTTCTCGTAAACGGCATTTGGTTCTGCCAAAACCAGCCTTTGCTTGCGCGTGCAAGGAAGGCGAATGACTCTCCATGCATAAGCCGACCCGGTCCAAGGGATCTTCGACTGAGCAATGATCTGATCGCCTGTGAAGGCTGATATTTCGAAACCTTGTTGTTTGTCTGCGGTAGGCGCTTGAGTGAGGTAATAACTTTGGTCACGTTGTGCCCGCGTGAAGCCCGGTGTTGCGTCCTGTGCCGCAGGAGACTGGAGTCGAATTTTCGCTACCGGCAATGATTTCTCTTCCGGTCCTGAAATGTCGGCTGATGGTGCGAACAGGCAGAACTCAAGTTCCTCTTCATCATCGGCAGCATTTGGGCCTTGATGGCTCACATCGTCTGGTCGAATATCATGCTTAATGAATTCAAAAGCAGGTTGCGATCTGGTACTGGTGGGAGGTAGATCTTGCTCAGACGACAGATGTGATCCTTCATCATCAGACCGAAGCTCCGATCTTCTGACAATGCGCTCCATCATGCATTTAGCGGCTGACTGTAATCATCACATTTGATATGTGATCAATGTTTCGTCGTACTGATGAATTTGTTAATTGAGCGGGTGAAACCTGCTTGTTGTGTGGTCGGGCCGCTCCGTGGACTTCCATGTAACAAATACAAATTGATGGGCGAGCACCCGAGGAGTGGTGCAGGCGCGTGTACATATAAAGATCATCTCAGCAAGAAATTTAATTCGAAAATCATTATTCATGGGAAAACCAACAAAGAGACTACCTAGATACCGAGCGCCCACGGCAAAATCACTGATTCTGTCCTGGACCATTCGAAATTCTCTATTGCTGGAAAGGTTATCTCAAATTGCGATAGTTTTGAGTCAGATAGATATCTACCAGAGATATGTGCACGCCAGTATGAAAATGCTCTAATCGCCCATTGCTTCATCGAATCATAAATCCTTCGTCATTATCGCCGAGCTCATCACTGTCCCAGCCATCTTCCTCGTCACGTTGTGCCATCTCCAAAAATCGTTGCAACTCGGCTTGCTGTCTATTCTCTAGCTCATCGGGTCGAGCAACAGCAGGACGTCTGCGCGCTCCGCGTTCGTGCTCGCGCACTCGTTGCGCCGCTCCATTGCCATTTGGCATAGCTGGGAACGGGTTTCGCGCTCGTCTTGGACCACGGCGTGCATTGACTTCGACGCCAGGTGGAAGCTCACGCACCAGTTGTACTTGTGCCATCGCTACCTGAAGAGGGACCTCGATATGAGGTGGATCTGGTGCATTGGGAAAGAGGTGTTCGACATCGCGATCTTCTTCTTCTTCTTGCGCCTGCAGGGCTGCAGCAGCAGCGGCGTCTTCAGCTTCGTCAGCTGCCCGAGCGACCTCGATGGCGAGCTGTTCCCAACCTCGTCCGCCCGCAAACCCGCCACCATCCCTTGGCGCCTGACCGTCATCCCCCTCCTCCAACTCCCAAAGCCGTTGAAAGCAGGGTGTGCCTTCTTTGTTGAAGTGCTGATAAGGATTCGCTGGCTCCAACCAGGCGCCACATAAATAGCAGAAATGAGTGTTGCATTGAAAACAGCGCATGTGATTGCAACCCATCGTCTTTTGCACCGGCACATTGCAGTATGCGCAAGGCGATGTGTGTAGTCGAATATATTCGTAGCTTGCCTTTTCCTCCGCACTGAGCTCATTCGGGTCTCGAGGAAAGCATCGGGCGAAGGGACCGTGCCAACCCATGTAGCATACCTGACAGAAGGCGAATGAACATTTTTCGCAAACTGCGAGTCTGTCGGATGGGTTTGGAGGGATACGACTATTAGACTTGTTGTCCACATGTGGCTCTGCAGCGTTGTCGCCTTGCTCGCCGTCTGAGACCATCTCTTCAGCAACATATGCTCGCAGATCGGCTGGAATGGGAGGATATTTGGCAGACTTTGCTGCGCCTTGACACCATGTCCGAGGACAGTATACTGTGCTCTTGTCCGCTTCCAGCCTCTTCTTGCGCTTCATCTCAACAAAGCGACGAACCACGGCCTCGTCAATGCCCATGTCCAACAGTTCTGACGGATGGACTAGGCGTTCTTTCTTTATAGTCCTCCGCCCCTCCGTCGCCCCGGAATCCTTGTCACACTCTGGATGCATGCATCGGACACCACTGATGTCTCCCTCGGTGATGGCGTTGTTGTAAAAGTCTTGCAGACACTGACGGCAATAGATGTGACCACAATGCTTCATCTGGTAGCACATCGTTCCCTTCTTCGGGTCCAGACAGACTCCGCAATCATATGTGCCGGCTTCGAATATTTCTCTTCGCTTCTGCGAATTATATGAAACCAGACCGTCCTCGAGAGCGGACGATAAGGATAGACACCCATTGCCATCATCTGCTAGGTCGAAGCCACGCTCGGCAGCCTGTTGTAGGTGATCAATGTATGAGAAGAGTATCTGACATCTTCCATAGTCTTCCCAGAGCACAGCAGCAGCCTTTTCAAGATCGTCCTTCTTTTCTTGCGGAAGCCAGATTGGATGAGTCGACAAACGCACTTCAGGTGGTGATGACACAGGATAATCGCGAGGGAGTTTTACTTGCAGTGTGATCGGTGGCAAATGAGAGAGGTGGAGGTCATGCTCGACCACTGCTTTGCGAGCGGTAGCAGGCTGGGAGCCCCCCTGAGCTTCAAAGGAAGGCTGGAACCGAATGAGCAAAGGAGCACTGGGTGAGACAGCAAGTTCGATACAAGCGGAGAACACCTCTGGATCGGATGTGTCGACAATCAATTCCGGGAAGATGGCGGCCAAAGATTCCAACTCTTCCCGTCGCTCCTCGTCTTCTGGTGATGCGGCCATATCGCGATGGACGGGCGCTGAGAGGGGTGAAATATGTTACGCCTCTTGAGGCAATGTCGATCATGGATCCAAGCAAGACGGCACATGCAAGAACTTGACCACTACATTCGAAGCGTCGAAATATGCGTACAGGTGACTCGCGCGAGCCCGAACAACGCGGGCTATGAGTTCATCATCTGGACTGTGGTCTTGCAGACCTACCATGGGACGAAGTATTGATATGAAGTTTTGCCGCTGACCTGAAAGACGTTTTGAGAATATGATCTAATGCTTGCCGCAAATATTTGTTCACGTCCAGAAGGTGGCAACTTGCCAGAATGGCTTAGCAGTAGTAGACTACAGTCATGCCATGTCCAGTCACGAAAAAGTATCGAGTCATCTCAGCGCAGGGCTTAATTGAGAGCCGCGGTGATGGCGCAGCGGCGAACATGGCACGGACCGCCGACGATGTTCCCTCATCAATCGCGGAGGGCGATCAGCGGGCTTGCAATGATCTCATTCCCGCGCGCGCCTTGTCGTCACACCAGTGCTGGCAGCAATTAAGAAACACGGAATTTCAAAAACTTGAAGACCGTCCACGGCTCCGGGGCGTCAACTATTCAAAGTATATTTGACAAGAAGTATCATCAATCGGTTGCTGCATCAATTGCAGGACCGCCAAATCTCCTCTCCCGCCCTTGGTCACGTCGATTCCTGCATTCTCCTCCGCCTACCGTCGCGATGGATGGGCCTCCATTGGCATCTCTGTCGCTAACACATGTCAACTACGATCCTAGTGATCCAGTATCGCACCTGTGCGCATTTCTTGCACTGGTACCACAAGCGCTGGTCATCGTGTATGTCGCTTTGATATGGGGCACCCGGGAGATGGAGATTCTCCTCATGTTCGCGGGTCAGATGGGCTGCGAAGCATTGAACTGGGTGCTAAAACGATACATCAAGGAGGAGCGTCCGACGCGTAAGTTCCGATGTGCTACGCCAAATTTCTAGGGGCAATTCGCTAATCCGCAACACGATAGAATCGACGGGTAAGGGATATGGCATGCCATCTTCTCACGCTCAGTTCGTTGCTTATTTCGCGACATATTTATCGCTATTTTTGCTTGTTCGTCACAACACCCGGGACAATTTTCACCAGTCTACAACGCATGTTCCAACCCCACTTTGGCAACGCTTATTGTTGGCACTATCTTCCTTTGTGGGTGCTGCCGCTGTGGCACAAAGCAGAATTTACCTCAACTACCATACGCCGCGTCAAGTGCTTGCAGGATGCGCTGTTGGATTTGCTTGCGCAGCAGCATGGTTTATCGCAACAAGCATTGCCCGGAGATATGGTATTGTGGATCTGTTGTTGGATCTACCACCCTTGAAATTCATCAGGATGCGGGATCTGGTGGTCAATGACACACTTGAGGATGCGGGATGGGAGCGGTGGCAGCGAAGCCGGCAGCGCCGAGTAGAATCGATCAGGAAGAAGATCACCTGAGGCCCATCACTCGTCTGAATTGATATTTTCAGCTAAAGGGTGGAATAATTCCGGCTGCAATCTAGCGTAACTCGAACGTCCATCGGAAGGCTCGACATTGACCTGATGGATCATTTCTCGCTGTTCTCATGCGCAAAGATGTTGAAGCTAGAGCTTCACAATTTCATATCGTATTCAAGGGGCCGCAAGTACGGCGTAGATTTGATCTTATATCGGAGGCAAAGAATGTTCATAGAACGTCCAAGATGATGCCGATGAGTTCTTCAAACTCAGCGCGTCCAGCCATGCTCTCGGCGCCATTTTCGAGGCCCAAACCAACAATAAGCAATCGTGCCTCGGAGGGTCGTTTTGTCAGAATGGCACTGGCAATAGTTGTCGCTAGTGTCTGGCCAAGAACTTCATCGCCCTGTCTCGTTCCGCCGAGAACTGTGGTTGCCGTGAGATGGGTCATCGGCAGTAAGCTGTTCTCAGTATCCATCGTCAATAGCGGCCCTGGGTCCATAGGATTCGATGACGAAGTAGCCAGGGGTACATGAACCCAATGTGAAAGTCTGCCGGCCTGGGAAATTGTGACCATGATTTTGTCTGAGAAGCTGATCGTCATGGCTTCAGTGACTACATTGTTGACCTTCCGTGACGTGGACTGCGTCTGAGCTGGGAAGGCTTGTATTGACGCCATCGCAACCTATTGCGTTAGAGATGAAGTCGCAGCAGAACGGCTCTGAATGATGATTCAAGACGGCGATCCTTTTTCGGAGAAGTTCAGTTATGAAGAGATAGCTCAAAAAAATACCTGACGGGATCATGCCTGCTAATGGTACAAAACTATTTGTGCTCTTGAGTTATCCACACCTGCATCTATGTCAAACTATACTTGGGTACATCCGGGCAGCCGCGAGGATCTGACGCTAACAATTATCTACATTTCGGAGGAAGGTCACGCGAGGGCATCCAAATAATTTTCGAGATGCAAATCAAACTTGCATCACTCAATCGCAATGCCGCCGAAATTTGTTCCACGCGAACGAAAGCACAGGAAAATCGCACGTCAGAAGGAAGCAGAATCGGCAGCGCAAGATGCCGGTGAAGTCCCTCAAGAAGTCACCGGGAAAAAGAAAAAGAGGTTGCAAAAGTACATAGAGACAAAGCTCAAGAAGGAAGAGAATCTTGAATTGCTCAAAAAACTTGCGGCCCACAAAGTCGACACGAGTCTGCTTCAGAGTGCAAAAAAACTTGGTCGCGTACATGAGAACAAGAGAGAGCGATTTCAACGGGCACTGAAGGAACGCGCGGCTGGTATAGATGTCAATGGAGATCAGGACGACATTCTGCTGGAGGAGCGAGCGACAGACCTGTATGATTCGATACCTGATAAAGTTTTCAATCACCATGAATCGCGAGCTGCTGTAGCAAATGAATCGACTCTTCCACCAGCGTCAACACAAGGCTTCGGTCTCGGTTTGAAACGTCCCTTAGAAGTAGATGAGGCTGGACTGCCAGTCATAAAGCGACGTAAGCGACGAAAGCCACAGCCGAAATTATCATCAGCACCAGCTGCGCACGATAGTGATAATTCAGACGGCCCGTCAAATGCTGAGGATGACCCAGAAGACGAGTGGAATGGATTTGACTCAGGCGCAGAAGAGGATAGCACAGCATCGGACAAATTTCAGGCGAATGTGAGCCCAGGGGCGGAGGCAGACTCTGACAATGAGTCCGACAACAACTCCGAGTCATCAGAGGCCGCAGCGGGAGATTCAGACGAAGAAGCTGAAGCAAGCGACGAAACATCTCCCACAGCTTCGGATGCGGACTCAGACGTTGAAGACGCGCAGATCGATGACGAAGCAGAGGAACGACCGACGCGACTGTCAGCTTTCAAGGCTTGGGCCAACGTTCAACGTAACGAAGCCATGGACTTCACACCGTCAGCCGTGCCCGTAACCTCAGAGGCTGTCAAAGCCAGCTTCACGCCCCGCGCGCCATCTCCCAATCCAGATGCCATTGCAGCGTCTCAGGCATTAGCGACTGATACAGGCTTTCGTCCTGCTGCCGCCGTCAATATTGCACGTCGTGAAGATGTGCAAAACGCGCGACTGGAGCTGCCTGTCGTCCAAGACGAACAAAAGATCATGGAAGCTGTAAACGGAAATCCGGTAGTCATTGTGTGTGGCGCTACGGGATCTGGTAAGACGACACAGATTCCACAGATTTTACTCGAGAACGGCTATGGATCTCACGGCATGATTGGTGTCACCCAGCCCCGACGGATAGCAGCTACATCTGTCGCATCTCGCGTGGCATACGAACTTGGTGATGAACACGGGAAAAACGTGGCCCATCAGGTAAGATATGACAGCAATGTCGACCGCAACACCAAGATCAAATTTATGACGGACGGTGTTTTGCTGCGCGAAATCAGTCAGGATTTCATCCTGAGCAAGTACAGCGTATTGGTAATCGACGAAGCGCATGAGCGCAGTGTGAATACCGATATTCTCATCGGAATGCTTTCGCGTATCGTGCCATTGAGACGGGAACTACATCGTGAACAACCGGAAAAGCACACGCCCCTCAAATTGATTGTGATGAGTGCTACTCTGCGTGTGTCCGACTTCTTATTGAATCAAAGACTCTTTCGCGACACCATTCCCCCGCTTGTCCAAGCAGAGGGACGACAGTATCAAGTCACAGAACATTTCGCTCGGCGAACGCAGCGAGATTACGTGATGGAAACCATTCGCAAGGTCTCGCGCGGTCACAAGAAGCTTCCACCTGGAGGCATTCTGGTCTTCTTAACTGGTCAAGACGAGATTCAGACTGTTGCAAAACACCTGCAGGAATCGTTCAGAGACAACCAGGATGGATTTCACAATTCAAGTCATGCAAACCCTCGTATTACGAAGCATGTAGAGAATGACTACCTTGAGAACGAAGATAACGACGATTCCGATTCTGATACCGAGATTCACGGCCTTGACGATTATGACGAAGATGACGAATTTGCTGTAGAGCCGGACACAACGGCGACGACACAGCGTGGACCTTTGAAAGCACAAGTACTCATGCTATATGCCGCGCTTCCTCCGAACTTACAAAAGCGTGTCTTTGAACCCGCTCCAGATGGGACGAGGAATATCGTTCTTGCAACGAATGTTGCAGAAACCTCTCTCACAATTCCAGGAATCAGATATGTGTTCGATTGTGGACGCAGCAAGGAGAAGACTTACGATGGCTCGACAGGTGTACAAGAGTATACTATCGATTGGATCTCAAAGGCTAGCGCATCTCAACGAATGGGTAGAGCTGGTCGTACTGGACCTGGCCACTGTTACAGGCTCTACAGCTCTGCAATTTTCGAGCAGTACTTCGAAGAGCATTCGGCGCCCGAGATCCTGCGAGCACCCATCGAAGGGACTGTGTTGCAGCTCAAAAGTATGGATGTAGAAAACGTGATTGGCTTTCCGTTCCCGACGCCACCGAGCACTGAGCAACTTCTGCATGCGGAAAGATTACTCAAGAATCTCGGAGCAATCGATGCAAGATCGGGTAAGATCACACAGGTCGGCCGAGATTTGGCGTACTACCCTGTCAATCCGAGATTCGGGAAGATGCTGCTGCTCGGTCTTCGCAATCACGTCCTGCCTCTTACAATCGCTTTGGTCGCCGGACTTGCGGTCGGCGACCTGTTCATCGCAGCACCTCGAATGGACCGTGCTTCGATGGATGCTGGCGACGATTCAAGTGAAGAGGAATACAAGAAACGCAGAGTTGACGCGGCGGCACTGACAATGGCTCAGAAACGTCAGCAGGCTTATGGGCGCGCCAACGCGACACTCTCTGCCTGGGATGACAATGCAGATGTGATCAAACTGTTGACAGCAGTAGCGGCTCACGCTCAAGCCGAGGAGGACCCGGATAATATCCCGAGCTTCTGTGAAGAGTACTTCCTCCGTCAAAAGGGTATGACCGAAGTACAACAACTACGCAGACAGCTGCACAACATCATGCAAGCCCATGTCAAAGACGGTCGCATCGCCGCCTTCGTCAAGCAGCTGCCCGCTCCTTCTAAGAAGCAAATCGCGATGCTCAAGCAGATCGTCGCTGGTGGCTACGTGGACCAGGTAGCGATCCGAGCCGATCTCCTCCCCTCCCCTCCATCGCTCCGCCCAGGCCGCCGAGCAATCGAAGTGCCGTACCGAACGATCATAGCATCCGCGTCAGAAGTCGACCGCATGGCCCCAATCGAGCAGCAAGAGGAACACAAGAGCGTCTACATCCATCCCAGCAGCGTACTCTCGCGTCTCTCCGTGGCCGAAATGCCCCCTTACATAATCTACTCCGAGCTCAGCCGAGCGACGGCCAAAAACCTCAGCGACGCGCCGCGCAAGACACGCATCCGGCCTCTGACCACCATCGCCCGTAAGCAGCTCGCGGCGCTTGCAGAAGGAACGCCCCTGCTTGATATGGGCAAGCCGATCGGCAAGATCGAGGAGAGCGAGGCGGGTCGTCGGCGGGAGTGCTGGCTCAATGTCTCGCTGCGGGACCCGAATGCAACAGGGACGACCGGATGGCCGCTTGGTGCATGGAAGGTCGCCCAGACGAGGAAAGGCAAGGATTGGGCGACGGAGAAGGTCATTTCCCGTGGGACAGCGTGAGTATCAAGCGGGCTGCCCGGCGCCCGTTTGCGTGTGCGAGGCGGCGATGCGGCCGCAATTTCATGTATGATAGCCATATTCGGCTGTTGCCGACCATTCGATTATCCACTATTGTTATGAAGGTCAGTCGCAATTGAGTGATCGACGGCTTGCGTTGTAAACATGAATGTATAGTGATGCAATGTCCACACGCGCGATGATGACCATGTACCAACAAAGACGTCTCGTATGCAAAAATGAGCGAAAGCTTTAAATTGTCCTTCTATCAGGCTTAAGGTATTACGAAAAAGATGGGGGATACCAGCCAAACACCTTTGGGAAAACCCCACCCTCTGCTGTCCATCGTCTAGTAAAGTTTTCGGAGGGGTCATAAATCATATCATGCTAAAATTATGCCAAAGGGAGGTTTGGTGGGAGTGATAACAGAGTTAACGGAGAAAGGAGAAAAATAGGAGTGACGGATCAGATGCGCTTGGCGCCCAAGATGCCGCTGTTGGCAATGGCGGCGCCCAGGGTTGACTTCAAGTAGCACGCCGCGCCGGAGAGGCTGACGTCGACGCAGCCGGCGGTGGCATCGCAGAGGTCGACGCAGGCTTGGAAGGAGGAGACGCTGGCGGATTTCATGTCGCCGCCGCGGTGATCGATGCCGCATTCGATTAAAAATTTGTTGCCTTTAGGCCCGATGTATGCGGTGTTGTTGCTATTAGGGCAGGAGAGAGTTGCGCTAGTCGCTGTAGGCGTGACAGAGGTATAGGTGGTGGTTGGGTTCAATGTTGTTGCTGTGGTCGGGCCAGCCGAGGTGGTTGCGATGGATGTCGGATTACTGGTTCCGGTGGTCAGCGAGGAACCGCCACTCGCAGAAGAGTCGGGAGGAGTAACCTGGGATGGAGGAGACTTGAAGTAGAACGGGTTGGTGTGGGTGTCGACTGTGAGCGGCTGTCCGAAGTATTCGTATTCCACCTGACGCGTGTTGACCTGTACCGTGTTAGAGAGATTGTCGATCGCACATTGTGTGGTGGTGAACTTACGAAAGAAGTGTTGCCACGGATCCCGTCGATGTTGGCTTGTCCGACCAGACGCATGGTCGAAATCAATTCCTCTCTGATCTGACTGAGAATCTGTTGCACGCCTGCCTGACCGTAGATGTTGGCAAACATTGCTGGTCGTCCCATCCCAACGGCCCGAGCGCCCAGGGCAAGCAGGATCAACACGTGAGTCGCACGTCGAACACCGCCGTCAACGTAGATCTCCATCTTGTCGAAAACCTCGGGATAGAGGCGGTGAACATCGAGGAGGACCTCGACAGCGGTGGGTGTGAGGTCTACCATTCGTCCGCCGTGGTTGGAAATGTAGACAGCGGGGAATCCTAGGTCAGCTAGCTGTTTGATGAGGTGGACATCGGTGACACCCTTTGGAATGATTGGCAAGGTGGTCATCTTCTGCACGGCCTGAAGCGATTCAACTGTGAAAGTATCGCTGTGTCCAGAATCGCCGCCTCGTCCGTAGAATCGAATTTGTCGACTCCGGATGCCATTGATTCCCGTGTTGTCGACGGTCAGGAACACTGCCTTGTAGCCCGCCGCCTTCATTCGATCAAGCTCACTCTGCAGTCTGTTCTTGTCGCTCCACGCGTACTCCTACACATCACATCGTCAGTACGGCAGATTCGCAACCATGTTTAGCGGTCTGTGAGATTTACCTGGTGGAACAAGATTTGACCACTGGACCGAGCAGATGCAATGGTCTCCATGGATTGTGATGAGGAAATGGACGGCACGTAGAGGATGCCTGCAGCAGCAGCAGCTTTTGCTAAGTTGGATTCTGCGCCTCCATTGGCCAGACCAGCTTGAGCAGCTGGAGCGATGAAGAATGGCGCATTGAACTGATAGCCTAAGATTGAGGTCTTGAGATTGGCGTTGGAGACATCGGCTAGGTTGAAAGTGTTGAGACGGATTTTGCTCCAGTTCAGCATGTTGGCCTGATATGTGATTTCGTCGAGAGCGGCTGCAGATCGGAATGTAAGTATATCAACTACAAAGAAATCGTTCATGGACATTCACAACTCACCTGTGCGGTAGTAGGCATAGCTGGCCGGCGACAAAGTGTTCTTGGCCGCGAATTGCATGTCATTGAGATCCACCAGGCTTGACATCGGTGGCGCCCTGCCCGTAGTCCAACCTGATGTATCAAGACTGAATGAAAGATTTGATCGTCAGCAACTTGGTTGTGATCATTTCTGGCGATGATTCCGCGCATACCCAGTGTCCGGAAGGCCCTCAAAGTCGATAGTTGCAGCATATCCCCATGATGCCAGGCCCAAGGCCAGCAATGCACGCAAGGAAGCCATTAGCAGTGAAACTGCAGCAGTATGAGTGAAAGATTGAGCAAGTCGAAAGCAATATAGATTACGATGACCGTTAGAGCGTAACAACAACAAGAGATCACGTTCAACGGGTGCCGGAATGCAAAGATAAATATTTGGATCTGCTCTGGCGCGAGACGATGGAACACATAAAATTCATCGTTGGGTCGCATGAGCATCGCCGACAGCACCAACGGACCGGCATCATACACGATGCGCCCAACATGATCCACGGATTGGTGTCAGCGTCAGCGTCAGCGCTAAGACCAGGAGGGAGGGTACAATAGGCATGAGATCAGTAGATCCGGACTCGCTAGAGGGAGCACACACAGGGAGAGATACGAGATTGACCTCGATTCGGTGCAGCCACTGCAGCGTGCGACGCAGCGACAAGTCCGTCTCCAACAGGCGAAGTCCCCCCGATGACCAGCACCATCGCGACCAGCGCTCCGTGTTGTGGACCCCTGCAGTAGAACAGGGAGACAATCGGGAGGGTAAGGCAGAGACGGCGCACGGCGACATCGTGAAGGGGACGAAAATAGCCAAGCGACCCAAAGAAGCGGCCGTCGTGGACAGGGCGCTTGGCTCGACGTTGCTCCAGCGAGAAGGTCCAATAAAGCACGCGTGGCCGGCGGTCGGAAGTCGGAACTGGGATGCAACATGCATTTTTTATTAGTGACGGAAATGTCATTCGAATACGACTGCGGGAGAATGTGGAAATGATATGCAGGCCGGCACATTTCCCTCCTTGGGTGATGAGATGATGGTCCAAGCGATGGACTGTCTGGGTGTACAGGTACATACAATTTATGTAGGGCTGGCGGGTATCGAAACCGCGCGCAACAGCTCGGAGGCTGCAACGCCGCCCGCCGTCCGCAGCACACTGCCTGGAGCAGAAAATACGGTACTGTACCCTCCGAACTACGCGTTCACGCGCTGGACGCTGCTGTCGTTCCTCAGTTGATCAGGAGTGGATCTTCTCGCGCTGCAAATGACGAGATCACCCACTCGGAAAACCGATAAATCCCTAGATCTGAGACATCAGAATACCGCATCGAACGAATTGTTGAGGTGGATCGGTAGGCTATCGCTGTTCGATGGGAGAGGGTTGCCGGCCATCCATCCCGTCATGTTAACTTTGCCCATCACTAGACCGCGCGTGCATGCACATGACAAGCGTGGGAGACACAGCACTACGGACAAAGACACCACCGCATTTGGGCTGTGCAGAAAGGGAAAATTTCCCTCCACGGCTATCGTCGTCGGCCGCGCAGAGGCGGCGGGGCCGAAGACTCCATTCCGAGGACGTGGCGTCTCGGTCATTGTGCCAACATTTGTCGGACATCTGGACCAACAGTGCAATGCTCGTCCGAACGCTGATTGCATTGCATTACAGGACATCCAACAGTGACATACACGCGATGCCACCGCCCGAGTCTGTGTTCGGTAAAGACAAGAGGTCGTTCCTGACCCTCGGCGGTGGCTTTTCGGAATCTGCGCAGGTGTGTTCCCAAGTGTGGAGACCATGACGATCTGAAAGGGGATAGTGCGGCGAAGTGTGCGGCGAGCCGCCCATCATCGCGCACAGGTACAGTATCATCCCGGCATCGTCATCCTGCATTCCACCTTTCCTCGTTTGCAATCAGATCCAGAATATTTCACCTATCGAGAGTTTTCGGGTTGGTCGCTACGTCCAAAGAGGCCGGATTTGCGTTGCTGACGGTCATAGCTACGGGTCGTTGAGGCGCCGAATCTTTTTCTCGAACACGAGCGGTAGCATGTTAAAAGCAATTGGCGTGCCGAGTTTTGTAGCTCCGGGCCGTCTGGTAGTCTCCTGAAGATCCGAATTATCTGATTACAGATCAACAAGGGTCGTACCCGAACGAGATTCTTTTGCGCGACGGGATCCCTTCTGTTAGATCTCACAGATATGGCACGTCAGGCCCTGCGTGATTTTGAGGCGATAGCCGTACCGTTCGGTTGACCTCGACCTCAGCAGCATGCACCCCACCACGCCCACTCCCGTGACCTCTGCTATGGCTGCTGAGGGAATGTCACTAAGAGAAGAGCATGTGTTGGTACGTAGCTTGACCGCCCAGCCACCTTTGAGGTATTGGCATCATTGGCAGAAACGCTGAAGTGTTGTTAGCGAAATGGAAGCAACGGAACATTTCAGTTGCGCGCTCCTCACTGCTCTACAGTGGCACAGTGGTGCGCTTTGAAGCACGTACAAACTCTACTGCACAGTGCAAGGGCCGCTTCAAGAACGAAAGCTGCTTCATGCTCCATCGTGGTTGGATCTATAGGGAGAGCCTCGCTGCTCAAATGTGGATACTAGGGCTCATTCTTGGCTGCGTCTGTACCCTGGTCAATAATGATCCTTCACGTCCGCAGGTCGAGACCGATACTTGGGCTTCCATTGCACGTCGCCGCATACGAATGTCATCACTGAGAACAAGCAACAGCCACCTCATGACCGGCTGGTCAACCCACATGTCATCCTTGCTTGCACTGCAGCTTCCGGTCGCGCAGGTGTTGTGATCCCGTACGTGAATCATGAACAACAGATCGTAGAGCTGTACAGTGTCAACATACATACACCTGGACGCACACTCCCTGCGTCGCCGTCCTTGCTCAAAGCATGTCTTGACCCCTGCGGGAATTTCGCAAAGTCAATCTTCGCGTGCAATATAGCGGCTTTGCCTGTGTGTGCACGGAGCTTACTCTACCCATATGTATCGACCATCTCCGGGCAGGAATCAAGCAATGGTCCTTGACCTTTGCAGGCCGAAAACTTCTCGAAGCCCATGTGCGGTGGCACGACGGTGACGCCACTCCACGCTCGTCTTTCGCACGACCTCCGCACGCGACCGTTGTAAGCGTATTTGTTGCCTTGTGCTTTGACCTCTCTATGTGACTATTACCTTACCTAGCGAGGTAGCGGACGTTGACACGACGCTTGCTTAGTGCTCTCATAACTTCCTAGGTGATAACCCTGACCCACGTATCGGGCGCCCACCGTGATACTGTATGCCTTGGTGAAAGGGCTCCTACGCCGACTGTGCTTTGGTCGCACTCAAGTGAGTTTAATGACAGCAGAATGGCGCGCGCGGGGAAATTCTGCTACGCGAGAGAGGGTCTCATTTTGTGGTAAGAAGCAGCTCAGAAATCGTGCCACCCTCCCAGGTTCCGCTCGCTTGTACAAACTTGATTTCAATGCTTGGGCACCGACCTTGGCGTGTGCGAGATGCAACCACCTTGCGGTGCTCATCAACCTCAGTGACTCACCGAGTCGGAAGAATTCGTCTCCCATCAAGTCAAATATCAGAGTCTGGTTGCTCGCTTGGCCGGAGCGAGCTCGCATGGAGCCAAGGAAAGGACCAAAAACCGGTACGAAACTAATAATAAAATTTCATGCATGCAGGTGTCGAGCAGACATGGCCAAAAAGCCACCCGGCACGCATCCGACGAAATGGCACCTTCCACTGGAGATACAGCATGTCGCGCCGCAGTCGAGTATTTCGGCATTTCCGACCAAGCCAGACACTGCAGATGATTTATTCGGTTATGAATGTAATAAATCAGTACGCACGGAGAGCCGATGTGGTACCGCCACGAGCTTCGACGGTGGAATGTCACATCGGGCGTCTACGCTAAGAGCTCTTGAGAACCTTCGGGTGAAGCTGCTCCCGTCGATAGTGTTGAGTTCCTCCATGAGACTGTGATGATTGACCATCACGAGTGAGATCGGGGATGACGTGGCTCTCGCATTTGACTACTGTAGGACAACGAGCGAATATTGTATGCATGTCAGGCCACGCTGCCTCCACAATGCGTTCGGCGTTCTGTGCCTCGACACTGCAGCATGCACACAATATCGATTGAGAGCACATACGACCTCACCGCATTTGACGCAGCTTACTTATGCAGACATCATCATTGCCATGGTTGCGCTTCCCAACACAACATATATAGACTCCAAGCTCATGCGGCGATGCTGGATTTGAGCTCCACATACAAGCACATGATCGGCTTTAGAGTTCAGCGTCAAGCTCTCCTCCTATGATTCGCCATATTTCTTCACACCTTGAGGCGGAATCCCATTGTCCCAGAAGTGGACTGAACCACCAGGAATTCGGCGAAGAGGGTGGTCGGGTGGGGTATGGTCGTTGACATTTCCATCATCCACGTCAAACCCGCACTTCCGATAAAATCCAGCTTTGCCAGCAGCGCTGATGACCGTGCAGCCTATGGCTTCCTTTCGTGCTTGATCGAATCCCCAATTGACAAGTGACCGTCCGACCCCTTGACCTTCAAACTTAGGATCGATGGCGAGATGCGACAGCATCCAAACCTCGCCTCGGGTGCCGGTCCAACGATAGCTAAAGTATGGTGCCGATTCTCTCAGCAGACCGAGGCGCGACGGATCTGCCGCACGATTGGGGTAGGCGAGAGACTCCAGGTAATTATACGCATGCATCAATCGTATCGAAGCCAATGTGTACAGACTTTTTGAAGGGTTGGCTGTCATACGGATCCAGTGTGCAACGCCAGTAATGATTTCGCCTTCGCCATTCTCACCAGGCTTGTAAGCGACAAGGATCTTGTCACGAGGTCCACTGACATATGCTATGCGCAGTTGGCGCAGGAAATACAAATAGAAATCCTCGGGATAGTCCTTTCGCTTGGGATGCATGTAGTAGTCGAAGAGATCGTTGTCTTCGAAAGCCGCCGCCATGGCCTTCGATGCTGGCAACAGGTCATCGTAAGTAGCAAACCTGATCGACATGACGTGCGTTGAATATGTCGCTGGATTTGGACCGGTGTGCGGATATCCTGTTTGCGATCGATTCAAAATCTGATAAGAGCAAGTGTTGTCGTCAAGATCTGAGACATTGCAGCGGTGGCGTATATTTTCCAAAGTTGAGCATCGGAGTTACGGCCGCTCCAAGGTGGCCAGTGCGAATTGTTCAACATCTGGTTCAACGCCGCCAGGAATATAGCGATCGCCCAGAACAAATGCAATGTACCATGAGCCAATTGAATCGGTTGCTATGCGAACTGTCTTGAATTGAGACACATCGCCAATGTCAAAGCATCGGACAGATTCGACCTGCACGTCATTTGCGACGTCTGCTCGAATGTTCGGTAACTGTACAATCGTGCACGCGCGACGGCCCTGAGGCGCGTCACAGACCCTGAGCAAACTGGAGTCGCCAAATTAATTTGTGCCGACAACCATGCTTGTCTCGCCAGCGTAGTCAGCAAACACTTGACACGTCGCATCGGTGTCTCGTCTTAGATATCTCAACGATGGGATGGCTATGGTCTACATCTCCGCCAAAGCCGGAGCGTGATGAAAAGCATGAGGCTCCAGCACCATCGCCGCCGCCTCCGCAGCACATTGGCACATTACCGCAGTCCAGGATCGACGACCCAACAGCAGACCCAACCTCATCGCGATTCGCCCTGACCGAAGAGCAACGAATACGGATATTCGGCCGTCCTTCTGTCGAGAAGACAAATGTATCACCTGCCGAGGGCCAACAAGCCGATGCGGAAATGGAAGCATTCCTGAATTCCCTCGCAGCTCCCGGACCCACGCCAGCGCAACCCACAGCCGTTCCCAAGGCACCTCCTCAGCCCACAGCCTCGGAACCCGAGGAGCCCGTAAACATCGATCGCCGCCGACCGGATGGCTCACTAGACATATCCATCGACGTGATGCATCCTCGGACGATGTCCTGCGTTGAAGCCTTCGACGAACTTCTCTATTGCCAGAACGCCTGGGCCAAGGTGAACAACACCTACCAATTCGGCGAATGGAGATCCTGCGGAGAAGAGTGGGCAGCGTGGAAGTTTTGCATGCGGGTACGCATGCTGGCGGAAAAGGACAAGCAGCCCCAGATCCGCGACTTCTACGCTGCGCGCCTGGCCGAGCGCAAGAAAAGGTTTGGCAGCAGTGAGGATGTTTGGGAGGCTCGGGACACGGCCGTCGAGAAGGCTTTCTGGAAGCATCATGATGATGACACTTGAGAGCTTGATTGATAGGGACGGTTTCGGTGGAGCTTCATATCCTTGATACTGAATGTTCGTTACGCTTCTATCACAGAACAAGAAAATCGTTGCCATAGGATCACCAGACGAGTTTGAAGGGCCCTGGACAACTTCACAACTCTTCGGCATGTCTCGCGAAGAGCTACACCGCTGCAATCCAAAACCCACGACAGGGTGCCGCCAGCCAGAGTGTGCTGATGGTTGGCATGGTTGGGATACTGATGGGCATACTGCGAATCTAGGGGCGAACTAAGACGTTCAGCACGGCTGGACTTGATTGCGCCCTTGCCAATGAAGGAATGCTGAAGCGATCATGTAATTATACTGTATGAAGAAATGTGACAAATAGAAAGTCAAGATCATCAACATTAAGTCTACCTATACATCAATCACATCTCGTCCTCGTCCACCAACCCAACAAGCCTGCGCTCGGCAAGCTCCCGAATCTTGTCACCAAGGATATCGCGCCGGAACCGTGTCGCCACCCTTCCAGCAGCCTCAAGCATTTGGCCAGTGCGATCCTTCATGAGAGCTGCCAGCTCCAATGCCTTCATGCCACGTTCCTCGCCTTCTCTGCACTCTGCCGCGATCAGCTGCAGTAGCACCTTGTCGACCTCCCTTTCCATGACGCCGACTGCGGCTCTCTGCGACGATGTAGCGTTTGTGTTCTCCACCAAATCGCTTAGCAGTGAGAACTGGAGACTGTTGCGAACATACTGCTCCTCTAGGCTCCGCAAAAGTGCAACTTCCTTGTCGTCTTCGTCCTCAGGCCCGACCGGCGCCAATGGGATCTGGAACTCGAAGTCGGAATGGAGTGGTCGAGGAAAGTATGGGTATTGCTCGCCACCTTTTAAGATGATGCAGTAGAATCGGTCGTTTGCAACAGCAACTGGCCAGTAATTTTCGTCTTTTCTGCCGCCTTCGAGACGTTTCAATGCTCGTGTATCCAGCAGCGGTACCCACTTAGCCTGACCCGGTCGTCTCCATTGTTGCAAGATAAGCAGAACACCCGTGCTGTCGTAGATACAAGGATCACCCTTCTCGCTGAACGTCACGCTGCGGAGCTCAACGCCTTCAGGTAGTGTCAGGATGTCTTCGCTCTGATATGTCTCGCCTCTCTTCACGTTCTCGATAGTGTATAGCAAACGCGTCGAGCCGTCGCTGCCCACCGGACCATTGCCGACTGTCAGGACGTAGTCCCGCCAACTTGCGCATGTTACCGCAGGGGTGCTCTTTTGCCGGTATACCTTGAGCGGTAGCCCGTATAAACTATAGACTCGCGTGTAAGCGGCTGTAGTCGTGACTACGATACACGATTCACTCAAAGACATTGAAGTGACTTCTTCGTCGAATGGTAGCTGTATTCGCCAATCCACTCGTGCCGTCCAAGTCTCATGAGGTCGGTAGTAAATTGTCGCCGGATGTTGAGAAGAGCTCGGACACGAGAACAGTGCACCCTTGTCGTTCAGACAGGCTTTGTCGTAAAGATATGGGTCGGTGAAGTGGAAGTCACGGTGTTCTTGACGGTCGTAGAACTCCACCGTCACCGTGTGGTGAAGGTCCTGCTTTTGAGTCCAGACAAACCCGACTAGATTCAAGCACATATATCTTCGGTTACCTCGCCAAGGCGTGCTCCCTGTCTGGAACGGCGCATGGACGTGAGGCCGCCAGATGTTGGACGTGGCTTGCCGCTTTTGGCGTGGAGCTTGTGTAGTATTTGCAGAACGCTTGCCGTTGGGGTTTGGCTCCTCTGCATATCCCGCGCCGTCGTCATCCTCGATGAAGCCGTCGTCATCACCATCTTCAGACATGGCATCAGGCCCAAGCAGATCGTCTAAGTAATCGTCTTCTGCGGTGCGTTGGTAGCCAACTGCAGACTTGTCCGCCCCATTCGGCTCCTTCCGCAGGTTGATCGTTACATTCGATAGGGTATTTGGGATTGCTGGTTGAACGGCAGCGCGTAATAGTGTTTGGAACTCCTGTGGCACGATGTTCTCGCGAATGAAAAGTTCTCCCTTCAGAGTCGTGTATGATAGAACGTTGTCCGACATGTGCCAACGCAAATTGAGGATAGGGTCCTTTACGTCTTGGAATGTCTTGATGATTTTCTGTTTGCGAGTGTCCCACAGTAATAAAGTCTTGTCCTGTGATACGCTTGCAAGAATTGCACCATTCGGTGACCAAGCCAAAGCTGTGACATCACTGTCATGCCCGCCAGAAAATGCTTTCTGACTTTGCCATTCGCTCCTCGAGACCATTTGAATATCTGAAGACATTATTAGTTAGCGGGATGTTACTCTCCGACAGTGAAGTTTTCAGGCTGACCTTTCTTGGAGCTCGGCACAGCGAATGTTCTACCATCTGGGTGCCATACGACAGAGGCAGTCGAAAATGACGATGACTCCAACATACTGATTATTCCATCAATCCGCTTCAACAGTTGAGGTTGCTCCGAGCTGAGTGAGTACATATAGATCATACCGTCTGTGCAAGATAGCGCCAAAATTGAGCCAACAGTGTCAAATGCAACGTTCTTGATAGGGCGGGTGTGTTCACGCAAATACATGACCCTCGTCATGTCCTGCGTGTGCACAACTTTGACTTCCAACTCACTGCAGTCCATCAGCTCGTGGTTCAAGCATTGAACCAATTCACGTGCTTACTCGCTTGCTACAGCCAACCATTCCCCGTCCGGCGATAATGAAAGATCACGCACGGGCATCGAGCATCGTGTTAAGATGCCGTCCATCTCATAGCTTCGAAGCGAATACTTTGTGACTTCGCCGGACTCACTGCCAACGACCACGAAGTCATTCGCAGCGGCCACGGCAGTGTGAGCTTCTGTGGTCACATCGATGACGATTGGCTCATCATCGGAGCCATGTTCAAATACTCGTAGGGCTGGGTTGACGCCAGCTGTGATTAACTTCTTCCCATTTGGAGTGTAGCCGAAGAAAGTTGGACCAGGGATATCTGCGATTGATGTCAATATAAAAATTGGAAGAACATGATTTAGGATGACTTACGAGCCGGCCTGCCGCGTAGTACTGCCGTCATGTTTGATATACTTGTTGGGTCAAAGTCGCGAGTAAACGCCTATATCCAAGGATCCTGTAAATCTATCTGGATGTCGTTCACGATGATACCGGAACGGGAGGACGCGTTTCACGCGACTTACTCGTGACAGCGCACGGATTGCAAGCATGCGACGGACCCCACATTGCCCACCACTAGCTCTGTTGATTTCGCGATTCATTGAAGTCAACATTGGTGATCAAGATATATGCGCGTACAGCCTTGCTTTTGCCTTTTTGGTATTTTCTGCTTCACTTGGAACTCACACACATCTTACATATCCTTCCGCGACTCCATTACAGCAAAAACGCGAATTGTTCTTCCGCACAACTTCAGCATTCTGCCAGAAATTGCTTCAAGCCAATCGACTTCGCAATGAGTGACGCAGTTCAGGACCCCAACGCCAGCGGCGCAGCTGAGCAGAGCGAGAAGGGCAAGGGTCGAGCTGTGGATCAACACCCAGGACAACAAAGTGAAGATGACGAGGAAGAGGATGACGAGGAGGAAGAGGTAGACATTTCTTTACTACATCGAGGTGACTTTTGCTAACTCATTGCAGGGTGAAGGTTGAAATACAAGCACAAGCGCCGAAAAATATGGATCGCTAACAAACTCACAGGCGAACCTGAGGAAGCTGATGAGGACAACATGGAAGAGATCGATACCGACAACATCATAGGCAGTCGTACTCGGGGCAAGAACATCGACTACGCAGAAGCCGCCAAGCAACTCGAGGGCGCCGATGACGAGGATGATGAAGATGATGAGGATTTCCAGGACGAGGAGATGTCAGAAGATTGATTTCCGTGCCAAAAATGATGACCGCGTTCGCGATGGAGGTTGTGAGCCCTGCCCGTATCAGGTGCTGAACAGAATACAAGGAGCTTGTTGGACAGTCTATCAGCGCCTGGGCATATATTCCCCATCCCTGGTCATGAGAGACAATGTTAGACACTTTACCCCGGGAAAGTGGTCAACAGACAACCACTATGTCTGCGGGCCAATCCTCCCAAGTAAATACGATGCCTTTGATCGTCATCGCTCCTGACCGTTCCTGTTTCCCAAGATGTCGTATCTGTTGCCCGTACACCGCCATAGAGCATAGTATGTTATAAATTGTAAAGCTCGGCAGGGACAAGCGATTGAGAACAAGTACGTGCGAAGGCAGTGGTTCAAGGGAATGAATTGTAACTTCATCGTCTCACCAACTGGATGAGCGCGAAGCAACCTTAATAAGCCGAGAAGATGTCGGAGGATAATGCTCTAATTCCATGGCACATCACATACAATTTAAAAGTTACATTGCAATCCAACCACAACGGAGGCCATAAGCAGATGATTTAATTGTTGGCCACCGGTGATCGCAATAATCTGGTGCAAATCCACCTTCGGCTAGAATTCTCGTATCCGCTACATACCTAGGTAGCCGTTCGTGAAGTCTCATTCCGTTACCTGATGAGAATTGTTTCCGTATTTTCTTCGTCCGATGTCGCTCATGGCCCACCACGACTTGAAGAAATTTTACCAGGCACGAGCATGCCTCGTCCAGCTTGCTTCACCACCGCACCTTCACGTAGCTGACCGGGGCTAAGTGGAGGGACCTCGGGAAAGGACATGACTCAATGTGGGAAGGGTGCGTGCTCTCCAAGGGTGCAGGTGGGTTAAGTCTCTTTTGTGCACGGCAACGCATGGGGTGCGCATAACTAACGAGTGTCTTGAAGCTAAAGGGCTCCCAAATTCTCGTTCTCCGGATGACGAAGGCGCCCGGGCCTTCACGTCCGTTCGTGCATTTGACATACATAGTGCATACATATACGTGGGGCGCATTCATGGATGCGAAGCACCACCGCCTTCAAGGACGAAGAAATTGATCGAATAGTAGAGGACATCGAATTGACGGAACGATGTAAAGTGCCCTCCAGTGTTTGCAGATTGTTTCGGATCAAGACCTCGTGATGGCGAATCTGGGGTTATCACTCACTCGCAGGGTCTCGACACCGGGGTGCAATTCCATGCCGGACAGTCTGCAGGAATAGAACTATGATATACACTGTAGCTGAATTGTTGTGCGTAAGCTGACGCTGCGAGAATGATGTGACGAATCAGCGATACGCGAAACGTCAACTGGAGACCCAACACCTGCGGGGACCGACTGCTGGAGCGCGCCGATAACGCATAAGTAGTCACGAGCACGACGAGCTAATGTGGTTTCAATGGCATAATGGATTCGAAAATCAGTCAGAAACCCCTTCGGAATCAGACTCGGTAGTCTTGGAGCCAGTGGCCCAAGTAGGTAATGCCGGTGTTCCATCCGAACATATTCTCTCACCGAGATCTGGTCTCTCCGTCGTGCATTGGAATCACCACTCCGCTGTCGCCGCAAGGGCGCAGGTCACTTTTTTTTTCACAGTACTACTTACCTAGGTATGTACCCTGCTTTGTGCCCCGCATTGATGTAAATTTGAACTGGCCAAACACAGCATAGACGCGGATCTCTGTCCACCAGAATGGCCGCTAGAGCCGCGACCATCGCCAAGAGTTAGGTCCCTGTCCCAGATTCCATCCATCAGCAATGCTTGTGAAGGTAAGCGGCGGGTCATAGTCACCGTAATCTCAACCATTGTGATTTGATGTAATCATAAATTGAGACGTAGCAGTCACCCACGACTATCGGCTTTGTTGTTCAGAACATCAGACAAACCACGAAATATGCTGCAAAATCTTGATGAAGGCATTGAAAGGTGTCAGAGGGGAACTCCGGTCCCTGCCGACAATTTCAAGCATGTTCTGTGTTCATGGGCAAATGAGTACAGATATGACAATGGTATGCGTGACCAGTAGAATTTTCCATGCTGTCGTACAGTACTCGTTCTGGCTGTGAGGGTGTATATAGTATAGACTTGATGCCGCGGCGCGAGCAGCGACCATACACAGATCGATGGGCGAGAACCGGCGGCGGCGACGTGGTGGAGGGCAAGAAAATGTGGAGCGAATGGTGCCCATTTTCACCCGGTAGGCTGATTGCACCACCAGAGCCGCTACCGCGCGTGTCGAGGTTTGCGCTTCTGACGGCCGACAACCGGGTTGAGATTGGACATGGGTCGACGGAGATAGAAGAGGCGCCTCGTTCCCAAGACAGTTTCAGGACGTGATTCACCCCTCGAACGCGAAATTTGACGGTCCCTACCAGGTCGATTGTGAAGGTGATTCACGCCCACGACAGCACGATCAGCATCACGGTGAGTCCCAAATCCCCTTGACGCATCCAGCAAGCCACATCATCACCATCTCCCTTCATATCTTTCCCTTCCGATCTCGAGATCTGGCCACGTGCGACTGGAGAGTGATGAGCAGTGGCGATCAATGGAGGGCATTGTTCCCTCGAACTGGTTGTCTGGTCTTGCCGATTCCCTGCCTGTTCCGGACTGGCAAAAATCTGCAGACCCCACGAAACTCAGCGCGCTCCGCAGTACAACCCGGCGATCTGTGTGACGAGACCGGTGTACGTGTGCGCTGTTGACGACGACGACGACGACGACGAGCGCATGCGGATTTTGGTTGCCTGGCTCAATGGTGCGACTGGAAGTACAGTGCAAAGCATTCCCGTACCCTGCAGGGTGAGTTCACTGCTGCAGCATCTGTTGTGCTTGGTTGCGACGCACAGACTGCGCATGTGCGATTAGTCCACGGGGTGGTGCATCTGTCGCTGCTTTTTTGACGAAAATCTGTACAATGGACGGTACACGCCAGACAAGTTCAGCCAATTGCGGTCCAGGCAAAGTCGACGACATCATCAATCACCTCCACGGCTGATCGCCTATTCCACCCACCAAAATGCTTCAAGCGGGCGATAAACCACAAGCTCTTGGCCGCCACACTGACCACCATAGCCTTTTTTCCCCTCATTGACCAATCGCCCGTTGCCGGGTGCCTCATTACCCTCCTCTGCTGCATTGGGACATGTGAATATCTTTCGGCCAAATTGTCTTTCTTCTCCTCCACCATACCATATTGCTCCCCGTCCTTCACACAACACTTCCACCTTCTACACTCGCAGTCATCGCAACGTACAACAGTCCTTATAGGCACAGTCGCTGACCTGTGCCGCTCTCAGTCTTTTTTTCATAACAGCCTGTGATCGAGCTAGTTCTCGATAATTTCCATATCCGCCTTACAAAGCCACTCGAACTGTTCGGCTTCTTGCCGAAATTATGGGTCGCGTATCCTTCGCCGACGATGTAAAAGATTCCTCAATCGAAGACATCGAACAAGAGCCCACCAGCGTCTATGAGTACCAAAACACCCCAGAGAACAAGTCCTGGGCAGGTGCCTTGCCGCTGAAGCAGGGTCTATACGACCCCGAGTACGAGAAAGATGCTTGCGGTGTTGGTTTCAGCGCCCACATCAAGGGCAAGGCGAGTCACAAAATCGTCATAGATGGTAAGTGTCGTACGCAGCGAATGTTGGATTGCCTTTGCTGACCTGAACCAGCCCGCAGTCTTCTTTGCAACATGACCCACCGCGGTGCGGTGGGTTCAGACGCACGCGATGGTGATGGTGCTGGTGTCATGACCTCGTTCCCCCACAGATTCTTTCTCAAGAATTTCGAGCGTGAGCAGGGCATCAAATTGCCATCTGCGGGAAAATACGCTGCAGGCAACATCTTTTTCAAGCCTGAGGAAGAGATTCTGAAGGAGACCATCGACAAATTCGAGAATATTGCAGACAGCCTCGACCTTCGAGTTCTTGGATGGCGTGAGGTTCCCCGGGACAGCTCTCTGCTCGGTCCTGCGGCCAAATCGCGTGAGCCCATCATCCTGCAGCCTTTCGTAGTCCTGAAAACGGCATACGGTGATGCAAAGGAACCCAAGGCCGACTTCGAGGAGGTCTACGACGAGCAGCGATTCGAACGTCAGCTTTACGTCCTCCGAAAGCGTGCGACGCACGTGATTGGGTTGCACAACTGGTTCTATATTTGCTCGCTGAGCAACAAGAATATCGTCTACAAAGGTCAGCTTTCGCCTTCTCAGGTGTACGAATACTACCACGATCTCGTCAACGTCGATTACGAGGGCCACTTCGCCCTAGTCCACTCCCGATTCTCCACCAACACATTCCCCTCCTGGGACAGAGCCCAGCCTCTTCGGTGGGCTGCCCACAACGGAGAGATTAACACTCTCCGAGGTAACAAGAACTGGATGCGAGCAAGAGAGGGTGTACTTCAGTCGGCTACATTTGGGGATGAGCTGGAATCGCTTTATCCAATCATCGAGGATGGTGGCTCTGACTCGGCTGCATTCGACAATGTGTTGGAACTTCTCACCATCAACGGTGTTCTGTCGCTGCCGGAAGCGGTCATGCTGATGGTTCCCGAGGCTTGGGAGGGCAATGATCAGATCGACGGTTCCAAGCAGGCATTCTACGAATGGGCTGCTTGCTTGATGGAGCCATGGGATGGCCCTGCACTTTTCACTTTCGCAGATGGTCGCTACTGTGGTGCCAACCTAGACCGTAACGGTCTTCGTCCTTGCAGATACTACGTTCTAGACGATGACCGAATCATTTGTGCTTCTGAGGTCGGAACGATGCCTATCGATCCTTCGACTGTCATTCAGAAGGGACGTCTGCAGCCTGGACGTATGCTTCTCGTTGACACCGTTGCTGGTCGCATTATCGATGACGCCGAGCTCAAGAAGACTGTGGCCGCTCGTCATGACTTCCGATCCTGGCTCGATGCCAAGTTGATCGTGATGCCGCAAATTCACAAGAAATTGTTGGATAACGGCGTCGACCTGGCCCCCAAGCTTTCTGAGAGCAAGGTTCAAGAAGACCCTCTGCTGAAAGTCTTTGGTTATTCGCTAGAGCAGGTAACATTGCTCCTCGCCCCTATGGCAGCTGACTCGAAAGAGGCGCTTGGATCCATGGGTAACGATGCGCCTTTGGCATGCTTGGCCCAGCAGCCGCGTCTGCTGTACGAGTACTTCCGTCAGCTCTTCGCTCAGGTTACCAACCCGCCGATTGACCCCATTCGAGAGTCTGTGGTCATGTCCTTGGGTTCGTATGTCGGTCCGCAAGGCAACCTGCTCGAAATGAACAAAGACCAGTGCCACAGGCTATATCTGCCGTCTCCCATTCTCTCCATCGAGGAGATGAATGCCCTCGCAAACATTACAAAGTTGCACTCCGACTGGACTGTAGCTACCATTGATATCACCTTCCCTAAATCCGAAGGCCTCCAGGGCTACGTCGACGCCCTCGATCGCATCAACGATGCTGCCACCGAAGCCATCGAGCGAGGTGACAACATTCTCATCCTCTCCGACAAAGCCACATCGGCAGAGCGTGTTCCAGTCTCCTCGCTCCTGGCTACCGGTATGGTTCACCACCACCTGGTCCGGAACAGGTGGCGTGCACAGGCTGCCTTGGTTGTCGAGACTGCCGAAGCCCGTGAAGTACACCACATGTGTGTTCTTGTCGGCTATGGTGCAGATGCCATCTGCCCATACCTCGCGATCGAGACTATCCTTAAGCTCTCGCGGGAGGGTCTGATCCGCAAGAAGCTCAGCGACGAGGAACTCATCGGCAACTACAAGCATTCTTGCGACGGTGGTATCCTCAAGGTCATGAGCAAGATGGGTATTTCCACCGTGCAGAGCTACAAGGGTGCCCAAATTTTCGAGGCTCTTGGTATTGACGATGAGGTTGTCGACCGCTGCTTCACTGGTACCGCGACCCGCATCCGAGGTATGACCTTTGAGCTGATTGCTCAGGATGCCCTTGCTCTCCACGAGAAGGGTTTCCCGTCCCGAAGCATCACCGAGATCCCAGGTCTCTCGGAGACTGGAGAATACCACTGGCGTGACGGTGGTGAGCCACACGTCAACGACCCGGTCTCGATCGCAAACATTCAGGACGCAGTGCGCATGAAGAACGACAAGTCCTACGAAGCATACTCCCGATCCGAGTACGAGCAGATCAAGAACTGCACTCTTCGTGGCCTGCTTGATTTCGACTTTGAGGTCGGAAACCCCATTCCCATCGAGCAAGTCGAGCCATGGACTGAAATCGTCCGTCGTTTCGTCACCGGTGCCATGTCCTACGGATCCATCTCTATGGAGTCTCACTCGACCCTTGCCGTTGCCATGAACCGTTTGGGCGGCAAGTCCAACACGGGTGAAGGTGGTGAGGATCCCGAGCGAAGCTTGCCTCTCGAGAATGGCGACACTATGCGATCTGCCATCAAGCAAATCGCTTCCGGACGTTTCGGTGTTACAAGCAATTATCTCGCCGATTCTGACGAGCTTCAGATCAAGATGGCTCAGGGTGCAAAGCCGGGTGAAGGTGGAGAGTTGCCCGGTCACAAGGTGTCTGGACCTATCGCTCGCACTCGTCACTCCACCCCCGGTGTCGGTCTCATCTCGCCGCCGCCTCACCACGACATTTACTCCATTGAAGACTTGAAGCAATTGATCTACGATCTCAAGTGCTCCAACCCCCGTGCACGTGTTTCCGTCAAGTTGGTCTCTGAGACTGGTGTCGGTATCGTTGCTTCCGGTGTCGCCAAGGCCAAAGCCGACCACATTTTGATCTCCGGACACGATGGTGGTACCGGTGCTTCGCGATGGACTGGTATCAAGTACGCTGGTCTGCCATGGGAGCTGGGTCTTGCCGAGACTCACCAGACCTTGGTTCTGAACGATCTCCGTGGCCGTGTCATCGTGCAGACCGACGGTCAGCTGCGAACTGGTCGCGATGTCGCCATTGCTTGCTTGCTTGGTGCCGAAGAGTTCGGTTTTGCGACCGCCCCGCTTATTGCCATGGGTTGTATCATGATGCGAAAATGGTAAGTGATACTCACAACGCTTTTGCACGACTTATGAATAGCTTGCTAACATGATTTCAGCCATCTCAACACCTGCCCTGTCGGTATCGCAACTCAGAACCCCGACCTCAGGAAGAAGTTCAAGGGTACCCCCGAGCACGTCATTAACTTCTTCTACTACATTTCGAATGAGCTCCGTGCTGTCATGGCCAAGCTCGGTTTCCGCACCATCAACGAAATGGTTGGTCACACTGAGCTGCTCAAGGTCCGCGAAGATCTCCGCAACGCAAAGACCGAGAACATCGATCTGTCGCTCATCCTCACTCCGGCGCACACTCTGCGTTCTGGAGTCGCGACTTACAATGTTCGCAAGCAAGACCACAAGCTGCATGTGCGCCTGGACAACAAGCTCATTGCCGAGTCCGAGCTCGCTCTTGAAAAGGGACTCCCATGCCGAATCGAGTGCGACGTTGTGAACACTGACCGTGCCTTGGGAGCCACACTTTCGTACCAAATCAGCAAACGCTACGGTGAGAAGGGCCTGCCGCAAGACACCATTCACGTCAACATCCGCGGTTCGGCTGGTCAGTCGTTCGGTGCCTTCTTGGCCCCTGGTGTCACCCTTGAACTTGAGGGTGACGCCAACGACTATGTCGGCAAGGGTCTCTCTGGTGGTCGCTTGATCGTGTACCCACCTCGCTCGTCCGTCTTCAAGGCTGAAGAGAACATGATCATCGGTAACGTCTGCTTGTATGGTGCTACTGCCGGTACCTGCTTCTTCCGAGGTGTTGCTGCCGAACGTTTCGCTGTGCGTAACTCCGGTGTCACTGCCGTCGTCGAAGGTCTTGGTGACCACGGTTGTGAATACATGACAGGTGGTCGCATCATCGTCCTCGGTAGCACTGGTCGCAACTTTGCCGCCGGTATGTCTGGTGGTATCGCCTACGTGTTGGACCTTCAGCAAGACTTTGAGAGCAAGGTCAACCAGGAAATGGTTGAGCTTTCTTCTCTGGAAGATCCCCATGAAATCGCTTTCCTCCGTGGTCTCATTGAGGACCACCACCACTACACTGGTTCCGAGCTTGCCGCCCGTATCCTCCTGGACTTCAACCGCGCACTTCCTCGCTTCGTCAAGGTACTGCCTACCGACTACAAGCGCGTCATGGCTGAGGAGGCCGCCAAGGCTGCTGCAGCTCAAAAGGCGCAGTACCCTCTGCCTATTCTTCCCGGCAACTCTGTGCGAAACCTCCATGAGGAGTCTCGCGAGAAGGAGCAGGAGAAGGAGGCCAAGGAAGAGAAGAAGAAGGTCAGCCTCACCGACATTGAAGAGAGCATCCAGGATGGACAAGCCGAGAAGAAACGCTCCCTCGTCCTGGACAAGACCAAGGGTTTCATGAAGTACCAACGACGATCGGAGAAGTACCGCCCTGCGAAGACCCGTACCCGCGACTGGGCTGAGCTGAGCACTCGTCTAACATTTGATGAAACTAAATATCAGGCGAGTTTTTTCCAGGTGGTTTTCAATGATCAAAAGCTAATTTTCAACAGACTGCGCGGTGCATGGACTGTGGAGTACCTTTTTGTCAATCTGACACGGGCTGCCCGATTAGCAACATCATACCGAAGTGGAATGAATTGGTGTTTGCTGTAAGTACCGTTCGCCATTCCTGCTGCACAGAGAGAAGGAAAGCTGACATTAGATACAGGGCCAATGGGAGGATGCACTCAACCGGCTTTTGATGACGAACAACTTCCCAGAATTTACCGGTCGAGTGTGCCCCGCTCCATGTGAAGGCGCGTGCGTCCTTGGCATCACGGATGATCCGGTTGGTATCAAGTCGATCGAATGCGCTATCATTGATCGTGGATTCGAGATGGGTTGGATGGTGCCCAAGCCTCCCAAAGTACGCACCGGCAAAAAGGTCGCGATCATTGGATCCGGCCCCGCCGGGCTCGCCTGTGCCGATCAACTCAACAAGGTTGGCCACGAGGTCACGATCTACGAAAGGTCCGACCGCGCGGGCGGTCTGCTGATGTACGGTATTCCCAACATGAAGCTCGACAAGAACGTCGTCCAACGACGCATCGACTTCATGGCCGCCGAAGGCATCAAATTTGTCACTGGCGTCTTCGTCGGCGAGGGTGACATCACACTCGAGTCGCTCCGCGAATCTAACGACGCTGTTGTCCTGGCCACTGGGTCCACTGTGGCTCGCGATCTTAAGATCCCCAACCGCAATTTGAAGGGCATTCACTTCGCCATGGAATTCCTTCACAAGAACACAAAGTCGCTCCTTGATTCAGAGCTCGCTGACAATGCGTACATCTCTGCGAAGGGCAAGAATGTGGTTGTTATCGGAGGTGGTGACACCGGCAATGATTGTGTTGGCACGTCTGTTCGTCATGGCGCCAAGTCGGTCGTCAACTTCGAACTCCTACCACAGCCGCCAGCTCAACGTGCCCCTGATAACCCCTGGCCCCAATGGCCTCGAATTTACCGCATCGACTATGGTCACACCGAGGTCAAGACCCACATGGGCAAGGACCCACGCGAATACTGTATCATGTCCAAGGAGTTCGTTGACGATGGCGAGGGTAACGTCAAGGGCATCAACATTAAGCGTCTTGAATGGACCAAGAACTCGAAGGGTGGTTGGGATATGAAAGAAATCGAAGGAAGCGAGGAATTCTTCCCTGCTGAGCTCGTCATGATCTCCATGGGTTTCCTTTCGCCAGAGGAGAAGGTCGCCGGTGGTGCCATCGAACTTGACGGCCGTAAGAACTTCAAGACCCCGCCTGGCAAGTACTCCACCAACGTCGAGGGTGTATTTGCGGCAGGTGATTGCCGCCGCGGACAATCACTCATCGTTTGGGGCATTAACGAGGGCCGCCAGTCTGCTCGTGAGATTGACACTTATCTCACCGGTCTACACTCTCAGCTTCCTGTCACCGGTGGTATCGTCAAGCGTGCCCCTTACGTGGTTCAGAAGAAGGCCGAGGGCACCCCAATCGAGCTCGCTGCTTGATGGGGTTTTTGAGCAATGAACCCATCAAGACCGTTCCTTAATAGCGTTCTTATGAAAGAAATAGAAAGCGGCGTCTGCTCATACAAGGCTGTTTGTGGAAAGGGAGGACAGTAAGTTGCGGCATGATAATGACTATTTGGCGCATGCACATGGTTGGTTTCGTTTTTTGCTTTTGTTTCTTCACTGCAAATGATATCAAGGGGTATGAAAGCTATCTTGTACGTACTAAATTGACGATGTATATGCAGATTTTTCCACTTAGATTTCTATTACATACGGTCTCGTCAATTCCAAGAGTCATCCATCTGTTTTGTATTCCGCGAATGGGCCGAAACTTGAACGTGGCTGACATTCTGCTCATCTGGGCAATGTTTCATCTGCAGGCAGCAATCAATAATGATGGCTCCTGACGTTGTTCGTGTAACACAAAGCATCGGCCCAAAAGAAGTCACGTTCTAATTCACGTAACACAAAAAGTATTGACTCACAACAAGTCACCTGGGCACTTCCTGATTCACAGACGTGAAGATTATATCCTCTCTGACAAGCTCCAACGACTTTGCATCTTCATCCCTCATCCAGACTGCCTTTTCAATTGTTCATCTTCGTATTTCATCGCCATCATGCTCGCAACAGACACAGTGGTCCGCACGACCCTGGGTCAGAAGACGATCGGCGACTTGAATGTTGGTGATCGATTGTTTGATGACAATGACATGCCTGCCGTCTGCACCGCGGTAGACGATGCCCAAATCCGCCCCAACGTGAGAACTATCACGTACAAGAACTGGAACACTAAAGTCGACACGAGCTTCGAGTGCACATCAAACCACATCATCACTATGAAATCATACGGCGTCAAACCTAGGATTGAGCGTGAACGTTCGGTCGTCTGGTACGCGCGTTGTGACCGTACCAAACTTGAAGAAGAGGTGGCAGACTTGAATTGGGACCAGCTGATGAACCGCCTGTACCTTGAGACACCGAAGGAGAATGAACGCCGTCCATCAGACGCCAATATTCACGAGTACATCGACAGCCTCGTTGCACAGTGGCTTGTGGCACCCACCGATTCGAACAGCCCTCTCTTTGTCGAGTTCATTGAGTTCAAGGAGACTCTCACAGACACCGATCCCAACGGTGAGTCCATTTGCCATCTCATCTGCTTGAAGCTCTACTGACACAGCTTCTTAGATTTCGATGAGGAGAGTCTGGCTCCCATTTTCAGGGAGACTTTGCACAGTCACATGGATGACTATCTCGAGTACATGATGCCTGAACAAGACGATGTGCCAGACGACGATGATGATGTTCTGGATATCGACCTTGACACCATCCGCCCTCGAAAGTTTCAGAAGCTCACATTGCCATCATCGCCACGATCGTCTGACCCATCTTTTCGGCCAACTCTCACCATACGGTCGTCTTCGCCAACCAAACACACCTCACAGGCTGCTCCCTCCTCGCCAACTCACCAGCCTGTCCCATCGTCCTCTCAAGAGTCATCGCACGCTGACACTATTCAACTGCTTCGCGACGAGGATGATATGGACAAGTTTGCAGCCGTTCGTGAGGCTCTGCCGTCGGTTTGCAAGAATTTTTCAGGACCCTGTAAAACCTTCAACAGGCTATCAGTGCGCTTCGCGAACGTGAGGCAGGCCCAGCTTGCTCTCAGTCTGTTGGAAGGCGATCACTTTCGTGTTATCGATCCCTTCGTTGTCCGCAACGGCGACACTTGGACAATGATGCTGCGAGAGTACCAAGAATCATGTGCAAACGTCTCCAACAGGTCCAATCGGAAGCTCAAGCTCTACCGCGCTCCGTTGATGTTTGTCCCGTCCGAAACGCCAGCAGCGCCAGTCCCCATCGATCCATACTATCTGGGCATTTGGCTCGGCGACGGGAGCAAGACAGGATCCACAATCACTGGTACCGATAAGGAGACTAAGGCTTTCATCCAGGCCTATGTCGATCGTCTGAACAGCACTAGGCCGCCCGGAACACCCCCGTTGATTCTGATCGAGATTCTCAGCCATGAAGCAGGCTATACTACCACACTCCAGCACCCCAGCGGCCGCACCTCTGAGACGATCACGTCTACTATGGATTGCTTCCATTGGAGAATCTCCTCCACGGTCCAAGGAAGCAATGCCTGGAACCCTGTATTACACGGTCTACGCGATTTAGGCTTCACAGGCGAGGACAAGAGCGTTGGCATTCCCGACTGCTACATGAACGCAGATGAAGATACTCGCCTCGCAGTCCTTGCTGGTTTGATCGATTCAGACGGTACACTCTGGGGCAGGTTCTACATGTTCACACAGATGACTTACCAGCACAAGAAGATTGTTGATGATGCTCATAAGCTGGCCACTTCGTGTGGCATCGCTTGTAGTCCTATTGGTCAAGTCAACATCAAGAACAGACGTGAGCCACGTTGGCAGTTCTATCTGTACAAGGGCTGCGAGAAGTTTCAGCACCATCTCCTGATGCCTCGCAAGAAGCTGAACGGTCTGAAGCCTGGCGGGATGACTGTGAACTTTGATGCACGTGTCTTCCATGTCTCCGACCCGCATCAGCAGGAGTGTCGTGCCGTCAGCATCTCCGGTGATCTGTTCCAGCTCGCGAACCGCACTGTTGCGCACAATTGATTGCACTTTATGGCAGACGAGCAGCTTTCGCTATGCGAGTCGTGTATTCTATCAGAGAGTGATCGCGTATTGTTTTCGTTATCCTTCAAATTGAAAAGCAAGTTCCGCAATCATCCTCTTAAAGACATGTACCGTGTTGTTGTGTGTAGTATACAGTAAGAAATAAGAGACGCTTCATCAACATTCTACGCCTGGAGTACAGGTACGCGGTGAGATCAGATGGCGGGGTACAAATTGCCGCCCGAAGACATGTGAACAGCAGGGTGGGAGTTCTTGTGGAAACAACCTAGAGCCCAGACGTATTCCGCAATGTTTGCAGTCCTAAGATTTGTCTCTCATCGCCCGATCGCAGAACTTTGTGCGCACGCCGCACATACCAGTCCGCACACACATTCAACTTCAGATCCTCGCATGGATTTTCCCAATAGAGAACTCCGTATGAAATTGTGACGACGATCCCACAGCACAAAAGAAGTTTCTCAACGTGCGAATGGGATTCTCCACAGCCTTGGCTGCATTACGTCACATAGCAGACCCTAGAGAGTAAATTTTTTGGAGATAGCCCTGGAGGGTAGCTGCTTGGTTGTTGCGGGTGGCAATGTACGTAGCAGCGTAATGGTAATAACATTCCCGAGCTTGAGGGTCAAATTAGACCTCCGATCACATGGAACACAAGGGGCAATTCCTGAAAGCAATGTTGAGAGCTTGACTCATCGAGCAGGTTGCGGATGGTTGTGTTGTCATCGGAATGTCCATGCGGGAAATCCTAGGCGAGGCGGTTCTGGCTCATTCAGGCGGCTTCGCGGTGCCGCCAGAATACTCTCGCAGGCCCTTTAGCGCCGCTTCCACCAGATTCTGAGAGCTTCCACACCACGGCACAGCTCAACAATGTTGCAAATATAATCGTTCACCACACCGATTCTTTTCCTTTTGATCATTTACAATTTCCTACACTCCTCCTTCTCCCACTGGTCTTTTGTCAAATTTGCAGACGAAAGAACCTCACAACGATAATTTCTTCAATTCCCCACTTCTCACAAATTACACCACATCAACATGGCGCCCGCGATTGGTATCGACTTGGGTACTACCTACTCTTGTGTGGGTATCTACCGTGATGACCGCATCGAAATCATTGCAAACGACCAGGGTAACCGAACAACACCCTCGTTCGTTGCCTTCACCGACACCGAGCGTCTCATTGGTGATGCCGCAAAGAACCAAGTCGCCATGAACCCCATCAACACAGTCTTCGACGCCAAGCGATTGATCGGCCGAAAGTTCACCGACGCTGAGGTCCAAGCCGACATGAAGCACTTTCCCTTCCAGGTTGTTGAGAAGGCGGGCAAGCCCAACGTTCAGGTCGAATTCAAGGGCGAGACCAAGACTTTCTCACCAGAGGAGATCTCAGCTATGATCCTCACCAAGATGCGCGAGACTGCCGAGTCATATCTCGGAGGCACCGTTAACAATGCTGTTGTCACTGTCCCTGCATACTTCAACGACTCTCAGCGACAAGCCACCAAGGACGCTGGTCTCATCGCCGGCCTCAACGTCCTCCGTATCATCAACGAGCCTACTGCCGCTGCCATCGCCTACGGTCTCGACAAGAAGCAGGAGGGTGAGCGCAACGTGCTTATTTTCGATCTCGGTGGAGGAACTTTCGATGTGTCTCTCTTGACCATCGAGGAGGGTATCTTCGAGGTTAAGTCCACTGCCGGTGACACTCACTTGGGTGGTGAGGACTTCGACAACCGACTCGTCAACCACTTCGTCGCTGAATTCAAGCGCAAGTCAAAGAAGGATTTGACTTCCAACGCTCGTGCCCTCCGTCGTCTGCGCACTGCTTGCGAGCGTGCCAAGCGCACTCTCTCTTCGTCCGCTCAGACCTCCATTGAGATCGACTCTCTCTACGAGGGTATCGACTTCTACACTTCCATCACCCGTGCTCGTTTCGAGGAGCTCTGCCAGGACCTCTTCCGTTCCACCATGGAGCCCGTTGAGCGTACCCTTCGCGACGCCAAGATCGACAAGTCATCCGTCCACGAGATTGTTCTCGTCGGTGGTTCCACTCGTATCCCCAAGATTCAGAAGATGGTGTCTGACTTCTTCAACGGCAAGGAGCCCAACAAGTCCATCAACCCCGACGAGGCCGTCGCCTACGGTGCCGCCGTCCAGGCTGCTATTCTCTCCGGTGACACCTCCAGCAAGTCCACCAACGAGATCTTGCTTCTCGACGTCGCCCCCCTGTCCCTCGGTATCGAGACTGCCGGCGGTGTCATGACTCCTCTCATCAAACGCAACACTACTATTCCCACCAAGAAGTCTGAGACCTTCTCCACCTTCTCTGACAACCAACCTGGTGTTCTCATCCAGGTGTTCGAGGGCGAGCGCGCTAGAACTAAGGACAACGTAAGTGAATTCATACCAACTTCGATATGTTGACGAAGGAATTGTACTAATATATTTTTACAGAACCTCATGGGTAAATTCGAGCTCACTGGTATCCCACCAGCACCTCGTGGTGTTCCTCAGATCGAGGTTACCTTCGACCTTGACGCCAATGGAATCATGAACGTCTCTGCTCTCGAGAAGGGTACCGGAAAGACCAACAAGATCGTCATCACCAACGACAAGGGTCGTCTGTCCAAGGAAGAGATCGAGCGCATGCTTGCCGAGGCTGAGAAGTACAAGGCTGAGGACGAAGCTGAGTCTGCACGAATCTCAGCCAAGAACGGCCTCGAGTCATACGCATACTCCCTCAAGAACACCCTCAGCGACAGCAAGTTTGAGGAGAAGCTCGCTGCTGACGACAAGGAGAAGCTCAAGGCCAAGATTGACGAGACCGTCACTTGGCTCGACGACAACCAGACCGCTACCAAGGATGAGTACGAATCCCAGCAGAAGGAGCTCGAGGGTGTCGCCAACCCGATCATGATGAAGGCCTACCAAGACGGTGGTGCTCCTGGCGGCATGCCCGGCGGTCCTGGCGGTTTCCCTGGCGCCGGTGGCCCGGCCGGTGGAGCCAGCCACGATGACGGCCCTACCGTTGAGGAGGTTGACTAAATCAATCACCCACCCTCACGGCTGTAATTCTTGTTTGCATGGAGCATGGCGTTTCTTTACACGGTCGGAAAAAAATTGGGCAAAAAGCCCTCTCACGATGCATGAATGATTGCGAATGTAGCCAAGGCTACCTCTAGTTAGAATTTCCAATATGATGAAATCCAATTCAGTGATCATGTCTTCTCTCCCTTGACTTGTGATCTTGTCGGATCTGCCCTTTGGGTGTGGTCCGCAAACGTGCCAACATTGGGCACCTCTATACTCTCGTTCACGGCAGATATTGTCATCGCACACTCTCATACTCGGCACGTGGTTCATTCCCCACATTCAAATCGGCCAAATACTACGTCGCACGCCGCAAGCCTACGTTTTGGAAAAATGAGCTGATATCCTACTCAAAAGTTTCCCGTGCTGTGCTAGCTACCTGGAAGAAAACGACGTCTGGCGTTGTTATTTGTTCACCTGGGCCAGCAGTACATTTACTCTAAGTGCTCAATGCTGACCCCAACCCTAATGCAGGAAAACCCCTTGGTGTAGAAACGGGCTGATTGACATGTCAACATATCGACGGGGCCAGGCCAGCTCTAGAGACCTTCTGATTGAACATGCATAATGAACTCGACAGAAAAGAATTGCTAGCGAACAGAGCGTTCAATCAATCCCTTGAGCATTAGCCGCGGAACTGAGCGTTAGTCATCGGAGATGCTGATTTCAGATCAGTCATCGGAGTGCCGACCTGACCGAATCTGTGCACTTGTGCTTCAAAGTCAACAAAGTTGAACAGAGTCACTGTGTGAAAGAAGTGCTCGGGTGAGGCAAAACATCACAAAACAAGCGTAACTTGAAATGGACTGTTGCTTGATTAAGGGTACCTAGGTAGTATAGCAATGTGGTTGGAGTCACACCTTGTGTAACTATCGTTCACTCTAAGACCATGCCCTCTCTCATCGACCTCCGACGCCTTCTTTCCTTGCTGTGCGAACTCATTCGTCCCGTGCAATGAAATTCCTCGTGAAGTTCCTCCAACTCTGATTTGTTGTGAGCATGTGATGTGTTGGAACGTCGGCCGCTCTCACCCAGCAGACTGAAGAGATGTGCAGTGTCGTCGGACATGCTGGCCTCTCAGTCGGGTTCCTCCACGAAGGGACATCATGGTACAAGCAGCATTTTGGTCTCAGCAGTGGAGGCTTCAGGTCCAAAGAAGCCTCAGGAATTTGAAGGCTGTTTCATCAACGAAGAGGGAACTTCGCGATCGAAGCCGGCATTTCAGGCGAAGGGCTGCGCATGCATGTGAACAGACTCCCGAATACCTATCATGATCTCCAGAATTATCACGATGATATCTTTGCATGAAAATATGACAGAGATGAGGAGGCCGGGCGTGCCATGTTTCCTCAGCTGTCCGTGGCTTTCAGGAAAATCTATTTCCAGTGTACTAATCGCAGTGGAAAAGTAGCCGCAATCATGTAGGCGTATGCTCGCGATTAACCTGAAAGATCTTCACAAATTGAGATTCTGGTCGTTACAAGTCAACCTCTGTGATCTGGGTTTACGACGATATTGATGGCGTTAATGTCCTGCTGACAAGGTGTCGTGTATTTTTTAATTACAGTGGTACAGTCTCCATTCACGGTCGAGTGCAGAACGGAGATTTAGTGTTCTTGAATGTGTCTTACGATGGTGGCTATGCTCTCCATGCATCTTGTCGTCGAATACAAAAATTGTGTTGCATACGTGAAGCCTCCCGAGGTCTCTGAAGCTTGACGTGGGATTTCAGAACCCTTTCGTGTTTGTTGCGTGAGAGAGTTCGACATTCAACTTCATCATTAAAGTGGTATGGCGTCACAGCTTGACTCTTCTAGAGCGAACCACAGCTGAACAATCAAGATGTCTCGCTCCAATGACCCAGGTCATTTCTTTCAAACCACAGATGCTCTTGAAACGACAGAGCGCAAATCGGCCAAAGCCAGAAACAAGCATGGCAACCCTATCAAATTGACGTCGAAAATTTTGGCCGCTGGAAGCCATGAGTGGGATGGCAGTGATAGCAAAATCTACGTGGCAGAAGCGGCGGGCGATATCAAGTCCGTAGATCTCGAAGTATGTAGCAAGACCATAGTCTGATCGAATGACTCCGGACTGACGTGACTCACTTTTAAGTCGAGGAAGATCGAAAAGATCTTCACCCAAGGCACCGCACCCCTGACCAGCGTCGCCGTTTGCCCACAGACCAAGACATTGTTCGCAGGATCATGGGACAAGTCCATCTATGCCATTTCATTGGGACGCAGCGAAGCCACTCGTACTCTGACTGGCCACGGAGACTTTGTCAAATGCCTGCTCGTGACCTCCCTTGGTGATCGTCCGATCTTGCTCTCCGGCGGTGCAGATTCAAATATCATCATTTGGGACATTTCTTCAAACGGTTTTGGCAAGCAACTACACAAGCTCAAGGGCCACACGAAAGCGCTACAGGACCTCACACTCGACCCACTCAGCCTACCGAACGATGCTGCTGGCCCAGCCGACTCATTTGTGCTGTTCAGCGCTAGCAGTGATCGCGAGATTCGCCGCTGGCACATCAGTGTTGATCGTGCCTATGAGCTGAACGAATCCATAGATAAGCCTATACGCGCGCATGAGACGAGCGTATATCGACTCGTGTGGGACAGCGACGGTGATCTCTGGACCGCATCAGCCGACAAGACGGTCAAGCACCTCGTGCGGTCGCGTGACTGGGAGGCCGACACCGTGCTTCAGCATCCTGATTTCGTGCGGGATGTCCTTGTAGACGAACGTACCGGACAGGTCGTGACAGGGTGTCGAGATGAAGAAGTGCGAGTATGGAATGCATCTAGTGGGAAGCTGGTGTGCACTTATACCGGACACTTTGAGGAGGTGACGGGACTCTTGTCTCTAGGCGTAGATCGTGTGGTCAGTGTCAGTATCGATGGCACTGTCCGACAGTGGAGTTTGAATAGTAAGGAAATGGCGCAGTACCAGGAATTACTCGCGAAGGAGGCAATTGGTGAGGCAAAAGAAGAAACTACTATCACCGCCAGCACTCTCACAGCTGAAGAGGAGGCCGAGCTTGCCGAGCTGATGGATGAAGATGACGACTAGACTTCAACTTTTGCGACAATTTGTCAAATTATAAAACACACGAGCCATGTCGTGCTTTTTAAACGACCTATAACATGAACCAAAACGACCTCTCGCACTGCCTTGTCCACCACATCTACATCATATATGTACACTATGCTACATGGGTATCATGAAATCCTGCAGCTGTCTAGTTGATCCTGCTTCCTGCAGCGATCTCCTTTTGAACCCACTTCTCGAGACCACCGCGAGCAACAATCTCTTGAACGTTAGGTGGAAGCTCTCCAACCTTCTGTGTCCACGATTGACCGTCCTTGCCCTCTTGAACGATAACCTGACTTCGTCGGACATCCCAGGTGAAAGTCCAGCCTGTCCGAATTGTCAGGGGAGCCTCCGCAGGCTTGGCTTCTGGCGCGGGAGGTGGAGAGTCAAGGCTCTGGCGGTTCTGCTTGGGTTCTGAGATGGGCTGTGTACCGGCCGGGCTCGCCGCAGGGACACCTTGCTCACCGAACGCGGATCGCAATCGCTCGATCAATTTCGGTACCTCAACGCCCATCAGAGCGTTGTTGATGGAATTGCGGCTGAAGATGTTACCAAAGCTGCCCGAGACGACCAATTGAATGCCCTTGGCAAGGATCGCTGTCGCGGCCTGTTCACGGGATGATCCACAACCAAAGTTGAATCCGGAGACCAGAATGTCGCCAGCCTTGGCGATCTTCGCGAATTCGGGATCATAGTTCTCCATCGTGACCGTGGCCATCTTCGCCGGGTCTGCGCTGAATGCGTCGTCATATGTGTATTTGCCAGGATAGATAGCATCCGTGTTCACGTTGTCGGCGTTACACCATACGATCTCTCCGGTAACCTTTTCGGGGAAGCCAGGGAGAATCTCTGTGAGGCTGTCGCTGCCCTCATCCTTTGACGTGCTTGAGGATGAGACGAGCCCGCTTAACTTCTCTTCGCCAGCCTTGACTGCAGCTTCTGCTTGGCGGACGAGCTTGTCGAGCGCGTCTTCAATACTGATCATACGGTCTTCCTCTTGGATGCCATCACCTTGACCGCGCTTGACGCCAGTCCAGTCCTCTGGCTTCTGGTACCAGCCTGGACCCGCAATCACACCCTTCAAGGCGCTTGCTGCCACAACCTCAGGGCTTGCGAGGTATGCCTTTGCTGCGGTACTGCCCATTCGACCCTTGAAGTTACGGTTGCTCGCAGAGATTCCGACCTCGCCGGGCTCCAGTAGTCCTGTTCCCAAACCAATGCAGGGTCCACAGCCGGCAGGCAGCGGCTGCGCACCTGCTTCCAGGAGAACTTGCCAGTCGCCCTGTTCTTCAGCGGCTTGCTGCTCTGGGATTGACGCGGCAGCGATATAGAACTTGACACCTTCTGCAATCTTAGGGATTTGGCCGTCTGCTCCTGCTGCAGTTTTAAAAACCTTCGCAGCAGCTGCGATATCACTCCTTCGAGAGTTCGTGCAAGATACGAGGTAGGCCTTGCTGACTCCGATGTTTTGCGCTTCCAGCTCCGCGAGAGGAGTCGCGACTTTGACCGAGTTCGGACCTGAGACATAGGGCGACAGAGTTGAAAGGTCCAGATATAGCTCCTTGGCATACGAAGCACCTTTATCAGCAGTCAACGGATCCGCGAACATCTCATCAAGTCTCTGGTGATTGAAGCGTTCGGTGGTTAAACTCGATGTGGCAGATGGCGCCTTGTACATGCTCGCTTCGGTGGCTTTGAACCGGAGCCAGCCTTTGAGAACGTCATCGATCGGGAACAATCCCGAAAGAGCACCCCACTCGGTCGTCATGTTCGCGATTGCCAGGCGATCATCTACAGGCAGGCTGCGCATGGTTTCCGTCGAGCCGGTAAACTCAATGGCGTGGTTGAGCACCTCGTCGTTGTTGAACAAACCACAGAGGGCTACAATCACGTCCTTACCGGTCACACCCTGAGGGAGCGTGCCCTGGAAGGTAACTTTGGCAATCGGAGGAATCTGCCACCATGTACGGCCTGTGGCCCAGATGCTTGCAGCATCAGTGCGCACAACAGGAGTTCCGAGACAGGCAACACCGCCATACATGTTGGAGTGACTGTCACTGGCTACCGCCATTGTTCCGGGCCACGCATAGCCTTCTTCAACCATGATCTGATGTCCAATGCCTCGCCCTGCTGGGTAAAAGTCCACTCCTTGCTGCTTCGCAAACTCCTCAATCTGTTGGTATTTCTTCAAGTTCTTCTCCGTCTTATTCTGGACATCGTGATCCAGAGTCATGACAATCTGCTTTGGGTTGTGGATTTTGCTGGCGCCGATGCTCATGAATTTGGTAGCGACAGGCCACGAATTGTCGTGCGTCATACATTGCTGCGGAGCGAGCGTAACGTAATCTCCAGACTTGACGAACTTGCCATCTGGCAATCCTTGAGAGTAGCGCTGGACAATCTTCTCTGTGAGCGTCTGCGGTGATGACGCTGCTGGCGCAGACTTCTTCAGGATCTCCGTAGGGGTGTTTTCGATTTGCGTGGAGAATGCATCGGTGAGCTCAGCCAAGCATCGCGGCGATGAAGTAGAAAAATGGCGCGGTCGGTCAAGCTGTGAGCGGACCGGGTGCGAGACTCGTAATGCAATTGTACTTCTCAGTGTTGTCTACGCGACGTCAGTATTCGTCGTCCTGCGGACCCCGGCATTATTTCAGTGTACTCTTACATTCCTAGCAAGCCTTTGCAATGCCCGACTGGGAGCAGCCCTTATGGTGAACATGTTTGCGTTTTCAATAATCAGAATCTATTTCATGCGCATCAAATGGCACGCGACTCGAATTTGGAGGATGATGCTTCAAAAGACAAAAAGTGAGGGCTGTCGGCACAGAAGAGAGCCAATGGGAAGCGAAAGAGGTAAGAAAGTCAATGGGTTGTTGCAGAATTACGGCGACATCGGCTTTGCCCGCCTCGTCACCAGTCCGTCTATGGTCACGAAGCTTGGTGGAGAAGCGAGACAGATGAGTCAAAATACCTAATCTGTAAATTTTATTTTAGTAAGCTTCATGTCAAGCGAGAACTCCAGGTCAGAGGTTTGAACCAACGGAGTTTCACCATCGACTGTTGCTTCAAATAAACAAGATGCCCTTCCGCGGTGATATTTACTACTTTGGAGCAGGCCCGGCCCCGCTACCTACTCCAGTGCTCGAGGAGGCTTCCAAGGTCCTGCTCAACTACAAGGATGGTGGCATTGGGATCACAGAAATCTCGCACAGAAGTGCAGATGCAAATGAGATACTCTCCCATGCGAAATCGGGTCTTCGTCAACTGCTTGATATCCCCGAGTCCGACGGCCCAGATGGATATCAGATTCTCTTTCTCCACGGGGGTGGTAGCGGAGAGTTCAGTGCCGTCGTGTACAATCTCGTCAGCGTGTGGGTTGCGAAGCAGCAGAAGCAGCTCAACATTGATATCAATGACGAAAGCAGTCTGCAAAGGTTGAGAGAACGTGTGGCTCAGATGAAGCTCGATTACCTCGTTACTGGTTCTTGGTCACTCAAAGCTTCTCAGGAGGCGGCACGGCTGATGGGCAGTGAACATGTCAACGTTGTCAGTGATTCCCGGAAACATAGAGAAGGCAAGTTCGGCCTCATTGCCGAACCCTCTACATGGAACTCCACGAAAAACGATGCCGATGTTGCCTTTACTTACTACTGCGATAATGAGACCGTTGATGGCGTCGAGTTTCCAGTCTCGCCCTCCGGACCCAATTTGGTGGCCGACATGAGCAGCAACTTCTTATCTCGCGCTGTTGATGTCCGGAAGCACGCCGTCATCTTCGGCGGCGCTCAGAAGAATATCGGAACCACAGGCATCACAATTGCTATTGTTTCAAACGCAATGTTACCTCCGCAGGCTGATATGGCCGACCCGACGCTTCTGCGAAAGCTGGGGCTGTCTGTGGGACCGGTCGTTTTGGACTGGCCGACCGTGGCAAAGAACAACAGTCTGTACAATACTTTGCCGATTTTCGACGTTTGGATTGCTGGGCAAGTCATGCAACGACTATTGGACATCCACCCGTCCTCTTCCGACTCAAAGATTGCTGGCCAACAGGCGGAGAGCGATCAAAAGTCTGCACTCTTGTACTCTATCTTAGACAAGCATGGCCAAGTCTATCAAGTCGTGCCTGACAAGAGCGCTCGGAGCAGGATGAACATATGCTTTCGGGTCAAAGGAGGCGATGCAGAAGCAGAAAAAGCCTTTGTTAAGGGCGCCGAGAGCCAAGGACTGTTCGGCCTTAAAGGCCATCGTAGTGTCGGTGGCATCCGCATCAGCAACTACAATGCTGTGCCAGTAGCCGCAGCAGAGAAGCTGGCTGCATACTTGGAGACATTTGCGAGCCAGTAATCGACTGGCTCGTGATTTAAGAAAAGATTAATCCGATGATACTATCGAAAACGCATTCTATTGTCACAATGAGGGAGTAACTTTTGCGATTCATCGACCGACCCTGTGGCGATTCCACGATCAGCAGCAATTTCGCTACGTTGGTTCTCATAATCCGTTGGAGATATCACTATAGATGACCTGTGTAGATTTGTTCGCGTCTCGAATTGAACTTGGGTGAAAGGAACAAGCACTGAGCATCGAACATTGCTGTGTGAACACAACGCCGCACGCTTTCGCGGAGTCACGCCCGCGTGTGATTCTCACACCATCATGGCACTGATGAAGGACGATCTCTGTTAGAGTACGCAGCCTGTTGAACGTACAGGAGTGCTGTGTCCAAGGATTCGAACAGGAACCATGACGCACATTGAAATACAGTCGGGAAACATCCCCCCGTCGACCCTTACCTGTCATGTCAAATAGCTGACTGCAAAGAGACTTCTCATCACAAGTTGATAAATCGTGCCTTTCGAGTTGGCTTGAAAATAGGATGTGAAGTTCGAGGCCTTGAAAATAGAAAGACGTGACATGTGAGATTGATGCACGCCCCAAAGGTGGTTTCGCAGAGTTCCTACGTTGTGAACAGACATCCGCACATGAAATTCAAGCATTCCAAATGACGTAATGAAGATATCGGAACACCACAGACAGAAGCGCGTCTCTTCCAGTTCCGCTCTAGCGTATTCGCGACGTCGGCGTCGTTTCCAAGTTCCTGCTGCACAAACCGTGCTATATGTAGGACGGTTTGATGGCTACCCAGGTATCGTCATAATTCATTGACTTTCATTTACGCACGATGAACGCATTGCTGGACATGTGGTAGACGTGGAGGGATCGAAGTATTTTTATCATGTCATAAAGCTTGCATGTTCAATACTTGACGGATTACTTCTATCGGTGTTCACGAACGAAAGTATGTTGGCTCGGCAGCTTCTCCAGGGGCCTACAAGGCAGTTGTTGGCCGCGCAAGGCCGAATAAGTCCTCGCATCACGACTGCGTTAACATCAAAAAGGTTCAGAGTTGGAGATTCGGGTGATAAGTAAGTGATTTCGATATAACCATCTCATTTATGCTGATCGCGGTTTTTGTACTGACATTTTCTCACAGCAAATCTGGACATATAAGCACGACACCTGAGCAAGGCATTCTCTTTTTTAACAACGTCTTGCCGCCGAATCTACAATGGCTTTTCCGGCTCTCCTCATCTCTCGAAAAGAAATCACCGCTTTCGGACGGCAATCAGACTGCAGAGAATCTTGGCATCGTGCACCCGCATACGTTGTTCAACGACGCTACCAAGACTGAATATGCCGGGCAAGTCAACGTTGTGGAAGTGCTGCCACGTCTCCGGGAAGGTGGCGCGTTTCTCAAATTCAGCTTTAGCTCGACTACAGATCCGAAAGCAGTTGCTCAAAGTATCAGCCAGCATCTTCGGGAGCATCGGACGCGAAGTTGGTGGAATCCATTTGCGAACGTGAAGGCGAGTTTGGTTCAAGGGACGCCATGGGTGGAAGACCTATCGCGTCGACCATCACGCAGGCTCAGGATCGAGTTCCTCCCAACAGAGCCCGGGAATCCAGTTGCAGAGTTAAGCCAAGAGCAGCTGTATGGGTTCTTCCGTTCGTTCGGAAAGCTCTCTGAGATTGTTCCTCAAGCATCCGACTCAAAAGTTCTCCCGCGCTTCGCTTATCTCGACTACTACTTTATGAGTCGTGCAATAATGGCAAAAAATTGTCTTCATGGTTATGTTGTGACCGAGGCGCAAGGAGGCGGCAAAACCGGAACCCTGCTTCGCTTGTCATATGAGAAAAAGGAACGGTTCAAGTGGTTCAGAGATACGATCTCGGGTCACTCTCGGATCGTTTTACCACTCCTCGTTGCACTCGTGGCCGGAATCACCGTGGCCGTTTTCGACCCAATCAGAACGCTCTCCATCAAAGCTCACATCACACGCGCTTTCCACGTCGAGGACAACGTGATATTCCGCTGGTTTCGTCGAACCGGCGAGGATATCATCAAAAGCGTACGCCAGCTTGGTGGTCTCGAACAGAGTTATGAGGCAGGCATGGAAGTTGTTTGGGAGGATCGCAAATCCGAGGTGGATAAAATCCAAGCTTGGCTGATGGAGAGTATAGACACGTTCATTATCGTCCAAGGTCCACGAGGAAGCGGCAAAAAGGAGCTGGTCATCGACCATGCTTTGCGGCACAAGATCGCAGCAAAAAGAGTGCTGGTTGTGGACTGCAAACCGGTAGCTGAGGCGCGCGGAGACGCTGGTACAATATCCGCTGCTGCGGCACAGGTTGGCTACTCTCCGGTATTCTCGTGGTTTAATAACTTCAGCGGTCTCTTGGATCTAGCAGCGCAAGGTCTGACAGGAGTGAAAGCTGGATTTTCAGAGACACTCGAAAACCAACTGGTCAAGATTTGGGTCAAGACTTCTGCTGCACTGAAGAGCATCGCCCTCGAATCTCGGAGAAAGGATGACAAAGACGCGAAGCTCAGCGATGATGAGTACCTAGAAGCACACCCGGAGCATCGTCCCGTGGTCGTCATCGAAAACTTCCTGCACAGAAGTAACGATCCGGGCGCCAGCTTGGTATACGACAAATTGGCACAATGGGCAGCTGAACTGACAACCTCAAACATTGCTCACGTGATATTTTTGACGAATGATGTGGCATTCAGCAAGTCTTTGAGTAAAGCATTGCCAGACCGCGTCTTCCATCAGATCTCCCTAGGCGACTGTTCACCCGAAGTCGCTAAGCGATATGTCATCAATCGCCTAGATTTTGACGCGGATACCAAGAAGATTGTTGTAAAAGAAGGCGAGGAAGAAGTGAAAGTTCTGACACCAAGTCAGAAACGAAAAGATCTCCATGAACTTGACGAGGTAATCGGGCTCCTTGGAGGCCGTCTAACAGACTTGGAATTTTTTGCTAGACGCATCAAAGCCGGTGAGACGCCCTCAAAGGCCGCTAGGGAGATCATTGATCAATCAGCGTCAGAGATTCTGAAAATGTTCCTGCTCAAAACGAATGAAGAGCGTGATTGGACCACGCTCCAGGCGTGGACGGTAATTCGGAGTCTTGCAGAGAACGACTCTTTGCGGTTTAATGAGCTGCTGATGTCCGACTCGTTCAAGACAGATGGCGAGAAGGCGATCGCCGCTCTCGAACAAGCTGAGCTTGTCTCCGTGCAGTCGTATAACGGACGACCGTTCAGTGTTAAGCCAGGAAAGCCTGTCTACCAGTCAGCCTTCCAGAGACTAGTCAACGATAACGTCCTCAGAGCGAAGATGGATCTCGTCTTGTTGAACAATGCGATCTCGAACCAAACGAAGACCATCGAAAAACTTGAGCAAGAACTACATTTACTTGCTGAGCTGCCTAGACAGCCTGTCGAACTACGCGAGCGAGTACAATGGCTGTTGACTAACATATCAACGGCACAGAAAAAAATCGAGACTTTCGAGAAGGAGAGCACCGACTTGAAGAAGATCTTGACTACGGAATTCTAACTATAATTTCGTCAAGGTCGGCTTTTTATATTTCCTTGGAGTACCCTGTCGCGTTGTTCCTCACTACCTGCAGACGGCTGTCCTAGCATTTTTACGATGTGGTAATTGCAACGTGGCTACCTATTGCAGTGTGATATTTTTATGAATGTGAATTGTACTTGCAATATGCTGAAAAGGTTGGGCGCGATGTGAGGCGTCTGTGGCTTAGACCTGGACAATGGCCTCTTTACACATCTGGAAAAGCTCGCACCCCTGTTTTTCTGTATAATGAAAACATTCTACTCTTCATCACTACTCTGTATGTCTTGATCCTTTTCTTGACTCTTCGCAAGTAGCTTTTCCCAGTCTCGAGCGAATTCGCGTAGGCCTTCGCCGCTTGCGCTTGCATCCACGACATCTCGTGGGAGCTTATGAGCGCTGTACTGAGGCGTACTGAAGCTGTTTGCCTCAGGGTCGTCTTTCCTGACCAGTCTGAGCTCGGGCAGCCAGAATTCCTCCTCGGCATCCTCTTCCTCGATATCATCATCATCGTCGTCATCGGCGTCGAGGTCATCATTATCGTCGAACTCGCTTTCCTCAGTAGCTTGTTCCTCTAATCCCGAAGTCGAACTACAGCCTTCTGATCCTCGAATGCTTAACCGAACAAACTTTGTTTCGTCAAGCGGCTGTGAAAGAGACTCTGGGGGCTCATCCATGGTTAACAATTCAAGCCATCCGAAGAGCAGAGGGTCCGTTCGTGGTGCCCAAGGATTGAAATCTATCAGCCAAACCCTGTCGTGAGGGGGAGGAATATAGACATCGAAAACAAAATGCTCGTCTGGGAATGCATCTCGTAAGCGAACTGCAAAGAATTCCAATATAATGTCTCGGATCTTGTTTTGCAACGGGAAAAGGAACTTGTAATGGTTCAAGTCGCGTTGGCATATCGCCAGCAATTTTCGACCACGAACGAAACATCTGAATTCAAGTGACGGATTGATCTTCTCGATGGTCTTCCTTAAAACCAGAGCATAAGAGATCTCCTCGGATTCAATGCTTGACTCAGGGGAGTCGACACAATCGTCGAATGCATGTTCTAGATCATGGGTAACGAAATCAGAACTTTTCAACAACAGGTACACGTCACTAGGCACTCGACAAGCCATCGTGTTACTGTTCATCCAGGTGGCGTCCTTGGGAGCTGACCAATTGAGCTTCGGCACGACACTACCACCTAGCTCTGCTATGGTCTTCGAGATGGCCGTATGTATGTCTCGCCACTCGGCTGCAACATCTTCGTCTTCGTCTTCGTCATCGTCTTCATCCTCTCCAGTAGCCGCTGCCGGAGCTGAAATGATGCTTTTACCCCTGTCGGACCATTGTACTGGAGTAGTATCTTCGTCCGATGGCAGCACTATCCCATCCGCACGAAGGTAATCTAGGAATGGCTTGCTTAAGGGAATCAAACGGGCCTTCGGAGTTATGTTTCGAAATCTTCCGTAAGAGTCAGTAATGATTCGCAACCAGAAATTTGAACCATGCATTACCTAGGGTGCCAATAGTTATACGAGCAATGCAATATATGGGCCTTAGTCACTGGTGGAAACGGTAATGGCGTTGCCCCATTGTCGATGTCCTCAGTGAGTTGTTCATCATTGTCAAGAATAGCGGGCATAGTGGAAACAAAGTCGAATTCTTCGCGACGGTGTTTGGACACCAACGATAATTTCAAACGCCTTCTAGAAATGTTCTCAACTAGAACCTTGGAAGCGCGTCTACAGAATCAATTAATTCAGTAGTGAGCACATGTACATGTATGACTCCTCCAATTTTATGCGCATATTTCAATTGCCATAATTTATGCAATGATGAAATTCTTGTGGGGCAAACAAGCAATTATGCACGCCTCGGTTGATGCCGGCGCATGTCGTCTGTATACATGTATGTGAACTGCAACCTACCTACTACGTCAATTGCGATAAATCTTTCCTGTTCCCAAGAACAAGTACAACGTGCAACAGCCATGTCTTCTAATGTAGGACTTTCTACGCCAAGAGGATCAGGAACCTCCGGCTATGTTCAGAAAAACTCGGCACATCTTAGGCCCCGCGACAACGTACAACCATACCCCACCAAGGACACGGACATCACCAGACATCGACAAAGACAACCCGACAAGGAGATCTTGGAGCATGAACGCAAGCGCGAGATTGAGGTCAAAGTTTTTGAGCTGAGGGACAAATTAGAAGAAGAAGGGTATGCATAGATCCGAAAAAGTTCTTGACCTTGCGGTTTGACAATATCTAACAATCCGTGGGCAGTGTCGACGAGGATGAGATCGACGATCAGTGCGATGCTCTGCGCAAGAAGCTTGACGCCGAACAAACGCATTCGACTAAAGCTTCGACAGCACGAGGCTTGAAGTCACACCAGGTTCATGACATTGCGAAAGCCAAGATCGAGGAAAGTGAGCGGTTGCGAAAGGCCTTCGGAATTAGCAAGGACTATGAGGAAGGCAGCCACTGGCGAAGACAGGAGGAGAGAAAGATGGAACTAGAGCGCGAGCGTGCAAACGGGGAGATAGGACGAGACAGAGACTGATGGGCATCCCTCGCGGGCTGCTATACTTGCGAATGACTTTTAGCGAGGTGTTGGAATCATTGATGGAGTGGGAAGACGCTATGTTCATCATGAAGAATACGACACGGATGTGTTGGCGCACATCGGTTCACCCCTGCACATGCACGACAAGCAAAGTCATTATCGCGGAGAGAGCTTATCATGTGATGTTGATGCTCGGAAGAAGCCTGCGCAAGACTTTGTCACATGTGGGGTGACAAATCAAGGCATGACACAATATGCTCTCAGAGTCGGAAGTAACGCGCCCAGGTGGTGGTGAAATTACTGGTGCGACACACAACTTCGTCACCATTAGCATAACTGCGTACGCGGGTACTCTGCCTTGTCGCGCCAGCCTGGATGACTTCAAGGATCTGCTTTGTCGCACGTCCAGCCTCAGCTCATGACTGAGCTTGTCATCACTCGATATCTCTACCACTTTCAATTCTGTGGTGCCGACGAACCTCGACAAATCAAGGATCTTGGGAGGCTTTCATTCAGAGATTCCCGCTCAGTCTCTCTGGTCACTCTTGTCAACATGGAGACAGCGAGGGCCAGCTCTAGTGGGGCGTCCACTCTTGTCAATTTGAAAACAGAGGAGTCCAGCTCTACCAAAACATCAACAGAGCCTGAGCGACGCCTTCACGAGTATGTACATGATATAGTGTGACATCTCCGGCGACTAAACCTAAGGCGACAGACTCCTTTCTCGCGATATGGTCGACCTCTATGTCGGAGAGAAAAACACGCATTGGGTTCTGCACCATAAGCTTCTGTGCTATCGTTCCCGTCACTTTCGCAACCTCCTGTACGACCAGAAGAAGGGAAGCAACAAGAGTGACATCCTCGGACTCTCGGAAGTAGATGACACTGCGTTCGAACTCTTCGTCGGCTGGCTCTACTCCGAGAAGATCCTGTCGCCTAAAACAGAGGATGAGCTCACTTCCTTGTTCAACTTATATCTGATGGGCGAGGAATGGGATATTAAGAAACTTGTGCTCGAGAGTCTAGCTGTTGTGCGCAACTGGTACCGCGATACCGATACCATGCCAACTCTGCGTCGCGTGCAGTACGTGTACAAGAATACCGTGGGTGAGTCGCCCATGCGAAAATTGCTCGTTTCGCTGGTTGCACGGATGTTGGTGCTCGGAAGCGACTTCCCGAAGCACTGGAAAAATGCACTGCAGAGCGATGGCCAGCTGGCGGTGGATATTATCGAATGCTTGCAGAATTGGCGTCTCGGACCGGACAAGGTACCGGATCCGAGAGAGGAGAACGTACTCCCTGTCGTCGAAGGACTGAAGGAGAAGGTCAATATCAAAGTCGAAGACGAAGAAGAAGAAGATTTTCAGCTGGACTGGTCGCGAGGTCGTCTGGGCCCAGACAGCGACACGGACTGAAACTGCCAGGCCTAGGGTCATCCGCGGTTGGTGCTCCCATTCAGGACCCATCGCCAAGCTCGACTTTCAATATTAGGACGAAAGCATGACGAATAGGGCGCGAAAAGAATGTAGCAGACTCGTTGTTGCATCTCGTAGAATCTGCATCACCTCCTGTCAATGTTATGAGATCGATTGATAATAATGAATAACAAATCAGCATTCATTTTTTCGTTTGTGCCGTGCCTGTTCGCTGCTCATCGCCCGTTTCTTGTGCGTGATTCATGCTGTGTTGATCCTTTGGAATTGATTCATCATCGCCATCAGTCTCCGCTTCCTTGTCGTCACGGTCCCCGTCCAATTTCTTGTATTTGCGCCGTGATTTCTTCGTCGCACTAGCCTTCTTTTTTCTTTTGATCTCCTGCTGGATAGCAGTGCGACTTTGCGAGCCTTTCTCCATGAAATCTAGACGTTCCGCGAGTATGCGTCTTGCTAATTTGCGGTTTTGATCACGACTGCGAGTCTCTTGACATTTCACAACAATGCCGGTCGGCAAGTGTTTAAGCTGAACTGCGGAAGAGGTTTTGTTGATTTTCTGGCCTCCCGGCCCGGAACCTTTCAAGAAGGACTCGTCTAGATCTGATTCTGGAATCACGAGACGTGGTGGCAATGCCTTATTACCCAATAATCTGGGGTATGTAGAAAAGCCGCGGAAATGACAAACCGAGGTCGCATGGCGAATTTGTCGTGGGCTCGCGAGCCACGAATTCACGACCCGCAAAAACATATTTCATTCACAAAGGTGACAGTGTTGTCAGATCAAATTGTTAGGATGAAGTCATCGTGCACCCCGACCTAGCCTTGTATCTTATCGTCGAGTGGCTTGGACCGAACGATCCTCCCAAGCTTGAATTCAATTTACGCGCACGGGCAAGCGTGAGACTTTCGCGTGAAAAGCCAGATCCCGTCGCGTCATACTGAGAATTTGCGGGCGTGACACGTGAACATGAAGGACGACCGAATGCACATCTGCATTGTACGATGATGCGCACAACAGATATTTCGTGATTGGCGCACTACAATGACACTATGGTCCGGAGACATCGCATTGGATGCGCAAAGATCTCTGAGAGGTATGTTGGCCGCTGGAAAACACTATTCGATATGCTTTATTGACCAATGCTGCTTTCACAGGCGTCTCATTGCTGCGAACAGGGGCAAACGACCGGGCAGCAATATTAGCAGAGTCGTCTTTGAAATTCTTATCTTTGGTCGAAACTGACCGCGTACCTCTTCATCTCTGCGCTGGGGCCCCTTACAGCGTTAATATCAACGATGAGCAGACAGGAGCGTATCTGAGCAGTGTCTTGCTGCCTGTCGGCGACTTTGCCGACAATCAAACAGGCACTGCGTGGTGGCAGGGTGCTCGTGGCGATTCTCCTCTCGGCTTGTTGATTGCTTGCGATGAACCCATAATCACTGCTTCAGCCAGCGTTCGACCTAGGGTGACGGAGCTATTGTTCTATGCCAGCCGGAACCACAGAGATGACAAATGCGGACGTCTCACACCTCCACATTCTCCTGATGCGAATCCCAGTCCAGATACGATACTTCAAACAAACATTGCGATTTATGCGGTCCCGTTATCCTCAGACCTAATCACTAATCTTGACGCATCAACAACAATCTCTCCGTCTCACGGAGGTCCAGTCGAGCCAACTTTCATTTCATGCGCATATGATGCCGGAGCCGATGCGGAGGCTATCAACATGCCTCCGACGCGAAAGCGTAAGAGCCTAGACGACACGTTTGACGAGGCCGCCGAGCGGCGCCGCAAAGCAAGACGCATAGGAATTGAAAATGCGGCAGCTTCTGGGCAGGCGCAGACTCTTTCGGGGACCCTCCCGAGCCTGAAACATCGGAGGGCTACAAGCAGTAGCCATTCAGTCCCTATTCAAACGCGCCCGCTTTCACGGGCTTCTAGCATATCGAACCCGATGCAAGGAGGTAGCAGAGAAGCATCACTCCCTGCCACGACCAAGCGCTCAGGCCTTTCCCGCGTCAAGAGCGTATCCAATCTACCCGAGAATGCTGACAAGGACTCAACGGAAATCAAAAACAAGGACGTAGTCTCTCGTGTCGTGATGGCTGGGATGCGCCTGTATGGATTTTCGCAGAGCAAATCGAGAAAGTCGCGAGCCGAATCGATAAGCCAAGAAACCAGCGAGCTTGCCGAAACTCAAAGTAGCGATGAAGAGTATAAACTACTCTACCACCAAGTTTACAAAGCGACATGCTTCGCCTTCCGTCGCCAAATGCAGAATGTTGCATTACTTGGCCACTCCGAGGCATTAAGAGAGACTGCAGACAAACTACTTGCCGTTTTCTGCGCCGATCCTCTCTCGACTCAGATTGCGACTTTCGAAGACGAAGTCACTCCTGGTGGCCGAAAGGTATTCGGAACAACTGGCTCGCTTGCGTCAGCGACGGAGACATTCTCGGTATCGGGTCCTACAGGGCGCAGCGTGGAAAACACCCCATGCAACGGATCGAGGACCTTTGCCTTGAACGTCACAACGGGAGCAGTAATGATTGTATGAAGTGATATCCACGCGTAGAGCCTCAATTCTTGAAACACTCAGGGTGACGCAGCCCTTCTTCCATTGCTCGTATTTGTGCCTGCTCCACTCTGACCACCGTTGTTCACATCGAAGCCGAACATTCTGTCTCCATCTTCATCTTCGAAAGTCAACTCTTCTCCCGTGGCACTCTCCGTCCGCGAGTGACCGGCGGCGCTGACAACCTGATGTCTTCGAGGTAGGAAAAATCCAGCGAGCCTATCTAGTGTCCTTTCCCGAAAGGAGGTCGTCCGCTCGGTGAAACCGCCGAGAGGTAGGTATTGGTTGTACTTTTCGCGGTACGCTCGTATCATTGGTCCAATGGCGTAGACCAGCAGGGCGTATAGCACACATGCTATCAGCGCAGGCACGAACACAATCTAGGGCCAGGCTCAGTCATCAGTCAGGAGTGTACAGAGGGTGGTGGTTGGAAGACAGCGCAAGCTCACCTTCACTGCATCGAAGAAACCCATGATAGGCGGGAATGTTGATGAAGCGCAGCCTTAGCGACAGATGAAGAAAATCCGCAATTTCACATGTGTTGGGTCGATGACGTTAGCGGACCTGAATGCGAAGATGCTGTGGGCGCGACTTTCCCAAGAGCCATCCAGCACTGACTTGGACAAGACCGGGGGTCTCGGAGTTAAGCACCTCCGTATCTAGTATGGCAGACTTCTGCTGGCTCGAACGTCACGACAATCGAAGTATGCAGGTGAACCGTTACTGTGACTCGCTACCATATAAGAACAAAATGGCGTATAGAGACAACGTTCTCACAAAGCTTGATCGCTATGATGTTGGCGATGAACGGAAACCATGAAAAGCATAATGTGATGCCTAATTCTAGCCACAAGCTTTGAAAATTGCAAATGACATCTAAACAAATTTACAGAGAAGCAGAATCGCCACGAAAAACCACCCTGCTGCATTGCTCTAGGACTATGCAGTTGTCCACCCGACCCAACCCTCATTCCAATATGCAATGCCATGTTCAGAAAATCCCCAAACAGCCACAAGAAAAAATCTTCTTGTAAAAACATGCTCGTCGCATAAAGCATGGAGTCCGTCACAGCTACCTTTATTGGGCGTTGCTGTCCATTCGCGTATCCATCCGCGTATGCAATACAGTAGGAGACGGCGGCACAACCACGGTAGTCAGTTTTGGGGAGAAGACCCGATCCCCATCATCACTACCGATGAATCCGGATTCATCGACAATAACTGACGTGTCGCCGTCAATTTCGCCTTCCGCCTCTTCTGTGATCGTACTTTGTCCGGCATTCTCGGTACTTGTGCCCGCAGCTCGTCGTCTTGCTCGCCGACGATTACGCTCCTCGTCTGCACTCTCTCGTCTTCGGCGGACACGTATGCTGTCGTCCTTGGCGCCTCCCTCATTTTCACCTTCGCCGCGCAGTCCCTGCAACAGGGATGCCGCACGATCAGCGATATCCTCCCCTTCCGAGATGGCGTCTTCCGCAGGGGTGTCATGTGCGTCGGTAGTTGATGATGGTGCCAGCATGCCATTTTCATCGACATTTTCGCCTGTCTCTGGGATCTTCTGACCAGACGCGACACGAACTTGATGTCGGTCCTTGAGTCTAGCTCGGCGCCGGCGATCACGCGTGTCTTTGGTTTGAGGTGCTGCAGCGCGCAGTTTCTCAAGCAGAGCATCCATTGCTCCCGTAGAAGTAGGACTTGTGGTATCAGATAGTGCGCCAGCAGCTCCGGTGAGTCCCTGAGCGTGCAGCTGCTTGCGACGCATGTTTGCTTCGTTGCGACGCCAAGTTTCCTCAAGGACAAGGTTCTTCTCATGAGATTTCTAATTCGAATGTCAGCGAGATCGCGTGGCTGAAAATACACATGCACATACCTTGTACTCCTGCAAGAAATTAGCGAGCTTGCTAAAGAATTCCCGCCTTGCATTTTCGTCCTTGTTGTCGTCGCCGAAATAGGTCAAAATGTCATCGAAGACGCGGTTCATCTCCTCGAGGTACAGCTGCATTTGCTCGGCCTTCCGACGAGCTTCCTTCATGGAGCGCTGTGCGACCTGGCTCACACGGTCTTCGGGATGAAATCGCTTCGGGTCACTCAAATTACCCGCATCGAGGGATGACTGAACGTTGTTAATATTATCGATGTATTTCTTGGCGTCTCCTTGTAGTTGTTCCACATTGATCTTCTGGGCCGCCAGAACACCGCCAATATCATCAGCAAACCCTTCGTATTCCTGGTACTGGTTGCGGATCACGCGTTCAACGTAATCCATGAGTGTGGATTCGTTGTTCGAATCCTTGACCATGCCCAATCGAGCCAAAGATGAAAGCTTGAAACCAACAGCTTGTTTATTGGAGTCATTCATGTAATTACCGATGTCCAAAATGAGACCAAACACTGGCATGAGCTTGACAGAATCTCGAAGCGCTTCAGAAACAGCCACAACGTGTTTGAGTTTGGCGGTGATCTCGTCGTAATCAGTTTCGTAATTGCGACTCAACGCGAGAGCTCGCATTCGAGCCTTCCAATAGTGGTGTAACTCAAACGCGGTATACAGGTAGATTTGATCTTCTCTGGTCAGCTCAGCAGGGTCCGACTCGCGAGATTTGAGTGCGTCTGGACTACCGAAGTTCCTGCCATATGGAGCCATTGACTTCGCGACATTGTCGGGAATTGTAGCAAGATGGTCCTGTTGTAAAAATTCCATGACGGTAGTATTTTCCAGAATGTCGCGATCACAGTGGATTATCTTCCGGACTATTTCATCCGCATCGAGGGAAGAGAACTTGGCCAAGCTGATTTGCATCGTGTGCATGAGGTCGCGACTGATGATCTGTTTCTTCTCGTTTTTGTTCTTCACGGCTTTGCCTATAATCCTGATATCTTTCGCCATGAACAGCTTCTCGATCTCGTCGAGGATGCCCTTTTTGGACAGCTCTTGGTACTTCTCTTCTTTCTGTTCATGCGTGGGTGTGTGGGAGGCCCACATCGTCGTTTCGGGCGTCTCGACTTTCTCCCAATGCAACGCCTTGAGCTTCTTTTTCGGCCTGGGCGCCACTGCTCCCACAGACATGCTTCCTCCAGGAAACTGAGGACGTGGCAAGAAACCACCGTGTTGGGCTCCCGGAAGGGGAGGAGCTGAGGGAATGCCCGGAATTGATGACGCACCGGGGAATACACCACGGGCCATGCCTGGTGGTGGAGGTGGTGGAGGTGGTGCGGCGCCCGAGAAACCAGGCATAGGCGGCGGCGGTGGGGCGAAACTTGCAAAACCCGGCATTGGTGGTGGCGGAGGGGGAGGTGGTGCTGTCTGGCTGAAGCCAGGCATAGGAGGCGGTGGAGGTGGTGATGCTCCATCGAAGCGTGGCATCGGAGGCGCTGGTGGGGGTGCAGGGCCATCGAAAGCTGTCTTCGTCTCCTCTTGTGCCGTGTCGCTTGGTGTCTTCGGTGGTTCACTTTCGAGACTCGGATGACTCGGTCCGGTCGTGATGCCATCGTCCTCATCATCGCTGGCGTCGAGTCGTTGCGTCTTGCTGGTCAGTTCAGACATCATACCTGCTTGCGCTGCTGCTACGGAAGGTGTGACCATTGGTCGTTTAACTTCAATCAGACGGGGTTTCTCGATCACAGCATCTTCGAGATCCAGGTCCTCCTCAACTTCTTCCCCTTCGCTGGGGTCAGCTTCAGTCTCGGCTGCGTCAGCCGCAGCCTTCTTGGAGGCACTGTTCTTGGTCCTTCGTGCGGTTCCCATGTATTGTAATTGGGCATCCAACCCGTCTGAGTCCATGCCGGCTCCCTCCATCTTCTCGCGAAGCTCACGAAGTTTATCACTAGGATTGTATTGTTGCCAGCTTTTACCCTCGAGCTTGGCTTGCGTTTTGGCACGCTCGAGTTGCATTTCCAGACGATCCATGAGACGCTCCCGATCGAGGATCCCCTTGAGCTGTGCCGGATCCGCCTCCCCATTCTTCCCCATCTTTTGCGCGTTGGAGGCCGCAATGTCCTGTGCGTCACGCAGCATCAAGTACAATTCTCGTGTCTCAAGCTCGTTTCTCTGCAGCTCTTGTGCTCGAACTCTTTGTAACTCGGCAAGTTCAGCCTTGTACGCGTCTGTCTGTCTGCTCTGAAGATCAATCACTGCAGCCTGCTCATCCATCTGCTTTTGCAATTTAGCAACAAGGCCCTCGGCACCAAGCTCGATGCGGTACTTCATTTCGTCGCGCTCCGCAATTGCTGCGTCCGCGATGAGACGTGCTTCATGCAACTCATCTCTGGCTTGTCGCGCTTCGGAATCAGTGTAGAGTTTGTCCAGGAGAGACTGCACAGTGAGGTTCAAAGATTGCTTCAAATCCATATTTGGCAGCCTCCGGTCCATGGCGACATAGGATAGCATGCTTTCCACCAACTGGAACATTTTCAAGCGATCTTCTCCTTGATTGTCCCGAATGAGGAGCAGATGCTGCAGAGCTGACAGGAAATAATCGCCCTCCTTGCTGCCAGCGATTCGCTGTTGGATTGCCTCGACAACGTGTACCGGGTTGTTGAGATCTTTTACCTCTCCTTCTGCATTGTCTTCATTAAGGGACGAATTCTCGTGCTCGAGCAGATCCTCGTAGTCGATGGCCTCATTCGACTCGTAACTTTCGATCTGTTTATCAATGACGTCGTATTGGAAGTCCCTCATCTTGTTGAAAATGCGCTTCAAACCGCAAGCAACGAATTGAGCGCGGATGTGGCATCGCAGTTGCAAATCCCGCTCTGCTGCATCCACGATTGAATTGATCAAGATGAGCGAAGTGACAGCATATTCCATTAGCAGATTTTCCATGCCAGTTCCTCCGCTTCGCACCTCATCCGATGCGCCCACCAAGGAGCCCATCTTTCCCCTCCCATCGATGGTGACTTCCACAATACGCATCCATGCGTCGAATCGGCCATTCTCACCTTGCTGTGCTTTGAGATGGTCAAAAGCCTGCAAGACTTTGAGGTGACCTTGAGGTTCGGACCAGTAGCACAAAAAGGCCAGTAACTCGGAAACCGCCTTGCGGGTGTTGAGGCGTGGGGAGGTGAGGGAGGCAGCCAAGGTCACTACAATAGTATCGTGCTGTAGTGCATCGTCTGCGCCATATTTGTTGTTCCAGAGTGCCTTGAGGCATTTTACTATGTCGTATTCTCGATCGAGATCACGATCAGTAGCACCTCCGCCAGCTGGGCCAGCTCCGGACACTTGACGTTTATTGATGCGAGCAAGGCAATTGGTCAAGGCTATTTGACCCTGAGCTTCGACAAAGCTCTTGACCCATGCGATTGGTTGAGTTCGCAGACTCACTGACAAACTCTGCAGTTGTTTCGGGCTGATGGTGTTGTCCAGTACCTTCTTAACGTACCATTCAGGACTTTCCTCTTCCTCGACGCGGACGGGTATGTTGAACCCATCATTGCTCATAACTGTGCTGCGTGCAATCTGGCGCCGCTTGTGCTCTCCTTGCCATTCTGCCAATTTGTCCTGGTATACCAATGTCCACTTTTTACTGATAGGATATGCTTCCATCTGCCTTCTCGCCTGCTCAGGCAAGCTTTTCCAACCCCGTTTCAACATGAGGTCGAAAAATTCCTTTTCAATGATTCGATCATCGCTCGGCCTTTGAAGCACGAACCCATCGGGCGAGAATGACGCCGTGCTGGAGAATCCGGATGGCGCGTGCGCGTTGAGGAAGTGGTGCCTTTCCTTTTCCCGCGGCGAAGTCATCTCCTGATGATGGCCTGGAATCGAAGCTTGACTGACATTAGACTGGTAGAGATGACGTCGGTCGTGTGACGACGATGATCGTATGCTCCCATGGTCGCTCGAGTTTCGTGACTGCGCAGAACCCCCATTCAATGTTGTGCCTTCTGAATCAAACGACCGTGCTCCGGGAACACGCTGAGCAGTGTGATGAGGCGGAGGCCGCGGCTGATAGCCATTTGACTGTGATGGTTCAAGGACTGGGTATTGATGAAAGTCTCCACCTCCTTTATTTAGATGGTGAGGCAACGGGTCGCGGCGTGAAGTTGGACGATCGGAAGCCTCAAACTGGAGAGGAGGTTTGCTGTCCTTGATTGAATCGTACGGAATCGAAGTGATTACACCAGCTTGCATGTTGAGGCCGGTCTGCCCGTGCCTACCATAATCGTCTTGCTCGACGGTAGAGGCAGAACTGCGATGCGAATGACGAGAGCTGGCCGAGCCAGTGGGGTATGTGGTCTCGGGTATAGGTGGTGCTTCACTGCTCCTGTCTTTCCTACTACTGCGCGAGAAGAAAGATTTGCCGCCACTAGATTGGCGTGATGCTTTGTCGCTGGAAAACATAATGGCCGTGAGGAGGACCGCAGCCCTGTCTATGTGTCGTCGTGGCGCTCGGACTTGGGCTCAGGCCCAGCGCACACAGGTGTCGCCAGTCTGTCGACCGGAGGTTGGTGTCGATTCCGAAACCAGGGTAATGTACGTGGCGGATGTTCGTAAAGTGGTAGAGGTTCGGTTTTCCCGCACGCGCACTTCCGATCTATCTTTCCAGCAAGCAAGGCTCACGCACTCATGCCGCGTCCCTGCGAATAGTTGCGTAGTGTCCGATTGCAGCTCGCGAGTTCGCCTTTTATCTGAGACGCAGGATTTCAATGATCTCGGTCGTTGCGCGATGCAGGCCAGCGGGCGACAGAGGCTTTGAGGCCTGGTCGGCACGGGAAGGGGATCCGGGCAAGAGCGGACGGCTGTTTGAAGTGGCTCAAGATTCGGAGAACCCTAGAAGTCGATGGAAACCTTGGAATATCTCTTTACAGAATGTCAGAACTGTCGCGTCGTCCGAGATCAATCAGTCTATTGGTGTGTTGCGACGTTCTACTGCATCATGTGTTGGTACTGTATCATTGACAAGCCCCTTGTGGAGACATGCAGACAACTGAAGCGTCCCCAAATTTGGCTAGAGTTCTTGGGGGGATTTGTTACAGGCTAGCACGGACTTGGGATGCGTAGATCGGCTCGTCTGCCAATTTTGGGGGGCACGCGCACACAAAGGCGTTGAACCCCTCTCTCGGGATATCTCCAAGACCTTTCTCCTTTTCTATGTCAACTGTCCTGCTCGACTTTGTACCCGCCGTGTCGTCGTCTTTCAATCAATTGCGCTCGATCACCAACTGTTATTGAAACGGCTACTTTCACCTGAGACACTCGCACGTGACTCGACATGAGAACGTGTGAATCGCTCGAATATTTAGATCATAAATTCGGGCATTGCGTTGCTGTAAAAGTGAAATTCTTTTCCCATACAAAAAGCCATTCTTCGTTAGATAGGTACAATCTATATTTGGCCTGACCTGACACATGTACGACTAGGAAGACATTCTCGAACTTGCAAGGTGTACACGATGACTCCCTCCCACTTTTCATGCCGAATCTCGCTCCGGGTCAATCCAAAGCACGAATGGCGAGACAATCTTGTGCAGGCAGAAGCGGAAGTGGACGGCTGTGATTTGCGAAACGCGGATGTCGTCTCGTCTCAGTCCAGGTCAATTCTCTATCAGCGAATCAAGCAGTCTGTTGAGATCGTTTTTGCAGCACACTCCTAGGTGGCATACGAGCTTATATAGTAAGTGATCACGGAATCTGTCTCGTTCGGCTCGTTGCCACTTAAGAAGACATAGAGGATCAACGCATGATCATGGCAGAAGCAGGCGATGACGCGACCTCCTAATCTACCCACACTCAATACTCTGCCCCAGTCTCGACCCTCGACCCGAACTGTAGCCCAACCTTCGTTACTTTGGCCAGTGGGATCACCGAGGGCCTTCATTCTCGTGCTAGGATGATTCGCGAGACCTTCTTCGCCGTCAGCCACTTGCGATGGATCCAACTCAGGATTTTCTAATCCGGTCCAAAGACTGCTGATTCGCATGGCGTCTGTATGAAGCCCGAGACGAAGACAACCTTGCATGTTCCCGCTGAGCTCTAGTTTCGGTCCTGATGCAGCACTCCCAAGACCCGCTCTTCCGGGCCCCTTTGTTGACAACGCCATCTTGGTGAAGCGATCGCTGATACTCTTTAATTGCATGAGATTTGGCAGAACGATGTGGACATCTGGCTCTCGGCATCTTGGTTCATGCAAACCCTCGACTGAAGATGGTGCAAGTACACGAACGGGCACATCCTGTGTCACCATCGTCTCTCGCTCCTGTCGTGAATCGATGTAGTCATTATCGTCACTTCGGGTCCCTTGAGTTCCAATGGATCCTGACGAGTCCGCAGAATGGCCATCTACAGTACCACTAATCTTCTGTGTCGTAATGGTCAGCGACAAAAGCGGGATGTTGTCCTTTTTGGTCAGTCGAATATTAGCAGCGATAGCATTTTGTGCACTTTTCAATGCTCTTTGTAATGGAGCAAGCGGCACTTCCAAATTGATGGTATTGTTTGGTGCGGCAGATTGAATCGTATACGTTTCAAATATGGTGTCGATCGACAGGACCGACCAAACCTGGGTGCCTTGCTCTGGTATCACCGTGAAGCGGACATCTTTGTCATCGAGCCGCACCCAGGCGATGTGGCCCAAGCTGGCGAGGGATGCAGTGAATTTGGTGAATGTGTGTATATTTTGTATACTGGCTCGGAATCGCATATCGATGTATCATCTCCTATTGTAGAGTATTTGGGCAAAACAGATAGAAATCGGGCCCAGGTTCCTGATGTCGAAGTTTCGTCTCGATCGTTCGAAGATAACGCGCATTGGTGATTTGGATATCTCGCCCAGCACGCTACTCAATCACCTCGTCGACAGCAATACATGTAACGTGAACGAGATGTCACACATGCCTTTGTGATGTGATCAAAGGATTCGAGTATCAGGTTGCAGAAACATGAACACCCAGGTACACAAAATTCTTGATGTCATTGTGATCGGTGGCCGTGCGTGCTTCACGTTCATGCATGACATGATCCCTCCGCGACCGCGTTTGTTTCGTGCAGTTTAATGGTGCGCTGCAGGCACCCACATCCTGTGTGTCATCCCGTGTGTCCACAAACCGTGCATTAGTGCCACCTCCTCGATCAAGCCCTGCATCGATGGCTACTTCAGATGCTTCCAAGGTTGCTTTTCTGCGCGGCGACTTCAATAATTGGTATATTCTTAGGTACCTAGGTAGATACTTACTCATGACTTGATCTTGAAGTCGACAATTTAAAAATCATTGTTTACCTGGGTAGCTCTTGCCATGTGCAATCCAGAGACAGCCCTGGAGGGCGTTTAGGCAGATGGGAAAGTGCGGCGGGCTGTGCCGCAAAGCGCGGATCTCATTCACTAGCAGCCCTGGAGTACATCGAATGGATTCGGCCACCACGTCATGCAACCTCATGGTAGCCTAGAAATATACTGTACTGTAGAAGGCACTGGGGTGTGTTCGCGACTGTATCTAGTCATGTCTCCAAAACACCATCTCACAATTGTCTCTCATCATTCTGCGCTTCAGAAGAAACAAATTCCGTGAGTCCTTGTTGCTGTGAAATCGGCAGGCGACAGCCACTGTCACTGGCTCGAATTGTGTTCAACAAAATGGCACGCGACATTCGTCGAACCGCTCGGCAGGCTGCCTCACAAGGCCGATCTCAATACCTTGAACCGGACACCGACGATGACTTCGAGATGGAAGACGCACACGCACCTTCTCCTATTGCGGAACGTGCGCCGCCGACGAAGCGACAGCGAAGGTCCAATACTGGGCGGCGATCTGTCTATACGGAACCCAACACAGATGACGAGTTTGAGGCAAGCGATGAGTCGTTCCAGCATCCTTCAGCAACGAGAGGGTCCGAAACTGCGAATCGCAGCAGAAGAGTTGCATCGGCGTCGAGGACACCAGCGAGGGCTCAACGCCGGAACAGAGCGCAAAATCGTACGAGGACTTCGACGACGCGAGGCATCCAGCCACTAGGTCAACCTCGAAGGGCAAATAGTCAGGCAGTGCAAGAGCAGAAGAGTCGGGCTTTTCAAGGACCCAGCGACAACAGGATACCACCGTGGGCATCGTTGCCCGTCGATATCCTCAAGGACATTTTCGTCTATAGTGTAGTCCGAGAGAGTAAACACTTGCGCTCGCCAGAAGCAAGGTGCGTGCGTTGATCATGGCATCATACTTCTCGCTAATGTAGGCTCCAGCGCGGATGTCTCATGGCTTCTCAAAGCCGCGCTCACATGCCGTGCATTCACACTGCCTGCCTTGGAAGCGTACTACGAGTCGCCTGTCCTTCTCAACACGTTACAGCCTCATGAGCTAGTGGAGCTGCTACGCCACTCGGATAATTCCCGATACATGAATTACAATGTAAAGATCAAGCATCTGCGGATCGACGTTGAAATTCTAGCGCATGTCGCTCATAATCGACCCCTGTTCGATCTGAACACTCTGGTAGCGCAGCTTCCGCAACTTCAAGACCTGGAGATTCTATCGCGAAAATATCTTCCACCATATCGACTAGATCGGGCCCGAAAATGGTCGCTACCAATGCCAGCCATTGTGCAGACCATGACGACGCGCGGAATTCAGCTGAAAAGTTGGCGCTGGTCACGCGACTTTGTCGTCAAGGAGACACCCGATGAGCTGTTCACCATGATGATGACAGCGCACACGAGCAAGCCATTTCAAAGACTGAAACGTTTGACGATGACTGGATTTAATTGTGATGGTTTTACCGAGTTGATGGGCATCTCGCCTAGCGCCATGCACGATGGTGCTACAGGTATAGTATATATCTCGACCTTCCAAGACGACAAAATTGACAGATTTATAGGAAATGTGTCAGCGCCGCCGCTTGCAAGCGTCATTACTATGCTGCCCAATTTATCCGACCTGACCTTCATAACTTGCGACGTTGTTATGGACGATTTCCTTCAGCACCTGCCCTCGAACCTTACGCGCATCGAGCTAACGAATTGCTTGGAGATCACGAGCGATATTATGCAGAAGTACCTTCACACATCAGGACAACAACTGAGGGAATTAGTGTTGAGTCATGATACATCTCTGAACTTCAGCTTTCTAGGCTGCTTGGGGGCTTGCTGTCCTCGTCTTGAGACTCTGAAGATGGACCTGACTTACTACAGTGAGCGCGTGGCCTCGAGCGATTCCGGCGCGCTTTATGATGAGCTGCTGTTGCCTGGCGAAAGACCAAGCTGGCCAAGTAGTCTCCGTCATTTAGAGCTTCTCCACGCGCAAAAATGGTCGTCCGACGCAGCGGAGAGCCTGTTTGACTCACTCGTCAGCAGTGCACAGGCTCTGCCAAATCTTCGCTATCTCATCATACATGCTCACATCGACATTCCGTGGCGCGATCGGGTTGGATTCCGAGACCAGTGGACCAAGCGTCTGCGAAGAGTCTTCTTGCGGCCCAGGAGAGATCCATCGCAGAATATGGGCTCGTTGAGACAATATCGCCTGTGGAAGCAGGCACAAGACAGCCTTACCAATTCATCTATGAAGAGAAATATCATGGCCGCCTCAGTACAAGCGAACAAGATGGACGAAGGCTCGACTGCTTCCAACACAAAACCTCGCGACGAAGGTACCGAACCACGTCGAAGCCAGCGTGTAGCGGAAACCCGGGCAAGTCAACCGTCAATGTCAGAGGACTCCGCTGTGGAGTCGACATCGCCAGGCGACAGCGACGACGAGGCGCAACAGCCAAACGACTTGTATATTCAAGGTCTGTGCCATAAAGTGGATATCTCGATCGACAATCAGCGCCCTCGTGAGGTGCTCTGGACGGAGCGCGATTTCCTTGATAGCGAAAAAAGCGGCGACGAGGACTGGAGCGAAGGGGCAGACGACGTTGACAACTAGGAAGGTCGCGCTTGGCAGATGTTGCCCCAATTGGAGGAGATCTCTCTGCTTGCCAAAAGGCAACTGCACACAGCAACTTGTCGGTATTCGCTGAGCAATTTCATCAAGCGCTCGAGGAAACCAGGTACGATGTATGTATGAATGGACGGCCTTTGTCGAGATTAGCATGTATATTTGCTTGCCATTCATCGAATTACACAAACAAAATTCTGTCGATTCGATTCCCATCCGTTGTCGACATGATGAGTGTACGCCTAGAGTGTATGCATGTAGAACTGAAATGAGTTGTCATCTCCGCCGCCGCTGTCGTGAGCGCCCTGGCGTGTGGACCCTGAATTGGCGCGATTCCTCAGGGCAACGATTTGCTCCGTGCGTGTCCTAAACTTCCTGCCTTGCCTGCAAACAGGAATTGTTGTCCGTTCCTTCAATTTCAGACTGCGAACATCTCGCTTCGCCGAATTCCTTGCTCGCATCGACAACATTGACCAACACCCAGTACTTCGTGATATCGTGTAGGATAGGATTGCCGGTCCGAGGTCTATGGTCTTGCTCGGACGGGCATTGCTCCGTGCAACAAGATGGAGCAAGCCACTGGCGTTCCGCGCCTCGTTATATCCAAGAAACGGGCAATCCACATGCGTTGCATGGTCAGCTTTGTGTGAGATTTACAAGCCACTGAGTAGAACTATCACTACTGCGACGAATCAACACTTTGTGGATCCGACTATCTACGCACTTTCTTCGGCGACAGGACGTGCAGCGATTGCTGTCATCAGAGTCTCGGGATCAGCATGCCTCGACATCTATCACATGCTTTGCCCTGGGAAAAGGGCACCCAGACCACGATTTGCCACGGTCCGGACATTGTACCAACCTGGTGCCACCCCTTCTGCCGATGTCATGCTAGATTCTAGCGCATTACTGCTGTACTTTCCCGGCCCGTCATCGGCCACCGGTGAAGACATCCTAGAGCTGCATGTGCATGGAGGCCCAGCGGTCGTGAAGGCAGTTCTAGCTGCGATTCCGCTCTGTGCGAGCAGTAGTGCGCATCACATACGCTATGCAGAGCCGGGAGAATTCACGCATCGAGCATTTCTAAATGGCCGACTGGACCTGACGCAGGTCGAGGCCTTGGGCGATGCTCTCTCGGCAGAGACAGAACAACAGCGTCGGATGTCCATGCGGGCCACCTCGGGATCGCTTGCGATCCAATATGAAGGCTGGAGGCAACAGCTGTTGTACGCACGAGGGGAAATGGAAGCATTAATTGATTTCAGTGAAGATCAACATTTTGACGAAAGCCCCGCTGAGCTCTGCGCATCCATTGCGAGACAGATTGAAGTTCTCAAACGCCAGCTCAATGTTCACAGTCAAAATGCCATGCGTGGAGAAATGCTGAGGCAGGGCATCAGTATCTCTTTGCTGGGCGCGCCCAACGCTGGGAAAAGCTCTCTTCTGAATCGCATCATCGGGCGAGAGGCCGCTATCGTAAGCTCCGAGGCCGGTACCACACGAGATGTCGTTGAGGTTGGCTTAGATCTCGGTGGGTACTTTTGTCGACTTGGCGATACAGCAGGTCTGCGTCAGTCGCAGTTACACGCAACTAAGCCAGACGCCGAGGGTGGCGTGTCGAAAATCGATACAAGAATAAGTGACATTGAGAAGGAGGGCATGCGACGTGCAAAGGAGCGCGCTGAACAAAGTGACGTTGTGATCGTCGTGCTCAGCTGCGAGCCTGGTGACAACGACTCGAGAATAGCACTGCGTCTAGACCCAGAAGTCTGTTCGACCGCGGCACGCTTGATTCAGGAAAAGAACAACGTAATTGTGGTCATCAATAAAGCGGATCTTCTCCCACACGACACCAGAAATGAATCACATCGGGATGCCGTTAGCGCGGCGCTGCGTGCTCTACCAGGGCTGCGGGAAGATGCAGTTCACCTGGTATCATGCAAGACAATGGAGGGTCGCAAGCTTCCCTCCCTAAAAGAGCAGTCAGATGCCGCCAGTCCGACAGACCCAAGTAACGTACAGCAATTCTTACAGGGCCTGACCCTACGATTTGCACAGTTGACCGCAGCGCTAGAGTTAAGCGATGAGCAAAATCAGGCTGGGAATCCCAATCCTTCAGTGTGGCAGGAATCGCTTAGCGCAACGGAAAGACACCGCGTACTCCTCGCCGCATGTATCGACCACCTTGAGGCTTTCCTCTCGCGAGTCAGCGATGCGTCGGTCGCGAACTCGGACATTGCCGACGATATCGGTGGCGAGGTCGATATGGTGGCTGCTGCCGAGGACCTGCGGTCGGCAGGGGAATGCCTCGCTCGTATCACCGGCCGAGGGTTGAGTGGAGACGTTGAGGAAGTTCTTGGCGTGGTATTTGAGAAGTTCTGCGTTGGCAAATGATCGGAGTATCTCGACTTGATATGTTCAGATTCACATTCCACACGCAACAAGTACCCTATATCATTGATGGACCGGCGCTACTTCACGATGTTGATGAAGGGATGTGTTACTTATCTATAGTAATTCGAGTAGCAACACCCTTGTCAATTTGGAAGGACCGGGGAAGCTCCGCGAACGCGAAGGTGTTGTTTAGTGAACACGCCATGACCTTGCCGACTTCGTCGGGTGCGACATGTGTGAAAACGAGTTCAATGGATTGACCTGTCTATCAACTTGACTCCAAAATCGAACAAAAAAATCGGCCAAAAGGAACCCATAAGAACACCAAAAAAATCAGATAATGCCTTTGCAGAATGCTGTGGCTCATGTTCGGTTACAGTGCGTACATTTAATGCACACGATCGATGATAGAAACGCCGAATTTGATACAACGGGTGTACATCGAAAATTGTAGTGAGTCATAAACAAGTAGAAACCTCCCGAACAAAATCAACCCCTGCAGAACGCCATGCTTGCGCGATTTCGCTTCAGTGATCCAACGCAGGTTCCGAACGCCATAATGACCCCTGAACAGCACAGTGCACGTTCCCGCTTTGACGCTGCAGATGAAATATCAGAAGAAACAGGAGATTGAAAGAGAGACATAGCGACATCAGAATAAGCGAGCCGGCAGAACATGTTGTGGCAACGGTCGTAAATGTGCGGTGCTCACGATGTCCAGCGCACTAAGTATCGTGACATTGGAGATTCCAGTGTGACAATGCAGATCAACGCTAGACCCATTTGGGTAGGATGCGGAAGCCGAAGCATGTGTTCTGCCATGCAGCGACGGTGGCGCATGGCTTCCATCGTCACTTTCTAACAATCGTGTGGTGCGTTGTAGCCGCTGTGTCATTGTGTTAGTGCTGATGATCTCAATCCATACGTCTTGGTTTCTGACTCACCCTCGACCATCATCGTTTTCCTTAGACATGTTGATGCCGGTTGCTGGTGACGAAGACGCAGACATTATACTTGATTTCAGTGTGAATGCCATTGCTGAGTGTGTTGAATGGGAAGTTCGAAGGTAGTTTTGATTGATGGCGAATGCGAAGAAAGTTCGGAATATGTTGAGGTTTTTTTGAGAGTTCGCGGTGGTCTTGAGACTTGTTGATAGCTAGTGCAGTTGTTCAATATCTCCTTCGAAACACAGGCTTAGTTGTAACCTCCGCGGCCCATTTTGAAAGACAAAAGAGACTGAAAAGAAACTGGTGATTCAAAGGAAAGAAGGAAGGCTTAACAGAGCCTTTTGTATGTTGTCCACGGAATGAGGTTCTCAAATGACTGTAAGGAAATAGTGTAAACTTTGCATACAGTGACAGGATCGGTTTTGCAAGTTGTTTGATTGCTACGGTTGTGTGAGGTTGCTTGTCAGATTGTCGTTGTTGCTTGTCGCTTGCGTTCGATGTGACGTAGATAGAGGAAGAAGTTTGTGATTGATGATGAGAAAGAGAGGGAAATATATTGCCATTGTGGACGACTCAACACCTCTATATACACGACGTTCGGAAGTACGTCCCTTCAGCCCACCACGTTGTCCATGATGATGGACCCGACTCGGCCTGGTGAGTAGCAAGGACTTCTTGCGTAAGAACACCAAGTAGAATGGTGACTAGTATGAGGCATCAGGGACCCAATACACGAGACCGGGATTGGACGTTGATCATTCGAAGCCCGAGCACAGGAGGATGCAAGATACTTTGCCCCATGCATGTTGACTTCTTTTCCTGGAACCAAGATTACTACCACACAAGCCATCGTGGCTGCACAGACCACTGAAGCCTGGAAGGAGGCCACTCACAGCAGGCAGAACATGTTCAATCCCACGTCCATCGCACGAACACGAACGACTGCGGCGATCGCATGGATGGGCATGGCCTCCCTGATGGTCGCCGTCAGCAATACACCAGTCAGGTCGCAGCGTTCGGGCGAGGCTAAGTTTAGGGTTTGGTGAGATCATAGAGAAATATAGGGCCGATGATCCTAAGAATGGGGGAGTCACGAATGGGGCTGAGATATCACCGGCAGAGAGGCCACGGGTGTGTCGGTTTTTATTCCACAAGGATGACCACCTCGGTAGCGTTTGAAAGTCCAGAGCATGGCCACAAGGTCGTCCACAGTGTAGTAATTGCGTGGGGTACTAGTATCGCCTGTGGACCAACTGCTAGGGAACATCCAACGGGCAAGCATGTGTTTCTACCTGCTGTAGGAGTTCACAGGACAGGATGGATTAGGTCATTAGAGGACATCAGGCACCTAAAGTAAGCTTCAAATTATCAAAGCGCTTGTCGGCCGGCTATTTTTGGGGGGCTCTCCCCGTTACAAGCCACGCGACGGCCGCACCCGTCCACACCAGCGATCACAAATAGGCATCTGCGCCACCCGCTCAGCGACACCTTATTTCCCTAGTTGCCCATACCAATTATCCAAGGATCACAGCTGGGCTACCTGGTATTATGACATATCTAGGCACAGAGTGACACGAAGGCCGAACACTTTCCTAGATCGGACAATCTTCATCGCTCGGAGAATTGCGATTTCACATGCGTCGGCAGAGCTACCGCGTGTCCCGCAGGTAGAGTGCGCCGCCCACCAAACAAAAGCTTCGCCAAGAACACTGTGGATCAAGGTAACACTCTTGGCCATTGTCATGTCCATGATCTCATGATAGAAGCGTCACACTATGTTCTGATTATACCGATTAGAACTCGCTGTGGGGATGAAGTCCGCCGGATCAATACAGTACTCAAGCTTGTCCATGAACGTGGGATGATTTGTTCCTTGAGGCTGGCAGAAGTCATCATCTCTAGCGCCCTACCTTTCGCAGCCGAGAGACAGCTTCAATCGCCGCTTCCATGTGACAGCTGGGCCGTTGAAGCATAATTGCGACTTGGAAGATATCCTACTGGTTTGCCGGCTGTTTGCCAGACTGTAGAGCCGTAAGCTGGTCGTGTGTTCGCGCACACACGGACGAGATGTCCATCTCCTGGAAACAATCATCTATAGCGATAGGGCCGTGGATCTGTAACACATTTTGCAGCAGTGACAATTTGCTTGACACTATCTAGCTTGACCTCGCAGAATGCTCTGCGGCAATTTTTTGCGCCGAGTTGTACTTCGAAATGTGACGCCTCTAATAATTTGCACTTGCATGTCACGCCGCTGTAGCTACCTAGAACTCACTGCTGATGAGTGATTGCAGGAATCCTCTGTATTGGGGGTACCTGGTAGAGAGTGTTTGTAGATCAGCGATTTTCTGCCACGTGCCTGAATACAACACGCATTTGACCGGGCCTGCAGAGACAAGCCGAACACCTGCGCAAACACTTAGGCAATGACGTAACCTTTGCTTTAGGTGGATATATATCGGGACAGGCTGCGAGTGAATTGTCTGGAAATTTTGATATCTTATCTGAGGTGAGCCTCGGAGCGCATGCAGGTAAACTTCGTCAATTCACAGTCAACACCTTGTAGGTCGTCAAAATCGCATCAACACGACACATACCTGTGGAATGTCCGTGGTTCGTTGGCTCGATCTTATTAGAGATACGCACATATGAGCGATTGCGTACTGTTCTACGAATGACAATGACACATCTTTCTCCGAATGACGGTGAGATGACGAGCTGCAATCATCTATTATGAGTCAAGGTCTGGTCGTATCGATATGGTCACGGTAGCAATGGCACTCTTACTCTACAACGTCCACATGCGATATCCACAAACGTTCGACTCATCAACCGCACATGACATGCCGATGCTGCATATGAGGGCGATCCTACCAATCGATAAATCCTCGAATAAGATCGCACGAACACATCCGCCCCGAAGCTTAGGACCCCGGGCGAAACGGAAAAGGATCCGCCGTTGCTGACATGCATATGCCGGTTTACCTATGTAGGGCGCGTCCACCCCCAAGCCGACACGATGGTCATCGTACAGTAAGCCAACCGACTGTGCATCTTATTAGACAAGGTCGCTTTATCCCACGGCACCTGCCTAAAAAGTCAACAGGCTCAACCTTCAGGGTGGAAATGCCCTGGGAAGAATTTACACAGCCTCACGTGGGCCTCTTACGTCTGACGCTTGCTCTACCGTCCCTCTGACATGCGACCCTCCCAACTTTCAAGGCCACCAGGATGTCGATGTCTAGATTTTCGCTCGCTGAAGGCCCGAACCCTTGGTGCACAAGATCATCCCACGGCTCATTTTATATCGCCTAGCTCGTGGCGGAAATCAGTACCGGGAGGCAGCAATTAGGCCCAGGTATTCTCGGCAAGTGTCTGCAGACCACAAATCTTTCTTAATCTGAAGCCTCCGTGACCTGCTGACGGGAGTAAGACTTTTCTGTCCCTTTGCTGCAGCATATCAGTCACCGGTCTTCGGTCATCGGCCAAGGCCGGATATACGTTTATGATGTGGCCGTTCGTCCCGGAGATCGATGTAACATGCCGACGACACATGCTCAAGCCGCTTGTCTCGCTACTTCCACGGCTTATGCAATGTTTTCTATAGCGAGAAATTGTCGAGCCGGGACGCGTGGTCAGGCCGCAGCGTGCAGCAGTGAGTCTTAACATGGGATAAGTTCAAAGTTTTGGTCATGTCATTCATCTTCGTCAAAGTAACATTCCGAATTGGCATCAATCTTACACGCGCAGCCGATTGCCATTCTCAACCTCATCCCACGCTGCGTTCTCCAACCCAATTATAGGCTCCGAATATTCTGCTCATAGCCTTTCATGGCTTCCGCTGACCGTAGGCCTTAGTCGAGTAATCACCCTTGTGGACGATCAAATCCTCTGGGCGGTAGTCGTGGCGACCACTGAAGTACGACTCGAGAATGTCTTTGGTGCCCTTGGCGTAGCGGGCCTGCGCGTCGAGCGAAGTACCGGACATGTGCGGAACCATGGCGTTTCCGCCACCCCAGTTCTTGTACTGTGCGGTGCGTAGCGGGTGGTCCTTGGGTGCGGGTTGAGGGAACCACACGTCGCCACCGTATCCGCGAAGTTGACCGGACTTGAGCGCCTCGGCGACGTCCTCCTTGACGACGATGGCGCCGCGGGCGGTATTGACGAGCCATGAGCCTGTGAGCGACAATCACCGGTTAGTACAAGCGAGAGAGTACGTACTATGCACGGAGAAGGAAACTTGCCTGGCTTCATCTTGTTGATGAGATCCTTGTTGAAAAGTCCCCGTGTCTTCTCGTGTAGCGGGCAGTTGATGGTGACCACGTCACACTGTGCCAGCATCTCTTCAAGGCTCTCCACTCGGCGACAGCCGATCTCTTTCTCCTTCTCTGCTGAAAGAGGCTGGTAATCGAAGTAAAGTAGTTCCTTGCAGTCGAAAGCCTTAAGACGACGGAGGACACGCTCGCCGATGCGTCCAACAGCGACAGTACCGACAGTCTTGCCCTCCAAGTCATATTCGTTCTTGGCTACCGCTGCAACATCCCACTCTCCCCGAGCAACCTGCTCGTGAGCTGGGACGAAGTTGCGAACGAGGACAAGAATGGTCATTATGACATGCTCAGCGACGGACACCACGTTGGAACCAGTGACCTCGGCGACGGTGATGCCGCCGTTGGTCTTGTTTGCTGCATCAAGATCGACATGGTCGGAACCAATTCCAGCTGTGACAGCGATCTTGAGGTTCTTCGCCTTGGCTAGGCGCTCAGCAGTGAGATAACCTGGGTGGAATCTGGGCGAATCTTGGTAAGCGCTGACCGACTTCGAACAGACTATGACCTTGCATACGGGGTTGTGATGATGACTTCAGCATCGACGAGCTCTTGGTCAAATTTGCTGTTCTCGCCCTCCTTGTCCGAGGTGGTCACTAGAGTGTGACCTTTGCTCTCGATCCACTCCCGCAGACCAAGCTCATTCTCGGTAGTGCCGAGCAGCTTGGGCTCCTGCTGAGCGTGCTCATAACCCTGTGACGCCAGACATCAATGAATCGTTCGTGAGAGTTTGGATAGATGCAAAGAGATACTTACATCGTACAAGACAAGTAATACTTTTCCCTGTTGTGAGGAAGTCGCTGTCAGCGTTCTGACACCATTCGGGAAGGCTGCTCGTGCAAACACCGCGCCGTGTTGATGTTTAATGGGTGTGGTGCATTGTCGAAGCAGCGGCGTCGGACGAGCAGAGCGGAGGGCGAGGCGTGTAAATACCATTGTAAGAGAAAAATGAATCAAGAAACGAATATGAGGTTGGTGTAGTGCAAGTATCGAGGAGACGCGATTCTCGAGACAGGAAGCTGTTCGAAGCTGTAAAGATGCTCAGTGACGTCGGATGATGCAAGTGAAGTGTGATCCGAGGTTTCCTGATGTTTGGAGAGCACGTTTGTCCACAGATCGAGATATGAACGACAAGAAGAGAGTTCTGAATTTTGTGGTTGCCGACGACGGCGATCAGCTTCTCTATATACCAAATCAACATCCACTTTCAAGTTTGCCGCATCACACCTGGGCATGGCTGATGACGCGGTTTCATCAGCATTGCGGTTCCAGAGCTGTCCAGATAGTATTGCGTTTGCCCGGAGCTAGACCATGATGCATTGAGTACCTAGGTAGCTACCCGTCTGTGCAACAACTTGGACAGCTCAAAGTTCCCCAAACGATGCGATCTCACCCAAACTTGCCCCATCCTCACATACTGTTCACCATCCGTCTCCGCAGAAAGAGAGCTTATTCGTCGTGTACAGTATGGTGGTAACGGAGCACGAGCGGATGCGGCGGACAAGAGGGGGAAACATTTGATGACAGGTCGGATACATTGCGGATCGGATTGGAGCGGCGATCAATGCAGACCCGTCAGCGACGATAAGGTCAGGGAACTCCAGCTTTCCCTTGGTCAAGCGGGCTAGCTTGTCGAACTTTCAGCACAATCTCGTTTGACCGATGAGGCAAGGAATGCAGTGGTGAGGATGAGCGGAGAGTTGATCTCTCCCCCAACTGCCACCGATACGATGGACGCAGGTGCGGAGAGAGTTCAAGAGGCTCCTCCACTTCGACGGGCCGCCTGCACGGCTGCTTCTCTGCTACGCCTGGGCAGTACGTACTCGCCACAAGCATTATTTAGCAGCCCGTCCCGAAACGAGGGGGCGGCCCGCGGACGAACGGATCATTCAGATCGTGATCCTGCAGGTGTCGAAGCTCAGCATCATAGCGGGCCGTGAAGCATTGAAATCTTCACTTCGCAAACCCGGTAAAGGATGCTCCCACCAGCTACCTGCTGATATCCTACTGTATGGTCCTGAAGCAGAATTTTGAGCTCTCAGGTGATGATAAATGCGATACCCCGTAAGAGTATACACTACGTGTGGTCGACGTTGACGAAGATTGACGTCGGAGGCTCTTTCGTTGTTCATATATTCGTTCGGTCATCGTTGCAGCCTGCAAGCAATAATTGCGGGTCCGAAGTTTTTGCGGGTCTGACTTTGCGGGTTCGAGTTTTGGCACATTAGATCCAAACACGCACATCTTATCATACATAACACCTATCAACTGATGATGCGGGAACGTACAGTATACCTTGCGAGATGGGATCTAGTTCTTTCCACGGCCTCGAACTTGGCATGCGTGATGATGCAACGTTGATGTGCAGCTCCTCCACGTGAGCGTGCAGGACGTTGCAAATTGCGCGCGTGCAGGCGGAGTCCGTCAACACACAAGGGTTCGGGATATGTTCGATGTTCATCGCCCTTCTCTACGTCGCAGTTGGATAATCCAGACTCGCAAACGTTCATGATTGCAACTCCTCTGCTCGTGACCACGGAAACATATCTCGTCCGTCATCATATCGGCTCAACCGTGGAGACAGACATTTGATATCCTGCATCTTGAAATACACAAAAAATGTACGCGATGCGATATCACGCCTGCTCCGAAGACACGATGAACGGAAGATGCGGTGCTTGATATCTTCAGCACACAAAAGAGAAGGGGAGGCGAAGGCTACTTTCGGAGATACAAACGCTGTGAACCGTGGAAATTATCCATAAGCCGATTTGCGGCCGAGTGACCACCGCTTTCTCCAATTCGTGCTCTTGAGCATGTGTGTAATAATTTGTGCTACTACAACAAGCAACCTCTTCTTGTCCACTATCGTTCTTCACATACATCATGAATACGACTGGATTCCCCGAGGATCTGCTGGATGATCCACGAATGTTCAGCCTGCACATTGTGTGGTCATATATGATCTTATTGAGTTTTGCTGCACTGATCCCGCTCGACACATTGAGTGTTTACGTGATCGGCAAATTGCTCTTGTTGCATACCGGCGCCGAAGTCCCTGTCGTGACGGGCGACGTTGCGCGTTACATGCTCAGTTGAGACTTCATTGGAGGCAATTGTTCTACACAGGCATGGCGGACGAGCCGGTGGCATCCATTTCTTCCATGCCCACAAGCACTGCGGATTATGGAGACCGAGTCGCGCTTAATTCTTGCACTGACAATCTTGGAATGCACTCGTCCGTTGCTGCAGCTCCACGAAAGTGGCGGCTAAGACCAGAAGCCTGCTGATGTCGGTCGTGGCTGGACCCGCCCCACGTCACACATTTCGGATTTCACTCGGGACAGTCTATACCTAGGTAGCTTCCCAACAACCGGACAAGATTTCAATCCTTATTCCCGTACCAACCAACATAGGGGACATCACCATGTCTTCCTACTTGAGCAATTTGCTCACGCATACAACATCCCGATACAATTCGCTGCGTCGCACACTACTTTCGAGTGAAGACGATGGCGACACCGAAGACGACACCCATATCTGCCGCGTCCTGCGCGCATACTATGTCGAGAAAGGTCGCCAATTCCCTCAATGGCTGCCACCAGACCCGAACGACCGCAAATCAATCACGCCACAACCTTCCGGTCAGTCAGGCTACTTCACCAGCGCTGGCGGCAAGAGCGCGTACGGGAGCGGACAACAATCGCAGAATCCATCCTCACAGCGAGGCAGCCTGAGCGACCTCTGGGACCCTCCAGCAGCCGCGCAACAATCACAGCCAATGCAACCTCAGAGCCTGCGTAATGCGCGACGACCCATGAACAATCAATCACAGCCTGGCGGGCCCAACCTCGCTCCACCACAGGCTCGTCCACTACCGTCTCAACGCGCAGGTAGTTTTCAGAATATGGGATCTCAAAGCGCTATTGATGGACGTCGACCAAGTCATGATTCTGTGGCCTCGTCAGGCACTGCGGGGCAGGCAGGGGGTGGCGGGACCGCACAGGATCGTCTCAAGGCACGCTTATGGGGCGCCGGGCGACAGAGTCCGCCAGTGAGCCAGGTCGGTGCATCAAATCCGTATGATCAGCCCGCAGCAGCACATGGAAGTTCTTCACAAGGAAGTGGCGGGGGACCCAATTATGGAGGCAGAAATAACGGTAATCCATACGATGCTGGAGGAGGCAGGAGCAGCGGACAGCGCTACGGAAGATGATCCGGTACGGATGCGGCGATATTCATTCTGCTGTCATCATTGGTGCGCAAATCCCGTTTGCGACATCACTACCAGTGCATTTTCACAAGGAGCAATCCTCCGAACAGTGGGGTGTGCGGCATCGCGTGGCGAGTTTGCCATGATTGGAGCAGAGAATCGTGCAGCAGATGCGCTCCATTCTCCACTTTCCACGCCTCGAATCTTATCCTGCATCATGCCAACTGTTCTCAGCAGTCGGATTGCGGACAATGGCGCAAGAACGCCATGAACTTCGTTTGCAGTGTGCCCTCGTGGCAGTCTCGCTCCCTTTGCCCCACCACACGCCACCATATAGCCGCAACTATCAGAGTTGCGTGTACTGCGGTTCCCAAAGGCCGATCTGTTGCTATTGAAACTGCTTTTACCTGGCTTTCTGTAGACTTGATCATGATTTCACAAAGGCTGTGACTCTAACCTCAAGGGAACCGCATACATATTCTTTCAACGGTATTGTTGTTTTGGAAGTCCTCACGAGCATATGAACGTTTTCGCAAGGTCGGGAGGCCGGCCATCACGGTGCAACAATGAGGGGCATGGACACAACAATGAAGAGAGTCAAAAGGCCATTGGTATGCAATACTGGCATGAAGGTCCAGCGGATGTATGCATCCATGCAGAGCGGTAGGGCCGAGGGGCACAGCACTGTATATACAATAACAAGCATATTCCTGGAATTGTACTGATGAGAATTCAAGAGCCATTAGCTGGATCGTGATTGGTACCGAAGCGTGATGCGGGGGACACTGACGAAATATCCATCATCTTCATTTCACACCTCAAAGACGATTCGATGCCACTCATTTCTAGCTCTAGTAGAAACGGTAGCCTGTGTGCCCACGGGTGCTCCGTTCAGCACATGTTGTGCTTCGCTGTCTTCCCGCGAGCTATTTTCCAAGGTTCTTCACGAACGTCATGGATGGCCGCGTTGGGACCTATCCAAAACGGCAATCGGCAGAGGCCCCAAAGCTTGATCGTCTTGCGCGACCACGACTCGCGATAGCCTAAAGCTATGGCGTGCTGCTGGCTTCGAGCACGTCAAACGCGACCACGAATCGAAATATGCTCACAGAAGGCGAAGAGCTCTTTCACCGAAGCAGCCATTGATCGCCAGTAGGTTATATAATAACAACGTTAATGCCGCAATGAGTAAAAATGAGCTCCTGTCCCTCTTATCCGGCAGTGTGATCGCATTGAGAACTCCACAGTCTCGCCAGCAATTTTTATTGATTTCATTCATTTCCAATCATGTCTAAGGTCCAGCGCGTCTACACCGACCCGGCAATTTACGCTGCCGAGCACCAGCAATTTAAGAACGAGGGCCTTCCCAGCACAGCTCAAGGCTGGATTCAACGAGCGCAGGCCGTTTCTGAGATCTTGAGCCGTGATGCTGCGCAGCGCGACATCGAGAACAAGGCGCCTCGCGCCGAGGTTTCGCTGCTCAAGTCCTCCGGCCTTCTGAAGATTCTGGGCCCCAAAAAGTATGGTGGTGGTGAACAAACATGGGAAGTTGGCTACAAGGCCATTCGGGAGGTTGCCAAGGGTGACGGCTCGCTCGGCATGCTTCTTGGGTACCACTTGCTGTGGTCGACCACCGCCAATGTCGTCGGCACCGCTGAGCAACAGGACAGTGTACAAGCTGTTCTGCTCCAGAATAACTTCTTCGTCGGTGGCGCTGTCAACCCACGTGACAGCGACCTGAAGATTACTAGTGAGGGCGACGAAATCGTCTTCAATGGCTTCAAGAACTTCAACACCGGAGGTGTTGTCTCAGATCTCACTGTCCTCGAGGGTGTCCTCGAGGGTACTGAGGACCACATCTTCACCTTCGTCAAGACAGACCAGCCCGGCATGGTCTTCTCGCACAACTGGGACAGCGTGGGTCTTCGGCTCAGCGAGTCCGGTAGTGTGAAGATCACTGACATCCGCGTGCCCTGGACGGATGCCCTTGGTTGGGATGCAAACACCAAGCGCCCGATCCCGGAGGTCCTCGGTGTGCCGTTCGCTTCGCTGCTGCTGCCGACCATTCAGTTGGTCTTCAGCAACTTCTACTTGGGTATCGCCGAGGGGGCCTTGGCCGCCGCCACAGAATACACCAACAAGTTCACACGTGCGTGGCCTTTCGGCGGCGATAACAAGGAGAAGGCGTCCGAGGAGTTCTACATTCTGGAACGCTACGGTGAGTTCCGTGCTCACGTGGCTGCTGCCGACGCCCTGGCCGACCGGGCGGGAGCTGAGATCGCCGCCGTATACGCCTCCGCTGGCCAATACGGCTCGCTGGTCGTCGATGACTGGCAAGGCAACCCAGGCGAGGCACTCCTTGCTAAGATCAACCCCAACTTCCACAAGGCCGCCTCCGGCAAGCCTAATGACGATGCCGCCCTCGCCCAGCCCAACCCGCCCTACAGCATCACCACCGCCAACAACTTCCAGAACACGAGCAAGGAGAACACCGGATACAGCAATGGCTACAGTAATGGCCACAGCAACGGCCACGGTGCCGGCGTTGGTAAGCGCAACGTCGTCACCGCCCAACGACGTGGCGAGGTGGCCGCGCTTGTCGCACAGGTCAAAGTTGTCACCACCGACACCGGTCTCACCGTCACCAGCGGCATCTTCGAGCTGCTCGGTGCTCGTGCCACTGGCAAGAAGTACGGCTTCGACCGATACTGGCGCGATATTCGCACGCACAGCTTGCACGACCCCGTAGCGTACAAGAAGCGCGAAGTTGGTGTCTACCAACTACTTGGCGAGATCCCGGAGCCAACCTGGTACACTTAGACGGGAAACACGTTGGAGTTTGCAAAGACAACATCGGGGAGGACCAAATAGCTCGTCGGAAAAAGGTACAGCTCTCGCTAGAAGTCTGTCTAGTCTTTGGAGTGAACCCTGGACAATGTCCATTGGAGCCGTTCATCAGTCCAGGTCACGAGGAAATGGGAATTCACGTGTCATCGTAGTGTCGTTATGAAATATCATTTTTATCAACCCCTTAAGCTGTGTGATTACCCTCGCATGCTAACGCCGTCTCTACCCTGATCGTTATGTCGACCATTTCCAGAATGAAACGCCGCTCGTAAAATACACATAGCTCAATCTCAGAACCAACTAACGATGATGGATAACCGCATTCTGCATCCGTGCAAGACTCAAATAACGACCACCACATCTTGCCGAACACCAGAGCCGGTGATACGAACGATCATTAGGCTCTGGCGGGCTTGCTCTTCGCGTCAGAACCCTTTTTCGGGAGGACAGGTATAGTTCGGCTCAGAAGCGACCGTAATTCAGGAGAGATAACCTTCTGCGTTTCGTTGTTCGACATGGTTGATGCAGACGATGGTCCGCGGCTGTGCGATGGGCCAGCACTACCGCTCGGGCGTGTTGGTGATGATGGCACCGATGGCGCGCGACCTTCTAATGCGGGAAAGTTGGGTTTCTTGTCGATCGCCTCAACCATGCGCTGGAACCGTCGGAAGAGTGCCTCCGCGCGGATAATTGTCGACGATAGATCAATGGTACCCGAAAGTTCTTGAATGTATTTCAAGACCTCATCGAATCCCTTCAGGTGCTCCATAATGATGCTGCGATGTTTCTCCAGGATGGCGACGGCGATGAAGAGATGAAAGCTAGAGGTCAGATAATCGGTCCACATGACCTCCCACAAGCGAAGAATGTCGGGAAAGTCAAACTCTCGCTTGTACCAGACAAGGATCATTCGGAAGAAGAAGAAAAAGTTGGTGCTGTCGACCTTGGAGAGATATTCGTACAGCTGTGGATCAAGGAATTGTACAAGCTGATCGAGAGTGAGTAGTTGTAATCTCATACCCGACTGATCCCGAAGATAGTTGCGCTCCATACGCTCCATAAATTTCGCAAAGCCCCAAAATGCAACGGCATCGTCTTGCGAGACTGCATAGATGGGTGCAAGCAGGTCAGACATGCCTTGAACGTAGCCGAGCTCGTGGTTCAATTGGTTGTACGTCAGTAGCATATCCTTCATTTGTTCGAGATGTACGTTGGTGCCTGACTCTGCAAATGGGCTGTCCGGGTCAGGATGAGGTATGTCTTCGCCAGCGAAGAGAGGAAGGTGTCGATCAGTGCGATGTACGTCTTTCTCTGTGGTTCCACAAATGTCACGTCAGCTCTTATCACCAAAATCCAGAGTTGAGTTTCTCTTAATCACTTACCGATTCGATTCTTCTGGTCTGTCCACCATTCCCGCTCCTCAAGAGTCCCAGTACCATCCACCATACTTTCCCACCAAGCTCCCTTCATGCGGATATATTCATCTCGAAGGCTGTTCATATGCGCATGTCGCTCATCTTTGGTACTGTTCCAGTCGTAGACCCCGAGTAGAAACAGCCAGGCATCTTTGCGAACGCCGTCATCGGCAAGACCGCCGTGGAAGATTCGTTCTTTGACCTCGTCTGGGGTTCGTTCTAGTCGCCCTGTTCTGATATTGAAAAATCCATTCCATTCTTTCTGAGTCACAGGTTTCCTCTTGTCCGTAAGACTAGCACCTTGAGCGTCCAGATCGAGAAGTTCAAACTGTCCCAAGTCACTGTTCTCCATGCGTAAGACGTCCTTGGCAAGCCATATACGAGCATTACGCTCTTTCTCGGATTGCTCAGCAATACCCATAGCCCATCGTGCCAGATAGATGCGCGCAGAGTCAAATTCTTCTGATACAGTCTGTACCTGAGGGTTTTGCATCAAACGTCGTACTTGAGGAGGTATGTTGCGATTATCTGCCACAGCTTGCGCCGTTCGCCTGGTGAATGTAGTGACTTGTGCCATGGTCTCCAAAAAGTTCCACCTGGCTTGTTTCAGTGCCGTCACCACCTGTTCTAGTCCCGAGCCTTGCCCGTTCTGCGTTGAGGCGACATCGGAGTCATTGCCCTCGAGGAGATTCCGAACTTTGTCTTGAGTGGGCTTTCCGCCGGATCCAAATGATACTTTGTCGGATTCCGAAGGCTCAATGAGATAAATGCTCAGCTCATGTGCTGACCTCTCCACCGTAACATATCGTTTGAGCCACTCAACGACTTGATCTCCGCCCCAGAACATATCGCTGATGCTGAAGTTCTCTCGCTGATGCTTCTTCCTTTTTGCGATGGTAGACTGACACTCGGAATCGTGGAAAAATAGAGCTGGGAAACTGCTCCCGGATCGTGAGTTGATAATGATACTCCCAAACCACCAGCCAACACTCGGTATCCTAATTTGGACAGAGAAGATGTCGGACAGGGGCACGGCGAACGCGCCAGTGCCGCTGCTTGAAGCGACCACCGGCGGGCGAGCCACTAGATGGGACTGTTTTGGAGGTTCTTCCGAGTCGATGCTGGCTGTTTCAACCTTGGCATATGTCTCTTTCTCTCGGACATCTCGTAGGCTGCCTTCCGGCACCCATGCCAGCAGAAAATCAGAGTTGGCGTCGCCTTTCTGCTGCATGAGAGAAATCACGCCCGGGACATTATCCTTCGCGCTCGAGGTTGGATGCATGTACACTTTGCTCTTCGCAAAGAGTAGTTTGACACCCTTCCTGGGATCATCGCTGGGGCGTATTGTACTGTAACCGCCTTCGTCATCGTCACTCACATCGTAGAAGCTGGCGGAAGGTGAAGGTGGACCTGTTGTTCGAGAAGCCATATCTCGTCGCACATTTACGTGAAGCGAATGGAATTGATCGCAACATGCAAAGAGCAAGATTAACGGGCTTTCTATTGCTATCACATGGATCTTGGAAGGCGTCTGCCTAATACTCGTGGCTGAGCACACTCGGGCTACCAAGGTATATGATGATGGAGTGGCCCCACCTTGTGGCGCAGGCAGCGGATGACGACATCATGCTGCAGCGCGTTATCGATATGAGCTCTGGAGACGCAACAACTCTCATCTCCAAGATTTCGGCATTGCGGTGCTCGAGCGTTTCCGGAACTTGCGTACCTATACGGCAGGTGACCAACATAAATTCTCTGTTGAGTATCGGGTACGGAAACTCCTGCTTGGACGACAAGTGGTTTTCAGAGCGGGTGAGCGATGAATCCTTCCCAGGTTCTCTCAAAGGTGGCGGTGGTGGCGCGCGAATTCAACGTCCGGACCTCACACCTGACTTGAGGGACACACCAGCGATAAACGATCCTATTCACGCGTTGAGAAAGCCTATCATCGCTCGATATTCCCATGCAACCAGAGACAATTGCACTATGTTGCAGTATGAAACCCGGCTTCCAGCGGTACACAAGGGATGATCTACCCAAACTCTATCTACCTGTTTGACCAAGATGGGGTTTTGGGATGGTCGCCAGCCGACTTGGGCAATGTAGAATACGAGCTCGGCTCTTCGTTGACGACGACCTGTTTCGACGCTGTTATCATATCGGCAGCAGCTGGTTGCGCGTCGCAACTGCGGGCGCCTTTGCCCAGTGCACAATCACGAAAATAAAGACGGGACTGGAATGCATCATCTATTTGTGCAGTCAGGCGCCATACTTCCATATCGTCATTGAGAATCAGTGAGGGCATGTCTGGTGACCGGTCTTGTAGTGGTTTGTCCGGTTGAAGTTCAGACTATCTGTCTATGTACGAATAAGTGCGAGCTGATCGTCCTGGCAAGCACATCATCGGCGCTTTATTTCGCCCAACCAGTGTTCCCTGCGATACATTGTACACAATACTCACCAGACATGTATGGAGGGGAGCAATGATGTCGACCTGACGAGCGACCTGCCCGATAGAAGCGTTCGTCCCACAATGCGATGAGAGTGATGAGATACCTTCCATGTTGATGAGAAGTGAGGGTGTTGAGCTGACTGATAGTGGTGTCGTTCAACTCCCAAACAGGTCGTGTACCTTGTCCGAAGACACAGGAAGGGTGGGTAGGAGGCTCTCCTCTCACACACTCACAGATCCGGTACTAGACCGAATTTGACTCCATGTCGTCTTCAAAAGTGGCGCACGTGTTGGAAAATGGGAAAGCTTGGAAGTCGGCTGACCAACCAGGGATATGGTGCGGCATCATCATGTGACAGCCTTGGACCTATCTCTCCCCAAGCAACCCTCTCAAATCAGAGGCGAGAGGTTCTGTCCTGGACCCGATGTTGAAAGGCTTATTATCATGGCCTGTGGTCGCTTGTCCTCACGGAGTTCCTCTCTCGGAAATATTTCTCGCCAACCATGTCCACTCGTTTATCTCTTTTGCATTCCCCAGAATTTGGGCGTACATATTTACTACTATACAATCAACGAGTCGACAAATCATCGTGAAGGTGACGCGACCCGGAACAGACAGTCAGCAGCCGGCGTCAGGAGGACCGAGCGCCCTTTGCCTAGAATTTCCCCCACTTCTATCTCCCTCAGGCATCATCAAGCACGTCCGGCGGACCTCTCTCGGGCTTCAGGGCTCATCTCTTCTCTCCCTTATCAACCCCCTTCTGAAGAGAAAACCCGTGACACGAAACGTGACCCATCATCACGTGTCTATCGTCAACAAGCGATTCAGTTGTAAGTCACCTCATGGTCTTCGAGCCTTCGCGAACATCAAACATGCCGCATCGCACATACCCAACCGGTAGCATTATCACTGGACACGCGCGTCGTCGTTGTCGCAACGCGTCAGCGACATGACTGTCGCGATCACGATGCGTGGTCTGGTCGCTCTCGTGAGGCGAGACAAAGGCTGCGACGGAGGATCGTCTCTGGAAGTGTTCAACATAACTCCAGAAAGAGACATAGGATCCACACGGCCATGGCTTCGATGTCAATGTCGTGCTGCTGTTATTGATGACGCATTCGTACGCACATGCGACATGTACTAACACCGTGTGTAGACACTTTCATAAAACCGAAGTCGATTTCTCCTGCGTGATTTCAGGCGTATAGACGTGCTCTGGAAATCGCTCCAATACCGGAAGATACTCTCGGGATCTTGAATAGCGCTATCATTCGGTGACACAACCGAGGCTACTATGGCTGCCATTCTTCCGAACAAAAGAAAGCGTGACGCTGAAGATTTGGGCTCGCAGCGTCCTGCGCCTGTCATGAGCGAGACCGCATTCGACCCTCACGTAGTACACTATGATCTCCCGACCGATCACAATATGGACTTTGTCGCTCAGCACAACGCGGGTTTCGGCGCTGCGCCTGATGCACAGCAAGACTCTGAGCACAAGTTTGTACAACTTGATTCATCCGACAACGCGAACCAAAGCGCCAGTGATACTGCAGCTGCAGCGATGGCGCAGTATCATACCATGACGGTGCCGCAATCGACGGAGCAGGCATTCATGAGCCACCCCAGCGATGGTACAGATCGACCTGGCAGCTCGTCTCTTGACCAAGGCAATGTCGGTGAGCAGCGAACCAGCTTCTCGGACTTCGACATTAGCACGCTGAAAGGCGATGCTCCGGAAGCAGCGGAGGGAGAAGGTTCGCCGACAGTTGGAGCGGCTGGTGCCAGTAATGGTGGCCAGAAGCCTCAAGTTGGTAGCGACGAGTGGCACAAAGTGCGCCGCGACAACCATAAAGAAGGTAAATTTATTCTCCCGCGCCAATATTCGCTGATGGTTGCTAACCAAAATCTCAGTGGAGCGTCGACGTCGCGAGACCATCAACGAAGGCATCACTGAGCTGGCTAAGATTGTCCCAGGCTGCGAGAAGAACAAGGGTAGTATCCTTGCTCGTGCCGTCCAGTTCATCACACAGCTGAAGGAGAATGAGACTCAAAACATTGAGAAATGGACTCTTGAGAAGATGCTCACAGAGCAGGCTATTGCCGAGCTCAGCTCAAGCTGCGACAAGCTTAAGAACGAATGCCAACGCGCCTGGGCAGAATGCGAGCAATGGAAAACAGCTGCTCAAAAGGCAGGTGTCACTATCGATGGTAGCGACAAGCTTCCTAGCGGCGAACAAACCGAGTGATCGAGCTCTCTGGTAACAGTGTGATTTCTCTTATTCGATACCCACCTACTGTTTCTTACCTGCGGATGGCGACTCGCTGGATCTGCTCGCAATATTTGGCCGATTTCACATTGTCACCCACGACTCCGATTCGCAGCTGCGCGCTTGTTCGAGAAGCGGGCTTACCGCCTGTCGGAGGATCGTGCGGACATTTTTTACTTCGCGCGCGCAACCTTGCCAGTGGACTCCCTACAAGAAGTGGTTTCCCTGGTTTGGCTTCTGTTGAATCGCTGTTCAGTCTCATTCATTTTTCGGTGCTGTTGTTTGGACTGGCGTTGGTTATTGGGAAGGCTCAAGGAGAGAGGCGCACATAATCTCATAGCTATTAGCTACATAATTAGAACTTCACGGGCCACAAGCAGGAATTGCAATTTCATCTCAAGGAAGGCGTGCAAAGCCCTGGTATCATTTGGTCATCTCTATGCCTTTCTGGCGCTGCGATGGTAACTGAAGTCAGTACACTCATAAGCCTGAAAAATGAGATACTGTCAATTGTGCCCGGTTTCGATCACTTCCGAGAACATTCCACGGGGCTTGCATGTTCCGACGAGCTCGCCAGGCGGTGGACGAGTGGACAGTGCTCGCCTGAGCGCTGAATAAGGTGCAAAGATGTGTTGTACCTTATCAGAACTACCGCAAAAGATTCGAGCCGTTCAAGACCATGCTTGAAACTGCTGCACTTGTGCCTTTCCCCCGCCAACTGCGAACAAACTCTGATATGATATTGATTCGTATCTCGTCTCCACATTAATCGTGTTTGTCGAGCATATCACACCACACTCAGTAGAATGATTCGACCATTGTCTCCTTGTTCGTCGTGTTGATCGCACCAGGGCCCATGCCCTCGCCGAGCTTGAATACCGATTCCACCACGCTGAGCTCGGTGGCAGTGGTGTCCAAGCCAGTGACGGCCATCCAGTCGTTCACGACCATTCCGGCACCAACCACCGGGCTACCACGGTTGACACTTCCTGCGACTAAGGGCACCTGTAGCAGACTTGACAGCTCGTCCTGATCTTGAATCGACGTCTTCGGGTGCACGAGCCCGCCCTGGTTCGAAAGCGACATGTAGCTGCCCGTCAAAACGTTATCGGCGATCGTCTGGCGGAAAACCTCGACGCCGAGCACGTCGGCGATGATCTCCTCCGTCTCGCGCTCGAGATCCGGATGTACAAGTGCGACATGATCGTTCGCGCAGATGACGTTGCCCAACGCTGATAATCGCTCTTCAATCCGTTGGATTTTCACATCATCCGGGATCGAATTTCGCAGGTGTTGCAGCTCTTGGTCGGATGTGGATGTCGGAACTAGCAGGCCTCTTTTATTACCAGCTGTGAGACGGCCGATGATGCGCGTGCCGGCGATGGTGCAGTGGCATATGGGAATGACGTCTTGGAGCTCTGCTTCGAAGACACTGTGGCGGAAGGAGCGATGTTAGGACTCTGCTTCGGCTTCGGCGCGGCAGCAGTGACGTTCGAGGACTAACCTGTAGAAGTTCTCTGATGCACCGACGGCGACGAGTGCGTATGAGTTTGTGAGGGTCGCGAACACGCCCACTCTGTAGGGGAAGAAATGTCGCAGATCAGCAAATCGTCGATAAGACTGTGGGGTAGAAGGATCATCGCATACTCGTTGGAGTTTTCAAATGAGGCTCGGACAGCCATGATGAGGAGATCAGGGGGGAAGTATCGGAGGAGTTTCTTGAATGCGACTTGAGGATTCTGTAAGAGTGATTTTTGATCACGGTTTCGATGTTGCGGAATCGATTTGGTCGCGTGTATCTAGTTATTTGTAGCGCTTGGAGTCGAAGAACCGAAGCTTTTTTGTGCGAATTTGACCCTGCAGCCCGCAGTCGACGTCACGCTTTTATATTTGCCCCGAACTTCAGTGGGCTGCTTTCGGTCAAGGGCGCCGATTGCAGATAAAGTGAGTCATGTTTAGTAACCATGGGTGCCCAGGTGGTTCTACACAACGGAGGCGACTATCCTTGGGCGAACGCTCATCAAATCTGCCGTTTTGCCAATGTCATTGCCGATGCGCTTCCAGAGATGATCTAGGCATGACTCAACTCAAGTTCATCTTGTGAGTCGACTTGCGCCACACGAGGATGGCTCATAGTGATGTTCACCTGCGGGCGGTCATGATGGTCGCTTGAAAGCTCCGAGGTCCCTCTAAAATGAGAGATAGAAAAACTATACTGCGCTGGTATCTAAAACAAACCGGGAAAGAAAACTATTCGTAACTCACATGCAGATCTGCAGTGGGCAAGAGAGAGGAGGGATGTGCGGTGTAGTTTGTTTATTACTACAGCCCTGGAGTATAGTGATTCTGGCCAGCTAGGGTTTGGGTAGTCCATCGTGTGAAATAGGGTTAGCCCAAGCCGCCCCTTCACGAGAGCTTTCCTCACACAGATCACCACAGCGATGGTCGGAGCATGCACGGAGATCCGAAATACATCGATGAACTTTCCCTCAGTCATCGGATTCTGTATCAAGCGATGATCGAGAATAATAAGATGACTTCACGGGAGGGAACAGAAGCGCACTTGCATAGCATGGCCATTAGGTGAAAAGAGGTGCTCGTGCGCAACGACAATAAGAATGCCCTCGGATGTGGCATCTTTGTACTACACAAAGTCCTTTCTCTACAAGGTACACGAGTCGACATAAGGGTGGCGCAGCGCTCAATAATTCGAGGCGGTCAGGACGATGCAGTCAGTCGTGTAAATCGAGACGTTTTGGAAAGTCTGTAAATGCTGTCCGTTCGTGGCTACGCGTGTGTGTGGGTGGAAGTATCATCACTAATGCGCGTGAGCTTCGTCTACACATATACACGAATAATTGTGGATGGTTATGCACGTGAAGAAAACGCTAGAGTCCGTTTATTGAACACGTCTACCTAGGTACCTAAGTAGATATGTCTGCGACCATTTTGACCTACGCCTGGAGGCAGATGAAGACCACCTGGGCACGAAAATATGATACACCTGAGCACACAAAAAATGGAGGCCCAGCCAGAATGTCGCCCACTCCGGCAACAGCTGGGCACGTGCTGGGCAAGGCAGGCGCGGCACGCCATGCGACTGCTCAACTTCCGTCATCCCGATGCCGTGCTTCTGCCCTTCTCCTTGCCCTTGCCCTGCTACGCCTGCCCAGTACCTGTCTGTTGTACCTCAAGGGCTACTAGAAGTACCTACCATTGATATCATTGGGGGAAGGGAGGAACCATGATGTCCACCTGCAGCATTCTTTTAATTTACCGGCGTGCTCATGTATTGCCAGTATTGTACGAACGGGCATTTTTATTATTCCAGGTTGTTATCAATCATTGTTTTTGTTAGGCGGACATCACTTTTTGTCATCACCAGCAAGGCTGAGTATCTTCCTTGACCATCGGCCCGGAGCCCGGACAGATTTTCGCGTCATTCATCATGCGGCCCTTTCTGCTGAACACATGTTCTCAATTCTGGCCTAGCAAGCCTGGTGTCGTGCGGCGTCGCCTCCCAAGTGGAGATCTGACTGCGTACGGCGCAGCAGAGCAATGTGGCGGACAGCTGTTTTGTTCGAGCTCTACACAGTATCTGCCTATCATCACTAGGTGGGCGCACACCGGTAGTTCGGGCGGCATGCTCTGGGCGAGCATTCGTTGTCGTCTGATCGCCAGGCCAGTCTTACGTCCAGTACTACAGATGAGAAAGGCGCGCCTGAAAAGCGCCCATTTCGGGGAGGGACACACACCACACAGTACTTGGGTCTGAACATCGAGGTAGGGATGTCAATCGGGTCGTACGGTCTGGTATGTAGCACACCTGCGACGCATACACAGCTGGGCACACTCTGCATTCTCCCAAACACACTTGGGCTGGGTATGGTAGCTAGGCTGCTTTTCATCACTGTCTGCAGTAGCAGCAGCACCTCCACCACCGCTCCGCCCACACAGGTAATCCGCCGCCCTCAGGACAGGTGCAAGTCCCTCCACATCTTGGTGCATACCTGGGCAGGTAGATATTTCACCCTCTGCCTGTTGGTTGTCCTGATCGCAGCTCCATCCCGAGGGAGGCGAGGCAGGTTTATCAGTATTTATGACCATCCATGCCTGGGCTTTTCCTTGACTGCGTTTCCCACAAACCTTGACGGCCGGAAATTATTCAGTCGGAAGGACGTCAAGCCACCCACTCGCGTGTTGGGCACGATCGCACTTCTGACCATTCCAAGGTTGACAAGGTTATTCCTCACGTGCTACCACCTTAGCAATTCTGTCTTGAGGAAGCCCCAGCAGAGGTAGTAGACTCAACCACTAACACACGTTACTCCCGTCGGAGCATCTTCTTCAGCCCACCACTAAGCGCTGCCAACCCAGGGATGCAGAGAGGGTCATTCTGCCTGTTCTGAGCCTCTGTTTCATCATCTGTCCAGAAGGTGACTGATCACGGCTGGACCGCTACCCACACAGGTAGTCTATGGGTACACGATTGAACGTCTTGCGTACGAAACGAAAAGTACATCTTCATCCGCACTTCCTGTTCCTAACCTGTCGAGCGATCAATCCAACCAACTGTGTCCATACCCTTGGCAAAGACGTCCTTGCGTGAACAATTAGCTCCTCTGCTGGTCAGTGGTGAGGCTTGTGTTCCTCCAAGGTTGAGTCTAGTCGCTGCCCGCCGCCCTTCAAGCTCTCGCCCCAACCAGATATCCATTCGAAGGGTATTGTGACATTCTGTTCGAAGACCGAAGACATCACTTGCATCGATACTCAATCAAATCATCTGTCACAAGAATCATTATAGACTGTACTCTACCAACGAGGATGACCATGCTACCAGATGTGAGTTGATGCGCAGCAATGATCTCATCCAGCTTTCAGCATAAAGTTGACCACCATTCGCAGTCCCTCACCGACATGGAGAAGCCGTCGTATATCGAAGACAGCATAGCGCCTCACGTCAAACGAAACGATCCACCGATGTTCGACTTGCGCGCTATATGGGACGGTAGCATCCAAAGACCGAGCATGCAAAGAGCGGCATCCCGCGACGCTTCTCAAGGCGTGATTGAACAGAAGCTGGGATCCAGCTCGCTCCTCGAATCGACAAGCATGGAAACAGATATCACAGCGAGCAGGAAGATCTCTGCCAGCCAATCCCCTTCCAGATTCATGATCCCTTTTGATTTGCAGAACGGTACTTCACCAAGAGGTTTGCAGGGTCCCTTTGAACAAGAGTATATGAAGCATAGGCAGGCCTCAGATGCCATCCGCATGCCGACAGCACTGCCTATTGGTACTCCGGATCGTCGCAATTCAAGCATAGCAGCATGCTTTCCTGGCTTGGCCGGATCGCCTGATGACTCTACACTAGCGACACAAGGACAGCTAGGCTGGTCAGCCGCAAAACAACGTGCGGCAAGGGATTCGGTCACAGATATCTGGATGAATCCTCTCAGCTCTCGAACCCCCAGCCGAGAGAGGCCGTATCTCTCCTCGTTTCGATCATATGGTGCGCCAACTACTCCGCCCTCTGGTGCGGATAGCTTGCAGACGTCGCTGCAGGAAAAATCATTCGGCGAAGACGGATATCAACCAGATAGAAGCCGTGCAGTGTCTCTCGCTTCGCGACCCCCGTCGCTTACCTCTACGATTAGCGGCATGAACAGTGCCACAGTTAGCCTTATCGACGGCTTGTCATCCCAATGCAATCAAACAAGCATCCAGGACCCGAGCCCAGATTTTGCTTCACGAGAATCGATTGTGAGCTCGACTGGTAATGCATTTGCGAGTCCGGATCTACAGCAATCGTATTTTGATAAATCTGCAGCATCACGCTCCTGGGCACCGCAGTCTCACAACAGCTTTGGTACCTTGCGAGATATGCGTCCGGCATATGGCTACGCACGCGATAGTCCGGCACCTTCAAGGTCGTCTGATGGACTACATACTACGACCCAGAATCAGATGCTACGTGCTGCACGCCCCCTCAATTTCAACTCTCGCGAGTTTTATCCTGGCATTTCATGCGGCGATTTCACGAACGACCACAAAGCGACCTCAGAGATGTCCTGGAAAGGCCAGAACTTCCGAGATGCGTTCACGACACAGCCCTTTGAACAGCACCACTACAACAGTGATCCCGTATTCGACTCGAACCCGCAACCGTTCTTACTCAGCCCTCCTCGCACAAATGATACAAACCCTCGCTCCTTCATACCTCCGGCACACGATCTTCAACAGGGACCAGCAGCATTTCCAATAGTTTCTGCATCAAATCACTTACAGCATGGAAACAACGGACAAAGCTCCTTGCTCTCACATTTCAGAGCCACGATGAAGACCAAGCGATACGAGCTGAGAGATATCTATGATCACGTTGTTGAATTCAGCAGCGATCAGCATGGATCGCGATTCATTCAGACCAGATTGGAGACGGCAAATCCGGAAGAAAGGGAGCAAATATTCAGCGAGATCCGGCCCTACTTGATTCCGCTCATGACCGACGTCTTCGGGAACTATGTAATTCAAAAGTTCTTCGAGTACGGCAGCCTATCGCACAAAGATATCCTTGCAGCGACGATGCAAGGTCAAGTGGTCCCGCTCAGCTGTCAGCCATATGGTTGTCGGGTAGTGCAGAAGGCTTTGGACCATGTCTCGGTCACCCAGCAAGCATCGCTTATCGATGAGCTGAATGGAGCGGTAGTGGATCTGATCCAGGACCAGAACGGCAACCACGTCGTCCAGAAAGTCATCGAGCGCTGTTCGGCTTCCATGATCGATTTCATCGTGCATTCGATGCGAGGTCAGATCCATCGTCTCAGCATCCATAGCTATGGATGCCGCGTTGTTCAACGATGTCTGGAGAAGCCGGCGCTGGCTTCGAAATCGTTGATCCTCTCCGAGCTGACGGATTGCATTCAGACCATGATCCCAGACCAGTACGGCAACTATGTGGTACAATACATCGTCACTCACGAGGATACCGAATGCAAGCGCCGCATCATGGCTCATGTGATCGACAACCTCGAGATTCTCAGCAGGCATAAATATGCTAGCAATGTGGTTGAAAAGTGCATTCAAAGCTCCGATGACGCCTACAGAAGAAGCATTGTTCATTCGCTCAGCAATATTGCCAAACGTCGCTCTGAGAGCGAGAGCTTGGTTGGCATGGTTAAGGATCAATATGGAAACTATGTGATTCGTGAGTTGAGTGATACTACTTTACGATCGAGTCCAACAAACTGACTTTCAGCCATAATAGAAACCCTTCTCGACACACTCTGCGAAAGCGAATACCACACTCTGGTGAATCTGCTCCGCCCTGCCATTGCACAAGCGAAGCGCACGAATCCCAACAACAAGCAGATTCCTGCCATTGAGAGCAAAATGGTTCATTCCACGGATTACCCGCAACAACAACGTCTGCCGCATTGGAGCACCCAGCGATTCCAATCGACCACCAATGGAAACGCCCACTTCAGTACTGCTCAACACGCACGCATTTGAAGTTTATGGGGACATCGATTTACAATGAGGGACGACGACTCGAGGAAAGCCGCAGTATAGCCGCGGACTGATCACGTCGATTCGGCGTTCTGAATGGATATGTACTGCGCATAGCGAGCATTGGTTGCAGGAGCAGCAGCTTTTGACAACCTGGCTGGCAAGACCAAGCTCTTGCATGACAGGGCTGTGTCACGAATATACACACATACGTACCAAAGTCATAATAGATTAGATACCCGGGAATAGAGGAAAACGATTTTTGATTTTCATCCGTTGATCAAAGGCGTAGAAGTGAGCGTACGAGATCTCTGTCCACCAATGCGTAGCGTGAGATACACCAATCGATCGGGTCTGTTCATGTCCCCATATTTCTACCTCTTCAAGCACCATTCAAAAGCACCCTCATGTCCAGCCACCACGAGGAACGTAGGCACGAGCAAGAGCGTCGGACAGCGACTTCGTCTCAGCAATAAACTTTTCGGTCCCAACCCAACCCCATCACCAAAAACGCCATGTCTCGCGTCGGAACCCTCCCGTAAATTCACCACACAGCGGCACTGGCACTCCGCTCGACGCGGTTGCAGCCCGAATCCTTCAGCTCCCCACCGTCGTCCTGATCGCTAAAGTAGTCCGAGCCCAGGGCATCAATCTCGCGTTCGATCTCAGCCAGATTCTGATAAAAGTCCGGATTACAAGCGTTCGTGCTGGACCACCAAAAGGCACGATCATCGCTATCATCTCCGCAGCAGAAACGCGGCTCGATGGCTTCTTCATGATCACCTCCATCCCGTTCGGGACCACGTTGCGTCTGTTTCATGTACCCTCCCTCCGGCTCTGCAACGTAGAGCAGTTCCTGGGATGGATAGAAGTTTTTCAGCGCTTCTTCTTTGACTAAGCGTGCCGTGAGCAAGAGGAGTTGCTGCATAGCGTCTTTCGGACTCTCGGCGGGCGCGGAAAAGAGGAAATGGGCTTTGCGGGAGGTCTCGGGCTGCCCGTAGAAGACCATTGCTTGGAACTGGTCAGAGTTGTTGCGGAGCAGCGCAAGCTGGAGTGGTGGGATATGTCGACACGGGTTGGCGTAAGTTACGATGAGTTTATCGGGGAGGAAGATGGGGAAGAGGATGTTTGCGTTTGCTGCTCGGCAACTTAGCTGAAGAACACTTTGTGCTTTTCTTCTTGCTTGGTCTTTAACAGCTTGGAATGGTCTCTTGCAATGTCAAGAGAACGTAGAGACGCCAGATGGTCTTACCAAGAATTTGCTCGCGTGTACTACCGTCATTGGACATGTTGACGATCTTCTGTATTGACTGCAATACGTCCAAGACGTCTCTCTGTAATTCCTGTGCGGCGGTTGACAGTGCGCTACTGATCGTACTTGTGAAGGTCGCAGTTATGTATGCGAATCCACAGAAAGGAAACTGATCATTGTGTTGGAAGCTTGCAGTCGCGTGTGGAACTCGGTGTGTCATCCTTGCAAATGTTGTACGAGGCTCAAGGAATGGTCAAGCGAAGGCGTAGTGTGATAGAAAGCTAGCGTCAAAGTGATGATGAAAGAAGTGACGAGGAGGGGCCGCTTTATGATCACTACACTACTAATGGAAGACGGGACATGGAATTTCTCTTGAAACAGTGAATGCGAGAAGTGAATGCCGTCGTCCGAAGCAAGTGAAGAGTCGGGGAATAAACAAAGGCTTGGAAAGGCCTGACGCATGCTCGAAGAGGCTGTGTGCTGTTGGTTGCATTCACCTGTACCTAGGTATGGAGTTAAGACTGTAAGATCCTGAGCTCTGGACGAACTGTCTGCTGGTCATCCTGCCTGCTCCAACGAAGTCATTAATGTTGTCACAACTGTCACTTCTCCAACTCCCTTCGATGGAGATCAAGTGCAGCGGAAGCTGTGTGGCTAGGCCATCAGAGTTTAAGCCTTTCCGCGATTTCGACATGCAGTTGGTGTTGTTGGTAGGAATTGGCCGTCCGTCCGAGGGGAACGATTTTGTGACGGTCAAGGATTACGTTGGCGGCGAGTTCGTCACATCATCGCCCTGCCGAAGCCTTTGACCTGACTCTAAAAAAGCCCGCAGCGGTGCAACCTATGGTTTATGAGCATGCGAAATAATATCATCGGAGCAATGGCGACAGCACACCCTGGACACCCACTATTCACTGAGTGAAAGTTGAGCACCGATATCTATGATGCTCCGCAACATCGCATTGAATCTCCCGGGTATTGGGACTCGCATAATACCAGTCGAAAAGTCGGAGATGTGCTGTGAACCTACATCTGGAAACGTGGTAATCGGTGTTGGCCTGAATGTTGCTGTAATCTGGCTTCACAGTCGGATTCAACTTGAAGAATGTCTGCACGGTGATCGGATTGTTGTTGGCTACCTGCGTGCAGGTGTAATAGTTGAAGTCCATGCCCTCCGTGTTGGCCGTGTGTCGGCAGTTGACCTAACCGATACTATCATTTTCACTGGCGTGCAGAGGGCTGATGGTCACCGCAGGCAACGGGGTTGAGGCACTGGTCACAGTGCCAGACGTGACAATGCTCTAACCAGACGACTTTGACGAAGACGACGACACGGCTGGAGACGAGGAGGTTGCTGATCCAGGTCATTGAGATGTAGATTTGGTCATTTTCATGACGATTGGTCTTATTTGTCTATGATCCCGCACGTGTACCGCGGCTATGACTGTACAGTCTGACCAGAGTTCGTGTCCGTCGCCGGAATGTTCTCCGTTTCTTTCTCTTTCTGTGGCGGATTATATCGCTCTCCGCAATTGTTCCTCGGTTCACTTTCCTTCTCACGAGCGTTTCCCGAGTGTTCCGCTCGAAACGAAACGCATTGGGAACGCTGGGTGCAGGTGATTGGAAATGCTGGGGTACCGCTGGCTAGGTACCCGTGGACGCACAGAAGTTTAGCCGGCACCGAGGAGCTTCGAACGGGCGTGCAGCATTGTACTGTACGTCCGTCTGGCACGCTAATTCCTAGCAGAGCAACGCTCACAGAGCTGGCGAGGTTCGTCCGCTCGGCCGTTTCTGCCATCTTTCGGTGAACATTGGCCAACGCTTTCTTCAAACCCTCGGGTGCTTATCCTTTTGTTTCTTGCCCGTCACGACCTCACCCAAATCCTTCGCCCGATTCCATCGCCTTGATCCGACTCTCTCGCATTCGCATTTCTTCCCTCACAAATTACCGAAATGTCGGGATCAGCAGCAGACACTTTGCGGGCGACCGTCGAGAAGTTGCAACAGCAGGTTGAGCAATTGGAGAAGCGCTTGGCCGGCAGTGTTGGTGGCAGCAATACTCAGGATGGAATGCGCATGATCCTCATCGGTCCTCCCGGTGCCGGTACGTCTCTTGCGCTCAACGCCCTCTGCACTGCGACTTTGGCTTTAAGTTGTGCACTCAGCGACTGACAGTGTCCACGTGATGTAGGAAAGGGAACCCAAGCGCCCAAGATCAAGGAGCGCTTCGGCTGCTGTCACTTGGCCACTGGTGACATGCTCCGCGCTCAAGTCGCCGCCAAGACCGATCTCGGCCGGGAAGCCAAAAAGATCATGGACGAGGGTAAATTGGTCTCGGACGAGATCATGATCGGCATGATCGAGAGCGAGTTGGAGAACAACAAGGACTGCAGACACGGGTGAGTTTGGATCGCGCCCAAAATCCCTCTGGTGTGATGGACACGGCATGGACTGGCGTTATTGTCAGGATGAATACTGACTGTGACATCCGAACGCAGCTTCATTTTGGATGGATTCCCGCGTACCGTCCCTCAAGCCGCCAAGCTAGACAGTATGCTGGCTGCTAAGCAGCAGCAGCTCAAGCATGCTGTCGAGCTCAAAATCGACGACAATCTATTGGTCGCCCGTATCACTGGTCGCTTGGTCCACCCTGCCTCTGGACGATCCTACCACAAGATCTTCAGCCCACCAAAGAAGGACATGACCGACGACATCACTGGCGAGCCGCTTGTGCAGCGCTCTGATGATACCGAGGCTGCTTTGAAGAAGCGATTAACAACCTACCACAGCCAGACTGCCCCAGTCGTCGAGTACTACCGTAAGACCGGAATCCACACTGAGCTCGATGCCAGCAAGAAGCCCGGCGAGGTCTGGAAGGACATGCTCAACGTCTTCGACCAGAACAAGAGCAGCACACTGCTCGGCAAGCTCGGCCTCAGCAAATAGATTCTGCGGATGGAAGTCAAGAAGCAGCCACTGCAAAACACACGTCTGTATGAGACAAGCAGCGGCTGGACTTGGTCTCGATAACCCGTACGCCTCCGAAAATCTGTAAAACTGCCAGTCGGCTAGGCCTTTGATGTGGCGCATATTTTGGGACAAAAAGTGATAGATGTAACCATAGGGATGATTTGTACTAGAATATCTAATGCATACGACTCGATGCCCCACCTTGTGTTTGTTATTCCAGATTATGGACTGCACGACGGTCTTGGAGGTGCGCAGGATGATGACAGGAGGAGACTGCGTGCGGCAGCAACGTGGGTTTATCCAGTGCGTGGGCAAGTACTTATCGTTCCTTCCCTCAAGCTTCGCATGATGATGCTCAAACGAAAGCCTAAGTCCTCAACAGAACCGTCTCATCACACAATGGATTTGAATGATGAATAAACCTCTACACTGCAGGATACACCTGTTCAACGAGCCCTACAAGAAGCGTACCGTATTGCGTGGTGTGAGGAGGTTTCAGTATCATCTTCGCGGCACTGGTGAGCAACTCTTTTACGGAACCAGTCATGGTCCAAGATCAACTGATCATGGGCGAGACAAGGTATATTTGAAAGCTGTGCTTTCATGCCAACACATCACCAATTACAGCCCAACACTGACCGCTCTAGTGTCGGTTCTGAACGATGCACGTCCCGACAAATTGGCATTTACTCCACATCATCGAGCATTCGAGATATTGCAAATCGACAGTCACTCGCCTTGCGTCGTTGGAGGAGCAAGTCGTCAAGACATGCTCATCCTCTTATGGACAGAGATGACTGCACGCAGTCGGCATGCTCGGATATCACGGCCATCACAAATGGCAACACTACCTTTCTACCAGAGCTGAACAGCACCCCTCCAATGCCTAGTTTTCAGAAGCAGCATATGAAGGACGCACCCATGTCCTCCGAAATCGCCGATAACAGCGGGTCTTTGCAAAAGAACGGAACACAAAGCGCTATGCAAATACGCGAACTGTTTGAAAATAGTACACCGAGACCTGAGATGCCCGAGCGAAGTATCATTTCGAGACCAACGAACCTAGGACGAGTGGCAAGCGTCCTCCGTGCTTCGACGAAGGCAGGCGCCCGAACCGCACCATTCCCTCTTCAAAATCCCCATGACAGATCAACACTACCTCTTCCCGCGAATTGGACCAAACAACATGACAAGGCCATTTGCATTCTTGACGTGAAAAATTACAGCCTACCAGCAATGATTATCAAGCTCCGTTGCACGTTCCCGTCCTTGCAAGGCACGCTGACGCCCGCCATGATCGACAAGCGTCTGCAACAGCTTGATCAGAACGTGGAGCTCGATTATTATCGTGCGGGATTGCAGAAGAACAACCGCCCTGATCGAACGAAGCTGGCGCTGCCTCCGCTCCCCCCATCGCCTCTAGCACTAGAACGTAGCGCAAAGAGGGCTTGGCAGGCAAGCAGCCGTCGTGCGCCGCCCATTGTGAGGAAGAGCGACGAGACCGTGAGGTTGGCGGAAGTCGGGCGGCCAGTGCTCAGGGTAAGCTGACTCGAACTTTCAATCTTGAAAGGCTCTGAAAACCACTGACTGACCATGTTTTACATTCTTGTCTGATGCTAACTCGAGCTTGCTTTCTTGATTTCAGGGCACGACTTCCGCCACGCATCTCGCAACGCAACGCCTATCGCGATCATTAGAGCAGCTGCATAGCGTGAACTGCGTAGCTCTGAGCTCGCCCGTGCATAGTGCCCGAAGTACCTTTGCGACGGACTTCTCGAGCGGACACCGGACGCGATAGGGACGACGTAAAGTAGGGAGGGCGTGGGTGAATCAGAGCAAGAACGTCGTACAGGGGGATACATTTCTCCTTCTCCCCTATGCGTTTCACGAAGAAGACATCATAGATCGCATCATGAAGATAAGTGTACATTTTATATAGTCATGTGTATCGTGAAGAGTCCATAGCATTCATCGTTAATATATCGTCGTCGCACAACCAGGTGGATACAAGGCACGAATCGTGTCTAGGCATTGCCAACAGCAGTCGCTTTTACCCGATACTCCTCAAAAGTCCTCGATTCGCCGGGCTCAGCGTTCACCTGATCCTCCCTGCTCTCGTCCTCAGCTGGCTGCCTCTGCGCTTCCCATTCCGCCTCCTCATCCGCGATCAGCTTATAAAACGCCGCGGAATTGCCCCGAACAAAATACAAAGGCGCACTTTTCCGCCCAGCCACCGCCTCATTAATCAAGACGTATTTGGTCTTCGACCCGGGAGTTTCAAACATGGCGTCCTGGAGGAGCCGTTCGAGCACGGTGCGCAGGCCGCGGGCGCTTGTGCCCATCGTGGCTGCTTTGCCGGCGATGGCGTGGAGTGCGGGTGTAGTGAAGCGCAGCTCGATGCTGGATAGCGCGAACAGCTGCATGTACTGCCGCACTAGGCTGTTCCGGGGCTCGGTGAGGACTTTGACTAATGAAGCCACGTCCAGGGAGGACAGCGCGCACGAGATAGGGATGCGGCCGACGAGTTCGGGGATGAGGCCGAACTTCTGGAGGTCTTGCGGTTCGACGAGATCGAGGGTGTTGTATTTTCTGCGGGGGGGAGGAAGAGGAGCAGTAGCGGTGGTGTCGTTGGTCGGCGGTGATGAAGAGGGCGGGGAGGATGATGGCTCATGTGTTGCTGGAGGGGCGGTGAAAAAGGGAACGTTCTTCTCGAAAAGTTCGTCTTCGTCGATCAAGACCGTCTCGTGCTCATCTGAAGGTGATCCCGAGGAACCAGGCGAGGCGCGGACTTGTGCTCCAAAGCCAATGCTGCCTTTGCTTAATCGATCCAGGATTGTTCTATGCAAGCCATTGAAGGCGCCCGCACAAATGAAGAGGATGTTGTCCGTCCGAACGTTGTAGATCTCACCTTTGGCACCACTAGATCCTTGTTGACCCAGGCCGCCGCCTCCAGATAAGGGATTGCTACCAGGAGCTCCAGGACCCATTCCGCGCAATCGGTCGCTAGCCGATGTGCTTCCACGCTCTTGCTTTGCCTGTATTTGCAAGGTAGTACCCTCGATGATCTTCAACAACGCTTGCTGAACGCCCTCGCCACTCACGTCCTTCCCATGCGACACCCTTGCCGTCGCGATTTTGTCAATCTCATCAAGACAAATGATACCGCGCTCCGCCCGTGTGACATCATAGTTTGCCGCTGCAAGTAGGCGCTGCACGCACACGTCTGCGTCTTCGCCGATATATCCTGCCTGCGTAAATGGTGTGCAGTCTGACATGCTGAAGGGAACATCCAAAACTCTTGCGAGAGTTTTGGCCATCAAGGTCTTTCCCACACCTGAGGGTCCCAGCAACAGAATGTTGCTTTTCTCAATCGTAAAAGGCGTCGAGTCCTGTAGCGGCGATGTCTGATCTTGTCCCTCGTGCTGTGATGTCGCCTGCGGTATCTCAGACCCAGGAGCGTGGGCGTAAATGGTGGACTGCGGTTGTCCAGGAAACTCATCTTCAAAGTGCCAGTCCTTCGTCAGAGACGGCACCGTGATACCTCTCTTCAGCTCGCCATCTGTGTCGTCCAAAGGGTGTTTGGAACGTAGTATTATCCGCCGCCTTTCCTCCGCGGCCAACCTTTCATCGGCTTCCTCGTCTTGCCGTTCAAGCTCCTGCACTCTTTGGTAATGGTTGAAGACAGCGGTAGCGAGTGTGCGCTTTGCGCGATCCTGACCCACTACGAATTGATCAAGATGTTGCTTGAGAAGAGAGGGAGTGACTCGCGGAGAACCAATGTTCGAAGCATCGCTCAAAGGTCCCTCGGTCGGTCCGCCAGTTTCATAGCTTCCCACCCAACCTTGATTGAACGACCCATTGGACGAGCGTCGCGTTGCATGGCTGAGCTGTCTCCGAATTATAGCGGAAATCCCGAGATATGTCAGCCGTGCCGGCGGTGCGAAATTGGAAGTAAGCGAGGTCATGGTTGGTCACGGTCAAAGGGTCAGTTCAAGGTAGTTGCGTCAAGGAATGAATGTACGCAATTGCAGGTACTATGACTGGCGCAAGTCAGCTCACCAGCATAGACCAGAGGCAACGAATCGTGTGCAGCACGTGAATTGGGTGCCCGGAAGTCGTAGGATAGGAATTTCGAGAGAGCTGAGAGAGCTGTACTGCTCTTACAGACACCTCAGACGGTCTGAGAGGTGTGGAGAAATGATCCCTATCGCCAAAGCGTGAGTTCAGCGCACATCATTGTGGTCTTGCGGCCGGCCGGAGAGAGCGTGCACTGTACTGCCGACGACAACCCCACTGCCACAATCGGAAGCTTGGACCTTTGCTACCATCATATCACATCCAGTTCCACACTGCAGGATGCTATCCTACAAGGCGCTGTCAAGAAAGCACAACTGTAGGCCTTGAATATCGAAACTCATATCATACCCGGGTACTTTATGATGACTAAATCTGGCAGTATCACGCAATTCCAGTTTAGAAGAGGCGTAATGGCAAGCGTAGTCCGCCGAGCACACGACGCTGAGGATCGAGGATCTGAAACTTGAACAAAGCGTTAAGCAGACCTCGACGCGTGAGATTTCTAAGATCCTCTATTGAAAGCTACTGTACCAATACTATGGGGTCTTCTATAGATCGTCAATGTATAGATTCGTAGGGTAAATACGGGAGTTTCTCCGTCGATCTTTATCGACGTTCCGGCTGATGGTCGGGCCGATCATGTGGGGCATGATTCGGCAGGGCGTTCGTGGAGCCGAGACTTGCAGGTCGTGAAGTGACCAAACTTATCATACCCCTGGTATGGTGCACGTGTCTCTCTGGTGCAATGTGAGCAAGCGCATGCCGTCTGGAGGAGGACGACAGCGATGGTGATGACAGTGGAGGAGGCCAATGTTCAATCAACCCGAGGGGTTGGGAACGATTTAACGAGACAATGTATCAAGCCGCTTGCAAGTTTGGGTGGGTAGCTCCAGGGCTGTAACAGACACCACCTGCACAGCGCAGTATACCGCCTATGCTAAAGAGAGGTAGTAGCAGCGTTTATTCTTGCCTGAAGCGGCGGGCGTAAAATGGGGATGAAACCGTCCCCACCCGCTCATCGGCCCGCCCTCACAAGAACCGGCGATAATTTTTCTCCGTTGAACCATTAAATCGATCACATACTATAGCTGCAGATGAAGAAGACTAATGTGCAGGTGAAACTCCATCATGATGATGCTTCTCCTCCGCGCACCGTCGACCTGCAGGTGCGCATGAGCCAAGGAGTTTTGGGCAAGCAATGGGAACTACAGTAAGTGCCATACGCAATTCTCTGAGAGTGCAGGATAGGAGGACGATGGTTCCTGGTGGGGCGGACGTTTGGCCCAGTTACCACGATGGTGAGAAATGGGCGGCGCATGGACTGCTCACTCATCAATGGAAGGAAGGCGACGCCTGAGCTTCTCATCGTTTTGCAGCGGGTACTACTATCAAAGCCCAAAGTTCCCGCCTGGGCAATGCACGGCTTGGATGGATGTTCAACCGCCGCCGGCACGGTTCGAGCGCTGTACGATGACGATGATGCGCCTTGCCCCAACGCACCTGCATACAACCAACAGCTCCATCCTCTACTCATTTTGTACTGTTACAGGACATTTCCTCTGCGCACCAAACTTGCTGAGCTCTCCTCAACCAACTGTCAAACCCCAGTTTGTGATGGCATGATACTCTTCCGGTCTGGTGAGAAAAGCATTGAGCTTCTCACTTTTGCTGCTCCTGGTTGCTCCGACCCTTGTGCCCTGCATTCATGATATAAACCACCCACTACACATAGCTATCAAATACACGGCCATTCCTCCTCCCTTCAAAAAGTGTACCTGTGAACTCTTCTGCTCTTCTTGCGACAGTAACAATCGCCCTTCTCTTCTACAACAACTCTGAACTCTACCTCGACGCTTGCGCACCTGCGATATTGGCCCAGACAGATATTGCTTTGGCTCCCTCGTGCTGCGCCGCCAACGCCATTCATACAGTCCATCATGGACAAATTGAACGAAGCTTCAGCCGACTCGGTTATGGCGAAACCCGCCAGCGCTGGGATCCCCAACGACGGCACCGGTACTGCTTCCAATGCGCAAATTCCTGACAGCCGTGCTAATCATGCTCGCAGGTGTCATCCAGCTTGATCCTTACCTCGAGCCTTACAAGGCCTCCCTCCGATCACGCTTCTCCAAGGCCCAAAATTGGATCAAAACGATCAACAAGACCGAAGGTGGCCTTGCGAACTTCGCCAAGGGATACGAGAAGTATGGGTTCCTCGTTGCACCTGATCACACTATCACCTACCGAGAATGGGCACCTTTTGCGCTGCGCGCATTCTTGATCGGAGACTTCAATGGCTGGAATCGAGACAGCCACGAGATGAAGAGAGATCCCTTCGGTGTGTGGGAGATTACTTTGCATCCGGTGAATGGCGCTCCGGCCATCGAACATGACAGCAAGATCAAGATCAGCTTAGTGGTGCCTAACGACTATGCGAGACAAGAGAGGATACCGGCATGGATTAAAAGAGTCACACAGGATCTCTCGGTCTCGCCGGTCTATGATGCCCGCTTCTGGAACCCGCCCAAAAAATACCAGTTCAAGAACCCACGACCACCGAAGCCTCTGAGCGCACGAATCTACGAAGCTCACGTAGGCATTTCCAGTCCCGAGCCCAAGGTAGCCACGTACAAAGAATTCACCCAGAACACGCTGCCAAGAATCCGGGATTTGGGATATAATACCATTCAGCTGATGGCGATTATGGAACATGCCTACTATGCTTCGTTCGGCTACCAGATCAATTCTTTCTTTGCGGCTTCTTCGCGATATGGCCTGCCCGATGACCTCAAAGAGCTCATTGATACAGCACACGGAATGGGAATCACGGTTCTGTTGGACGTTGTTCACTCGCACGCTAGCAAGAACGTCTTGGATGGACTGAACATGTTTGACAACAGCGATCACTTGTACTTTCACGAGGGTGCGCGCGGCCGACACGAATTGTGGGATAGCCGGCTATTCAACTATGGACACCACGAAGTTCTCCGATTCCTGTTGTCTAACCTCCGCTTCTGGATGGACGAGTACCAATTTGACGGCTTCCGATTCGACGGTGTCACCAGCATGCTCTACACCCACCACGGCATTGGGACTGGATTCAGCGGAGGTTACCACGAGTACTTTGGACCCAATGTTGATGAGGACGGTGTGGTCTACCTCATGCTGGCCAACGAAATGCTTCACGAGCTTTATCCCGATTGTATTACGATCGCCGAGGATGTCAGCGGAATGCCAGCACTATGCATCAAGCTGAGCCTGGGAGGAATAGGATTCGACTACAGGCTGGCAATGGCTGTGCCTGATCTGTACATCAAATGGCTCAAGGAGAAACAAGACATCGACTGGGACATGGGAAACCTCTGTTTCACCTTGACAAACCGCCGTCATGGCGAGAAGACCATTGCATATGCGGAATCTCACGATCAAGCGTAGGTGAAATCTTGTGTCGACCAGAATGAAGCCAAGCTAACACTAATTACAGACTCGTCGGTGACAAGACACTGCTCTTCTGGTTGTGCGATGCAGAAATGTACACAAACATGTCGAACCTGAGCGAGTTCACTCCAGTCATTGAGCGCGGTATGGCTTTGCACAAGATGATCCGCTTGATTACCCACAGTCTTGGAGGTGAGGCATACCTCAACTTTGAAGGAAATGAGTTCGGACATCCGGAATGGCTGGACTTCCCGCGTGAGGGCAATGGCAACAGTTTCCACTACGCCCGACGCCAGTTTAACTTGGTCGAGGATGAACTCCTCCGTTACCGCTTCCTCAATGACTTTGACCGCAACATGCAGTGGACCGAGCAGAAATATGGCTGGTTGCACTCACCGCAGGGCTACATCAGCCTGAAGCACGAAGGCGACAAAGTCATTGTCTACGAGCGCGCTGGTCTGCTTTTCATTTTCAACTTCCACCCCAGCGAGTCATTCACCGACTATCGCGTCGGTGTGGAGGCAGCAGGCACCTACCGTGTGGTCATCAACTCTGATGAAAAGGCCTTCGGAGGATTGGCACGGATTCAGAATGAGACGCGGTTCTTCACAACCGACATGGAATGGAATGGACGCAAGAACTACTTGCAGGTCTACCTACCCACCCGGACGGCAATGGTGAGTGATCGAGGGCTCTGATTTCTGTGCGAGATTTCCAAATTGCTGACTTTAGTGAAATTACAGGTCCTGGCGCTGGAGGAGACACTGGACCCGAGCTGGAAATCCAATGTTTCTCTGGGCTATTGAGCAGTTTAGCGCGCAGAGGGCGCGGTCAGCTCTGACTGTGATGATGCACGGTCCTGTGTATGCGACAAGTTTATATTATGACTGATGAACATCGTTGTGAATTACGAACTTTCAAACCCTGCCGAACCACTGTGCTCACTGGCAATGCAGCTGGAATCTACAGCACAAGGTTGGCCGCATGATGTGGCAATGTTTTGCCACATCATCATTTCTGGCCGAACAATAAGTGTCTGTCAAGTGCATATTGACTGCACACAATATCTGCATCAGAGAACGACGCCTCAACATAGCTGCTGCGTCGTGGTCGAAGATCGAACAAGCTCGACCTGGATGTGATTGGTCGCTGAATGACTTGAGGAATTGCGGTAGTACAACATCAGGTTCACTGTCGATCAAACGTCTGTGGCCTGTATCCATGGTGGACAAGAGTGACGTTGCGCCGGATCAATGGCCCCGCTAATCGCAAACACGTCGAAAATTGTTCGCTTTGCCACACTGCATCTGGTAATGGCAAAAGATCAATCCACTCGAATTCCGGAATCACGAGACGGGCAGAGGTTTAAGCCATCCTTGGATTGTAGAGTACACACATGTGTGCTACGGTGACTCCGCATCCACTGCACTTAGCTGAGTGACTCGACCTTGGCCGTGAGGAGCCGGTGCACCAATGTGGTTATCTTATGCGAATGGTATTGCGAATGGTATTACGGTGTGTCATGTTGCTTATGTGCGCTAAACAAGAGGAACCATCATTGTGTGCAAGCGAAATGCCCAGGTGCAGGTGGGACAGAGTTCGCTAGACTGCCGCGTGGTGCAGCAAGCCAGTCACAACATGAATGGTCGGTTGCAGGCAAGCACGCAGCCGTGGTGGCCTCCGGGCCCCGCCTGTGAAGGTTCCCCTTCCAACAATTCGTGTCACTGGAGAAGGAATCATGCGGCTCTCTGGGTGACTTCCGCCTGGCTAACCACTGCCGGTTCGACTGCGGGGTGCAAGCACATCAAAGTCCGAATGAGGAAAGTACATCCCACTTTCGGTTGAAGAGGGTCCAGGCAATATCGATGTGCCACTTAACTCCGCGCGTTCACGCCGTGTTTCCAGTGTCTTCTTCCTGGGACCGCCTCCATTGCCGCTCTACTTGTAGTAGACGCTCTCTTCTCCATCAAGACTGATGATTCCGTCTTTCAATCCGCACAAACTTGTACCCACCTTCGTTTACTCGCAACAGACGAACAATGGCTACTGAAACCGTCTCCAACACGGCCGCTGGCCTGACTAACGCGGTCAAAGGCCTCTTCGTCAATGGCAAAGAGTCACCATTCTTCCCCGAGGAGCCTGAAGCCCCCATTCTGAAGACAGAAATACCAGGACCACAATCAAAGGAGGCAATCGCACATCTTGACAAAGTGTTCGACACTCGGTCACTCAACATGATGGCCAACTACCACAACAGTGTTGGAAACTACATTGCAGACCTCGATGGCAATGTGTTGCTCGACGTGTACGCTCAGATCGCTTCAATACCCGTCGGCTACAGCAATCCAAGCCTGCTCGCGGCAGCGACTAGCCCTGACATGGCTTCTGCTTTGATCAATCGACCAGCTTTGGGTAACTTCCCTCAACATGATTGGGCAGAAATCTTAGAGACCGGTATCCTCAAAGTGGCACCCAAAGGCCTCAACCAAGTCTTCACTGCAACTGCTGGCTCCGATGCGAATGAGTTGGCATACAAGGCAGCTTTCATGTGGAGACGGCAGCAAGAGCGCGGTGGTGCTCATGTTGAGTGGTCCCCAGAAGAGCTGAGCACAACCATGAACAACCAAAGCCCAGGCTCGCCCAACCTCTCCATCATGTCGTTCAAGAGTGGTTTCCACGGTCGACTGTTTGGTTCGTTGTCCACCACTCGCTCGAAGCCTGTTCACAAGATGGACATGCCGGCCTTCGACTGGCCTCAGGCTCCCTTCCCACACCTCAAGTACCCTCTCGAGAAGCACGCTGAGGAGAATGCACAAGAGGAGGCTCGCTGCCTTGAGGAGGCGGAGCGTATCATCACCACTTTCCACTCTCCCGTAGCTGCCATTATCGTGGAGCCAGTCCAATCCGAGGGTGGTGACAACCACGCCAGTCCAGCATTCTTCATTGGTCTGCGAGACATCACGAAAAAGCACAAGGTGTTGATGATCGTTGATGAAGTCCAGACCGGAGTCGGTGCGACTGGCAAGTTCTGGGCGCACGAGCATTGGAACATGCAAGACCCACCGGACATGGTCACCTTCTCCAAGAAGGCGCAAGCGGCCGGTTACTACTTTGGCAACCCCGATCTGCGACCGAACAAGGCCTATCGTCAATTCAATACCTGGATGGGTGACCCAGCCCGCGCTCTGCTTTTCCGCGCAATCATCAACGAGATCGAGCGTTTGAACCTTGTCGAGCAGACTGCCAAGACTGGCGACTACCTCTACGCCGGCCTTGAGAAGCTCGCGGCGAAGTACCCGGATGAGATCCTCAACCTTCGCGGCAAGGGCCAAGGCACATTCATCGCATTTGACTCACCTCGCCGTGACGATGTACTCAAGAAGGCGAAAACTGTCGGAGTCAACATTGGTGGATCGGGCGAGCGAGCAGTCCGTCTGCGGCCGATGCTGATTTTCCAGAAGCACCACGCGGATATCCTATTGGAAGCCTTCGACAAGATCCTCCAGTCATGAGGGGTTGCTGTTCCTGAGACAATGAACGTGATGTATTTTCTTCTGTCTTTGCATGAGCGCAAGGCTACATGACCAATTCGATGGGAAAGGGCGTTTTGGAAGTGGATGTAGCAGTATACCAGATTCATGACATTGGTGATTACGAGAGCTCCGAAGTTTCTAATTCTTTACTCCCGAACGTTGTCCCCATCCCATCTCGGGCGCGCTGGAAATGGCGTTAAATCTTGGCAAAAGCTTATCGGCCCTTTCTGCCGCATTGCCCGTCACTCGACGACTGTATCTACTAAATAGCCTGGTCGGTTCACGCCTTGAGCAACATGTCTTTATCTGCTGCCATGACGATCACCCATCTGCTGGAACGTATCCCTGCAATATACATTGTGGTATGAATTTTGCATGCTCTGTATCAAGAGGAATAGCATCAGATGTGCCTTCTTCGGCACTGGCGGGCTGCCGTCGATGCATGACTACAATGTGACGAAGCGGATAAAACACCCTGGTCCGCTTGGAATGTCGTCATCGCGACTGAACGCGTACTGCTTAGCTGTGAACTTTTGGCACTTCAAGCTGCGGCAGGACATCTGTTGTGCAAACCAGTCTGTGCTGTCTCACTTGCCTGTAGCCTACACGGTATAAGTTCGTGTCCTGCCAGCAACTCTATTGAGCGAGTTTATCACCGTCCGATAAAATGGTCGGCAAACGCGAGCTTCACCGTGCTACTCCGGGTAACCAACACAACGGCAGACCGCTGTCCTCCCAATCAGGCGACCTCGAGAGCGGACGTACAGATCCTTGGAAGCCTCAGAATGGTGATTCTCGTCAAAAGCCAAAAACTTGGCGATTTAAGGATGCAGCATCGACCGTCGTCGACGATCATCGCCGCGAGGAGTTGAAGAAGACGTTACTTACACAGATCGACCGAGACTCCGTCGAGAAGAACCGTAAATCCGATGACGAGCTAAAGCAGATCAAGAACAAGGCGGTCCGAAAGTACTACGAAAACCTCAATGCACGGCTCAATGACATCCTCGAGGTGGACGCTGTCGTCATGGCCGTCGCGGACGATGCTATCGACTCAATGGACCCGGATCCTGACCATGACGGAATCGCCGAACGAAGAGGTGGAATTCAGGACGTGTCTGGACATCTCGAAGAGCTCCTACCTGACGATGAGAGAGAGAAGCGCCGGAACGCACAGAAGAAGGCGGGCTGGGCAATCAACATAAACGTCGTCGCCAACATCTTGCTATTGGTTGGAAAGATCATTGCGGCATTCTCTTCGCCTTCGCTGTCTCTTATGGCGTCGCTGGTTGACTCGGCTTTAGATCTTCTCTGCACGTTAATCGTCTGGACGACAAACCGGCTCGTGGCATGGCGACTGAGTGCGCTCAAGAAGAAATTCCCTGTTGGTCGCCGACGCCTTGAGCCGCTCGGCATCCTTGTCTTCTCCATCATCATGGTCATATCATTCATGTCAATCCTCCAGGAGTCGGTACAGAAGCTCATGCCTTTGAAGGGCGAGGCCGAGTCGTTACCTCCCATCGCAATCGCTGCTCTAGGCGCAACAGTGCTCATCAAGGGTGTGATCTGGTTCGGGTGCAAGCCCATCAAAACGACACAGGTGCAGGCGCTGGCACAGGACTGCAAGACTGATGTCATCTTCAATACGCTGTCGCTTCTGTTCCCGCTCGTCGGTTCGGCGGCAGGTGTTTGGTGGCTGGATCCTGCTGGCGCTGGTATTCTGTCCCTGTTCATCATTTATGACTGGGGTTCAACGTGCTTTGAGAACATTACCCGCCTCTCTGGCCAAGCGGCAGAAGATGATCTGATCCGAAAGCTCCATTACCTCGCATGGCGCTTCTCGCCAGTGGTGGAAGGATTCAAATCTATCAAGGTTAGTGTTTACTCCCTCGCCCCTGTTAAGTCAGCTGGGCTGTCGTTACTGACTTTCTGAACTTCTACAGGCCTATCACGCCGGCGACGGCATCTGGACCGAGTTCGATATCCTCCTCGACCAGGAAACGAAGCTGTGTCACTCGCACGACGTCGCAGAGACTCTGCAGTATTGTGCTGAGAGTCTGACCGAGGTCGATCGCGCATTCGTCACGGCCGATTACAGTGCTGGTGGGCCTACAGGTCATGCCGAAGAGTGAGCAAAAGTTTGATGTTTGTGTTCGCTGATGCTCCGTCACTGCGTGATTTACAGAATTGATTCAGCGAGCGAGGAAAAGTTGTCAGATTACTTGTATAGCATGGTTCGATGGGGCTCTGTCACTCCAAGCAGAGTCGTAGAATGCTTCAGCTGTGAAGAACCAACAAAAGTCGTCGATACGCAGAATTGCATTGGATAATTTGGAGACCTCGATGAGTGACTTCTAGACGTGTCGTCTCCAAAGCGCCATGAATTGTAGCAGTTCCATTCAAAGTACATTATGTTGCAGTTGCAGGGATTTCATAACCTCGTACAATGACTATACGCCATCTTCCACATCAGTTCTCCCATGCTCCATCAACTTCCTCAACATATTTCCTCCTCATATCTCCACCCCCATCAAGTCGCATACAATTGCGTATAAAATCGCACCAACGCCTCCGCACCGATAAGATCCCCACTCCTTAATAGTTTCGCAATATCAATGTTGAGCGGACTGTCTGGCTCGCCGCCCGCGCTGAGGAGCTGCTGGACCGCCTCGAGCGTGCTGACGACGCCGTACGCCGGTGTCCATGAGGTCTTGAGCAGATCGAGGCAGACCTCGCCAGTTTTGAAATTCACGTTCGGGTGGCAGATGGGCGTCTTGAAGCGCACCTCGGGCGGAGCGTTCGGGTAGGCGTCCGGGATGCTGATGCTGATGTCCCAGCGGCCGCCTGATTTTGTATAGACAGACATAGTTAGTAGGGAGTAATATCACGAAGAATGATAAGTTGTGTGTTCTCAGCTGGCATTGAGGTGACCGAAGGCTTTCTTCCATCCTCTCGTCTTCCGCGCTGCGTATTCGTCTCGTTGTCGTACCTTCGTATGGTGTCCGCTGTGGACCCTTCAAAACCGCGACCAGACGGAAGAGGTCATCGTCGCTCTGCGGCTCAAGGCGCGGGACGGCGGAGGATGGATCGCGTCGATACGCGTCGAGCTCTTTGATTAATCGTTTTGTCGCCATTGCGGTATGGGACTTTCACGATGGCTCTCGACACGTGAAGCTAGTCGCGAGATTCACGTTGATGGAGACGTGAGGCTTATGTAATCTATAAGCATGAGCTGGACAAGACAGCCGCATTCTGAGGACCCTTAGTCTGGGGAAAGAGGCGAACTACCTAGTAGGCTCTTGCGTCACTTGCGACGAGCCTTAAAACTTTGGCACCTCGGAAGTCGTCGATGGTAGGGTTAGTGTTGGGGTAAGTGCGCCCTGATCGGGCAATGTCTTCTGTCCTGAACGGTCTAAAGCAGGATCTTCTGGACGCTGTCGAATGTGTGAAGCGCAATGGGCCTACACACCATCGCAGTCCTAAATTCCAAGCACCAAGCTACATATGTAAGATGAGGTTATAAAATGAATTTACTTTTATAAGTTTCTCTTTCGAGAGGTGGTATGAGAGACTACTTGATCCAAAAATGACATGACGTCCCCTTTCCAAACGACCATAACTGTCAAGAACTGGAGCATGATAGCTGCGATAAATTTTTCAAAGTGAAAAACCCCATCATTCCATCATGTACTCGAAAGACCCCCGAACTAATTCACCAATTGTCCTTGCTTAAGCCCGACCCCCGGTCAGTTTCGCGACCACCTGGAAGTAAGCCACGAATGGCCACTTCCCGTCCTTTACCGGATCCTGATAGACCTCGCCATGCTTCATGAAGCCCGAATGTTCGGGGGCAAATTTCATAAGGTTCTCCGTGTGTAAGCTTTGCGCCCAAAAAGGTGCCGCCTCGGTCAAGCGGCATGAAGACCACGTGTATGGGATACTGTGCAAAACCCGGTAGTGAATGGTTCAACGAGCGGATGTCAGTCTTCAAGGAAGTAAACTTTTTGTCGGGTCGGAAATAGGGCAAAATCTTTTGTCATTTTTTGGTAGGTGAGTCATGACAAGGTAATGAGACTGTGCACAGAGCAGTCGTTAGCATAACCGGAGCCATTTTGTTGCAGTCCACGACAGGGCCAGAACTCATTTTCGTGATTGAAGCGCGTGTCGGTAGCCTTCTAGTTGTCTTGCCAACATCACAACTCATCGTGGACCTTGACCCCTGCCTTCAGGTCAGGCATTGCCATCAACTGTACCACCAAACTAGTCCATCCCGTAAAATGCTGTGTGCGCTGTCCGGCACCGGTGTCTGGGTTGTATTGCTCCCAAGCAAAGCCTGTGTCGAGCCAGGAATTGTAGACATTGTCAACCAGGTTCTTGCGAAGTGCGCTATACAACGTCTGCGCCCGCTCCCGCTGAGGTCCCGGCTGCTGTGAGATATTCTATTTCTGATTAGTCCGTATATATGCGCGGAACATATCCATTGACTCACCAATAGCTCTTTCACAATCAGGTAGTTCATGTTGATCCAGATTGGGCTTCTCCAGTAATTCTCGTCCTGGCCATAGCCCGAATCCCGAGTGCTCAAACTACGAATACCAAAAGGACTCCAGAGCTCGTTTTCGTCGGCGATGAGATCAAGGACTTCCTTAAGGTGTTGATGCTCAGGACCAATGAGACCAGTCATAAAGGGAAAGAGACTGATGTAGCCTTTGTGGCAAACATGTGAGGACTCGTCGTACTCGTCCGCAGTCACATCGCAGTATGCTTTATTCTCCTTGGACCAATGAAGGTCATCCACATTTCGCCCAATTGCTTCGACAATTTTGCCGTATCGGGTAGCGTCTTCGGTCTCACCGAGGTAGCTTGCAATACGCTGAATGTTGCGGGCCATAAGTCCGATCCAGCTAAGCAGGTCTACATGTAACTCGCCAATGTGTGGTGGCTGAGCCCGCGGATAGTCATCCAGTCCAGAAGTTAGAGTGTGACGCGGAGTTCGTCCGCGCCATCTGTAACCTTCCTTTGAGCTGAACGCTTCACGCTCATAAGTCTTGATGTCGCCGGCTTGAGTGCGGCGGTACCAGTCGAAGTTGCGCTGCAACAACGGGTACAAGGTCGTCAACCAGCTCCTGACTGCTTCAGGGTCCGCAAACTTCTCCGAAAGCGCACCCTTAGTCTTTGCCGATCCATCGAACTTATTCAAAAGCGCTTCAATTGCCATGAATAAAGTCGGCGGATTTGCATAATGTGGGTATTGAACCTGGAACTCCACTGGGACTTTACTTCTCGCTTCATCTCCAACAATCTGCTCCCGCGCGATCCATCCGTCACTGTCCATAGTGTTGTACCATGAGCTAATGATCTGCATCGCAATTTCGGCATCCCACTCAAGAATAGGCAGTAGATGGAATCCCTCGTCCCACAGGAATCCACGGGGGAAAAAGGGTCGCGAGGGTACCGATGTGAACAACTCGTATGGACCTTCGGGAGTCTGCGCGCCGCGAGCGCGTGCCTCAGCAGCGGCTTCCCAGAAATTTTCATCATCCTCTTCGTATTCAGGAGCGTATGATCGGTCGATCATCTGATCTCCGTGAAAGTAGCCGATACCTCCGATGAGATTGCTGAATAGTGATTTTCCAAATCCGTCATACTTCTTGTCAGTGAAAGGAGCTTGTCGCTGGAAAGTGCTCGAATATTTCTTGTCAAATGCCTCCGAGGCCGACTTCAGTGCTTTGGTAAGATCCTCTGACGTGACGGCTTCCTTCGAGGCTGGCGTGTAGAACACGTCGAACTCAAATGGGCCTTCAAAATTCTTTTGAACGAGGTGACCATTGCCCTTCCCTGGCTTGTTTGGGATAGTGAATGTCTGCCACGGGGGAGGCAATTTGTCGTTGCCGTAAATTTCGACAAGCTCATCGATGGTAGTCCTGAGTGAGGAGTAAAGCATTCCTATGCAGCTAGAATTAGGAACCCGGGAAACATCGTGTGATCCTTCTGAAGTACATACCCTTTGTTTGCCAGATGTTTTCTTGAGCAATCTGAAACGAATTTACTAAGGTTCGATCAAGAGGTCTTGATTGGTATGCTTCGTGCGAAGCGACAGGATGTGAGTTGCTTTTTGGCTCTGTGATTCTAAGCTTGAAATCACCAAGATCAGCAGAATTGCCCGTGAATTCGACTTCATCTTCGTAGCCAAGTTCCGCATTTGATTCGGCATCTCGTGGTTCAATGCTTCCGATGCCATCGAGAGTGACGCTGAACCATACAGCGGTCTTGAGTTGGTGGGTGCCGCGCGGGCTGCCAGCACCAGCTTCTGCGTCGTCTCTGATCGTGCCTTTGATCCTGGCTGCCCATCCTCCAATGCCTTCGTCGAACTTCACGAAACTAGTCTCAAGATCAATGCCATGGCCTTTGTCGTGCACCACCTGTACGCCGCCGATTCTTGGATCATACGCATCCCAGCCATAACCTGCCATGCCCGCATGTTGTTCACAGGTGACACGGATCTGATCTTGTATGACAGTGAAGTCCTCGACTCGAGCCCAAAGTAGACCCGTGGAAAGGGAACGTGGTAGTCGAGGCCGAATGCCGAAGTAGAGATTTGATCGATATGGTCCCCATAGCAGACTATCGTTGCTCGCTTTGCTGAACGCAGATGTCTCGGCAGTCGTTAGTACAGCAGACACCGAGACCAGCAAAGCAACAAAGCCGTTCCGTAACATCTTCACTCAGCGGTGACGTTTTGCATTGGAATTACGCAGGAAGCTAAACGTGGCTCCATTGGCATTGAGACTTCCAATCCTGAACTGCACTTTCAGCTTAGTAAGCACGACCCTAGATTTCGAAAATCATTGGTCGCATTCTTTAGATTGTTCGTCACGATCACCAGGCTGAGTGCTATTACAGCACCACCGGGTCTCCTACACAGCTTTGTTGAGCACTATTCCGGCATTCTCAGCGTTTGAAGGTCGAAAACTTCGGAATCCGTTGGCAAAACCGGAAAATCTACTGCACATCATTATGGATCTTGTACAAACAGTTCGGAAAGAAGGCTCACGAGGTGGAGTAAACTTCTCGTGGGATGACGTCAAATCTAGTGCTCATCGAGAGAACTATCTCGGTCACTCACTCAAGGCTCCAGTAGGACGATGGCAGACTGGAAAAGACCTCAACTGGTATGCCAGAGCCGACGATGCCGATCTCACTCCTGAGGAAAGAGCCGAGCGGGAGAGGGAAAGAAAATGCGAAGAACTGAAGTCGATTAAACAAGCAGAGGAAGACGCCATGGCTCGCGCGCTGGGCCTGCCAGTGCCTGATCGCACTAACGCCAACAACGAACCCCTCGGTGAAACGAAGATTACCCAAAGAGAGATCAACAAGGCGCTCAAAGAGACTCTAGACGACGATGAGACTGAAGAAGGAACCCATGTTATTGGGTTGAAGCCACACCGTGAGGACAAAGATCGCGATCGAGCTGATCGATCTTCAAGACATAACGAACATCGCGAACGAAACAAGGACAGACATCGAAGTCGGAGTCGAAGCCGAAGTCGTAGTGGAGACAGGAGGCGCGAACGACACCGCAACAGATCGCGGGATGGACGACGACGCGATCACCACGAACGCCGAGACAGACACATGGAGCACTCGCACTCGAGGCGCGAAGCGGGGGATAGGCCAGGAGACCGCGATGACCGGCGTGACGCGCGATCGTGGAGACATCAGAAAGACCGCTCACGAAGTCCATTTCGAAGCGAGCGCCGCCGAGGCCACCGCATTCGCTCAAGGTCGCCTGGCCGTAGCGGAGATTCGCGTCGAGACAAGCGTTGAACTGAATCCTAGGACCCACAAGAGAGCTACATACATTTCAGAACCCTGCCGGGTCGTAATCAAACCCTCGTCGGCTTCCTGGTCTGCTAAACCTGGTCCGGAGTGACACCAATACGATCCCCAACTCTGACGAGAGTCTCGCACACTTGTTCAGTAGAGTTCCGGACCAGATCGTCATCGAGAGCGGCCTCGGCCTTTGGGAAAACAGCTATCACCGTGCTGCCTCCATAAAGGAAGGCACCCAAGCACTGCCCTCTTCGCACCTCCGCATTTACCTGGATGCCAGGATTGTATCTGATACTCCCCACGAGCATCGCTCCGACAGCAATGACGGCGACTGGACTTCCGGTGCCCGAACGCTGAATCATCATGACCGATCGCTTGTTTTCGCAGAAAACGTCCAATGTTCCGGCCTCATTGATGGCTTGCGGGTTGACAGTGTAGTAAGTCCCAGGAATATCAGTGATGCTGTTGACTTTGCCAGTCACCGGCGAATGCCATCGATGGTAATCCTGGGGCGCAAGTCGCGCAATCACGATGCTGCCACCCTCAAATTGACTCGCCAGCTTGTCAGATCCCAGGAGTGCAGCAAGCGTAAATCCGTTGCCCTTGATCCAATACTTCTTGGCCAGATCAACGGTTGGAAAAACAGTTAGTCGACAGTCAGCAGGGCTTGAAAGCACTCGTTCATTCTCCGGCTCTGCGATCGGCCGAGCACCGTCCTTCAGCTCTCGCGCGAAAAAATCGTTGAAGGTCTTGTACTTCGTAGGGTCGGGCTCCTAGTATGGTATGAGTCACCTCTCAAAGTAGGTTCAATGCGTGACGGCATACCTTTAGCTCGGAAAGCGAGCCTTTCAAATGAAAACTGTCAATGAAGGGCTGAATATGGTCCTTGCTCTGCGGATCATCATATTGCTTTCCCATGCTGACACTTTGATTCCGGAGCATGTCCTGTGCCCGCTTCCAGTGAAGAGCCTTTTGCTGTTCTGATCCATAATACAGAAGGTGCATGCCGAGCTGCAACTTCTCAGTGCCAGATCCAATTCGGCATGTGCTCGAAACAACGATTTTACTTACTCGGACATAAATGCTCATCTCCTCGAATGATTTCTGACCAGTCTTGCGGTCGATGACATAATTGCCCATGTGCCACGCATTTTCTAGGTCTTCTAGGGAGTTGTACGGGAAGAGGGAGCGGAACCAGGAGTGTGATGATTCGTGACTGGCAGGTGCGTGCAAGCTTTCCTTGGGGTCAACTTGAGGCTGGGCACCGGCCTTGGAGGTCAATCGGGATAGTGCTTGTTCGGCTTGGTCGAGATGCTCCGTCGACAGCTTGATGCCGCCAGGTGTTGTCGAAGCCATTGCTGTCTCGCGACCTGTGGGATTTAAATGAATGATAAAGGCTCAGGTCTATATTTGAAGAATGGTAAAGGTGCAGAATCTAGATCTCTACGGCGACACCATCTGAGCAGTGTTACCTACCTAGGTAGGTGGTTACAAATGAGGACGTCGTGGTTATTTGGGGCAGGCACGCGAACGCCACGCTTGCGGTGCCCCGCAAGGGCATTACGAAGCCGATTACATCACCACGCGTGCGAATAATGAACCACAGCGGAAGGACAAAGAGTATTGTACTGGTCGTCTAAATCTATCTTAGTGTGTGTCGATGTATAGAAGTGCTTAGGAAATGCAACACGCAGCAAGCAGGCTCTTCCAGAAGTTCCGTTGAGTCGAATGCGTACGAGCGTAGTTCTCCTCAAGGACGTTGTGCTTCGTGACAATGTTGAGGAATACCTGGTCAAGGGTCGCCTGGCTCACAGAGTAATATTCGAAGCCAAGATTCTCTTTATTGGCTTCAAGTTGAGCAAACAGCGCACTGATGCTGCTACCACTTGACCGAGTGACAATACTGCGAACGCCGTTCTTTTTGTCATCGGCAATCTCGTCTGTCGAAGACATGTCTTCGTCGACGACCTGACTGTTGGGGACACTGAAACGGAGCTGGCCGTGGAAAGCACGCTCTTCTGTGGTAGCTCCAGAAAATGTGCGATTCACAAATGCCTTGATTTCGTCCATATCCTCATCGCTAGTGTTCGGTGCATCGCGGTGAACCAGGTGGACATGGAACGCGTCGCCGTGCTTCTTCCTTAATTGGTCGGCCGTCCCGACAGCCAGCATACGTTTGGCCATGATACCGGCGCGATCGGCCAGAGCATCAGCCTCCTCCATGGAATGGGTCGTGAGTACCAGTGATCGTCCTTCAGAAACTGACGAAAGGGTTCGCCACATCACACGTTTAGAAGCGGCATCCATGCCACTACTCGGCTCATCGAGGAGGAGCACTGATGGATCGCCCATCAAAGCGATACCTAGACTGAGCTTTCTCTTGTTACCTCCACTCAACTTCGCAGCCATTCTGGATTTAAACGGGCCGAGGCCAACAGCCTTAATGACCTGTTCAACGTTGTTCTCGACGTCTCGAACGCCACGAACCTGGGCGTAGAACCGAAGATGCTCGACGGCAGTCATCTGGTCCATGGCATCGAATTGCGGACAGACACCAAGGTATGATCTTGCTGTCGCTCGCGATCGGATGATGGAGTTGTTTTCGATCAGAATCTCGCTGACTTTGTCACTTGGTTGCGTGTCTCCGCGAATGAGCCCAATGGTTGTGGACTTGCCAGCACCGTTGGGTCCCAGCAGAGCGAATATTTCAGAACGAGGCACTCCGAAAGTAACGTCCTCAACAGCAATATTTGAGCCAAAAGCCTTGGTGACATGCTTGACCTGCAATTCATCGTTACTGTTGTCCACACGACGTGCTTCCTCGTACACTTCTGGATCGACGTCTTCGACTTCTTCCCGATCGCTTGAGCGATGCTTGGACCGCAGAAAGAAGGTCGGTTTCCACCCGCTATCCCACAAGACCAAGATGGTAAACAGAACAATCGCTTGGATGGTCAGATACAGGATTGGGCTGCCGTAAACTCCGAAGGCTCCAGGATACGATGCTACCTCCATTCCGCGGCAGAGCAAGGAAAACTCGTTGAGAGACAGTAGTAAAGCCCGGAGAAGGTTTCCGGCAGGAAAGAAAGCTCCGATAGTGTAGTTTGCGATGGAAAGGCGTTTATCCACAACTGCGGGCGGTGAGTATGTGAGAAGGACCAGGAACACGATGAAGTAGAGCAGAAAAAAAGCACACTGTCCGCCGGCCGCGATGATGAAAGTAGCCAGTTGGCTCCTGGTGAATAGCGACGCGACATATGCCATCAAAGTCGCCGTAAGTCCGAAGAGGGTGAAAACCACAAATAGGTATCCTGGTGCATACCATACATTTGTGACTGATGTGAAAATGATGATCGAGATCGCGCTCACCTGTGATACACTGTTAGCTTACGCGCGGACCGAGTCAGAGATGATTTTCGATCTTACTAGTAGAACAATGAGAAAATCGAAGCAGGTGTAGGCCAGCCACAATGGACCTGCGCGGACACCATTACTATAGTGGAGTGCTCGCACGTTCCGAACGCGCTCGGTGTTGACATATAAAGCGAAGAAGCCAGGGAATGCGCTCATAGCCAAACCGAAATAAATGATCAGCTGAAGGCTGTTTCCTGCTTCCGGCGAGAATGGCAAATCAAATGCGTCATAACTGGCGATAATGGGAATTCTTAGAAGACTGATGTCAAGCAAGTTCTGCGCCGCCACTGCGAAGTACAAGGAATAGTCGCCACGCCAAGCAAATGTCGGAGTGTCACCGAGGTATATTCCACCAGGTTGGATTTTAGAGTAATTTTGACTCAACAGATCTTGGAATTGTCCAAATGAGCTGGCATTGAGGTAGGACGACGAATTCAAACGAGGGTAGACCTGGTTAATGAAGGACTGTTGAGCAGTTGGGCCTGTGATAATCAGGGCTTGAATCGCGAGAAAATTCTCCAAGCCGGCGCTGACAGGTGTCAGTGATACCTGATCTGCGGGATCGCAGGATATAGCCTTGAAGCCTTTGACAAAGAGCGTGACCAGACCGGCTGCGATGATGGGTATAAGCAGTGCTGCCAAATATGGCCAAGGATTCCGCCTTAAGATGATAGCTCTTTTGCGGAACAGGACCCAAGTCTGGCCAAAGAAGGAAAGGGTCTTTCCGGGAACAAGCTTGAGTGGTTTCTCGTCTGCGGTATATTCCTCACTCCCGGCGGCCGAAGTCAATTGTACTCTATCCTTCTCGAGATCCTCGTGAGCCTCCTCCGCCAACTTCAAGAATACATCCTCAATTGATGGTCCATTGACTTGATACTCTCGTACGCCGGCCTGTTCTAGCCGAGCAATGAAGTCCGCTGCCGCAGCAGACGTAGCGAGATTATAGACAGTGTGATCCGCGAGAGTCTGATTGGGAACTGTAGTAAGCTCAGCAGGAAGAGCTTTGGTATTTTCGTGATAGATCTTGACCCGGTAGCCTCCGCCCAGATGATGTTTCAGCTCGACAGCCGAGCTGTTCGCAACAAGCTTTCCCTTTGATAATATTGCGATTTCGTCCGAGAGCAAATCTGCTTCGTCGAGAAAGTGGGTAGTCATTAGAATCGAACGCTTGCCGCGCTCAGCCAGAATAATGTCCCAAATCTTGCGACGACTCAGTGGGTCAAGTCCCGAACTTACTTCGTCTAGCATGCACAAGCTCGATCCACCGGTGAACATCATTGCAAGTTGGCATTTCCGCTTTTGTCCACCCGATAGCGTTCCAGAACGAGCCTTTGCCTTCAATTCCAGATCACAGGATGCAATAAGAGATTCTAGTTCGGCTCGGGTATCAATCTTTTCTGACTTCAGTCTATTGAAAATGCGAACATGTTCATAAACAGTGAGGTCGTCCCATAGAACGTTCTTTTGTGGGCAGAGGCCAATACCGCCAGTAGCATCGATCTGAATGTCACCACTGGTTGGCTTTTGAAGACCTGCCAGCATGTCGAGTGTGGTACTCTTGCCACTGCCGTTTGCGCCTAGCAACACCGTTATCTGACCTCGAAGCACGGAAAGCGAAAGGTCATTGACTGCGTGCACGATAGGGCGCGAGAACCTCGGGAAGCGCCGTGCTAGCATCGTCATGAACCGGCCGGGAGTGTACTCCTTATTCAGGGATGTGATCTTGGCAGCCTCAGGTCTAGACCCTCCTGTGTACAGCAACTGTCGAGACTTGGACGCTGTCCCGTATCGTGTCCGCTCAACGAGCATTGCAAGGACAGGGTAAATGATGAGCTGCAAGAAAGCGAATATGAAGAACACATAGCCTGGCACAGACCACGGCGCACCGGGTGGAGCCTCGGCTAGACTCGCTGGGAGACTTTGTTGCTGCCAGTACGCCTGCATAATATGTCAGCCGCGATCATCCGCTGAGAGTAGGGATTGTACACACCATGTAGATGATAAAAACTGTAAAATTGATGGGAGGGAAGATGAGACTCAAGATCACAACAGCCCCTGTCGACGGTGGAGGTATGACTTGAATAATAATTGCCAATACGATAGAAGTAATTGTGACAGTGATTCCGGACAGCTGTGCTTTGCGGAAGAAGCTTGCGAATGCGATCGACCAAGATGACAGCGACAAGCCAGAAAGGACGTAGAAGCCAACGACGATCCCGACGTTCGAAAAAGTATAGTTCAATCGTGCGACAATGAGGGACATTATTATCCAGCTGGGCAGATAGAGCAAGTCGAAAGAAATGTGAAGGGAGAGCAGACGAGCAGCTTGCGGGATGAGTCTGCGCGGAGTAGACATCATTGATTCAATCAAGCTGGACATGCCAGACTCGCGCTCCTCAGCCATATGTCCTGGCAATTGATAGCAGACGCCCACGATTCCGACGAAGTAGACAAGTCCTAGAATGCTGATCAGAGTACCCATGTAGCGCCTGTTGATGTTACGATCGCGTTCCTGAGCATTCGCCGAGGTGTACGGATATTCCTGAATGGTCGCAGGCAAGGAGGTGCCGTTAAGAGATGCGATGGCAGAGTCGATAGCACGCTGGAGCGGAATGGTATAGATTTGTGCGTCATTGTTGCGACGCTCCACATAGATATTGGTGCCGAAAGCTCCGTCAGCCCTCATGGTGTAGTTCCATATTCCACCTGAACCCTCGGTGGGTGAAGAATGGAAAACCACTCCTGCGAAACAGGGGGTTACACCTCGGATGGTGCTGGGGCATACGGTCAAGACATCGTTGGGCCTGGTCAACACACGCACTTCCTTTCCCGCGGCTCTAATGGGCTCCGATATCTGATTGATAACCGCTTCGATGGCGCCGCCAGTAAAGCCATTGTTAATGAAAGCGACAGTATTTCGGCCATTTGCGGATGCCGACACAGCGTCATATAACGATCGAATGGGAGTCGGGGTGCCGATGCCGAAATTTGCTGGCGGGACGAAGAAGTTCTTAGAGTAGGCGATGATAAAAATGAAGATGATCGGTGCGAAGAAGGCAAGAATGCTTGTCCCGAGCCAGTTGCGCCAGAAGACAACCAGCAACGTCTTCTCGCAGAGCGTCCATGTCTGTCGTATGAAACCCATCGTCCGGATGCGCCTGTAGCTACGTCGTGACAGTTCGTCAGTTGTCCGGGATGGATCCCGAGAACAGCAGCGATCAGACGCAGAAGCAGTCGAGGCGTACGAGGCTCTCAATAATAATTATGATTGAGATATGTAGCTGCAGCGGCGGCGGACTAGCGTGGCGATGGCGGTTCCAGAGGCTCCTCAAGCACGTGTAATCGCGTGCAGCGCTGTCATAGATACCAAGGCTCTAACGAATCGCTGGTAGGCCCAACATAGACACTGTACCGGAAGTGGCGTTGGTCGTCGCTTCCATTATTAGCCCATTGCGACAATGCCAATTTCATTATTCCGTGAAGAGGCGAGAATGGACGCATCATCCGCTGAGCTTGGCGACGCGTTGTGGTTGGATGCAATGGATCCGAGTCCGAATCAGTGGTGTGTTGGTCATCATGATCGCGCCGCCCGGCACGGAACGTGGGGGACGCTTAGCATTGTTTGTCCGATGTCATCGCACCACCCATGGCCTGCATTATTCCACTAGTCCAGACGCATATTATTATCTATTTGATGTGGTGCTTCCATTATCACGTTGGGCAGATCACCACCTGCCCGTGGGCACTCATCAAACCGCCGGAACAAACCCACTCCGATAAGTCCGATCTCACCAGTCCTCATCGCCACCTGCACTTGCCCTTGGTTGACACCCTCCGCCAAGTAACCGTGCAATAGCGCCACGCGATAGAATACCTCGCTCATCATTCTGCGTGCAATTGAGTATATCTCGGCCTGGAGGTATCCCGGTGTTTGCAGTCACTTTGCGACGCATGGTTCCCCAGACGGCACCTGCTTCAACTACTGTGATCGTCCACGACGCCCACAAATCCGCCTGGACGACCGAGAACGACACATTCATATCCGATGGGTTTCATAGATGCGATGGGATGAAAATATCTAGCCATCAGCAGAATCTGCATAGCTGTCGACAGTGATCAGCTCCGCACAATCAGGACATTGATTTCGACAGTTTCGTCTCCAAGATGACCTGTGAGTTTGCAGCACCCACGGATGCTCCCTTCTCGTTAATTGCAACCTCGGTATCTTCGCTCTCGGGCTTCCTTGCCTGCCCACCTTGTGTCCCGATCGTCAAGAATGGAACAAGCAATATGCCGAGCACAGAAAACGTAAACGATGTCCAGAACACCGCGGCGAAGGGCCGAGTTGGCTCATCCCAATAGGTCGACAAACTCGGGTGCATTTCCACAGCGTCATACACTACCGTAGCTATACCGAACCCAACAGCAACACAGAGCTTCGTGACAGTCTGGAAGATCCCGCCCGCAAGGCTCTGCTGAGATGTCGGCATTGAAGACATGACAAACATATTCGCGACGTTGAATTCCAAATCGGCCCCAACGACCAGGATGACGAGCCCAGGAAAACAGAATGCCCAATAGCTGGAATCGTAAGTGTTGAGTGCAAAGAGCAGGTTTGCTATTGCATATGCAGAGGCTCCGGCAAGCATCAGAATCTTGTTCGAGATTTTGTGTAGGAAGAATCCTGCAAAGACGTTGACAAGAAGTCCATTGATAGCCATCGGCAGGAGATAGACTGCGACCAAGATTGCTGACCTTTGCCACACGCTCTGGAAATACAGAGCCAGAAAGAATGCCGAGGGTGTAAATGACATGCAACCTAGCATTAAAATCGACATGACCAGCGTGAAGTTGCGATCCTTCCATATGTGCATGGGCATGAGAGGATTTTCGAAGCGCATCTCCCAGAAGACGAACGCGATGATCATGACCATTCCGACTACCAGTAAAGCCAGAACATACCCTGTGCTCCAGCCTTGTGGCGCAGTTTGGCCCAAACTTAGTGCCGCAGTGAACATCCCGATGCCGCAAACAGTCAATATCGTTCCGACGACATCAAAACGTTTGAGTGTTGTCCATGTCAGTGGTTGCTTGATGCTGGTCTCGCGTGGCACACTGAAATATGACACCACTGTAAAGATCAAGATGAGGATAGCCGTCCACCAGAAAGATGCGCGCCAGCCGAAAAGACTGGTCGTAACGCCGCCAGCGATTGTACCGAACGCATATCCGATGGGATTGCCAGCCGCGAAGCTCGCAAAAGCGGCATTCTTTCGCGGTCCGGGTTGGTGATAGATCGCACCCAACAGACCTACCGCGGGCGGAACCGCTGAAGCAGCAGAGAGACCGAGAACGCCATTGAGCACATCTATACTGATTGCGCTTTGAGCGAAGCCAGCGGCCAGGCAGAAGAGGGAGAAAAGTAGCATAGAGGTTACGAACATAAGTTTACGACCTGCGTGCGGCATCTAATTAGTTCTGCATTTAGACAATTAGTCGGAACTACCAATCTTACCAAATAGATCAGCCACCATGCCAAAAAATAGCAGAAAGGCTCCACTACTCAGCGAGCTTGAAGAGTATAGCCATGTAATCTCTGCAGTCGACATGTTCAGTGACTCACCCACGAACGATGAAGTGACAGTGATCGAGCCAGCGAGCATTGACGACATCCCAATCGCCATTGTCGCGGCTGCTATGAACAAAATCTCTTGCACGGTCGACTGAAAGTATGCCGGCCGTGAATTTGCATTTCGAACTGGCTGCGCGTCTTCGGTGTACGCTGCTTCATTGTCGTCGGTAGGCATCGAGACCGCCATCACCGCTGGCGGCTTCACTGAGGTTGTCGACTGAGCCATTTCGAACAGTATTGCGAATGTAAATTTGCGGATTGAAAGGTCATTTTTCGGGCCGGAGATATATCAAGGTGCATTGCGATGGCGGAGTTTTACGATTCGTCAGATACGACGCTGCTTACTTGATCAGAGGAAAGGATTCCGCGATGCGCCACCGTGCAATTCATGCGTGCAGGGAACGCGACGCTCTACAGTACTGTATCCCTAGGTGTCATAGCCATGCAGGTGGCTTCTCTCCGCCCGACGCTATGCGCAGTCGGCACCCTGGGCCCTAGCACACACCGGGCTTTGCTTATTGACGGCAAATCCGGACGGCAGATTTTTGGTTATCAGGAGATATGCAGGTGTACTTCGAGGTCGACGTTTGGTGAAGTCATTGCGTGCGGATACAGATTGCCGAATTTGTGCGAGCATGTTATCACAGACTACCTAGGTACCTTCAGGTTTCGGCTTCGAAGTCCGACATCGCCCTAGTTCACGTGCTTTGAAGTGCTTCTCAAAAGGCGCCTTCTACTGCGCTTGCTCTAACGATGATAACCTTGGAACGTACGAACACTAACCGACGTCGACATGAGATCGCATCATGCCAAACATATACGCACAAGTAAGTGTACAGGCCCGTCTGACGTTCTCATCTCTCATAATTTTACAACTTCCCATCCGGCTAATTGAAAAGTGGACAGAATGCCACCCAGAGGACCCTGGATCTCTTGCCCTTGATGCCATTGCTTCGGGCCTGCCCAATGGCTGATGAAACCCGCCGGGCCTGACACAAAGATGATCTTTCGACCAGGCGATTTCTCTTTTGCTTTACTTGTTTGATCTGTAATGATGCTCTTGACCCGTGCAGGGTCTATGAATGAGTTTTCTTCGTCCACGAAGTAGTCGACAGAGAGACGTGACTGATCTTTTTGGTATGACGCGAATGATCGCTTCAGACTTTCTAGTTGTGCGACCATTGCACCCTTTTCGGCAGCTTGCGCATTCATATCGGTTGCATTGCTTTGCGCACGTTCCCTTGATTTGAACCACGAAGTCCACCGGCTTGTTTCAGCGCGGCTATCATTCAAGCCTCCTATACAGTCTTCTCGTCGTCTCATCGCCCACAAGATGTGGAGATCCGCCTCACCATCGAGGACATCTGCCGCCTGTAGGGCTGGAGCGATGCCGGTCCCACCAGCGAGGAAGATGGCGCTCTGTGTATCTCCGGGAATCACGTATTCGGCATGCGGGCCGCGTATCTCGACTTCAGCACCGATGGGTAATCGATGAATGTAATTTGAAACCTCGCCTCTCTGCTCTCTGCGGATGAGAAATCGTAGTTCATCCTCGGGCTGATCCGCATTGGGCGGAAGACATGTGTATGATCGAACAATCTGTAACTGTGGTTGCTTCAGCTCCACGCTGTTGATCGACCATTCTGCGTCAGGGACAGTCGCAGGTATTGTCGCCTTCGTTGCTGACTGTAATGAAAAAATTGTGCATGTTGATGATACGACTTCTTTTCGGACCACTGTGTACTTGACAAATTCAGTTGTGCTCGAACCTGCTGGAGCAAAGTACGCCTTTCGCTGGTCTTCTAGCATCCATCCTGCGGCAAAGAGAATCGTGAATGTTCCGAATTGTTGTAACCGCTTCCTGGCTTTGGAGCCTTCATTTCCACGTTGAGGCTGCTCGACTAGCTGTGGTGTGGTGGACTTTTCATTTATGACTGGGAGGGAACTTTCTGCTCCGAACCGTGGCGTTGCATGTATTGCACGCGCAAATGGAAGTCTCAGTGCACACGCTGCATTTCTTTGACGACCTTGCGCCCCGAACACGTTAATTATAGGTCTCGAAAGCTTCTTCATGATTCATAATGCGAGATGCCTATGACTTATTGATGAGGAATTCTGGCATTGTTAGATTTGATGCACGGCAAATGTAGATTCCTGGAGAACGATCGAATCGAAGCGGGTTTGGTCTGTGCTCGTCATCGACGTTGGACCACCTGGGCACTACGGCACTCAACATCTTTTTTTGATAGAGTTTCCAGCCCATCGCATAGAGCTGAGAGTCGAGTAAAAGCTGACTACGTCCGCCGTGAATCCTATCTACGTCGTGACGTACTGACACGCTCGGTAATTGTCTGAGTGTGAAGTACCTAATAATGTCATTGAAAAGGCGCAACATCGCGACCGTGACATGCATCGACATCCGGGCCGCGCGAAGCTTGAACAGCCCGCATGCCAGACTCGCAAATCGGTAGGGACCACAAAAATGGAGTCGCCTTTCACGTGAATGTTGCCGCCGTCCGTGGATGTTGGTGGGATGTGCCACGTTCCGCGCTTACCTAGGTAGTTCTGGACGCGGGCAGTGATCGTCACCAGATGTCTCGCCACAACGCTCGATTTTACTCCTGAAAGGGCCCAAACCTCGAGAGGAGAGCTAATCCTCTGTATTCCATTCCGAGATCTGACCCGGTGGGACTCCGAATCTGAGGATTACTCTACAACGAAATAAAGGCATCATTTGCAAATGGCGACCTCAAGCACAAGCGGTGGCAATCGCGCCACAGAAGATCAGACAAGCCCGACGCGAGTCTCCCGACATTCTATTGAAACCGAACGACGACATCTCCTCTCGGATGACCACAGCATTGCGCCATCGGAATCATTATCTCAAGTCGACGCTTCCCTCTATGGCGACGGCGAACGTACGCCTTGTGCCAGATCGCCTACGGCATCAGACCCTCAAAACTCGCGGCGCGGTACTATCGCTGATCCAGCCACAGTGCCGACGATATCTTATCGCGGCTATCCCTCCGAAGCGCACTACCTCGCGGCGTTACGTGCGTGGGCGGACTCGAAACGCTACGTCGAGAACGACTCGGCTCTGGTGGGGTTCTACGGCCAAACGACCATGGCGGAGTATTGTGGGCGGCCGCGGGTGGAGTTTGGATTTAAGAAGATGATGCGAGAGAGGAAGAAGAAAAGAGACGCCGCCAGGGAAACCAGGCGGACCACTTTGGTTCGAGTAGAACATTGCTGAAATTTCCATGATCGACGACAGTAGCTTAAATTTGTATCCAACATTTGCGTATCCAACAGGACGAATTACTTGACCACTTCAAGGCTTCAACGATGTACTATGGCTGTTCTGCAATGGGCGGCTTGGTTGAGACCACAAACGAATGGAGTTTCGCCAACATTGAGATCACAAATATGGGTTTGCTTTTCGTGAATTCCACAATATGATACATGTCGAGATTAGGATGCACATTTTGCGCCATATTTGTACATGAGGCAGCCCTCCGTCGTGACTGAACGGCCAAAGATGCTGTCCACTTAATCTGTACATTCATATCCGCGCCTGATGTCGTCGGCAGCACTGGCATACACTTTTCCGCCGTAATCGTCGTGGAAATCATAATCTCATAATCGATACTCTGCCAGCTCATATGTGCAAGCCTTGTGTGCTACACATGGATGCTCGCAAAGCTACTCACAGTAACGTTAGCACCACTGGTAGCTTGGATGTCTTCTGCAATGGTGTACTTCTCGGAAGAACCTCTGCGGCTGCCTCGCCTAACAGCAGGCGTCCTGGCAACGGTTCCCTCCTGGTTCTTTGTGATGTATTCCCAGCACATGAACTGCCAATTGAGTTCCTTGCGCCAGCAAAGTCCGTAACCAAGGCCAACCGGTCCGCTGTCGTTGCTAAACACCTCGGCAGTTAATCCTCCCGTCTTGGGCATTCGATGCTTGAAGATAACTCGTCCAACTCGACTGTGGACCAATGCCATACAGCACATCATGCATGGTTCGTGAGTGAGGAAGACTTCGAGCTTGAGTGACAAATACCCATCCGGCTTGAGGTTGTCCTTCGCAAAGTATTCCTGCTCGATTGGTAGTACGGGCGTATCCAGGAAGAATGCATCGCGAGCAGCAACGTCATGCTCGAGGCCTCCTTTGGTAAAATTACTCTCGGCTTTGGCAGCTGCTTTGGTCAGTGTCTGAGAAGCGCAACGAAGTCGTTTCCGCCCAACCATGCCGACCACTCGCATAACAACATGGCCCATGATGTTGCCCTGGCAAGGCCCAATCTCAGGCTGTATGGCATCGGCATTTGCCAGGGGCTTGAACCTCGCATCACCCGCCACAGCCACAACCTGAGCCTGTCCATCGACTCGTTCCATAACCACGCAACCTGAACCGACGCCCAGGTCTTGTTTGCGGGCTTCTTCTCCGACCTGTTCGGCTAGCTCAAGGGCTTCATCGACGCTGAAATTGTCGCCTGTCGGGCATTGAAGCTCATCTTCAGCCTTGGCGATGGCACTTGGGTGGGCTCCAAACGGATTTGTCTTGCGATAGAACGTGGGCCAATACAATTCTGACCAGAGGGCTGCCTTTTCAACGGTGGTTGGAGCCAGTAAAGGGACAGTGATCTCCTTGATCTCAAGCGGATATTCCCATGCCTCTGCCGAAGAGCAAAATGGCGGATGTTGTAGAAGCAGGGATTCCAAATCCTTGGCGTCAACGTAACGCAAAGGGCATATCAGGAGGTGCAGAGTTTGTGGCCGAGAGTTGCTACGAGGTCGATTCGTACTTGACCACTCCCATGTGGAGCTGGAAGGTGCTTGGGTGACTGAAGTGAGCTTTGAGCTCCAAGCTTGTGGAACCGCAGAAGGGGGTTTCAGAACATTGGGCGCAGTGACGACATGTTTTGGTAAAAATTTTGGCTTGGCGAAGCGCCGTAGATGTTGCAAGTCGATAGCATCCTGTGAAGGGATGGCTTCTTTGACGACACTGTCACTCGGTCAGTTCTGGCCAACACGACTCGACATGGGGGAAATGTTGGGAAGTTTGATACCGTAGAATTCCTTCGGCGTACTTGCTAGGCAGCTCGACGGTCCAGACTTGAATTGTCTCATTGCCAAGTCGGCATTCCTCCTTGGTCTTCAGGTGAACCATGTGACGTTGCGAGTCGGCGGCAGCATCGTGTCCAATAGCGGAATCACGACGGAAACCCATGGCGGCGATGTAGAGGCGATGAAAGAAGTATTGAAGCCGAAGTTTTGCGTGTCGAAACAAATTGTTAAGACCAAAGAGGCCGAAAAGGTATTGATGAAAGCTCCATGCTGGTTGTCCGGCTGACTGTGGCTGTTGTTGTTGTTGCGGCGGCGGCGGAGGTGGTGACGAGGCAGGTACGAAAAAGGAACGAAGATGGGCCAATATTGAGGCAGGCATGGCTGGCTGGCTGGCAATTCACCACCAATGAACCGCAGCTTCACTTGTCTGGGCAGTAACTATGGCTAGGTAAGATGCAGGTGTATTGATGACTCCGGTGAAGCCGATGATCCAACCACAGGCAGGTGAATTGAACAAGCAATCGAACACCTGCAACCTTGGTAGGTGGGTAATTTGGTGTGACACAGGCGCGGAACACAGCCCTGGAGTGCAGTGAAACTCCCACTTCCTCTGGCGCAATAATTCACTTCTTCCTAAAGTAGAAATGAAGTCACAATAGGAGCAAGAGCCCCTTTGCGCAGTCAGATTTCCTCTTTCCCGAGCGTTTGCTTAGGAGCTATTGCTGGCGCGCATCATTTGTGATTGATGTGGTATTGAATCAATAACAAGTTCCTTGGGCTATTCGGCCGGATGGGAATCACTTGTACGTCGAAAGAGACCTGGATCCTTTACTCGTCGACGAACAAGATAGAGATATGTTGTAAATTTTTGTCGATCAGCAAGCAAAGGGCACGCACTAGCACAACAGGCCAGTGTTAAGGAACTCCACCAGCCCTGGAGAGCTTCGGCGCGAGCGCCCGCCCAATTCCACGGTTGGCAATTCAATGGTGCAGGTGTGAATTAGTGCCACGCGCGAGAACGCAATCCTCGACACGTCTTCCCCGTTCTCACACGCGCGCGGCGCCGCTTCCTGCATTTATCAAAGATCTTGTGCGTGCATGAAAACAATATCGCATGTCAACCTGTCCGAGTGCAAGTGCAAGACTTTCTCTTCTTATGTGCAGAGATACGCGACAGGAATCAAATCGTCGATCCATATTGATGTGGTTGCTCTTGGGCAGACACGTGATACGGAACTCATCAGCACTCCAACTCTGTTCACGCCGATTAATGCACCTCGCTGCAACTGCCCTCTCCACCGACCTCTCCGAAACTTGAGAGGCAGCCAAGCGCTCGCCAATCGTTGCTTCACTTCTTAAAGAACACATTGCCGAGATCTCCATTACATTCCGATGGGTCTCCTACTGCCACCTGACGAGCTCGTGACTGCGCTCTGTGAGCAATGGCCCGGCCGCGAGCCTCAAATTCGACAACTGACCGCGCTACTTTCAGTGAGTGTCATGGCTATTGGCTGCTAGTCATCGCCCACCACATCACTACATCCACGGACGTTTTTCTAATCCGGAATAGCCACGGTTTGCGAGTAATCCCGCGATTGTCATCTACGGCTCCACAGCCACTGGTAAGACCAGCATCATCACTTCCTATCTCGAGCGCATCGGCGTTCCAAACGCTATCATTCGCAGTCGCGAATGCGTGACTGGAAGGCATCTCCTGGAACGGACCATTAGTGATGTGCATCAATCCTTGTCATCGAACGAAGATGGCAATCGTGCAGCGACAAGAGCATATAACACTAAATGCGAGAATCTCGGCTCTTTAGCGGTACACATACAGCGCTTACTTGCCGACGAGAAGAAATTCATCTTAGTATTTGATGACATCGACCAGCAACGAGAAACACCGCCGACTCTAATCCCAGCATTAGCACGACTAGCGGAAAATGTGAGTGGTTCGACCTGTTTGATCGGGATAATTGACTGACGACTGATGTCTCAAAGGTTCCTCAACTTGTCGTCGTTCTAACTATGAACCATCCGCCTCCGGGTCTACTCCACCAGACTGGAGTGCCGCATTTACGTTTCCCCCCGTACACACGAGCTCAATCGATACAAATTTTGTCACGACAACCCCTGGACATCTTCCCGGACCCACCGGCTGACTATGACGAACACAGTCACGAAGAGGACAAAGCTTGGCTGTGGCCTCGATTTTGCACTGCAGTTTGGGATGCGCTTGGTGAAAGCGCCGCTCGTGACGTGACAGCGTTCCGTTCAGCCTGTCACAAGCTCTGGCCCGCCTTTGCAGCACCAATCGTCAGGGGTGAGTTTGGGACCCGGGACTTCAGCCGCTTACTTGTGGCCCAGCGTCGGCTGTTCCAGGAGGAAAGCGTACTGCTTCATTCTCTTGTCGCACATACCGATGTCATTTCGACCACTCAGGGTCCTAGATCGCATGCACTTCCGTACTATGCGAAATGGCTGCTCATTGCAGGCTATCTTGCATCCTTCAATCCTGCCCGTCTGGACGAGACCTATTTCATGAAGACGACAGAGCGTAAGAGACGCAAGAAAGGTGGCGGGACTGCTCGATCTGGTGGTGGCCGTCCGGGGCAAATCAGAAAGATACCGCGCCACCTCCTTGCTGCGTCTAGTTTTACATTGGATCGTTTACTGGCCATCCTGCACGCGATCCTCCCGGACGATATACGGGCGGGCATCGACATTTCTAAGCAAATCGCCACCTTGACGAGTCTTCGGCTTCTGGTCCGAGCCGGTGGTCTCGGCAGCAGCGATCCGCTCGAACCCGGGGGCAAATTCCGTGTCGGCTTGTACGTAACGTGGGACTACGCTTTGGCCTTGGCACGTGGAATGGACTTCGATCTGGCCGATTACACCACGGATTGAAATGTGGTGCGGCCATGACCCCCTTGCAATGTCTTGTCCATTCGCTCCCGATGAACCTTACGCGCAGGGACGAAGCTGACACCTCCAAAATCACTTCCATTATAGCCGTAAGGGATCACCGCTCTGGTCAATGCCGCCTCGGAACAGATCCTTGATGACTTTGCCCTCAAGAATGGTCTTGGCGACAACACCCTCGACCTGTTCGGGTCCGACACGTCCGTACCAGATGCCTTTGCCTGCCAGAGCATTTTGCGAAAAAGTCGGCGGAATATAGATGATGACATTTCCGGCGAACTTGTGCCCGCCGATGTGGCTGATCAGACCGACACGCGCGGTGAGCTCCGAGGCTGTCACATGGCTTTCTGCTGCCTCCACATTTTCAGCTTTAGGCGATTCCTCCAACAGAGAGATATTCTGCCGCTGCAGTTGATCCTCAAACTCTGCTTGCAAGAGGGGACCGTAGATCCCACATCGCTCATCCCGTCCACCGTGTCCACAGATCAGCACGAGTATTTCTTGGACTGGGCGGACGCCGACGAATTGCCGCTGCTTCTCATCCTCGCGTCGCAGAATGTTTTGCTCTTCGCGTGAAAGGCGCTCGTGTGCATGATGGAGCTTTTGCGGAAGGATGAAGGCTCGAACGAAAGCGTCAACACTGTCGGCATCGGTAGGAATGGCAGGCACATATTGAAAGCTTGGTACCAGATATGCAGACGCTGGATGTGATACGGCGACCTGGGAAGTTTCGGATTTGTCAATATTCACTGGAAGCGTGAGATTATTTTTGCTCTTGGACGGTTTACTGGCGGATGGAAACGATGAATGTGTGAGGAGCACATTGTGATAAGGCTAAATACCCGGATCAGCACACTAGAATCGAGAACAGAGGTTTGAATTGCTTCGCCCTCAGAGGCGACAACGCGCCGTCGTAGCTTCTGACGCACATCACTGTATTTTCCCCCTCGTCCGAGCAACCCTTTCATCTGTTGTAGTAAAACCGCGTCTTCGTCCTCCTCGATGCGACTCTTCCAGTCACTCCGACCCGTTGCTATAAGCACCTGCTCGGCATATGTTCCGATGGACCCATTGAGCATGGTCTCACGGTCGATGTCGAGGCCGGTGGGTGACTCGCGACATGGACATGTCGGAGACGGACAGGATTCTTCTACCGGGAAGGCTGGCTGTTGAAAAGGAACGGCGATCCGCGAAGCCCGGCGCAGATCAGTGCGCGCAACATGAGGACGCGTCGCGAATGCAGCAAGGCGACTATGCTTAAGTAGCAACATGTTGAGCCTTCTTTCGAAACACTTGCAAAGGTCAACCAGAAACCACGTATCGCATTGACAAAGCCAACGGGAATTAGACTGAATGCAAAATGATGATGGGAGGAATAAGTTGATATTAAGTAGTCTCGCTGAGCGACGGTAAGCTCGAGAACAAATCTACACGGACGGATGACGAAGGGCTCGGAGATAAAAATACTGAAGCTGCTGTTTATCTCCGGGCCCGTGAGCCATGGAGGGAATCGGAGGTTTCACTGGATCGGACGGAAGCGACGGCCGCAAGCTTGAAAAATGTCACTCTCACTCCATCAATCGCACGTGCGAGGACCTCGGGGGTGCCATTGGAGAGATTTCATACATGGATTTGGCGATGCTCGCTCGCTTCAACAGTATCACCAGTGATCAAATCTTGCTTCCTTCTTCGCGGATACGATGACGCATCCGAAATCTCTGCTTCGAAATGTCTGTCGATTCCTGTGAAGCCGATCCCGGACTCGAACCAATGTCGCCGAGAGTGGCATGGCTTCGTAGCCTGGTCGTCTAATTCATGGAATCTAGGTATGGAAATCTCGCACCTTGCATAGATAGCGGAAGATGTACATAGAAGTCAATTCATACGAAGGTTTAAGGCCAGTCCATGATCGATTTTCGTCCTGTGGTTCGGACCGGGATTCTGTGAAGCATCCGTTCTCTGACCGTGAAGACTAGCCATTTCAGAGATCCAAGATGTCTTTCTCTCCAGCATTCGTCCGCGTCATGGCGATTTCACCGCTGCTGATGCCGCAGCTGGTCTTCGCCAATGCGCATCTCCCCGGAGTTTACTCGTTCGTTGCGCCCAGCGGATATCCAACCTCGGTGTTCTCATCCTACTACCCAGGTACTACGTTCCCTTTGCAACAGCGGGATGTCTCGGCGTGACGCGATCTGAACTTCTCATATAGTCCCAACGGGCCAAGAACCACAGCCAAAGATTCGCGATGTAGTCACCAATCATACATGGCCCCTCAACCTCACAAATCCAGACTCGATCCCTGATCACAGCAATGACCCGCTCTATCTTCCTCGTCCAAGTGTGAACTTGACTCAGAGCGCCCAGGAAGCAGTCGTCAGCAATGTCATTCAACAAGTGCAGGATATCATCGACAGCCCTTATTTCGCCAATAATTGCTCCAAATGCATCGCGGCCTTAGCAGTTGGCAAGACTGCTGCGCAGCTGGCGCCTAGCCTGGTTCCTGATGCGATGGTCAGCCTGTGCAAGAAGATGAAATTCCATTCGGACGCTACCTGTGAAGAGGACTTCAATGCTTCAACTTTCGGCGCCATCTGGACACAGATCCTTGCTTTTGCAAGTGTGAGCGGGCTCGATGGCCAGTATATCTGCAGCTCCCTTTCTACTTCCTTTTGCGGAGCACCTTCCACGGCGCCACTCAATACGACTAACCTGTTCCCAAAACCGAAGCCAGCCAATGCTACCGCTCGTATTCCCAAAGCGAGCGGCAAGCGGGTGAAAGTCTTGCACATGAGTGATTTACATCTGGACCCGCGCTTCAAAGTCGGATCCGAAGGCAATTGCACTTCCGGCCTATGTTGTCGATCCAACAATCCCAACTCCAACTTGCCAATCGGACAGATCAGCTTCGGTGCTCCGCCATATGGGTACTTCAAATGCGATTCCCCCTATGATCTTGCCCTCGCGGCATTGCAGGCGGTCGGTCCTTTGACAGGCACATCTCCCGAGGACCCTTTGGCGTGGACCATCTACACAGGCGACTTGGTTAGTCATGATCCTCAGAGCCAGCTGAGTCGTGCATACGTCGAGTATGCGGAAGATTCCATCTTCTACATGTTCAAAAAGTATCTGACTGGCCCTGTGTTCCCCGTGCTCGGCAACCATGATACTAATCCCGAAGCGATTAATGCGCCGCACTCTCTCCCTGGCCCTTTGGGTGAGCAGATGAGCTGGAATTATGAACACGTCACAGCTCTATGGAAGCACGAAGGCTGGATCGACGACGATACTGCCAAGCAGGCGAGACTCCACTATGGCGCCTACAGTATCAAAAATCAGTACGGTCTGCGTATGATCACCTTCAACAGCGATTTCTGGTATCGGTCCAACTTCCTCAACTTCATCAATACGAGCAACCCAGACGTTAGTGGGTCGTTCGAGTTTGTGATTGATGAATTGCAGGCTGCCGAGGACAATGGCGAGCGCGTATGGCTATTTGCACATGTTCTCTCGGGATGGGATGGGTCTAATCCTCTACCCAACCCGACCAATTTGTTCTACCAGATTGTTGAGCGGTACTCGCCGCACGTGATTGCCAACATCTTCTTCGGTCACACTCACGAGGATCAATTCATGCTGTACTACGCAAACAACGTGAGTTTCTGTTTTCGATGTGTTGCTTTGAAGTCGTCCCACTGATTCTTTCTCTGAGCAGGGCACCAAACAGACCCGGGACACTGCGCTCAATGTGGGCTATATTGGCCCTTCGATCACACCGCTGAATAATTTGAACAGCGGCTTCCGTATGTACGAAGTCGACACCGGATCTTTCGATATCTACGACTCGCACACCTTCTACTCCGATGTCAACGCATTCCGCAATCTAAGCACCGAAGGCCCGACGTTCAAGTATGAGTACTCAGCCAGGGAGACGTATGGATATGCTGCTGGGTGGCCAGCTTCAGATCCATTGAACGCTACTTTCTGGCATGCCGTTACAGAAGCAATGGAGAAGGATCATTCCTTGGTCTCTAGATTCAACACTCTGCAGGGCAAGAGTAGTGTGTTAAGTCCAAATTGTACGAATGCGGCCTGTGCTGCGGCAAAGATTTGCTACATGCGCTCCGGCAGTGTGGCGTTGGGAAGACGGTGTCCGCAGGTGAGTGACACGGGCATCTATTCCGCATACTGTTCATCTCAATTGTAGCTCTTCATGGAAACTGACCACTGGAAAGGGATACGGAAGTGTGCAGAGCGCGTTCAAGCCGAGCTCTTGGATAGCTTCATAGTGCTCGCTGAATGCCGCCGGACGGCTCACTACAACGAGCTGGGCATCTTGTGAGATAGTTCCTGCTTGAATTACCTTGTGGAGATGTCGTTGTGGTGCAGGAAAGAGCTTCGCTTTCGGCTGGACCGATGAATACAGCTCAAAGTTTGATACGTCCGAGCAAACTTCGTCTTTAACCGAACGATGTCTTGCAGATGTCAATGTGGCAGTCGAGTCCAGTCGATTGACCCGACGTCATCCATGAACGAAAAGTCATCCAGGTTGAGCGGATTGTTTAAGTCGAGGTAAGTCTCGAATATATCATCCATGCCATCGAACAACGCTCCAGATGTGTCAGGGCCCATGACTGTCGAGGATGATGAGTTGCCCGTTGCTATCGCCGAGTCATGGATGCCAACACCGCTCTGTGCCTCCTGTAGCTCAGCACCTGTCCGTTGGTCGATCAGTGTATCCGGCTTGTCCATCGAAGCTGTGCAAATGGTCGGACTACTCATCCGAAGCTCGCGACCAATGCTGAAAGAGGACAGGTCCGTGGCCTTTTCGAGCCGCTCAAGGACGGTTTTGGAAAGTGCTGCGATGGTGTCGGCTGATGACCACGCCCGTCGTAATTTCTGTATGATCTGACAACCGTCACGGAAGTCAGATCGTGCATCTTCCTGTTGATGGTGCAACCGAGACTGCCGAAGATGCTGATATGATACTGACAAAGCAAGTGAAATAGCGTATGGAAGTATAGGTAGTGGATGTAACTCTGTGAGCAGATATGAGCCCATCATCCGATTGATCTCGATCGCGCACAGGCTCTGCCGAACGTACGAGGATGAGGCACGGGGCGCATATTTTATGCTGCGCGAGCGGTGTGAGAGCACGGCAAGCAGGAGGTAGAACAGGTGAAGGGTGGCAAGTGTATGTCGGGGGAGGTTCCAGCCGTGACCATGGTCGACTGCAGCCTCAAAGCTGGGGAATCCTTCCTCCCAGCCAGTCACGGTCGAAGGGTTTCCAGGTCTGTAGTAGCCGATGATCTGATTGAGTAGGCGACAGAGGTACAACCATACTTCAAACGCACAGAACCCGCTTTCGCCAGGCTCAAACGGCTCGATAGCGATATCTACGTCGCTCATCATGATGGGCCGGCCGCGAATGCAACCACTGACTCGATCAAGACTCCAAAGACACCAGAAGATTCGCTTGGTAGTCAGGCCATCTTCAGAACCTATGCCGTTATGCTGGCCTAAGTGCCAACCCAAGGTTTGAACATGGTGTAGTGCCTGGGTGAGACACAAAGAGGCCTCCTCGGCGCCATCTGGTCCTTCGTCATGTAAAGATAACAGGGCCAGAATGCGAATTAAGGCAATCTTTTCGTATTTGATAGGTACTCGCGTAGCTGCCATGATGGTGGCATGGAGTCTGCTACAGAATTCACGTGAGATCAGCACGCTAACGCTGCCACTCAATTGCATATGAGGCTCTGCAGCAGCATCTTTGGCAGCGACCAGACACATCGCATGGACTAAAGGTTCAGCCACAGTATTGTTGGTAAACTCCCGTCGGAATTCAGCTTCGTCGAGCAAAGGCAAAATTGGATGGATCCTGGAGAAGTAAATAGCGATCAAAGGCTCAATGACGGCAGGACTTGGCTTGTCTTCTGTGCAAGGAGCCTTGTCGATAGAGGTTCCCGCGGCGCTGTCAATCTTCTGACGGACAAGCGCATCCCATTCGCGCTTGTCTACCCACACGCCAATATCTTCATTCTGAGGTGCACTGACTTGTCGGGAAGGATGATGTCGTGGAACGAAGGTCGCCTCTGGTTTCAGATCGCTAACGAAGCGACGTTTCGCCATCGTCAAGGGTTGACGATTTTGTTCACTATCGTTGCTAACCTGTTCGGCGTGAGCATTGTCTGATTCATCTTGTTCTTCAGTCGTGGTGGCGGCATGAAGACACCGTTTCTATTGGTCTCAGCGAATCAATATGGACCTTGGAATGCTTAGGTTATGTATGTAAATATACCTTTCGGCTGCGACAGAAACCGCATGCTTTGACAGGGCGCTTGCGCTTAGGGGACCCGTCACCTTGTTGAGGAACAAATATCAATTCCATGGCTGCGTCAGAGGCGACGTGACGCCCCCTGCTCGCAGCAAGGCCGCTTCACGTGAGTACGAAGTGAAAGGCCTGTTTTCGAATGCAGAGGCTGTGTCCGTGTCTCCATGGAAATCCTGCGTTCCAAGGGTGGTATTACCTGTCCACGAATCGTCATTATCCAGAAGGTCCTGGGCATGTGCACGGACCACGTATGTTTCTCCATGTCCTTTCTGTTGTACTGCAGCGATGAATCGCCAAATATTAATGGAAAACTGAATATGTAGATTCAGACACGCGATGGAGAGAGGATAAATGGAGGACTGCCTAGTATCAAGGTCTAATGCCCAGCACTTCATGACAAGCGAATCATCAATGCGCGAGCGGTCTGAATCCACGATGATCCGAAACAGCATGCAGAGCTGGTTCGTTGATGGTGGCAGGTCTTGATCTCCAGTGAGGCGTCTTCAGAAGCAGTTGAACGAAGAAGTACGGCTTCATAGCACCAAAGTGTGAAACACCATGATATTCGTTCCAAATTCACACAAACAATGTTGTACAGCGCGCAACTACATCTCGTTGGCGCGCGTCGCTCTCGTGATACGACGGGTATCTCAAATCCGGATAAAAACTCCTAACTCCTCGCTAAAGCTCATAAGAATTCGAACCGCGGTCCTTTTCACGTCCTTGATGGAGAGAGTGGTCTGTTGAATCCGCCCACTCTGTTCATGTATTGCCTGTATTCGCTCTTCTTTGCCTTGAACACGGCATAGTTCTTGTCGTTGCCCGGGACTTGCGTATTTTTCGTAGTGCGGAAGTCCTTGAAGCCCATTATCCGAGCCATGTACGCCTCGTCGTCCTCGTCTTCGGCTTGTTCCAAGCGAGCACCCAGGGAGCGTGCGCCTTTCCCGTTGATGGGTCCACGTGTGTGCGATAAAGCAGGCTTCAAGTCTCTCGTGTCGCGAACCGGTGGCCTTTCTGTCGGTCTGCGCGAAGCATTAGGCCCTGTAGGAGGTTCGCGACTGCGTTGACTGTCGGCATCGTGTGGCATGTGTGTCTGTGAGCGATTTCCACGAGATGTCGGCTCTCTGGGTAGCGAACGATCCCGTCGACGATCATCGCGACGATCGTATCGAGGGGGGGAGCGAGACCGATCGCGATCTGGATTCTTGTCAGTCGCTGCGGGAATTCTCGTTATCGAGAGAAAATGCGAACCTTGCCGTGGTTTGTGGTCTCTATCGTCCTCTCGACGCCTGCGATCGTCCCTACGATCGTCTCGACGATCATCCCGGCGGTATTTCTCGCGGTCCATTTTTGGTCAGGCGAAATACGATGACAAGTCTAGGAAAACTACACAAGTCATTACTCGCGTGCTCAGAAGCCAGCAAATTCGAGACGACCTGCACCTGCGGGCAATGTCAGAGGCGGCTGCTTGCTGAGTCATCGTTCGACAGTGAAGCTCCAGGGCCGGCTAGGGTTAACCATACCATGGGGACCGACGAACCCGACCCGTGGACTTTCTTTATTGGAGGGTTTGATCTCTGGTTCCAATTTCGGCCTTGCAACTTCAACGATGAGCAATATATTATAATAATGCCAAAGCAGGAAAATGCTTTCCTGCACACGCTGCCTGTTGTCGTTTGAGCTCGTATTGCTTTGTCAAACTTTTCAAGAGTGCATCCTCAATTTTCCCCTTAGCGACACTCATATCTCATCCTCTTCTTCATCAAAATCGTCAACTTCACCCATGTCGTACAGTATTCTCCCTCCCTCACCTCCGCCCTTTTGGGCATCGAAATATGGCAAGACGACTCCTTCGCGGTCGGCTCGTTGCTTCTGCGTAAGTCCAAGTTCGAAAGTGACACCAGCTGGGTCATCATTGGATGAAGCATCCTCCGCTGATGTCTGGTTGGAACGATACGCTGGATGGTCCTCGAGGAGGATTATCTGCTCCCGCGATATGCCTGAATCGACAGGCCCAATCTTTTGTTTGCTGGTGCCTAGCGGGAGAACGTACCATGCACGCACTCCACGTCCACTGCGCCGACGGTATTCCAGCTCGAGGACCACGCCATCAGTGTCGTTAGCCCCCAGACCTTGCACAACACCATCAAGGCCTTCTTCAAGCCCATGAACAGGCTCAGGGTGGCTTCTTTCTCGTGCAGCTTTCGCGACGAGAATGTGGTGTAACGAGTGCACTGTAATCACAGTTGTCGCCAGATATCTCAGTAGCGTCAAGGGAGACGGAGAATATGCATCGACTGTCCTATCACCATTGACCAACGGTGATACATCGAGGTGACACACAGCTGTGAGCGAGATAGTCGGTGCTATGAAACTCGAGAGCAGGCCCGGCAAGTTTATGTTCACGGCAGCACTCAGTGCATTGATGTTATCGAAAATCAATGATACCCCTGTATGCCATGAGACCTCAAGATGGTATCGCGGAGAAGGGTAAGCTAGGTCGCTTACTCTGAGTCTGAGCACTCTTCACGAGAGCGTTTAAATTTTTCTGCCATGCTTGCGGGGTCTGTTTCCAAGCCTCGACAAAATGCTCGACGGCGTGAGGTTTTCGGAGTGTTTCAAACGACACGAAAATCACTGAAACTTTCGCCGCCTTATCACAAGGTCAGAAGATGTGTCGGCACTGTAGCTGCGAATGAGTTGCCAAATTTACTGCTCTCTTACATTCGCGCGCTTGATCTGTTCGACTAATAGCGGCCTCGCCGATTGCTCAAGGCTATCGAGAACCAACGTGAAAGGCGATGCTGCATCGCGTTGGTTGAGCAATTTGGAGATTAACAGTAGATTGTGCGTGCGACGATGTTGTATTGATGGCGGTGCCATATCGGTTTATTACAGAAAGCGCATCGTCGTGGCGTGAACAAATATTCCAAAGGTTCAAAACGAGCATCCAAGGGCTCTTTCCCGCGTCATTGTACCGCCAGCTTGGAGCTTTTCCTCCGCTCAGCCCTTAAATTCAGCAATGCCTACCTAGGTAGGTAATAACTTGCACCTGAGCACCCTACTGGCATGCCTCGCCCCAACTCACTCCCGTGCCTCAATGGCCGTATGATCATCGTCCATTATCGTGTCCTGTTGGCGGAAGTTCTTGTCGTCTGGAGTCTCAGCAGGATTATCAACGCCTATGACGGAAGGGACCTTTGATCCATCTGCCCAATATTGTTGCCGCTGTACGGAGCTGAGATCATTCCATTTTCCGTCGGCATGATCTTGACTGGCCTGCATGGCTTCTTCTCGCCATTTTTTTGATTGCCGGCCGTTCACGAGATCATCTTGCCACTTTCGAAGGGCAACCTCGATGAAGCGCTTGTAGGTCGTTTTCAAAGGATGGAGGTTGGCATCGTGGGTGGTAATGTTGTCGGAGGACGCTGGAAGCAGAGCGTAAATCCTCTGTCGCGTTTCGAGAGGCAGTGTCTCCCAGGCCGCTTCCTTGCGAAGAATTGTCTGTTCTGTAGATTGAGCTGGAATCCTAGGTCATTGCTCTCGCCAAAGCGCTATGCACTTACACAAAGATCGGATTTGCTTAATCTCGAATTCGGAGCAGTCAACCAGCGTTTCTCGGTCGACGCCATTTATGATTATCGCTGGTCATGAGCTGTTTCGAGTGACGGTCGGCACTGACGCCCTGAAGAGGGGAGAATTTGGATGTCAACTGCAGCCTGAAAGTCGCTTATGTGTGCCCAGGTGGTCATGTTTCCTATGTTCAGTTCAGAGGGGTGTTCCTTTTGGCACATGTCTCCAAGGTTTCTTGTTGCCGCGTCACTTTGAGTATGGCGCGTCACGTTGTTGGGCGGTATACATAGCCAACACTTCCGTAGATGCGAGCGAAACCTTATGAACATTGGCTTTTGAACGGTCACCACACAATTTCACACTTAATTCACCTGGTTCCGCCGTTTATCTCGACGTTGTTCACGATTGTAGCAAGTATTGGCGTACAATCCAACGGAAGTCAAATAACTGCAGGGTTCAGCAATTCATGCGCCTGGAGAAATTATTATGATGAATCTCGCCGGCATAACTTTCAAAAGTCGTTGCAAACTCCACGTCATCCTTTGCGACAGTCAATAGCTTCAGGCACCAGAAATCGTCACTCCTCCAGGGCCGATAGCGTTGGCAGCAGAAATATACATCGTTCGAGTGACACTATTCGAGAGACGAGACATCGCTTTTGCACAGGAAATACTCCCGCGGAGGACAAACATGATCATTTCCACCCAAATTGTTCGGCTCGATGGTAGGTCTCGGACGCGCGAAGTGTATAGCTTGCAGAAGAACTGACTTCGTGTATAGGCCTTGTGCTCGTCGCCTCGGTGGATGATCGGCAGATGCAGGAACTGGGCGATTTGAAACAAAACGTTCGCAGCATCATCAAGAAGCTAACGCCCAACTCGGAGCCTCGCGCATCCATAGAGTCTTCGAAACATTCAATACAGTAAGCACCTTACGCTTCTAGCCGTTGCTCGCGCATCATACGCAGGAAGTTCTGACAGCGATACTCTCATTTAGCTATGTCCTTAACGATTCAGTCGCCTATCTCGCCATCACAGAACGATCATATCCTCGAAAATTAGCACTGACGTACCTTGAAGACGTGCGCGCCGAATTCCAGACCTCTTATAAGCGCAACGATTACCTCGACCCTCAGCTCCGACCTTACGCATACTCCGAATTCGATCGCTTCATCGAGCGCACCAAAAAGACATACCAGGACTCGCGTGCGACCGGCAATCTTGACCGGCTAAACGACGAGCTGAAAGATGTGACACAGGTCATGACAAAGAACATCGAGGACTTGCTATACCGTGGAGATAGTCTGGAGAAGATGGGCGACATGAGTTCAAGGCTAAGGGAAGACTCGGCGAAATACAAAAGAGCGGCGGTGAAAATCAATTGGGAATTATTACTGAAGCAGTACGGACCATTTGGCGCATTAGGTCTGGTTGTCCTGATTCTGCTCATTTGGCGCTTCTCATAAACTCGATATCGCCTGGAATGTAAATGGGATGATGGTCATGCTTAGTGCGGCGTTTCGAAAGGTCATCTTGGCTATGTGGTGCTGTGAAGGCTTCGGACTTGGTGGGTTTCCATCACTGATGATCGTATTCAAGATCTGTTCTAAATCTGTATAGCTATTTGAGAAGCAGATTGTTGTGACTGATTTAATTTACTGAAGAAATGTGGGCAGCAAGCTGTCCCGTTTAGTGAGCATCTCTTGCCATTCACCCTCTGCTGAACTGAGGACCGTGACGGCACCGCCAGCTCCGATGTGCCAGTCACTACCTCCATCATCCCACTGATATGCCGAGCGGATGATGACTGAGAAGTCTCCGCCGCCGCCGACGTCGAAGTATCCCATGACACCACTATATGGGCCTCGTGGCTTGTACTGTTCAATTTCCTTAAGAATTTCGCACGAACGCTTCTTCGGAGCGCCAGTCATCGAGCCAGGAGGAAGTGAGGCAGCTAAGACTGCTGTGCCAGAGTTTCGCTCATTGAGTTCTCCTTCGATGACGGACACGAGCTGGTAGACCGTCTCATACTCCTCTACAGACATGAGCTTTGGCACACGAACATTATCAACTCTGGATAATAATCAGTTGGTACGCCACGAAGAAAAGGTTCACTGGACCTGCTTACCCTTTAACACCGCTCAGATCGTGCCGAATAAGATCAACGATCATGAGGTTTTCCGCTTGCTCTTTGGTCGAATTTAATACAGCCTCTGCTTGTTCACGAGTAGTGTTGGGTGATTTGCGGACGGTGCCTTTGATCGGCCGAAATTGACAACTGCCCGATCGAGACCACGAGAGAAAGCGTTCTGGGCTACTGCTAAGCAGCGAGAGTCCTCCATGGTGGTTTGATGACAAACGGATATAGGCTCCAAACGGAGCCGGATTCTGTTTTCGTAGTTGCCGATATAAATTCCATGGTCGAAGCGTATTTGTGATTACCGACTGGTCAGTCAAACACAGTTCGTAAGACTCTCCAGCGCGCAACTTTTCTTGACAGTCATGGACCTTTTGACAATATTGCAACTGCTGAGGACCGGCGGTGAGTCTGCCTTCGGATTGCTGGCGAACACTTGTCGACACTGGTATCCAAAATTTGCGGTGCACAGAATTAAGACATTTCTTCGCAGAGTCAAGCCATACATCATCGTGGGCCTTAAGAGATTGAATGTAGATCATGCCGCTGCAATGATCAAAGACGAGGCTACGCTCAACAAATACGAACCAGAAGTCAGGTCTGCCCGCCTTGTTCGTCGCGGGAGGCGTAACGTCGATAGTTTCTAGACCGCTCTCGTACGAGACATATCCAACAAAGCCACCCCAGAAGGGAACGTCCAGCGGCCCTTCAAGATTCGAGTAGGCTCTGTTGTATTCATCAACCTGCTCGAAAGCATCATTAGTGCAAGAATCAGGCACATTTTCAAGCTTGCCATCTCTGCGGATGCTCAGCGTGCGATCCGAGGTAGAGTAACATAATTGTATAGAGGAAGCTTCTGGGCAGCAAATGATGCTGTACCTCCCCGTCTCAGGGTTTAAGGGTCGCGCATCTCGTAGGCCAGATTCAAGTATGATCGGTTCCTTACACAAAGACTGTGCTTGTAATCGCTCGACCACATCTGCAACATCCGGCACGCTCGATGGCAGAAGAGTTGACCACGAAATTTTTCGGCTTCTGAAATTTTGTCCAAGCGCCGGCTCATTGAGTGCTCCAACTGAATCAAGCGGCGCCGGCAAGCACAGCGAAAGACCCGAGTCTCTGCGAGATTGACCAGAGCGCCATTCCCACGCAATGGCCCACCAGTTCCGAATAATGCTGTGTCCCTCACTGTTGGTACTTATGGATTCCGGATGATACTGAAACCCCCAAAATGGCTGATCCTTGTGTCTGACGGCCATCAAAACGTTTCCATTGGTAGAGTCTGCACAATCCCACGCAAGCGGAATGATGCTACCATCCTGAGAAGGCGTCCAAAGACACTCATTCAAATGCCCGTCCTCATTATCCGATAATCGAACATGTAGGGAGTGATACTGAGTCGCGACCACTTCGCCAGCCTTAGCGAAGATGTCCTGGCCGCAGTGTGAGATGCTGTTCACAATGCCGTGTCTAGGCTGTTTAAGCCGCACCACCTGAGCGCCGTGCATCAGACACAAGCTCTGAAATCCGAGGCAGATCCCAAGAACAGGTATAACATGATCTGGAGGTTGAGTCCACAATTTTCTGATCAGCCCGATGTCATTGGCGTTCGAAGGATGTCCGGGACCGGGCCCCGCAACAACCGCGTCGAAGCCATCAAGGAACTTGCTGAAAGCTTTGTCGTTGAGGACAAAGCGAGCATCGTCGATTTTGATGCTTTCAACAGTTACTGCAAGTTCCCGCCGAAGTAGCGCGATAATGGAGTTTGAGAAAGAATCGTACGCATCAATGAAGAGAAGCCGCCCGTCTTGCATGTGATGGACGCGGGTGTTTCTCGCCACTTTCTTCTGCGCGTTCTGGCTGCGCAAATGTGATGGTCGTTAACGAAAACCAGATCTGGAATAAATTCGCCGGATAGTACGCTTGACAATCTTCTCGGCAGCTATTATGCAGGATCTTGACGGGGTGGTGGAGAGAGAACCTCGGAACGGACAATGTGGCCGGAAAGTCGCAGAAATCTGTCGACGGCGGATATGCATTTAATCTGTCATTAAATCGGAGACAGTGGGAAGTGAGTCGACGAATGATAAATTTCTGAGATTGGGGCCAGTCAATTTTTCCCCTCGGTGCTGGCGGCACCGGACCTTTCCTGATATACATGCGTTATCTGGTAACAAATAGTCCGGCGTATTTATCAGGGTCCCGCCGCCACGCCCATCGCAAACCGAGAGGCCGAGCCTCCCACGCCTCCGCAAGCCTGGAATTTCCGGAATGTGCCTACCGTTCGCCCACGGCCGAGGGTTATCGCCGAACTCTCCGGGCTGAGAGTAACAGTCAATGGGGCATGACTCTGTCTATGAACTTTTGTCCACAGTTGCGACATCGTCCAGTGTGATTATCATGTTGGCGCCATTGTCCTTCAGAGTTTAGATATGTAACTCGTGCTGCAACCAGGCTAATCATTAGCGGATCGCGCCGCTATATGGTTTCTCTCTCCGCAGGCTACAAGTAGCGCCCGGAGCAGGGCAATGTCGACGGCAAACTTGATGCACTGGAACATTAACGGAATCGAGTGTTTGTTGAACTTTAAAGAAGCACGAAGAAGCAGATGAACAAGCTGTCGACAGAGAACAAGCAGGAAAGGGGCTTTCTCTTTGACGACGCAGACCACACGCGTTGCGATGTGTATCATCCCCCACTCTGCTCCGCTTCATTGTTCATCTTGGGACTGAAGATTTCTCAAATGATTTTGCAGACTTGCCGTCCATTTCATCCGTTAATCTGGCGGATCTTGGAGACTCAGTGCTCTTCAGGCCCGGCACAAGTGTCTCCATGTTATTATTGCACACGAAACCCAGATATTAGAGTGCTCGTATTGTCCCGGCCATAGAGTTCACTCCCGATCCGTTGTGTTGTCCAATCTTCAAGAATCGGGAGATCTGGTATGCAAATGGTACCGCTCATGGAGAGCGTCCGCAGCATGCCAATTGACTTCTGGATAGAAGGTCGTAGCCGGTTCGAATACGCCACCAGGGGTGATGCCGGTGCATCAGCCTCGAGCATTGCTTGAAGCTGATCATCCTCAAGCAGTGAAGTGTTCGAAATTACTTCACTGGCCAGCGCATGGTCCATCCTCGACAGCAAAGGCTTCAAATATCGAGACTCTTTCCCTCGTATGTTGGACAATCGCTCGAGCAATATCGTAAGATACTTTTTGCCATTGGAGAACGATGAGGACATATCGCCCGTGCATCGTAGCACATCTGCGAGGCAGCCCGCAATATCGGAGATCTTTTGTTCCTGCCAACATCATCAGCCCCGAGGTATCCACATGCTCGGAGAAACTTACCATTCCAATGCCATGACTATCTATGGCAAGAGGTGTCGCACCAGACGTGATTTCGACAACATTCTTTGCCAGCTCCACGGGATAGTCGAGCCTCATGCTGCCCTCGCCTTCAGTCCATATCAAACCATTGCTGACACCCATCTGCCAGGCGAGCACATGAAGCCATTCTCGTGTGATGGCAATGTCAAGATGCTGCGTCTCTGTCAACCCGATTGGTATGACGTCCGTTGTCGTCGCATCCAGCCTCTTCTGCGTGCGCGCAAGCCAATTCTCGTTGCAAAGGCTTGTCCTTCTCGAGCCACGCCAAGCTTGCACGAATGCTTCATCGACCGCGCTGAATAGATCGGCCAGCTTCACAAGTCCGTGAAGCAACTTTGGGTTGTCGCTTTCGAACACGGCCGGCATGCCTATGGAGGTGTGCAGGCGCGCATGTTTTCGTCTCTGTACTGCATACGCGCGTTCGGTGATGAACAGCAACCAGTATAATCGTCGTCGCCATTGTGCTTCCGCAGGATCGAGCTGCTCATATGATCTTTCATCGTCCATGTTGAGGTTTTCTGCCATAGTTATACTCTCTTGCAAGTAATGCCATGCCTTTGTATGCCGCTCGATATTGCCGTAGTATGAGAAAAGGAAGAATGACGTTAGAACTCCTGTAGTTGTTGTGTCCTCGATAAAATCCAGGGTCGAGCGTATTCTGAGGCATTCCTCCACAAATAATGCATCTGAGCATGTCTCTGGATGTGTGGCGGGCAAGTGCACGATAGAGTCATCAAGCTGGACGATTGTTGCCGCGCTCAGAGCACACAACAAACAGTATGATACGGTGGTCAGCCTTTCGGTTGATTCGGACCAGGGGTTGAATAACCGTGCTCTGTCTAATACGGGCATTATAACAAACATATGCTCGAAGAACAAATCAACATATGGGCGAAACACATCGGCAGTAAACAAGTATGCCTTCGATCGACTTCTGGCCATCGGCGCCGGATATAGTGTTCCCAGATCAGTTTCCGACGGTACAGAAGCGTTTTGCTGGGCCAGAAGCCATGTCCGATCGATATCCATACTTCGCGATTGCAATGCCGGATGTTGCGGGCTAGCCGTCGAAACCAGCCCGTTCGCACCCTCACCCATCAAATTCGCGGCTTGCAGGTGCGACTGCGAAGTTGAAGTGCTTATCACAGTATTGGCATCAGGTGCTAGAGTACTTGGGACAGCAGTTCCACTCCAGCTCCAATCTCTAAACGCAGGCTGTCGCGGGCTCAGCGGGCTTGTTGGACTGTCAGAAATGTTGCTGTCGATGCGCCGCAGAGCATGAAGGACCTTGGCGCTCCGAAGACCCTTCGGTCCTTTCTTCTTCGCTGGTTGTAGATATGCACAGCGTATGCTCGCCTTGTGGCAAGGTCCGCAGGGCTCCGATCCATCGCATCGCACCTTACGCTTGCGACAACAATCACAGGCTCGCTTATATACCTTACCAGCAAGCGAAATATCGTGATCCTGGTCGGTACGGACTTTCTTCGAATTTGCCGCTGTTGCTCTTGTGCTGGATGCCGACTTCATGTCGGAACGGATGCTGGCTCCGCTTTGCTGCGGCAGGAGTGGTGTTGGAATACTAGATCGATCTCTGGAACAGTGTTGTCTCGTCTGAACCATGCGCAGACGTCAATTCGAATTAAGGTTCTAAGCATTTTCAGAGACACTATCATATATGCGCGCGTTCCCATCAATTGCAAGTGATATAAGGTCCTGGGATCAGTCTCAAGAATGGCTCGTGTCCACGTGCCATTTTGCGGGGAAGCATGGTTAGGGGACTCTGTTGACGCCATCCACCACAAGGGTTGTCCGGATGTTCGGATGATGGGCGGATCTTTCAAATTGCGACTGTACCATGCAGGCGGGCATGTAAATTCTCGCCACTTTGCTAGGAACACGCTTTCAGTTCTGTACCCCAAAACGTCAGTCGAGGATCCCAGCATGCCTCAGATCAACGGCACAACTACATTCGACAAACTCTTCGAGCTCCTCGTTGACGGTTTTCAACTTTGCTTTCACCGATGCAATCGCTTCGTGGCCAACTATGTGCCGAGCCGGGGGATTATCATGTCCCCCTATGGCTGTTACAGCATAGACTGTCTCGGCAACTAAGGCTTCTTTCATTGCCTGTCCGAGATCTGGATACACACTCTTCACCTCTGCAGAGTGCAGCTGATCACCCGCTGTTGGCTCCTCAGATCCTTCAATTCTATCGAGTAGCAGAGAAAGAATGTTTCTTGAGAGAGGCGCAGGATTGACTTCCTCGGTATAACATTCCATCGGCGGCGCAGATGTGACTCGATTAGTCAGGACATTGACCTCCAGATTAGGCTGCACTATGGTCATCTTGATATTAAACGGGGCGATCTCGTAGGCAAGAGAATCGCACCACCCCTCAATGGCCCATTGGCTAGCACAGTACATGCTGAGGCCAGGCGTCCCGATATGTCCGGTGATGGCAGTCAGCAGGATTATATGGCTACACTGTGTCTCGCGCATGATTGGTAGTGAGGCTTTGATCATGTTGATGTTCCCAAAGAAATTGGTCTCGAATTGATCACGGGCTAGGCTCATCGTTCTGGTGTCTTGAGACAATTCCTCCACTGTGCCCAGGACGACTTCGGAACTGTTGCAAAATAGTATGTCGATTTGGCGAAAGCAGCGAACCGCCTCAGCAACTGCAGACTGGCATTGCGCTTTGATTCGTACGTCCAAAGGAACCACACAAAGATGATCTTTCCAGGTAGCACAAGCATCCAAGCATGATGCAGACTCCTGGCTACCATCGTTGCTTCGAGCATCATCGGAGTCGTCGTCTACATACGTCGATAGTAGATTATTGAGTTCGGTCATGAACTGCTGCGTTCCGGTTTCATTCGGACAGCCTTCTTCGGAATGACGAGGCCAAACCCCAGCTACCACGAAATCTCCATGAGCTAGTAAGGCTCTACTCAAAGACACGCCAATCGGGCAGTTCGCATTTGTCAGAAACCACACACGAGGAGTGTCATGCAGTGGAAATTGCGGAGCACGTAAACTTTTTGCTGGGTCCATCACTTCGGCGATCGTATCTGCCGTCTCATGTTAATGTCGGCGTCGGCAGTGTGAGCGTTCCCAGCCATGACACAGTGCATGCTAAGTCAGAAAGATAGAAAATGTTGGTGCTGTCCGTGGACAAGTGGACAACTTCCAAGGTGCCGCAGATGGGAGAACATCGTTTCGGCACGCGCCGAGGTTTTCCCGACAGAGGACGTTATTGTAGACCCTACCTAGTTAGTTCCTACTACCACCTACCAGGTACCTAGGCAGGTCAGTGCTACTTTTATTGTTTGATGAGTCCGCAGTGAACTTCCGATTTCTCGATTCCTAATGCTCACCTGTGGCTTCTCATTTTCATACTTTCATTGATTTCGTTCTACTCTCGTTGTTGGGGTGAGCCAACAGCTGAAGTTAGTGCAGGCTGCGTGTTGCTGGCCTCATGTCAAATAGTTGCACTTAGCAATCATGGCCGCCAACAATACAACCTTAGACGAAATCTCCTATGCGCGCCCCGACATTATCCAATGGTGGGTCTCTGAGGGCGGACAGCCCATGGACGAGAACATGATTCATCGCTATTTCTGCGAATCGCCTTTCTTTGATTGGAGCACCAAGAATGGATTGTTCATGCAGCAGGCGGCTGTCAATTTCGATATGCACACACTCTCGCGGAATCGCAAAGCCTTTGAGGATGCTCTTCGGAATGCGAGAGGTGTTGAGTACATGATTGTTGGTGAACCACAGCTGGTTGCGGACAAAACCCAGGCTGCGCAAGGTGCAAAAACTGGTATTTGGACCATCAGGAAACAGGACAGGCAAACCACATCGGCTGATCGTTATCTTCGTCCTCCGGGAGTCATCCTCGATGGAGAGTGGGAACTTACAACACTAGGTACTTATTTCATCGTGGGGGAAAACGTATTTCAAGCACCTAGCGTCGCCGACGTGGTGAGCAATCGCTTGCTCGCGGCGACTGCAAGTATAAACCAATTCTTTGAATTGGCATCAGGCCTACCTCGTTACAATCCTTCCATGGGCTACACGTACCTACCAGTTCCGACGAGACAGACCACGTCGAACCCGCTCTCAAATCCATCACCATCTCAGTCAAGAGAGGGAAGTCTTGCCCCGAATGCAGATGCGATGTCTATCAGATCAGGCTCGATACAACCTGACGCTCCGCCGGACACCAGCGCGCCTACTACAGAGGTCCAAGATTCTCGTCTTCTCGAGAATTCGCTTTGGATGGCGTTCCAATATGGAGATGAGTACATAGATGAAAATCCGCTCATTGGGGAACCTGGTCAATTTAAGTTTGCAGCCACCACAACAGCAATTAGTAAACGACGAGCTGAACAAGAAGAAGCGGAAGCCAAACTCCGTGCCAAAAAGGACACAGCTCTGGCATCGCAAGGGTCATTGCAGAAAGCCGAGAAGGCATCCTCTCCTCCAGCTGTATTCAGCGAGTCGAAAGCAAGCAGCAAGGCTGAGAAGGGCACCAAGGAGGAGCGACGCACAAGCAAGATGGGTGAGAAGATCAAGCGGAGGAAAAGCAGACCTGGGGCTTCCAGTCTGAGTCCAGCGACACCAATCGGTCCCAGCACACCAAATGCTGCCACGCCAGCACCGTGAAAGATAAGAGCACGAGTCATGGCTACAACAAACTCACTGTAGCTGACCTTAAACTTTGAGGAGCCACACAGATGCAGTGGCCAAACGATTTGATCATGAATTGGACTTGCACGCCCTCGAATATAGGTAACTCATCGGTCCATCGTCGAGGAAAGGAATCGCCGAGCAGACCAGATCGACGCTCGGGTTACTAGCTGTACATTATTTAGTGCTTCGGAAAGATCAGCGTATTCTGCAGTGGAGATACAGTGCATTTTGCTGCACAGTGTATCAATCTCTCGTGAATCGCAGAGTGTGGACTGTGGAGTGTGTTCTGCTTTGGGAATAGCAGATTAGGAAACCCCTGGAGCACCATACCATCCAAATGAACACACATTGCGGCCGCAACACTTCTACGTAGTGTTTGGCTTTGTTGCCTTTGTAATGTTTACACGATGACTTATTCCAAGTGTAGATCATCCAGTTTCCCCGACCTGCACACGCGTCTTTGGCGAGTGTCTTTGCGGCAGCATAGTCAGGGTCCTTTGAGCCGAAATGCGGACTGACGACCGGGGAAGTGGTCCGAGCTGCGGAGATGCTGAAACGAGCAGAACGCGCGAATTTATCGCGCACCCGAAAAAGTGTATACAGGACTTATCATTCTTTACATTCAACTCATTGCGCCCATCACATTCTCGCGCAGCACTCCAGTCAATTCATTTTCTTCGCTTTTGAGGGTGTTGCAAATCTCCCAGGCCTCGTTCCATCATGTCACCAGCGATGGGTGGATCAGTCAAGAGTGGTCAGAAGGAGACGACCGTAGCTCGGATAGTGGGTGCAGGTGGGAGATTTTGAAAATCATCACGGCAAAAGCACAGGTATCTGACAGTCTTCCCAGGTACTGCTGGTATTGCCGAGCTGGCAATTTTTCATCCAGTTGACACTATCGCCAAACGATTGATGTCCAATCAGACCAAGGTCTCTGGCATCACACAGTTCAACTCCGTTATCTTCAAATCACACGCCAACGACCCCCTTGTGCGACGCTTCTTCACCCTATTTCCTGGTCTTGGATACGCAGCGGCATACAAAATTCTTCAGCGAGTGTACAAATATGGCGGTCAGCCTTTTGTGCGGGATTACCTCGCCAAGCACCATGGTGAGACGTTCGACAAGCTAGGAAAGGGCACCGGCAAGGCAATCATGCATGCGACAGCTGGCTCACTGATTGGAATCGGTGAGATCGTCCTGTTGCCGCTCGATGTCCTGAAGATCAAGAGACAGACAAACCCTGAAGCATTCCGTGGCCGCGGCATCTTCAAGATCGTTGCAGACGAGGGGTTTGGTCTATACCGTGGTTGGGGCTGGACCGCCGCTCGAAACGCCCCAGGATCCTTCGCGTTGTTCGGAGGATCTGCATTTGCAAAACAATACCTCTTCCAACTCCAAGATTACAACTCAGCGACCTGGTTCCAGAACTTTGTTGCATCCATCGCGGGTTCGAGCGCATCATTGGTGGTTTCGGCGCCCTTGGATGTCGTCAAGACTCGCATTCAGAACCGCAATTTCGAGGCTAAGGAGACGGGCGTGAAGATCATCTCGGACATGCTCCGTCATGAAGGTCCCTCAGCCTTCTTCAAGGGACTCGTGCCCAAACTGCTGATGACTGGTCCTAAACTCACATTTTCTTTCTGGCTTGCACAAACTTTGATCCCAATGTTCAGCAAGGTCATGTAAGGCGGCGCCTGCATGTGAGAGTTTTTTGTTTGGAGCGAATGTTTCGGATTGTCATGTACATTGCAGCTATAAAGGCGTTTCGAAGCGTGGGAAAACACGGGAGTGTTGGCTGAGAGGACAAGCCTGGCCATATTCTTCTCTTCGTTAATCACGGTGGATTCGAGCAGCCAGGAGTACTTCTCAGCTCAAAGCAACGATACTTTAGATAAAGGATAAAATGGACGTCGGTGGATTTCTGACTGCCAATGCTGGCCCGTGGTGGAATAACGTGGCTGATATGACTGCCTCTCATTTCGTCCCTGAGGCAGATCAATCGGCGTTCATGTTGGGGTACGATCTCTCACGAACGACCGTCGATATCGTCGGTTCGCCCATGGGCATTGGTACGTGCTCGGAGGGATTTTCCAACCCCTCTAGCTGGCTTGCACTGGATAGCTTTGACCCTTTCCGGCATGTCCTCGGCAGCAGGAAAGTCGCGCCGGAGCTGCCGACAGTAGTAGACAACCGCCCTAATGACACCGGTCAATCTGGCCATGGAATTTTTAGCGCCGCCTGCATATCGCTCAACGCCGTGTCTCCTTCCTGGCCCCAAGAATGAGTCCCAACATGTATGCAGACAGAAGGGTACCTAATTTCAGTCCACCACCACCACTTCCGTTCGAACCTGATCCATGCTAGTATGCCAAACCAGGCGGTCTACATGAATCGCGGGCTTGTCGTGACTGGATCACCTTCGAAGGAAACTAATGGGTGACCGCGTAGGCGCGAGATGGTCGAAGTCTCACGACTCGGGTGATCATACTATTCCTCTCTTCCATCGACGTCGCCTGTTGGTCGCAAACATCTTTCGGATTCCAGAGCGCTTATGTCAAAGGTGACATGGTGCACCAGGTAGCCTCGAAGTAGCATGGTGCACCCAAAAGCTGGTGCGATCTGTCTACGGTCTCGTATTGCAGCACAGTGTACGCACATGGCAAACGCAGATCTACACATGTCGACACGAATTCGTTGAGTATGTCATTATTCCATGTTATTCGGGATTGCTGGGCAAGATTGGGGAGAGCAGCAGGCAGTGGGCAACATGGATGATCTTTGCTCGCTGCGACAAGCGTGAAGCCGACTGGCGCATGGCGCTGCTACTTGCCTCTTTAATCGCAGGGCCGGCGTCGAGTCATGGCTATGCAGCATGCTAAATAGGTCGAAATACTACAGCGCAGCTGGCTACGGCACAGTAGTGCGGTGATAACATGATTCAATCCTCTTAGCCGTGTGACGGGCGGAGCAATGATGTGAAGCCTGAATGTGACCGCCCTTCAGCATGTTCCAGAATAAACAGCCACATGGACTTCCTTCGCGCGATCTGCCAATAATATGTCGCAACGCGATCTCCAAGTGAGATAAAGTTGTCGAGACATGAGGTGACGGCTCGTGCATATAGCGGCTTCTCCTGCGCCTGTTCAGTACAAAACTTGGGATGTGATCAATCATGTTCCCGCCAGAACATGGGATCGACGTGGGGTGAATGGAAACTAAATTCTCCGCCCGCGGACCAACGGGAGGGGACGAAACTTGTGGGCAGCCAAAACTGTCTTTGTCACGCCTCAGGCAACAAGTATTTTTACTCCGGGCGCCGTGCCGGAAAGTCGTCACCCTGAATCGCGTCACCGCCTGCATACACCCAATCTCGAAGAAGACGCGAACGGTTCCGACGCACTACACAAAACACCTCTGCTATTCTCACGGCGACGCAAACGCACCGTCGCCGTACAGTCGCTCATTTGGTTGATCATCGAAACAAAAGGGCTCCGACGAAGTCAAAGGCTTTTTCCTGAGATATTCAGAAACGACAGAACGTCGATACCACACCAGCCTATTCCCTTTCGCCAGTCATGGAGAACTCGACAATCTACGCTGCTGGAGGAGCATTACTAGCAGTGCTCGCCGGGTTCCTTCTCTTACGCCCCACCGGTCTGGTGAAATGGCTACAGCGCAAGAACTATCAGTACGAGGTCACGTTCGCGCTCTACATGTTGACGCCGACGGAAAAGTTTGTCTTTAGTATGTTCCAAGATCCGGCAGAATTCCATGCCTACGATGTCATGCGTTTAAATAAACCACGATCGATTGGAGGCTTGCACAGGCCGTTTTGAATCATTTGACTAACCGTACGCACCTCAGATTCAATCCTATTCCTGGCCATGGCCATGTTTCTCATTGCCTCGATCTTGTATCTGCCGGACCATCTCGCGACCATTTCGCGGCGGACATACTACTATTTCATTGGAGATGCGGAGCTTTACTATGGCAGTGCGACACGCAGGGTACGCGATGCTGCGACTGGCTGGGCGCAAACCGCTTTTAAGGCGGCATTGAACAGGACAAGTTCAGCATGAGGCTGGCTGGGAAGGAACAGGGGGGAAAGGAGGAAGAAAGGGAGGAGAAGAAGACAACCCACGGGCCGACATTCGTTCATGCATTTCATTTGATGGCAGACAAAACTTCTGCCCTTTCAGCGAGGAGTTTAGGAGTAATATCGGGTGGAAGAGATAGCCCAACACATAATGGTAATCATCGAATAATAATTGGACCACTTCTAGCTTTGCGTTCGCTGGGCGAGGATCAAATGACAGAACGTGCTGCCGTGCACATTCAACACCTGCACCGCGTCAGGAGAAGGTACTACATATCTGATCGCGCTGTCGATGCAATTGGCCCTCGCTGAGCGGCGGAATCGCCTGGGGAATGCGGTCAGATCATTACACTTTCTAGACGCACGGCTGGGTTCTGCGTCCACGTGCGGCGGATCTCATAGCTGAGGACAGAATTATCCGTATACATCATCATCAGACGCCAGCGCTTCTTCTCTGTCGGGAGATGCTCGGTGCCTTGAAGGGGACCGGAAGCGATTCCAGCAAGCGGCGCGAATGGCCGTTGATTTTGTCGCTCCTGACTTGCCAGAGGGAGAACACCCCCCAGGCGCATTGCATACGTTGTCTTCTTGTCGGCAAAGGAGAAGCGACCTTGAGGCGAACGACATTCCACCCGGGGCAGCTTCGTGAGCGACAGAACCACGGCTCGACCTTTCTGTGAGGCCAATACCACTACGCCGATGGCCGGGATGTAGGCGTGCATATTGAAGCGCTCAAAGACGTTGATATAGGCATAGTCTGCCTGGATGTCTTGCTGCAGTACATGTGAGAAGCTCACCTATCAAAGTATGATCAGTATCCCCATCATCAACAGTAGAATGAAACGTGCACCCTTACCAATGGCGACGCGCAAGCCGAACCTCCCTCCTCACGATGGCCGCTGGGCTGCAGGAGGTACACATTACGTACTGACGCATGCAGAATTGGGCAGGGAAGATCCTCACAAAGGTTTTCGGGATAGTCACATCGAGGGAGGGACGCTCGCGGTCGGTGGTTGCCCAAGAGACCTTCATCTTCAGAATACATGTCGCCGCTGTAGACAGAGACATCCGAATCGTCCTCGTTCTCCGAGGTTTCAGTCGATATTCCAGTGACTTGATCATCTGCACTGGCAGTTGTCACGTCATGTTCATGGACAGACTCGCGATGCGTGTCGTCCGGGTGCAATAGCGGAGACGAATCAGGCGGCGGCCGAGTCGTGTTTGATGGCGTCAAGGTGCGGTCGTGACGCCTTAAGCGGTCGTTACGTTTGATGAATGTTGGAGATGTATCACTTAATGTCTGAGCAGTGGCACTGATGTCCCAGACATGGCGAGTATTACTTCCTGGTGGACTCTCGCCTGCATCTAGACCGAGCGCATCCGCTACGGTCTCTTGTGGGACAAAGGCCCGATTATCCAGGAACATTATCGTCCAGCCTGCGTGAACATGGTCGAACTGTTGCAAGAATGAGAACGCTGTACTTCCGAATCGGAATTTCTGAACTGTCCGCATGGTGTGCAGATCAAGCGTACGGCAGCATCCACTGACATCCGTCGTCAAGAGCCATCGAGCTTCGGGGTCATCTCCAGTATTGCAAAATGCAATGTATGGAATATTGCAGTCGCCGTTGACTACATGGTATGTCACATCCATTTCGCGGTTATTGAGTGTCACAAAGTCACCTTCTTCATCTACCTGCCCCCCGTGACTCTGCTCCACAAGTCCCAGCTTGAAGATGGTAACTTGCTGGGTATTTGCGCTGACAGCAATGGTGCGAGCATGGGAATGGATGGCCAAGCCCCACGCACTTTTGCCCACGTTTCTCTGAAAGATTGGTCGTATTTCTTCGGCGTAACGAGAGAGCGAAGTCTGACCAGACGTGCGTCGCTCAATTGCTTGGATTACGTGTCGAACCAAAAAGGCGTCAACATCCCCGTCGTCTCGAACAGCAGCGACAACCTCTTCGTTTCCGAGAAGTTGCACAAGGAGACTGTTGATGTTGTGCGGGTTCTGAGCATCGATATAGCCACTGAGGTCGGGCCCGGAGGGCTGCGACTGCAAGATCAGGTCAGGGCTAGACGAAAGTTTCTGAGAAGAAAAGGTCGGACTGAAGACATGTATTTCGCTCTTGTAGGCCACGAAATAAAGATTGTGCGATTGCGATAGCCCGGTCTACGGAGTGGTGCATCAGCACTTGACCGTCACTCGCACACGCTGGTTCACCTTGCGCACCAGATTGCACCTCCAGCCAGCAAAGGCGGAATAGTCTCCAGAGATCTCGCGGTCATGTTGTTGACCATTGGAGCTCTGTTCGGCCGTTTGTGTTCCCAACACGACGATTTCCAGAGTAGAGCTGTTTCGCTCCATGCTGAGTATGCCTAGTCGACGAGATTCCGCATACAGAGTGATGCAAGGATAAGACGTCGTCGATTTCGGAGCGAGATCCGACAAAAATGCTCTGGTTGTCTAAGTGAAAATGGCCATTACGAAGAGTAGTAACAATGACAATACCCGATGTCGCACAAAGCAAGTCTAAGTGCACTGCAATTTCGTCATCGTGGAGCAATGGAAATGTTGCGGAACGTCAACGACAATGGGAAGATTGACATCTGTGTGGCGGATGAGACTGATGGCATCGCGATATACGAAGGCTTTCGGCGCGACGCAAGTGTTGTTCTTCACATGCGCCTACCGCGAAACGTGACACCCCACCTGAGCTCGTCTCGTCGTTTCGGTGACGCGTGCGAGGCCGCACGCCTTCCCTTCAAGCATTCTGTCGTACTTTGAAATTACCTATGGAGGCAGGGACGACGAGATATTCTCCCGCGAATCATCGGAGCTCAAATTGACAGATTTTGGACGAACGCGACAATAAGGATCGTGCACCCAATGAAAGACAGCATCACAGTCACTCATTGTAGAGAGGTATGTGCTCGGAAATACTGGCGGAGACCACCTGGGCATGCATACAGCGCATGTGTACATACCTTAGAACCTTAGGTAGGCTCATTGGAGACCTTGTCAGTGCCCGCATATCAAAGTCTAGCCCATGTCGCAAAGTAGAGATCCGCGCGGGTGGATTCGACCAAGCCAAGGCGCCGTCGCTACCTTTGTCTCCATTGTGAGATGGCGGCGTATGTCGTCGAGCGCGAACTGTCCACCCAACATGGTGAGCAGCAGCCTGATGGATCATGTCTCGAGAATCGCTGACATCGCAAGTATCTGGTATCTCTCGGGGCAAATGCGATGCTGTTGAAAAGAGACAGCATGAGTGTAACCTTCACGTTCGCCAGCCGGCTCGAAGTTGCAGCGGACGTGGGTCTTTATCACCACACAAGCTGCAAAGTCGTGCTCGAGGACTGTGTAGATAACCACAATCCTGCAGGAGAGACTTCCAAGGTTCGAACAAAACTAGCATGGTCGAGATGACTCAAACCCGTAAATCGAATTTGCAGACCCGAGAGAGCTCACGAAGACAACGCCCAATCACAAAGGTCACACAAGCTGCAATGATTGGCTGAAGTGACAACTACGACAAGGGGAGGCACCACCACGCTCCTCCACGCGCACGAGCTTGCACAAGCACAAGTGACCACTCGTGTGACCTCAAGTACTCCGGATCCATCATGATAGTATCGCTCTTCAAATCGTGAAGTGTTTCTCCCCCGAATCCATCTCAAGCACATGTGCTGATGTCACACACAAAGACGTGTTGCGCCTTCCTCTCGGCCCTCATACTCGGAAGTATCCTGCACCTTTAATGCATTCGGAGTACTTGTATTGAACAGTTGACACATGGAGGATCTGTCACCTTCCTGTCCACTGTTCGTGTCACGTACGGTGGTGTGCTGGATAATTGCCTAGTCTAGCGTCGTGATACATTTCGAGGTATAAAGATCTGATGTCTAGCCAGAAGTCAGTCTCTACCATTCCATTTCCTTTGTCCACCACGTGTACTAAGGTCCGCACCCGCAACCGTCCACATCTACATCGACACCGATACAGACAGAGGGACGAGAACGATGAAGGCATCGTCATCGGGACCGACGAAAGGTGGGCAGCATGGAAGCCGAAGCACAACTCCCGCAACACCATGGCCTTGCTCGTGGCTTCGTCCACGCTGGGACGAAATTGCAAGATTCCGAGATACACCTTACGGGGAGAGGGTTGTCGTGTTCACGCCCGATTTAGAGACTCAAAGACTTGACAAGTCCTTTTGGCCAAAACTACCCAACGGCAGAATCGACAGCACGGCATCCATGCAGCGACTTGCCGCACTGGTGAGCATGTCTTCTGGAGCGGCTATCTCGCATCAGCCTTACACAACGTTGTCGCGCTTCACAGACATCCATGAAGAAATCATCGAGGGTGCTGCCGGAGTTGTCGTACTGGTCGTGCAGTGCGGTGGAGAAGACGATCTGAAAGAAATCAAGATAGATATGAATTGTCAGACTGACTTTTGCTGGAGCACAAAGGAGGTCCTTGACGACCGGGAGGTCTTCCCAGCTGCCAAGCCGCCATTGATCCTCATTTTTGTGGGAGACCTTGCAGATCCGGTCTGGCCGGACATTTCGGGGATTGATAACATCATCCATTGCCCTACGCTTGATCATGGCAATACTGCGAAGATTGTGGCGGAGATATACGGGAACCCCCTTCTTGCCGACAGAACATTGGGCGAATGAGTCTTCCAGGAGCAGGCCCACGCTTGTAGCTATATCGGCAGTCCAGTTCGTTACACTTAAACTTGGTAGAGTCTAGATTTTCTCCGGTGTCGCTCTTCTTAGTCTTGGTTGCGGTCAAGATGACTCTGAAGGCTTAACATTGAGTCTCGAAAAATTCCGTGTCAATCGGAACTTCGATCTCCAGTGAATTCGAACACTCTGGAAACTTGATGTTTGCTGGTGGGCCACGGGCTAGTTTGCTAGCTTGACAATGCCGGACATGGCGGTTCAGCTTCCAGTGATGTTGCGAACCTGCGGCCCGGAGCAATGAGACGCCCTGCTGTCTGTTAGACCGCAGCACGATGCTTTCTTCGCACCGTTTCATCCAAGGCTCACAAAGGCCGGATTGTCGCCCTCTTTGACCATCACCTCTCCATCACCACCAGATGTCCGATAATCGCGAGGCGATCCTTCACCAAATCCAGGACCGTCCGTCTGTGAGCCGTTGGACTTCATGCTGGACTTGCGTTTCGCCTCCATCTCCTGGTCGTGAACAGCGCTCGAGTACAGCTTGAGCGAGCCAAGAACCATGATTACGACGGCGCCGAGTGCTATTATCACACGCCGCGTCATCACCCATCGCAAGCCTTCGACCTCAGATCGAGCGTCTGCTTGTAGGTCGACTGTAATTTTGTAATTGAGCTGTTGCACCTTGGACTCCATCTCGCGTTGCTCATTTCGCACCGTCATTTTCCGGTCATCAAACATGCCCTTGACCTCATCTTTCAGCGATGCGCTTTCCTGGCCCAATCTCTGCGTAAGAATGTCTACCTCGTGTTGTAACTGGCTGCGCTGAGCCCGCATCTTTTCTTGCTCCGACCGTCGACGTGATGTCACCTCTGTCTTAAGCTCGGCGCATGCTGCACGAAATAGATACGTCTCGTTCTCTACCTGCGATTTGCTCACTAAGGCGTCACGAGCAAATTCGGTGTTTTCGGCTAGCATCAGGCGAACAGCTTTCATGGTTGTGATAGCATGCAATTTCGACCATCCTGAATCCTCTAGCCTCCGGACCAGTCCATACGTGTCAAATTGGTGCACAAATGGCGGCGGAGCCATGTGCGGTGCCGTGGCGACAAATTCATCAACATGAGGTGATGATGGTGTGTGAGGCGCACTTCGATCTTCGCCCAACTGTCCGCCCTCGCCGACTTGCTTGAGAAGCGAGTCAACGGTCTTTCCTGTTGATTTCGGTGTCTCGTCAGGAAGCTTGCTCTCTTCTGTTGTAACGTATGGCTCTGTGACACGCTCGGGTCGGGGTGCTAGAGCCGACAACGCATCGACAGTGACCAGTTGTGCTTTGGCCGCGATTACGCCGCCTTGAGTAGTTCCCAGCTTCTCAGTGTGATCCGCATTGGCCTTGGCACTCTCATCGATCTGACATCCCTCGCCTGTCCTCGAGTCATTCGCGCTTTCCGATGGTGTTTGTCCGGATGTGCCAGCTGTTTTACTCGCTCCAAGGTCAGGGTGAGGCTCGTTGGCGGTGCCGTATCGCTGCTGAATGTCGGGAAATCGTGCTCGACTCGTGGAATGAAAGCTCCTGATTCGCGCCGACACTAAAGCTATGCGTAGTGTAGGATTTGTTGTTTCGATGGCTCCTGCCAACTCGGGCCAAAGAACCGAGAGGCGAGATGCTATCATCGTGAATCTCCAAATTCAATTCGTTCGCATCGACCGGGCAGATGCGATTAGAGCGCAACCAGCAGCACGATAAAGTATTCACCGTTTGGGAAACAGAGCGAACATGGCACGCATTGATTGATCCAAATGTCTAGATTGTAGTACAAGGAAAAGGAGACATGGATTGATGACCGATAACCCAGCACTATCCACCTGGGCAGGATTAATTGCTTCAGACCCCTCCGAGACTTGCCGCGACAGTCATCATTATGCCGAGCACCTGGGCATGCAAGTCGCCAATTCGGCGGCGCGGTCCGCACCTTGCGCGAAGAAGCTCACTGCTGGATGAGCTATGACGCGCGATGCGACCATCTTTCAAGGAGTCTCGCGCCAATGAGCGAGCAATGGGCATCGCCGAAGGAAGGTGCGGCGAGCGTAATTATCTCCCGACGTAACAATGTGAGCAACCTGAGGAAAGTTGTCTTCGACCCATCGCATATTTACACATGTGCTCCGCATATACCCCGTTCCTGTATACTTCGCGTCCACATCTCCCAGCCAAGTCGTCTGACTTTTTAGCAACTCATCCACCTGCTGCTGGTTTGCAGCGCCGACTCCATTATGAATATATTCCGGATCCTTGGTAAGGATTGAGGCAACTCCAAAATTTGTGGTGTCGCAACTAACGATGCGATTCAATGCAGCGGACTTGTCGCATCTTGCTTCGATTTTCATTCTCATAGCTAAGATGCGATCGTCAAGTGTAAGTTTCGCGTCGTCATCTGTGACGAGACGGATACAGACTAACGACATAAATCAGAGTGCAGCGGGAATATCATTCAAATCGCAATTCCTCTATCTCGTGGTCTACATAACTAGATATCTTGGTAGGATTTCTCAGAAATGCAGCTTTGCGCATTCAAGCTAACGCTCTATGCGCAGATCTCCTATGGACGAACCCAACCAAGTCACTATGGAACACAACATTCAAAATCATCTTTATCGCTGCTCAAGTCTACATCGTCTATCTTATGCTCAACGACTACAAGCCCACCCATGACACGAGCCAAGACACATTCAAGGTGGAATACTTGCTGGGTGGAGCTGCCGTTATGGGGATACTATTGCCGTATTCGTATAGGCCGGCTGAGGTTAGTCGGAAGGGGAGCCTCTGTGATGATTTGCAAAGTGCTCACATACAACTATCAGATGCTGTGGGCATTCTCGATCTGGCTAGAATCCGTCGCCATTCTGCCCCAATTGTTCATGCTTCAACGAACTGGCGAGGCTGAGACGATCACAACCCACTACCTCTTCGCGCTGGGCGCCTACCGAGGGCTGTACATCCCCAATTGGATTTGGCGATATTTCACAGAGATTCATTATCATTGGGATCCGATTCCTGTGGTCGCTGGCATCATCCAAACGGTTTTGTACACCGATTTCTTCTACATTTATTACACGAAGTATGTATTACGCTTGCGCATGAGAAGCACTCATGGGATTCCTGCTGACGAATCGACAGGGTGCTCCAGGGCAAAAAGTTCAACCTGCCCGTATAGAATGGTCGCGTTTCATCTCTCACCAGCCATCCTTTGGTAGACCCGAACTTCGAGACTGGTCAGTTGCTATCATCGACCTTGCGCTTGGATCGAGTGCTACTCGCGGCGACAAACCCCTCGGATGCTGGAACGTCTATTGAATTGCATTGCTGGCACTATGATTTCATGAAAGGCAGATCACGACTAAATGCAACGCACGGATTAGAGATAGGTCGAGGTTGATTCTCAGATGTGTCTCCACGTACATGATGGTGAAGTGACTCGCATGGCATCATCCTCAGGGCTTGCAACGGTCTCAAAGGGATAGACAAACATGCCTTTTTGAGCTCGACATGTGTTCAAAACGCAACATGATCTTTAGAGCTCTGGAGCAGTGGAACGGTAGTGAGCGGCCTTTTTGATAAATGTTTCGAAATACGAAATACGATACAGGTAGGCGAACGATCCTGATCTATTCCCAATTTTTTAGCATTCATTATATTACGCAATCTTTACGCCTGCCTGTGTGCAGTTGAAACATGTGACATGGATCTGCAATCTGCCCCAGGTGCGGACTTTTGATCGGGGAGCAATCGGAGCCGCATGACACCAAAGCCTTGCGCAGCCTTAAATCTGGCGGCGTCCGATGGTGCCAAGCCTAGAGCTGTCATTGCTTGAAGCTGTCATCATACTTGCCAATTAAATTCACGAGCTCCATCGATGACACAGCTGCTTTCTCACATTGTCTTTATTCGCTGACAACACGACATTGAAATTTTGTCATTGTTGCATCGCTCTCAGGGCGATATCTTTGCTCCTTCCGGCACGGCCTCAAGTTTTGGCGCGTTTGATGACAATGGCAGATCTTCAGGAACTGTTTTCACGCCTCAAAGCTGCGGCGACCGAGCCGTCGCCTGCTGTTCACTCCCAATCGCAAAGTCCTTCGCAATCCTCGTTATGGGCTCAGCCTCCAGCGAATCATCAGCACATCATTACTTCACCGCCACCTCACGCTACGATCACTTCTGTTCGTCCGTCATCGATCTTGAGTTCATCACACCCGATGGCCGTGGCGAATACTCCGGCCTCTGACCAAGAGCGTTCAAACCACTTGCTCAGCCTGCTGAAGTTCACCCAACCTTCCAATGTTCCACCGAGCTCAACCAGCCCCATGGCAAATCTGCAGAATGTCGGCGTATCGCGGAGTGCGTCTTCATACAATCCTGGACTGCCAGCCTATGATGGCGGCAATCCACGTCCTCTCTCTGCCGCCGATCTGATGGCGAACCTACAGAGAAATTCACAATCTCCAATCGCTCAAACGACTGTAATCTCGGACAAACGCCAAAGCATTCCTACTCCTGCTGCTGCCCAGCAAGATTTTCTCCTTCACCTTTTGAAGCCATCATCAAGACTTGCACAGTCAGGAAATGCTGCTGATTCTGCGCTGCCTACACTAGCAGCGAGTTCGGAGCCACATAATTCGCCCGTCCCTCACTTCGGCAGTCCCTCGATTGATCAGACGGTGTTCGAGGCTCCTCAACCAACAAAGCCGTCCAGATTTAATTACATCAATCCCTTTGACGAGCTACACTCATCTTCGCCTCTCAACGCCGCTTCTAACCCGAAAGCGTCCCCTTCGAATCCGCAGACCTTTGAGATTCTCAAGCATGCTCGTGATACTTCAGTACCGCAGGCTGAAGAGCTGCTTGCTCCTGTCGCAAAAGCGAAAAAGGCAGGCGCAGGGGATACCGCATCACAAGGCGCGACAGATTCCGGAAGCACAAGCGTTTCCAAGGCTCTGCAGGGGGTCGGTGAGAAAGCGGACAAAGAGGCAGAGCAAGCTCTTACAGCTGCGGAGTCGAAGGATCAGTCCAGGAATGACTCGTCGTCGGCGGCACTCCCCACGAGACAGAAAGAGCAGAAAGTGCCGGCAAATACTGATGAGGTCGGTTCTAGTTGGGAAAGTGCTGAGGATGACGAAGCGTCGGCATGTGCCGTCGACGTTTACAACTTCCCAATGAAGCCGTTCGTCTCATTGCAGATCAAACAAATGCCAGAGGCACGACCAATCCGTCAGGATAATTTCATGGTCGTCGCACAGCTCAAGAAGGATTTCGACCAGATTGACCGCTGTCTCGTCACTGCGAGCCAAACCCACATCATATATGCGCAAGTTGCCACGAAGAAAGACAACGGCGGATTCCGCGTCATCCGGCAGGATAATGGACAGCACAAGCAAGTATTTCGGTCCAGTGGCGAGCGCATTTTCAATGTGCAGCTATGCAGTACGAACGTGAGAGGAGACGACGTGGAGACAGTTCTCGGAACTGGAGTCAATGGCTCTATCTTCTGGACCTCCCTCAACAAGTCTCGTGGCGATCTATTTGAGGACGATGACGTTGAATCGCAAGGGTTTGTCATGCCTCCAGTGGCGACGATCGAAGAGAATACATCTGGCTCTCCCGTCAAAACTCGCGCCAAGATGAGCAGTCGCCATCCTGCGTTCTTCGGCGTGGCTCGAGGCAAGCAGATTTACATCATTGCCCCTGACGCCGCGAAGCAACCGCAGTACTGTCCATTCACAACTCGCAAAGTCGACAGCGATAAATTTTTCCAGGAACGAAGTCTGAAGATTAACACCGGAAAGGCTGGCAAAGACTTCTGTTTCTCCGAAGACGATTCCGTGATCGTGAGCCTGGATAAGACTGGGCGATTCAAATTTTGGGACATTCGTGAGTTGACGAGCCAGATCACTACGACAAATGGACGACAAGAGCCAGTCGAACTCCGCGAGCCAATGTGGACCATGAACGCCGCGGCATCTGGCAGCAAGCCTGATGAGAAACCATCCGTATCATCAATCATGTTTCTTGACAAGGAACGACCCACGGTGAAGGGTACTGCGCTCAGGTACATGATCATTGGCTTCAAACAGAATCATATCCTTCAATTGTGGGATCTCGGTCTCGGCAAGGCAGTGCAGGAGATCCGCCTTCCGCACGAGAAAGACAGCGACGGAATATGCAGCATCAGCTATCACGCCAAGTCTGGCATTATCACTGTGGGGCATCCGACAAGGAACAGTATCTACTTCATCCACCTCAGTGCGCCGAAGTACCCCCTGCAAGCCATGGAGCAAGCAAAGTATATTGCACTTCTCGCGCGCGAAGACTCCAAATTGCTCCCTCGTCCGGAAAGCACGGCTATCATGAGTGGACTTAGAGAGTTCTCTTTTGCAAAGGTTGGTCAGCTTAGAAGTGTTGATATGTTGAAGACGCCAGTGGAGAATGCGAGCGAAGGTGGTAGCACAGATGAGACTTTGTTTGAGCTATACATCATGCATTCAAGGGGTGTGGTCGGAGTCCCCATCAAACGCGAGGATCTTGGATGGGATGCAGCCGGTAAAATGGTCAATCCCAAAGATGCTCTAGCCGAAGGTGTAATCGATATCAGCGAGCTCATTCAGCCCCACAAGTTGCCGGCACTCAGTGAACAAGGTACGGCTGACAATGCCACGAAACAAAATACGAAGCCAGGACAATCCAAGAAGGAAGATCTCACAAAATCCATTGATGCTTCGAAAATTGCCACGCTTACGTCGAGACCGGAAGCGAAGAGAGACACTCCTGTGAGCAACTTAAATAACCACGAGCCAAAACATTCTCAGGCAACAACATCGGCTCCTGAGAATAGGCCCACTGAAGCAGCAGGCCCGAATGAAGCTCAAGGTCAATCGCAGGACATCCAGTCACAGCTCACAGCCCAGACAGCAGGCACCCAGCGTGGCAAATCGCCATCTAAAACGAAGCCTACTTCTAGCACAGCCAATGTTGCGAAGAAAGCTTTGCCGCCTCCAACATCTGCATCGGCTCAGACGAGCATCACTGGCGATGAGTTTCAATCTCTGCTCAACAAACAGTCCGAGAACCTATACCAACGTATTGACAACGAACGACGCGCTCAGGATGCCTCGGCCGGCGCCAAGCAGGAAGCGCTACTACGACTGGTGTCTTCAACATTGACAGACAATGTCGATCGCAGCCTCAACCATATCGTCAGCAATAGTATTCAGCAGGAAGTGCTTCCGATGCTGAATGACATCATCAGCAAAGTCATAGACCGCAACATAGCAGACTCACTACCCCAGCATCTAAGCTCCAGCATTCAGACAGCATTGAAGGGTCATCTTCCTAGCGCTTTGCAGAATGCCTTGAAGGAGAAGGATTTCCATCGCTCGATATCGGAGACAACAGCCAATCAAGTCGCCAACAAAGTGCAAGCCCAGGTGTCGACACTGTTACAACAAGCCCTACCTAATATGGCAACTCAAGCTTCGCTGAAGCTAGTGGCTGATCTCGAACAACGAATGAGTCAGAAGCTTCAGCTTGCTGAGACCGAGCGCAAAGCTGACGCAGCTAAGATCGACGGGCTGATCAGCATCGTCAACCGCATGTCCATTACTATGGAGAGTCTCTCAGACTTGCAGTCTGCGACTCAAGATGCCCTACTCAAGATGCAGCGTGATGTTGCTACTGTAGCACGGGCGAGTGTTAGCCGTCCATCACCGACAGTGCCTGCCGAAGAGCCTCGAGTTGAAGGTCCCGTCGAGCTTCAATCTGATCCCGAAGACGAGGAGGTTGCTCGCATAACGCAGACGCTCTTGGCTAAGGAATACGAAAATGCCACGATCCAGGTAGAATGTCCACAAAGCTTCCATCTCTTAACAAACATACTGACCAATCTGTAGTGGATCTCATCAGACCGCCAAGCCGACCTCTTTGACAACCTTTTCGTCCGTGTCAATATGAATTACTTAGATTACGTTTCGCCACTCGTGTCATTGACCGTTTCTGCTGCCATCACATCAAGCTTTTCGACGAACATCGAAGAGCGCCTGGCATGGTTAAAGAAGGTCCTTGACTCTATTGACATCCGTCATCCAGACATTCGCGATGTTGCCCCAAAGATCATGGATGTCCTATCACAACGTCTCCGCGGAGCCTACTTGGCATTGTCCGAGGAATCGCCAAGGCCCGAGGGCACATTGCATTCCATTGTAGCGCTGAGTCAGCAAGTGAGGTACGTAAGGCATGCGTGATTAGTCTCGATACTAACTTATGTGCTGATCCTTTTCTACAGCGAGGTCCGCAGGCTCACGGCTTGACTAGCCGCCGGCGATAGGCTTAACATGTTTGTATGAACACCATAATTCATTCGTCAATCGACGTGGTCGATTTCAGTATTAGCAAGGCGTTGGTGCATAGCTGATGGGTCAGGGCCCACAAGTAAAATAATGCGAGCATTATCGACTTGAACAGTCCTCATATTCCTGTGACTTCTCGTAGAACCTAGCAACATTATATTGCAGACGTGAGCGATCTTCGCCTCAAAGCCGGTGACAAGTTGATAAGTTGCTCGAGGATTCAACACCAGATTCCAGTGTGGCCAAGTTCGGATACCTACCTAGGTAGCCAACTATGTACGTATGTGTGACTGCGTGACGGAGAAGCTTCCTCGAATGTCTTTCTCTACCGTCGAAGGCCCAGAGTAATTCACACGACCAATAAACCGTCTAGAGACTCGACTGTACGCGAGCGATAATCTTCTTGCGGCCCAAATTGATGAGGGTGTCCCGTCAATTTGCTGCAGGTACGGCGCACGATTGTGCCAAGGGAAAGCGTATATGTACACTTGCGCTTCTGTATGCGGCTCCGCTGCACTTGCTTCCTTCTCGCCCTTGATTATTCACTCCAATTGTACCTACCTAGGGTAACAAGAACAGTCGATATCTGAACTTGTGATATTCGAGACCTTGTGCGAGAAAGTGCATACACATTGCAGCCAGAAGCTTAAACTTGCACATCAACCGATGATGTCGATCACCTTGTTCTTCCGCCACACAGTTCATGCTTGTTCGTGAATCGGAAGCCTACAAAGGGTAGGTTGATTTCCAGCATTGCATTTGGATGCTTTTGATCGCGAAATTAATGCTATCGCAATTCCAAGCGCTGGATCACATGCATTCTTTATGCGCCACGATTACTGCGAAGTCGTTCAGCCTGGCACTTCCCGCACGTGTCACAGCTCTCATGTTCTCTGTTGACAAGATTTGCAGACAGCGTCTCTCAAAATCCAGTCTCCTCCAGGAAACCTGCGATCATAGCTAATGAAACTTGCGGAAAGTCGTGTCCAAACGATCCTTTATTGAAATGGACAATCACATCCCTGATGTCTTCATGCAGGACGAGGGCATTCTTCAATCAACAGAATCTTTCGGGCAGCCTTTAACGAACATCCTGGGCACAGTCCTCCGCGAAGATTTGGATAATTTGAACTCGGTGCAAATTCATGATAAGCAAGCACAGCAGCATGAGTATTCACATCAAGATCACGAGCTTACCTCATCCCACGATGTGCCAAGGCCGGCGAGGTACAAAAATCTGCCCTACGGCACTCTTAAGACTGGTTTAATCTATGATGTCCGGATGCGATTTCATGTTGAAGCCGTGCCAAGTGCGGATGATGTGCATCCAGAGGACCCACGTCGGATACATGCCATTTTTGAAGCCTTCGTCGACGCAGGACTGGCCTGGAGCGAGGGTATCTCCGAACCTTCGACAGAGTATTATATGGGCCGCATTGACGCCCGTATGGTGACGAAGGAAGAGGTTTGTCTCGTGCATACTATCGATCATTGGAACTGGGTTCAATCATTACAGCACTTGACACCGGAAGAACTTGACACTGAAACGCAACACGAGGGCGAGCCCAACGACTCGATTTATCTTTCGGCTAGCACCCCGTACTGCGCCGGCCTTTCTGCAGGAAGTGCTATCGAAGCGTGTCGGGCGATACTGTTAAACAAAGTGAAGAATGTTTTCGCTGTCATCAGACCACCTGGGCATCACGCGGAGCGTGAGGACGCTAAGGGCTTCTGTTTTTATGACAATGTGAGCATAGCGACCAAATCCTGCCAGCGCGAGTTCGGCGAAGATTGTAGGAAGGTCTTCATTCTCGATTGGGACGTGCATCACGGCAACGGCATACAGCAAGCAAATTACGATGACCCAAACGTGCTCTATGTCTCGATTCATGTCCACAAAAAGGGAGGATATTACCCTGAACTCTCCTACCGGGACAAACGCGGCCCATATGGTGATCATCTACATTGCGGAGAGGGGGCGGGCCTCGGCAAAAATGTTAACATCCCATGGACCAAAGCAGGGATGGGGGATGCCGATTACATATACGCTTTTCAACAAGTCATTATGCCTATCGCGACAGAATTCAACCCCGATCTAGTCATAATCGCCGCTGGTTTCGATGCTGCGGAGGGCGACATGCTTGGCGAATGCAAAGTCACGCCGGCTGGATATGCTCACATGACCCACATGCTGATGTCGCTTGCAGGAGGAAAAGTGGCCGTCTGTCTCGAAGGTGGCTACAATTTGGTGTCCATCGCTCGATCAGCGACGGCTGTAGCACGTACGTTGATGGGAGAGCCACCAGACAGGCTCGTCAACACAACGCCAACCACATCTGGTGTAGACGATGTTAAGCTTGTCTTGAGGCAGCAAAGTCGATTCTGGTCGTCGCTGTTCCCGAAAGATCCAGCCGCGCGGGCCGCACTCACTCTACCTAGCGAGAGGATGCACAACATTGTGCGCAAATGGCAGGCAGAGACGCTATGGGATGAGTACTCCATGTCGCCGCTGTTTATACACAGGGAGCATCTCGCAAAGGAATTTGAGAACCAGGTTCTAGCAACGTGAGTTGTTCAACAATTTCGAGAAAGCTCCTATGTTGCCCCAAGCGCTGACGCCTGGCAGGCACAACTACAAGGAGGCTCGGCCTCTTCTCGTCATTCTGCACGATCCACCGAACTTACTGGCATCTCCTGATCCACGAACAGGCAATATTGAGCTGCACAACACATGGCTGGTATGTTCTCCTGAGCAAGAAACGTGCGACCGAGCTAGTGAGCACTGCTGACTATGCAAAGGCTGATGTTGTGAAGACTTATGTTGACCAGGCTATCGAATATGGCTTTGCTGTGATCGATGTGAATCTACCAAGACACGTTACCAATGTAGAAACCGAGCTCGATCACGAAGATAACGACAGTATCGAAAATCGATCGGTCGAGGCTACATCCTTGTTGACTTATATCTGGGACAACTACATCGCCCTCGGCGATCCAACGCACATCTTCTTGATGGGTACCAATGTCGGCCACGGAGCGATTCTTAGCTTCATCAAAGCAGACGAAGAGCGCGCACAGATGATAACAACCTCGATTTCCTTCGTGGTAGACGTTCCGCTTCTCTCTGCCAAATCGCAGACGAATGATCAGTTAGAGCGATGGTATCATAGAACTTCTCAAGTGTTCATGTCCTCGGACCATGGCTACTGGTCATCTGAGTTTTCTCGCAAACCCAAGAAGCGTTTCGGCAGACTCATACAGAGCGCTGCGAACACTCTGCCAGAGATGCTAAGCCAACACAGTCGAGATGTAATGATTCGCCTTGCAGAGGAAACTGCGGATTGGAGAGATACACATGCCAACGATACAGAAATGAGCCACGGATTCGACGCAAATCGAGGATTACAGACTGGTGTTCCTGGCCAGATCCCCGCCATCGTATCTACCGAATAGGTGGTCTTTATGGCAAGTGCAATGACTTCGGCGCTGGATTTACAATATCAGTCTTGTACGCGTGGCAATAAATGCAGGCAACACTGTACTGATTTCAAATTTTCAAAGCCATCGTGTTCAACGCGGCATTATGACTGGATGTAGCCTTCAGCATACTCAAAGCGAGAGTGCTCTGCACGGACTCACAGTTCGCATCCAAGGAATGCTGTGGGTCGTATGCGCTACCCTCGCTCTCAGACATACGGTGCTTGTTTTTGCAGCAGTTTGCGTGGCGCTTGTAGTGAAAAGTTCGTGTTTGATTGTGCTGCCCGGCCACCATAGATGAAACGCCCTCAACTTGATCTTCGGCACAGTTGGCTGGCGAATCAGTTAAGAGCTCAACATAATTGAATGGCGTACTGTTGAACACGTGCATACCATATACCTGGTCGTCTTCGTTTTGATCGCTGGGATACCGCCGTGAATAACCCCAGAAACAACCCTAATCGTGGACCCTATGGGCCGTGGACTCCAACCCTCACCTGCAGATGCCGGTGGGCAAGCTTACACGCGAATTTAGCGCGATTGTTCCTTGCGCGCTGCCGTCCTCGTCGAGGTCATCAGCATGTGAAAGTACAGTGTGCACCCTGACAAGAGGGGCTTATAATCTGTGCCGCAAACGAAGTGGATTTGTAGTTGAATGCGATGTCGATCATTTGACAGTGTGCGCCTCTCCTCATGTAATCAAGACGTTCCAAGCTTGGACTTAGAACGAGATCATTCTGGTGCCAACAAGAGGTGCGCCAGCGTGTTTGTCAAAGACGGAAGCCTCTCGACTCGATGCCACACCCACACCCGACACAAACCACTCGCAACTGTGGACGCTGCCTTCCATGTCAGTCAAGAAGGCGATCGGCATAATATGCTTAAGTCTTTTGCCATTCCATCTGGCGCAGGCCCTCGAAGGACGGAGCGTCGTAGATTCTTTGCTGCACGACAGCGACAATCACGATTCACAACGCTTAGGACAAGTCAATTCCGCCCGGCTCAAGGTCGAGGAGGAGACGTTGCAGGTCCTAGCGGATGGATGGTCGACCAAGAGGGATGTGAAAGAGGTGCAATTACAAGGCAATGACATTGGAACACCACAGGATGCGACTACAGGAAGCATAGCGATCTGGCAATACCCAAACAGATTTCTATTGTCAAAAAACGCGGAGCCTGGTGCGGTTCTCCCAAGCGCCTTCGGGGATGCGGACACCAGTTCTGCTGCCGGCCGGGACGGACCAGCTCGAAAGAGTAGAGACACATTAGCGAGGTCAACGGATGATCAAGTCATATTTTCACGGGAGAGCACCCTCGTCTCGAAACAGATCTATATCTCCGCAAACACCTGCTCACAGCCTTTCTGGGTCGGCACAGGCGTGCAAGATGTTGCTCCGCCACAATTGACCCTCTACGTGTCCACAAAGTCTGGTAAACAAAAGCTCGGTCCTGACGGTGATAACGATTCACAGACTGTGCATCCATTCGTAGATGGATTCGTCAATGCATCTGTCAGCGCTTCTGGCGACTGGTACATGGCAGTATCCGCGCCCACCTTCTCCTCCAGTTTTAAAGGACAGTGGAACTACCAGCTGGCAGTGTCCATTGATGACTATTTTCACGGAGCACACCAGGAAGCCACGAGCGACTTCCTGCACCTTGTCGACACGGACATGGATGCCGCTTTGCTGATATCAGGCAGACTGGGTAATAACAACGCTTCAGACTCAGAATTGTATCAAAAATGGATGAAACTCAACCCTCCATTTGTCATGTTTGCCATGAACGAAAATGTCACCAGCTATATGGGCGTGGAGAGCTCATTCTGTGGCCTTCGAAATGCTGTCAGAAATGGCGCTCAAGTGCAGGCAGATCAGAAGGATCTCGGTGGCAAAACGAGTAATGTGCAAATGCAGATGAGTTCCCGTGGCATTGGAAATTACCCTCGACAACAATTTTACATAACACAGCTTAACAGCTCCAGTTCTTACCGGGGCTACATAGCCATGGAAGGCGATTCTGCTAAAGTGGGCAACGGGGTTGTCGGTGGTGGCGGCAGGATCTGGCCTCCCATGCGCTTCACGACCAAGACCGACGGCAATTGTCAGCTGCTTTTCGACCTTCCTTTTTGCGATGGAGTGGCATATGCAGTACCTGCAAACCCACAGGGCAAGAATACTGCCCTGACCACGTTTGAAGGGCTCAAGCACTTTTATGATAATTACACGTCGTTTTGGTACGACAATTTTGCAAAGAGCCTTCAGGTTCTGCCGTGCAACACCACGTCGAACGCACAGTACTCGCTGGCCAAGGACTGCAAGTCGTGTGCAGCTGCGTATAAAGAATGGCTTTGTGCGGTGTCCATTCCCCGATGCGAGGACTTTAGCAATCCCGCCAAACACCTGCAGATTCGTAACGTGGGTCAACCATTCTACAACAACAACTCGATGCTGGAAGATAGTTTCCTACAACAAAATTACCAACCCATGCACAAGGCGCCTACAGTTGAGGGCACTATTGCATTCCAGCAGACATACATATCGAGTTTCGCCACCAATCAATCTCGGAACCCGACGATCGATTTGAACATTGCGCCTGGGCCGTACAAGGAAGTCAAACCTTGTGAAGACCTATGTTTCAGTCTGATGCAGAGCTGTCCTGCAGCGCTGGGTTTCTCATGCCCGTATGAAGGCCGTGGATTGGATGTCAGCTACGGCAAACGTGGGCCACCAGGCACTGTGGAATGCAGCTATTTGGGTGCATATTACCATCAAAGCGCTGCACTACGTTCGTTTGTGCCTCCGACTTCAGCTCTTCTTAGCGCGCTTGTCATTGTTGCAATTGTTGTATTATTATAGTTGGTAATGAGCTGACGACGAGATGAGAGTGGGCGATTGAAATGTACTGGAGCATTGGTAGAATTTTGTATCCGCCATGATCTTTCCGAAGAATCGTCGAAGTGTGACGATAACGTGAGGATCACCGTCAGAGTGAGGACAAGGGTACCTAGGTACCTAGGTACTGCGAGTCTGACCGGAATGACGAGGAGATGCTCGTGTGCCCAAAGCGCGATGGTGCAGCACAACTAATGATCGTTTGTTGCTATTACAGTATGACATGAGGGCGAGCATAATGACCATTTATCCTGCGTTGTGTGCGCCGATGAGAAGCAAGTGATCCAAAGCCCTCACACGGAGGTTGCAGTGGGAATCTTGATGACGTTCATTGAGCGTTGGTGGTTGCTGAGTCCCGCGCTACCGTTTCTTTCACCACCTGCATGCTGGTATGCCGTCGAAACTTTCGTTCCTCCCGAGGTCGTCGCTCCGCCTGGCTCGGACTGGATAAATATTGGGATTAGTTTTGTCTGCCTTGTTATCACTTGCACCTCCAGGCACTCTTCGTACCTGCACCAAATTTCCCTTCTCGCAAACCTTCTATCTCACGCCCGAACACTGTGTCTTGACTCAGTGTGTTGCCGAATCTGCCCTGCCTACGTGGAGCAGCCAAAGTGGCCTTTACGATTCATTTATCACGAGCTCTCCTACATGGCCATTTCTATGATTCAATAACACTTGCTCAAACCCGGAAAGGGAAGCAGTCGCGTCGAGTGGACAGACGAATCGGAAAACTTCAGGAAGTTCGCTCGCCTGACTGAGCTACAATCTCAAGGAGTCCATTTCATTCATTTTCTGTCAAACATTTAACAATCACAATTTCCTCGAAAACAAACAAACAAAATTCTAGCCCAAGATGCCAACTCTCGACGTCGATAACTTCAACGTGGTCTGCGCAACTCTCGGCGGCTTCATCGGTGCATTTGGTCTCGTATCTTATTTGTTGAAAGAGAAATTTTACCTCTCTGAAGCTTTGATCTCGACGCTGGCAGGTGTCGCCCTTGGGCCTCACGCAGCAAATTTTATAAGGCCTCTCGAATATGCGCTCAACGATGAAGTCAACTTGGAGACGATCACGCTGTATTTTGCTCGGCTGGTGCTCGGTGTACAGCTGGTTTTAGCTGGCGTACAGCTTCCGAGCAAGTATCTTTGGACTGAAAGGAAGAGCTTGTCAATCTTGCTCGGCCCAGGCATGTGCATCATGTGGCTTGTCACATCACTGCTCGTCTGGGGTCTGGTACCAAACATTACTATCTTAATGGCTTTGAGCGTGGGAGCCTGCGTGACGCCGACCGATCCCATTCTTTCCAACAGTATCGTCAAGGGAAAGTTCGCAGACAAGAATATCCCGCCACCTCTACAAAAGATCATCATCGCCGAGTCGGGTGCCAACGACGGCCTCGGATACCCTTTCCTTTATCTCGGACTTTATCTACTGAAGTACACCGCCATGGGCGGCGCCGGTCAAACTGGGGGCGCTGGAAAAGCCATGGGTTATTGGTTTGGTGAAATCTGGGGTTACGAGATTCTCTTATCTGTGGTCTATGGTACAGTCGTCGGGTGGATCGCCAAAGAGTCGCTGCACTGGGCCGAAGAAAGGCGCTACGTGGATAGGGAGTCTTTCCTCGTGTTTGCAGTCACACTCGCGGTAAGTCTACAGGTGATTCCAACAACGACTTGCAGCTGACCATGGATGTAGCTGTTCATTGTGGGCACCGCTGGGATGGTTGGTACTGATGACGTCCTCGCATGCTTCATCGCCGGCAATGTGTTCACTTGGGACGACTGGTTCCGCCTGGAAACCATGGACGACAGTCTCCAGCCGACTATTGATATGTTGCTCAACGTGGCGATTTTCATGTGGTTTGGCGCGGTCTGCCCATGGCACAGCTTCATTGACAATAACGTAGTGGACATTGGACGCCTGGTGGCATTAGGAGTACTTGTGCTACTACTCCGACGGCTCCCCATGGTACTTGCCTTTCACAAGCACATCAACCAAATTGATGATCTCAAGCGCGCTGGCTTTATGGGATTCTTCGGCCCAATCGGCGTCAGCGCTGTGTTCTATCTGTACGTCTCGCGCCAATTTCTCCGAGAGATTGAGGTCGACGGCGTTCAGCGCGAGGATGCTGCGCAATTGGAAGAGGTGATGAATGTGGTCATCTGGTTTCTCATTATTTGCTCAATTGTGACACACGGACTATCCATTCCAGTTGGAAAGTTAGGATTCCATCTTCCGCGAACCATCAGCACAGCACTCTCTCAGGAGCGGCCATCCCGCCCGCTCAGTCGCGCCTCGACCGGGGCGCGTCAAGAAACAGCCGATCGTAGCACGAGGCAACGAGCCGAAGGGGAGCGATCGCTGACCCGCGAATTCAGACGAAGGCGCCCGACGAGCAGCGAGCTTGGGCCTCGTGAAGTCGTAGCGCAGAAGACTGGCCTGGCTTGGTTGTGGTCTGTCATCAGCCACCTGAAGTGGGCATCACGCGTAAATCGTGAAGACGAAGACGCCAATGTTTCAACCGCGAGTGCTCCCAAAACGACTGATCATCCTGTCATCTCTGCCCCTCGAGATGGAAGAGTCATCGGCAGTGTGATCACTAAGCCAGTTGCTGAGGGCGAGCCTCGTCATGCCTCTTCGGACGAGAGAACCAGCCAGAAGTCGTCGGACGAAGATGTAGAAGTCGAATTGCCTACTGCTGGTCCGTCCACGGCAGGAACGACCTGGAATCGTAGCATTCGCTTCGGTGATGAATCTAGGCCGAGGTCTTGATCCCTCAGCAAGTCACAAATCTCTGCTGCTCCAAAAGGCGGTAAACGATGAGTCAACACGGTGACAGGCGATACAGTGCAAGCGCAAGAACTTCATTCCAGGAAGCATATGTGGTCGTTGGTGAGACACGCGTATGTGCGAGCGCATACAGGAGCGCAGATGTACTTACTATTTTCGATTGGGAAGATGCTTTGCTGGAGCCGGCTGTGTGCCAGGTAATTGTTCAACACAATACCAAACTCGCTCGCGCGCGTCATATAATTTAAATAGTTTTTCAAGGTTATTTCGATCAAAGGAGCAATTCTATGCCCTCACACTTGTTTGTATGCCTACCTACACTTCGTACACCAGGAGGTGCATTCTTTGTTACTTGATGCCTCAGGCATAGACACCGGGGAAGAAACACTACTAGGTACAGGTGTAAACGCTTCATCCAATCGGCGCAGCTCCAGATGCAATTATGCAATCCTGCATCACCAGACTCAGCAGAGGCACCAGAATGGTCGTCTAGTCATGCCGTCGCTCCCAAACGACCCAGTCAAAGAGGCTCAGCCGACTGAACTTTGCTACACTTGAATCGTAGTGACGCGCGAACACACCCTCCTCACGTCACCGTCGATTTCGCAGGGCGGGGCTCCCCCATCTGACCGCTCTCCCCTCTTGTGCACCTGGGCGGGCTCGACAAGTCCAGGTCGCCGATGGATGTTTGCATGCTCGGTGAAGATAAGATGGTGTTTGTTAACGGTAGGGATGCGGCTATCGTAGGCCCATGGGTTTGCTAGTCGCTCCACGCGGTGTCATACAGTAGCTCTCTCCCACCTTCTCACGTTTATCGCCGCTCTTCCTCTCTTCTACAACAACTTCCAAGGTTGCGTCCAGACCCGTGACACTACTTTCAAAAACGCTTAATACCTCTGTGACTATCCCATCATGTCGGCCGCAGTCTGCCCAGGTAAGCCAAGTGTCGTGCCTGTACCAGAGCCCAGCTTCTCCTTCTAACGTTGCACAAGTTGTCGGAACCACCACCAACGTACTTCCGCCAAACCACCCCTCTATCGCCGATGATTCTGGCGAAGCACGATGCCCAGTGACCAACGCCAAAGTCGAACATCATGGAAACATCGTGAACCACCCGGGCACCAGCATTCCGGACGCTGCTGACGCGCAGGACGCTTCGGCGTGCCCCGCTCTCAAGAACGCCAACAACAAGAACTCCATCACCGATGCTACCTGCCCAGTCGTCGGTCCCGTGAACGCTCACCTTCCTCCCTCTCACCCAGCTCTGACTGAGCAAGATTCGGGTGCGGTCTGCCCTGTTACAAATGCGACGCTTGAGCACCATGCTGGCAAGATCGCAGAGCACAAGACAGTCGCGAAGGATGCTTCAAGCCAGAAGTGCCCCGTTGCTGGCGCGACTTCGTCGTAGATGGTTCTTCGTGGAAGATTGACAAGATGTGGCCGGCTCTGGCCTGGCGAATGAATCTCGAGGTGATGGCGCAGCGCCAGCATTCTGGTTGTATGTGCTCGCAATTCTGAACAGAAAACAAGCTTCCGAGCAAAGAAGTACTGGTTCATTGCAGGCTATCGAGTGATCTGTATACCCGCGCTTCGTCGCAATTGATCCTCGAGGCAGAATACAATTCATTCAGCAAAACCTACCTAGTCCACAAACGTTTTCTTTAGTGACATGCTTTACTCTCATTAAACTCGTCAACGTGTACCAAATCACCCGTTGACCTGAACAGTATTGAATAATGCAGATGAGAACGCAAGCAATTGCGTGAATTGCCAGCTTCGTACGCTCCGAACGCCAGGATTGCATCGCATTTCGATGACACGACGCCCAATCGGCGGAAATACCAGAGACGCATCATCGCAATGACAGCTTTCGAATAAGACGCGTATGACTGAGCACATTTATCATCAAGCAGCTCTGTGCGTGAAACATGGCACGCTCAACTTCGTTGTTCTTCCGCTCCGACAGAACTCTCGTTTTTAAACTCAGTCGCCTCCGAGGTTCTCGTACGTCGTTCATGTAGGCGGTTAGTACTGAAACCATCATGAGAATATCCTGACGCCTTAACAATCCTCGCATAAGCTTCACAAGCTGACAATTTGCAATCGATCAAGAAAAGATAGGATGTAGCTGCCGTCGGTAAGGAAAGATATTTCATCGAGTGCAAAAGCACCCTCGGCCCATCCAGCTACGGCGCCCAAATTCGCACTCTCCGGCACATAATAGAGTATTCTCAGGTGGTAGAAGCCCAAGTATACCACAATAAACAGTGCCGTGTAATGAGTGAGGAAGAAAAGATCAAAATCTTGTGCCAAGAACGGTGGAATATATACTAGGTCATTGTCAAAGCTTTGGCCAATCGGGATCGGGGCATTTGTGCACGGGAGGCGGCCGACTCTCAAACTTGACGACTTTCACGCGGCACGTCCAAGTACAATACGCAACACCTCCCTCAGACCGCAGCGAGGCAGCAAACATGATGCGACAGCAGCTAATCCGTTCGCTGCGGCGGTCGCAGAGGCTGCCTGGCGTCAATGCCACCAACAGTGCGCGCGCCTTTTCGACGACCGGCCAGCGAAACGCCGAGGTGGAGCTGACCATTGACGGCAAGAAAGTGTCCATTGAAGGTATGATCATCGTGGCCCGTGAAGACAGCCTTGACACGCCCGGGATGTGTTTCCAAAGGCTGACTGAGTGGTCGTACAGCGGGATCTGCACTCATCCAAGCATGCGAGAAGGCCGGTGCTACCATCCCTCGCTATTGCTACCATGAAAAGCTCATGATTGCTGGAAACTGCAGAATGTGTTTGGTTGAGGTTGAGCGTGCGCCCAAGCCCGTGGCGTCATGTGCTTGGCCGGTCCAGCCCGGTATGGTCGTGAAGACGGATAGCCCACTGGTCCACAAAGCAAGAGAAGGTGTCATGGAGTTTTTGCTGGCAAACCATCCATTGGACTGCCCCATTTGCGACCAGGGCGGTGAGTGTGATTTGCAAGATCAGAGCATGCGATATGGAGCCGATCGCGGACGCTTCCACGAGTTGGGAGGCAAGAGAGCTGTCGAGGACAAGAACATCGGACCATTGGTGAAGGTAAGTCAATGCAAGGTCAGCTTCCACCAAACATGCCAACTGACGAGTACAGACCTCCATGAACCGCTGTATCCACTGTACTCGTTGTGTTCGTTTCGCCAACGACGTGGCCGGAGCCCCAGAGATGGGCAGCACTGGTCGCGGAAACGATATTCAGATTGGCACATACCTTGAGACTGCGCTTGATACTGAACTGTCTGGCAATGTCATCGATCTCTGCCCGGTCGGTGCACTTACCTCGAAGCCGTACGCTTTCCGAGCTCGCCCTTGGGAGCTCTACCACACAGAGACCGTGGATGTGCTTGACGGACTCGGCAGCAATATCCGTGTCGATGCACGCGGTCTTCAAGTCATGCGTATTCTGCCCCGACTCAACGACGATGTCAACGAGGAATGGATCAACGACAAGACCCGTTTCGCCTGCGATGGTCTGAGCACCCAGCGATTGACTACCCCACTTATCCGAAGAGACAACCAGTTCCAGCCTGCGACCTGGGAGAACGTCCTCGTGGAGATCAGTGAGAAATTTAAAGAAATTGCACCAAAGGGCGACGAGATCAAATTCGTTGCTGGAGCTCTTGTCGACACGGAATTGCTCGTCTCTGCCAAGGATCTCGCCAACCGCCTCGGCTCAGAGAATCTTGCTCTGGATCACACCCAAGGTTCATCGCCTCTTGCCCACGGTATCGACGTCCGCTCAAACTACGCATTCAACTCGAAGATCACCGGTATTGAGGAGGCGGATGCCATTCTCCTTGTCGGCACGAACCCCAGACTGGAAGCCTCTGTACTCAACGCCCGGATAAGGAAACAATGGCTCCGATCAGATCTTGAGGTCGGCCTTGTAGGCGAAGACTTCGAGTCCACATTCGAATACGAGAAGCTTGGTGAAAAAGTCGGAGATCTCAAGAGCGCCCTTGACGGTGAATTCGGTAAGAAGTTGAAGGAAGCCAAGCGTCCCATGATCATTGTCGGCTCTGCCGCAGTTGAGCACGCCGATGCTAAGGCTATCTATGAAACGGTCGGATCATTTGTGGAGAAGAACAAGAGCAACTTCCGCACCGAAGAATGGAATGGCTTTAATGTCCTTCAGCGTTCCGCTTCACGGACGGGTGCTTTCGAGGTCGGCTGGACTGTCCAGAACCCCGAGGTTGCCAAGACCCAGCCAAAGTTCATCTGGCTTTTCGGTGCTGATGAGATCACTGCGGACGACATTCCCAAGGATGCATTCGTCGTTTACCAAGGTCATCACGGTGACCGCGGTGCCGCTCTCGCAGACGTCGTCCTCCCTGCTCCTGCATACACCGAGAAGGGTGCCACCTATGTCAACACGGAAGGTCGTGTACAAATATCACGACCCGCCACCTCACTCTACGGTGTTGCGCGAGAAGATTGGAAGATCATTCGTGCTGTCTCAGAAGCACTTGGAGTTCCGCTACCATACGACAATGTCGAAGCTCTACGAGACCGCATGGAAGAAATATCGCCCGCCCTCCGCCGTTACGACATCGTTGAACCCGTTTCTCAAGAAATCCAGAGCTTGAGCAAGGTCCAACTTGTGGATCAGAACAAGAATGCTTCGTCCTCCGGACAGCCTCTCAAGAAGGTCATCGAGAACTTCTACTTCACCGATGCTATCTCAAGATCTTCACCGACCATGGCCCGATGCTCCGCGGCTAAGGAGACAAAGAACCCTCAGACCAACTTCATGGCGCCTGGTGAGCCACACCCTCAGGTTCACTATGGCCCCTCAGAGCTGGCAGGTGCGAGCGCATAAAGTGACAGCATCTATTTGGGGTAATCGCCCGAAAGGCATGGGCATGTATATAGGCGCTTTAGGTGTTTCCAATAACTTGTACGCATATCGAAAGATAGACGCTCCTATGTGGTATACAGCAAACACGTTTCTTTCCTGACCTTTACATCCCGCGAGTTCTCGAGTCCGAGCGAGGCCACAAAATGCCCAGAAGCGTCCTTGCGTATAAATTCTGCTATCGTACAACCCAGTCATCGAAGTTGATGTACAGACTGGGGCCACCTAAGGCTGTCCCGAGGTCTTCCAAGAACGCCAGGCAGCACTTGCCAAACGCAAATCCGCAAGGACCGAGGGAACAAGCCAAAGCCGGGATCTATCGCATAGTTTAAGACACTTCCATTGCATCGCCGTCGCTCACGCCGTTTGTTGTCGTTAAGGACACACCTCCGTCTTCGCCAATGAACCTCTTCTCAAACTCTGCCACGAAACGGGCACTTCGCAAAGGGTCATAGAAGAGTTGGAAGGATCGCTGGACGTCGCTGACCTCAACCTCCTTTGCCTTCCGCTTCTGTGAGATCAGATGCGAAGTTGTGATCAGGTTACTGGCATATCGTAGACCGGTCTCTTGCCCAATCTTGGTCAATAGCGCCAGCGCGTCGGGCGAGATATCAACCTCCTCCTCGGTAGCGCGAATAGAGAGGATCTCTCGGATCTCATCGCCTTGATACGGATTTGTTGAAATGATGACAACACGGTCGAGGAAATCGAGAGGCAGACCGTGCGGACTCCTGTAATTGGTGCCGCGGATTGTGGCGTTGCCGCGGTTCGACGCCATGATGACAATGGGTGCTAGTTGGTCCTCGAGCGCGCGGTTGATGAAGCTGAAGCATTCAATATCGAGCATGTGGACCTCATCAATGAATAAAACTCCCGGGACAATCTCGGCCTTGCCTTCTTCTTTCCACTCCGCGACCTTTGTGTTGATCTGCTCTCGCACTTCCGAACGGATCTCTCCTGTGTCGCCGGAAAAGAGCGCAAGGAATCCTTGAGTACGGCTGTTGATGACATCGATCTCATGGAGCGAGACCGTGTGGACGGTCTCGCGACGGACGGAAAGCTCGCCTTCTGGACACTGAATGAACTTGGCGTCTGCGCCGACTGCATCGTAGTCTCTGCTCCTCGCGTAGCTTCGACCTAGTTTTGTGATCCGACCGCTAGCCTTGTCGATGCTGATGATATCACCCGCGATAACCTTCTCTTTGGTCATGCTGTCGATCATCCGAGTGCCCATATCATAGAACGTCTCCATGTCCGTAGTTTTGATCGTGAGTTTACCACTCTTATTGTTGCCTGTCACCGATCGGTCAATCACAATCTCCACCACCTCACCCTCGATCACTTCGCTCTCTTCTCGTATCCGTACGCCAATAGATTTCCGGAACGCCTGCTCCAAGGCCTCTGTTTTGCTCATCTCCAAGCTGAATATTTCCGATGAAGCCAGCATGGTGAATGGTACATCGTCTCCCAGACCCTTGCTCATACCAATCGCAATGGCGGTCTTTCCAGTGCTAGGTGGGCCTGAGATCAATACCGCCCGTCCTGCAATCTTTCCTTCTTTTGCCATCTGTAAAATGACACTGGCAGCTTTGCGCGCCTGTTGTTGTCCGACGAGTCCATCTGCGGAGGGTTTGGGAGTGAGAGTATCTGGTGTTACGCCGAGACCACGGATATGAGAATGTGCGGCGATGAGATTGAGTCCTTGTCGCTCTTTCGAGTCGGAAACTGTAGTGATTTGCTGTAGGAAGGTCAGCTGTGTCCGCAAAGATTTTGCGTCGCTGATAACATACTGTTGCCATTCTTATCTTACTTAGGACGCTTCCTCCTAGGCGACCAGACTGCAGTGTTGAGGTAAGCGATAAGGTGGTTGGAGTACGTAGCACTTAGTTCTTGTCAATGCGAATCGTCACCATGAAATGCGACGATGCTCTGCCACGCTTGGACCACGCGAAAACGCGTCTATTCACGAAACTTTAAAGCGCATCTGGGCAAGCTCAGAAAATTGATTGATCACAAAAATGCATTTCACCATAATATGGGCGCGTTTCTCTACCGGCCGGTCTGAACGACATGTGATTCATACAAATCCTCTACACGAACACGTGATCTTTTCTGAGTTAGGAGCAACGACACCCAAGTCAGATTTTTGTATTGTTTCCCACAGTCTCCTGTTGTGAAGAGATTCGAGTGAACACAGTAGTCTTACATAATCGTCCTCCAGCTTGTGATCGACTACACCAGATAGCATCTAGCTTTCCGCACGGAGCATCCCACTAGCGTGAACCTTGCTTCACGGCATGTATATTAAGTAGTTCAATCCATGGATGGCAAGTTCTGCGTCACTTCTTTTGCATTGTTGAGCGGCGCAAATGAGGCACAGTCTGTGAACGGAATAAAAGTCACATCACATGAGATTCATGCCGTATGACATGTCGCCTTCATTTGGAGAGATTGGGCGCAGATATGTCCTCGTCTTCACGAGACCCTCGACGAATAAATCCAAACGATCCACGCATTAGTAATAAAAGAACGACCAGTGCTTCACCCCCAAAGGATGAGGCGACAGGGCGAAAAATCACAAAAGCTGCAGATGCGACCTTCAGTCCAAGACTAGGGTCCAGTGCGGACGGATCAATCGGAAACCCGGCACCGACACAAGAGCAGATATCACGGTTACTTACTGAGTTGGTGGCGCAAAGTGCCGTCCTTGCCTCCTCACAGACAAGTCTTGACCAAGCCGAAGCACAGCTCAAACACGCGAACGATGAGTACGAAGCGGTGCAGACTGATAAGTATAAGAATTTTGCTGCCATTAAAGAGCAAGCACAATTCAATAAGGATCGAGCCGAAAACAAGCTTAACAAAGCGCGAGAGGCAGCGTACAAACAGAGATCCTCGCATGATCGTGTTGTGCAATTACTAGCAGGATACATAAGCCAAGGGACCACGCAAACACCATCATCAACACAACATGATGACCAGATTGCAGGCTTAACACGTGATCTTGCCCTTCTCAGCTCTAGGATACAGAAAAGCGACCTTACCAGAGACACGGAGAGGGGTTTGGATACTAACAGAGTGGCGGAACTTTACAAAGCTTTGCATCAAACAATTGAAAGCGTGAACGAACGATTTCATGGGCTAAATCTTTCCGTGGAAGGCATAACTAATCGCTTGAGTCAAGAAGAGGCGGCTCGGACTGCAGCGCATTCTTCTGATGCTGCGGCGCTAGCGCAATTGGATGCCGCTTGTCACGAGCTGAACCACCAGATTGATCAAATCCGGTCGGACTTAAAAAGAGGCCTCGAAAAGGCGTCGCAAGAAACAACAGCGCGTTCGAATGATAGAGATGCAACAGCCGCTAGGACGAGTGAAGAGGCCGAGGCAAGGTTGCGATCAGCGATCGCTGACCTAGAGTCACGACTTCAAAGATCTGAGGATGATCGACCTCTCTTTGCACGACGAGAAGAGCTTGACAGCTTAAACGATCTGTTGGAAACTACACAAGCAGAAATTAAAGAACTACGGGCGATGAGGACGACCGTTGCGCCAGGTTCGGCTAATAGAGCTTCTGAGCAATATGGCGTTGTACAGTTCTCGCCTGTGCCTCCTATGCCAACAGAACCGATACGGGTCAATGGTCATACACAAGAGATGGTACCTCACGCTCTCGTGGCGGAAATCGATCAATTGAAGGCTGCAATGCGCTCACATCGACAACGGCTTGACAATTTGACCACGGATCATGTAGTACGGCAGATGGTGGAGCAGCTACAAGTTCTTTATCCGAATGCCAAGAGCACGCAAGCCGCATATGAGCGGTTTCAACGAGAAGTGAACGAAGCTCGTGGTATTGCCGCGACGACCAGTAGTGAGGTGAAATCATTACGTAACGGATTGAACGAGCTGCGAAGTCTCGTTGAAGGTCTGACCAATGCCCGTCAAGATCAGTTGAACTCCAATACTAGGAGCTCTCCGGCACAATTGGCCGAATTGCGGGCCATTACCAATACGGTTGAGGATCTCAACCGTTCGGTCACCAAGCTGGAGACGAAGTGTGATGAATCGTTTACATTGCTCTATGAGAACTTCGCCCATATGCAGGATCGCCTAGCACAAGGCGAGACTCTGATGCGCGAACATTCCCGCAGCAAGAATTGAGGCCCAGAGCCCAACACTCCCAGAGTCCAGCAGAAGAGACGCAGAATATCATGATCCTAGCGGCACCCCTGTCAGGCAACATTATGCATCATTGCTAAACTTTGGCCGCTTGTGAATTCCACAAAAGGGCTGACAGAACATGCGGAGATCCCGCATTCCCTACGACGAACACGAACAATTCATGGCATGATACAGAGTGTTTCTTCTTCCACGCAAACCACCACAACACCGGATAGGCCGCTCGACAAGACGCCGCGGCCTACAACACCAGCACACAAGCTTAACGCTCAGAACCTCTTCTCTTCGGAACTATTCTCTACCTCATCATGAAGCATATACCCCACCCTCAGCGACATGGCATGATACCCTTCTTGTTGTCTCATTCCTTTTGCTTTTTATCTTTGCTGCGTGATAGATTTTTGTTCTCCGACCGCGGGTGGGATTTAGCTAGGATCGATAATGTCAATCCAAAGCTGCTTTTTTGCACGTCCCCAAACGGAGAAATCTGCATTGGCCCTAAATAGATGGTACGAAAAATGATGTCTTGTTAGGTTGAAATGGTCTGCTGTATACGATGATGTGTCTCACTTCGACGTGCCACCGCCCTCACTCGTCCCCGACGGATCCGGTTCCGACTTGGTGGCCTTCGCGACCGCCTCCCTCTGCTTCCCCATCCGCGCCTCCGCCGCGCGTGCCATGATCTCCCTTCTCGACAACGTCGCATCCGCTGGCCCTGTCGCCGCAATATCTCCTCCTCCTCCTCCACCACCTAATACATACTCTCCGCCCTCCCAACCACCATGATCCGCCTCCTCGTCTTCGACACCGGGATCCGCAGGATTATAAAACTCCTCGAGCCCGCCTCCGCCGCCGCCGACGGCATGCCCGCCCCTCCGCCAGTCGTTCCGCTCGACTTCATCCTCGATCTGGCGGCACAGATTCCAGAAGTTCCGGTCATGCGGGCCCCAGACGTTGTGCGCCAGTTCGTGGCAGAGCGTCTTGCGGATGATTTTGTAGTCGCGGTAGCCGTCGCCGGCGTCGGTGCGGAGCCGCAGCTCGATGACTTCGCCGCGGTTGCGGTTCAGGCCTAACGTGCGCGACTCGTGCGTCGTGTGTGCTGCCGGGTCCATCTCCGTGAGGAGGCCGACGCGGAACTGATGGCGGCGCATCGAGGCACGGATGCCGGCGTCTTGAGCCAGGCGCTCGAGGAAGCGTTGGCTTTTGGATGGGTCAGGGAGATAGGGTAAAGGCCGGATGGTGTGGAAGGTGTAGGTCGCTTCTTCTTGGATTTTCTTGACGTCTCGGTGTTTAGTGGCGGTGATTTTGCGGCCGGCGGCTTGGGCAGCACGGCGCTGGGCCATGCGGGCGTGACGGTCGCGGGCGACGTCGGCAAGCTCAGCAACTTCGGTGGTGGTTGCGCCCATAAGGACGACCTTCTTTCCCAGGAGAGATGAGAGGAGGAGGGTGGGATTGGTGAAGGGCGGTTTCAGGAGGCCTGTCTTGGGTGTGATGAGGAACTTTTGATTCGCGGCGGGGATGTGTAGATCTTCGGCCACGAGGTCCGACAGATCCTGGACGGTAGCATCATCTTGATAGATTGGCAAGCTTATTGGTTTGCTGTGGATATGCAGTGTGATGGTGAAGACAGGGTCGGGCTCTGCTTCATCATCTTGTTCTGAGCTGTCGTGGCTCTTGTCGTCTTCCGATGCATTATGTGAATGCGCCTCATCACAACAAGAAATTAAATCTGATTCGTTCTCATCACTTCGTATCTCTTGAGGCATTGAGTTGGACATTGTGGTTTAATGCCAGGGCGGCGCAAAAACAAGGTGTTCCTCAGTCGGAGATAGAGCTATCGATCGGGCTTATATTGGGCACCGGCAGAACCTATGTGAGCAGGAGATGAAGGTCCTCGAGAATACTTGCTTATTACTGTCGTCAATATGTGATTGCTCACAAATCCTGAAGTTCAAAGAAGGTAAGTGATAGGCAATGTGAGGCGATCGTGAAGTGTCAGTGGTGTGTAGTCATCATCATCGTCGTCGCCACGCGACAATCCGGCGCTAGAAATGTCGCTGATGATCTCGAGCTGTTTTCGGCCCCGAGCCGGTTCCAAGCAGTTCCATCGCGCGCGGCTGCTGACAAACGACGTCACTCTGGGGAAAGCTTCGAATTCTTCTTGCAAACCGGAATTCCGTCATTTTGATCGTCTCTTGCGATCGGCGCGTCACATGCTTCATGCGCGCATCGGTCAGTCCGATGTTAGACTGCGTGAATTGACTAATTAGTCGCGATAACATCGCTCCTTGGAGCAGTGTTGTATACTTGACCTCTGTCATCTTTGTCATACCCATATGCGAATCAGTCAATTTGCGAGCAGCACCTGTTCATAGACATGCACAGAGAGAAAACATGGTGTAGAAGAATAGTCATTAGAGGAGCGCGGAGCGCTATGGTCATTAAGGTGGCTCATGAGGCGCGAAACGCTTCGAACTGAGGTGGTATCACAAGCAAGCAGTAATAAATAAGGAATACAAAACTCATGAAGCCCAAAACTTTCAATCGCATCGTCGAGGGGGATCAGTGTCGTCGTGGTGGTTGACACAGGCACTCAAGCACATCGTTCCGATAGCTTTCCGCAGTGTTTATGCGTATGTCTCTGTCACTGTCGTTGTAAGTAGACATGCTTAGACAGTGGCCGCAGGAGTGGCGGCGGTGTTGCTCTTGGTGATGCTACCGCGGCTGCGGTTGGAGTGAAGACCGGACAAGACGGTGGTGGCGGTGAAAAGGAGCCTACATAGGGAAGTCAGTATGAGCACTTGCTGTTGGTTGATACAAATGGCTGTTGAAGACGGTGTCCTGTAATGCCTGGCAGAGTGTGGACGTACCATTCAATGGCAGCGAAGACACTGGCGGCCGCCGCGCAGTTGTAAATCCGGCCGGTGACGATAAAGCCACCAGCGGTGTGCCAGCGGTTTGTCCAGACAGCGAGAGCAATGAAACCAGCGAACCAGAAGATAGCGGTAAGGGCGTCAAGAGCGAGGGCTCCGAAGTGGTGGTTGACCTTGGAGCCGGCGAAGCGGAGAGGGACGATGAGCAGGAAGGCGCCGACTAGGATGGTCCAGACGGAGTTGAAGACGTTGAAGGACACATTGCCAGGTGCTTCAAATACAATGCCGGCGTAGCTGTCGGTGAGCGCGTTGGCGACTGTGATGAGGATCACGAATTAGCTTTGATCGAGCCACTGGTGATGGAGGTGCAAGAGACGCATTGTGATGAATATGCTGGGAGAAATGACTTACCATAACCGGTCAGACCCAGGATGATGATGGCCAGAACAATCTGAGTTGCGCGGAGAGGCAACAGAAGGTTGCTGGTGCTGCGTTCGGTGGACATGGCGACGGTATTTGAAAGATCAGAACTTTAGATCGATGATATGGAGAGAGAACTGTTGATGTCCAGGGACGGATGACTGTTCGATGGGCGGTTGATGAGGATGAATGGAGAGGAGGATCAAGGACGGGAGTAGGTCGTGGGTACCGGGAGGATGTTATATACGGTCTGAGTAGCTCGAGAGTCGAGGCAGTGAGTGTGTGGGTGGTGTGAGCGTGAGTGTGTGAGTGAGGATTGTGGTGGATGGGTGTCGACTTGCAGTAGCCTCGCTAAAGAACAAGCGGGAGCCAGACAAGCGAAAGATGGGATGGGGGCTGAGGGTTTTGAGAGGCGGCCGACTACTAACTGTCTGCGCGCGCACCGGACAGTGCATACAGTGCGTACGACAATGGAGAAATGGATCGTCATATGCCATCTCACTCACCACTATTACCAATCCTGATTCATGGCGCCAACAACAGCAGTCGTGTGACTCTTGTGACCCTGGCCTTTTCTACCCTCTTTCTGTGTGTGGGTGTGTGTCTCTCACTCTCTCTGATCCCTTCTGGTCCGTGTGCAGTAAAATGAGTGTCCGGAAGGAAAGAGGTCCACGGACACAGTTCATTCCGTCATGACGATTTTTCGTCCGTTGATGATTACCACACGCACACGTCCATAGCTACAATACTCGTCATCACATCGACGTCCGGTCTGGCCCTCGGAAGATGCCCGGTTCAGCGAGAGGACGACCAAGTTCGTCGATCCGATGAACCACGCTCGCTCCGAGGTGGATCACATGTAACAGGGCAGGCTAGCGGAGGGGAATCTCACTGCCGATGATACTGCGGTCCATATGGATACGAGTGATGGATGAAGGATGATCGATATTGATATGTAAATGAGGTCAGAGTACCATCTCCTCACTATACAATACGACGGCGACGACACAACGTGTGTGTCGATCGACCGGCCCATCCTGCTGGTTGGAAACATGTGGTCGAGAAGGCCCTACAATAGGGCTCATCGACCGTTGGAAAAAATGATGCGATGATGCAAAGGAAACACTTTTTTCAGCTCCAGGTCTTGGCCAAGGCAGCAAATCGTGGATGCTAACATCATACGACGATGACGCCGCACGTTGGGCTTTGCTTGGCGCATTCTTGATCGGTCGAACTCTCCTGAGCTTTGCTTATTATTTTCATCACTGCAGGTTTTCACGAGCATGTTTTTCTATGCGCACCTGGTTGGCGGACAATGACGAGGTAGAGGCTCAACACTGTCGTCGTCATTCGCGGCGCGCAGTATCACGTCGGCGCTGAAGAAAGGACCGTGCAATGATGAAACGCTCTGCTGGGATATATATGATGGAGGGCAACACATACATGACAGTCTGCGACAGATAGGGCAATGCGCACACACTCCTACGGTACCTACCTAAGTACCTATGGGGGAGCTCAAGCGAGCTGTCGCGGATTTTCCTCGCAGGATGATACAGCCAATAATCCACACAGTCCACAGACCACCTAGGCAGTACACTCACGGGCGACACGCAAGACATATGTGGGGATGGGGATGCTTGCTTGCTTGCTTGTTTGTTTGTTTGCTGCTGATGCTGCTGCTGCAAGCGCGCGCGTTGAAGACTGAAGACTCCTCTTCGTCCTTCTTGCTGTTTCTCTGTACAGACGTTCCCGGGCGCGTGGATAATTTATATATAGGCGACACTCGCCAACATCAAGATCAACCTGGAAAAAAAAACCACTGGATTCCGATGGGACGGCTCCGCGGCGCGAGGAGGAGGACACGGACGGGGAATTCCGAAGACCGTGCGGTGTGTGTGATGAGTGAGAGTGACGAGGGAAAAGTGGTTCGACTGGTCCACGAGGATTGGACTTGCCATGACGCAGGCGCCGAGGGGAAAATCGTGCGTGCCCAGGTGAGAAAAGAGCAGCAGCAGGGCGCGTGCACACCTGGGCAGGGAAGGAAAAAGCCACTCGGGCTGCTTCCGAGAGACCACCACCTGCAATACCTAGGTAGCGTGTTTTTGCCCTGGTGAAGACGAACAGTGGTTGTACCTCCCGAGCTATCGGTTGTCCGCAGAAGAAAGGAAGCTTGGAAGGAAGGAAGGGTGGGAGGACAGGCAGGCCTCACATACTGAATGCTGTACTGCCCGAGTGGTCTGATGTTTTTTATTCTTGTTATCACTAATAAATCGACAGTCATCCATGGCTTGTTCGTACATCCAGACCCACAGTCTGCAGCACAGTATGTAGTATGTACAGCATATTCATGGATAGGCTTGAGGACGGGGCATGCATCCAACCATGCCAAGCCTCCTCCTCTCCTCTCCTCTCCTCCAATGATCCAGCTGAAGTGACCGATGGGTGCGACCCGCCCGAGAACAAAGCCGCGCGCATCGAATCCCGATGGCCCTCATCCCAATCTCCATGCGCGCGCTTCACGAATGAACAACGAGAGGAAGTGGTGAACATGGTACTCATGCTAGATGATTCATCATCCCTCTTTCAGCCTCTCGACACATTTAAACATACATGGGAGCGCTAGAAAGTCTTGGGCTCAAGGTGCAGCTATAGCACTGTGATGTTTCATCGCTGGTCACAGCTACTCATTATATCTCTCCCACCCTCACGTTTCTGATCCCACAGACACCATGTTTCCAAGCAGCTACCGACTTCGTACAATGTTGCTTCTCGTTCTCCAGCGAACATAGTTTGTTTGAAGACGGAGGCACAAGATCAACATTGCTCAACACAATGCACAGCCCATCCCTGCTCAACCGTCTAAACGTTCTAGACGTCTGCTTGTTTCCCGAGGTTCCATCAGTCATCCTGCACCAGACCGGTATCCCGCAATTATCGGGGCGGAGAGAGGCCCGCGCATCAAAACCCGGTCTCTCCTTCTCCAAACGAACACACGAGGAGCATCGCTCCACCGCCGCCTTCGCCTGCATTTTCATCACTTTTCTCGTTTAGTATCATTGAAGTAAACTTTGATCTGCACATGACCTCCATGCAGCCGTCCCTGCGTGGAGCTGTCCCTCAATCTATGCTCGATTCCTGGCATGGTGCAGTGATATCTATGTCCAGCAAACGTTGTCCGTTCGATTCGCACGTGGCTGGGGGCCGCATGCACGTCCGATGCCGCAAAAACCCTTCCCCATGTCGCGACCGCAAGCAGCAGCGACTTGTGGCATTCGTGCATCGGGTTGCAGACGCCTCTTCTCGAACCGGCTGTGTCCCGGCGTTGTCGGTCCAGCACGGTCCCGGGGCGGAAATGTCACATTGTGTGTGTGACTTCTGGTCGACCATCGAAGGCGTCACTCACACAGCCTCCACCATTGTCGCTCGAGCGTGAGGACGGTATGGTTGGAGACAAGCGAAGAAACTCGAGGAAAGAATAGTGAGAGTCGATTCTGCTGAAGCGAACGTGATCAGGGGAGCTAGAAAATGTGTCCTCCACCCATGAACCAGTACACCTCTGTGCTTTTGATAGATACCTAGATCGCCGTTCAACATCTACCACCGAACCTATCACAGCATACTCTGCTCATGTAGTCTCCGGACCTCATCGAAGACTCTAGATAAGGCTCCCACTCTATGGTCCCCCAGAATCGTCTCGTGATTCGTCCCAGGTACACTGATGCTCTTAACATCGAAAGCCTGCCGACATGCTTCGTTCTGCCGCCAGATGTGATCGAAGTATTCCTCTCCTTTTTTACCACTCATCACATCCGATTCCGCAAAGAATAATCGAACGTGCAATTTTGCGTCCTCGACCCCAGGAGAATGCTGCGATGTTATGCTGGCCGCCAATATTTGGACAAACTCTCTGAAATTCTCCGTCACACCCCACAGATCCTTTCCACCTTTCTTAAGACACAGCCTTGCTTCATCATTCGCACCCAAAGCGCCTTCTGTGAAGATGTACTGGACCACTAATACCTCAATCTCCTTGGCCAAAGCATTGTTGACGCCGTAGCGTAGCGCAGCATCGGTCTCGGTATCAAACTCTGTTGACCTCTTGAGCAGTGAGCTTAATGAATTGAAAGCTCCACTGGACCAACCCGACATGGGCGCAAGCCGAAGATTGATGAACCTGCTTATACCGTCCCACCCTGAAAACGCACCATTCGGCAGAGCAGAGAGGATTGTGGTCAAGGTTGCGGAGGAGTGGTCGTTATGGATATATGGTGCTAAGCGGCATGGCAATCAGCCATCGCACTTGATGTTTGTGACTCGGCCAACGAGATCGATATCTGCGCGACACTCGTCAATCATCGTATGACCCCAACTTACCGATGAATGCGACATATGGTCTCGCCGGATCCAATATCTCCCTCAGCTGGCCCAAAGTGTTGAGAGAGTAGATCGTGCCTGCGCTATGCGAGAAGAGCGCCACGTGCTTGACGTTGAGCCTCGCCAGCACAAGAGGTACTGCTTCGATCCATACAGCGACACGTTGCGAGAGTGGAACAGGCGTAGAGCCACCAAAGCCTGGCCTGTAATAGCCAAAGCAAACAGTCTGATGAGCAAGTCAAGGATCACAATGCTGTACGGTGTATGAGGAGGCTTCACCTGTCAATGAAGATGCCTCGCACGCCGTGTTCTCTGCTCAAGCGATCCATTTCGATTGCCATGTAGCGAGTCCCGAACATCGGTCCGGCAAAGAGCATTGTTGGTAAGGCCGACGACTCATCTTCATTATCTGCGCGAGCAAAATTGCTCGTGGTAGCGAAAGTCACACGGAGTCGTGGATGTTTGGCGGTCTCGGGAATCCATAAGCTTTGATGGAAATGTAGCGGCGCGAGGAATTTGGTTGCGGCCGAGAAGATCTCTTCACGAGGTGCCATCGTAAACGCTCGGCGGAAGGTATAATTCTTGAGATGTTGTGATGGTTCGGTGGTTGTTGTGAGAACAGGTTTAGATCATGACCAAATGTGGATTCGAAGCGAGTGGAAGGACAGTGGCTGGCGCACTCAGCTGTAAGCGTGGCTTAAGATTCCTACAACGCCTCCGAGATGATTGATTTTCCAACATCGCTGCGCCAACTTATATTGTGTTCTACTCGAAGTCAGAACGAACTTCTGTCTTCACCGAGTTGTTGCAGAAAACAGTCGCGACGCAAATCTGAGAAGCAGACAGACGTAGAAGTGACAACGGAGGTCCGTTGTACACGCTGCTCAGACGGCGGAGTCCTCGGGGATGTGTCCACGGAGCATGATCGCAAACAGGCTCCATTGATCCTCATACAATGCGCCCATGAGCTCTGCCACAGCACGGGCGAGCGCATAGTAACGTGATTACGATGGCTCATACTGAGTCTTGGGCCAACACGACCACAGGAAGTTTAAATGCACAAGTCGTCTCGGCATCGTCAGATCTCCATTGTTTGTCGTCACGGGCGCAACCGATCTTGAAGTCCTAAATCTGAGCGCCGCGCGGCCGACGTCATTGTTTGCGTTGCATTGACCGCCGACACACGAACACAGGTGACACACCATGTATATATGTTCCAGTTCGCGATTTGCCGACAGGGCTCCGATACCGACGAGACTCCGAGTGAAAATCCTGCCTGCCAACACAAATAACATATTTACCACCAGACGAATATTTCCGTGAAGCTCACGATCAACAACGAAGCACAAGTCGCAAAGGCTGTGGGTTAAACCCAACCACCGAGTGAGTCTCGTTCTCCGATCTTACCCAAACCCTATTAGCGTACTGATGATCTGCACGAAGAACTCTCAATATCACATCGACATCTGAATAATAAAAGTCCGAAATGGCACGGCAATCATCTTCGTCCGATGTGCTCCTCTATCTGCTGGCAGTCTTCGTCCCGCCAGTCCCCGTGGCATTGAAGGCGGGCTGTGGCGCCGATCTGATCATCAACATCGTCTTCACGCTTTTCGCGTGGATCCCGGGTGTCGTTCATGCCTGGTGGGTCATTAGCAAGTACGATCCGGCCAAGCATGCTCCCAGGTACTAGAGCGAGGTATCAGGAGGGTCATGTGAGAAAATATTCCAAGTGTAAAAGGGTCCAAGATTGGTTGCATAATCGGGAAGACGTTTCTTGATGGCGTCTGGGCAAAATCTTTGTTTTAAAAGCGCAGTGTATGTATTGGCGATGCGATTACTGTCAAAATATAGCGCACGCGCAATCTCTAATCTATCCATCAATTCCGAGAGAGTCCATCAGCGTCTCTATCTTGCCCAAAAGAATTTGATAATTCAGCGCGTCCTGCGCGAACTCGTCGCCGGCAATCTGGCCATCCAAGGTCCGTACCACGCCCTGCTCCAAGCCTAAGGGAATGTCAGCTGTCGCTGCAGGACGGTCTGAAGATCGGCCGGACTTCTGGGCCGCATCAGGATCCGAGAGATCATCATCCACCGCATCAATGTCGTTTTCTTGTGATGTCTGAGCAGAGTCCCCCATCATGTCGTCCAAGCCGGCATCCTCAAATCGCAAGCGGAATCTTTCACTGAGGTAATATCGAATGTCATCCACCAGTTCAACCGTATCTGTCTCCTGTCGCGCTTTGATCCGAGCGGCCGAATCCCGGACGAGCGACTTAAATTCTGGCTCGTCAACGTATCGCTCCAGTCTATAGGCAATAAATCTAGCTCCAAATGTTTCCAGACGGTGGACACGAGTGTCCCATCCCGCTCGGATCACGTCATAAATGTCGATGATATCCTCATGTTCAGTCTCGCCTCGTGGGTTCTCCGCCTCTACCACGCTGGCGCCGCCATTGCCTAAAGTACTGATGAGTAAAGCTGCTCGCTGTTTCAATTTATCGATGAACAGCATATCTGACGCCGTGAGGACGTCGAGCGCGACATGCAGTGGGAAGTCGGCTTTCTCGGTGTAGAGGAAGGTTAATATGATCTCGAGAACATCCGGTGCGCAATCTACTGGGACTATCTGCAAGTGGGAACTGTCTTGTCCTTCCCTGAATGGTGAGGCAAACATGGTGGCGAAGACCTCCGATCGCAACAGCATAGCTCGATGGCAGGGAAACAGCACCGAACGTCTTGCTTTAGGACCTCGAGAGACCGACCTTGAACGTGAACCAAACATGCCGATAGGGATGCCATTCAGTGGACCATCCGTCTGTCGGACGGCGGGCTTTCCTTCTGGCTCTGGCTCAATCGCTGGATCATCTTCGTCGGCTTGCAACAAAATGTCCGCAAAAATGGCATTGCTGCGATCCCATTTGACGTTCCCAGCTTGAGCAGTATCGACGTGGACTTTGTATTTGAGGATGTTTTGTTCGAACCATTTCGAAATCTGATCTCGGCCTCGCTCGAGTTCGTCCGTTCGCTTCTGCCGAGCCAGCCTTCTATCGCCGGCTGACAGGATGTTGTCGAATAACTGTGGAACCTCCAGCTGTCGGCTAATCTTGTCGATCCCCTTCAAGATTGCCTGTTCCTCTTCACCATCGCCAAGGCCAGCTCCTATGTCGCCAAGGTAGAGATATCGGATACTGGTCTCGAACGATTGAACCGGAACGCTACTGGCAAGCTTCCACAATGTGGTCTCTGGCGCTGCCGCCAACTTCTTCGCAAAGTAGGGGCTTCGCGCACTGAGAAGGAATTTATGCAGCTCGACAGTCGATTCGCCAGCTTGTATCACAATGTCGGAAGTCTGCGGCGTGTCGCGGGTAAGGAGACCGGTAATATGTGCTGCCAGCGGCTGCAGCGGATCAGTCGATTTGCTGTAGTCGTAAGACAAGAGCAAGTTACGGATCCGATCGTTAAGTGCGTTATAGAGGCATCGCTCTCCCTGGAAGGTATCGCGTTCGCAGAGGGCGCCTTGCTCCAGGAGCATCTCCGTGACCTCGTAGTGACCACATAAGGAAGCCTCCAACCGACTAGTCAGCATCAGCTGAATTCCATCTCAGGGAACACTGGTGGCGACAGGCTACGTACCAAGATCAAAGGTGTATAATCATACTCGTCTCGAGCATTGATGTTGATTCCAGTACTTATTTGCTCCTGACATGTCTTCAGGTCGCCGCGACGGCACGCCTCACAAAATTTGTGGAAAGCTTCGCTGGTATCGAGTGGATTGTCCTCTTTGAGACGACCAGACTGCACATCTTTCTTCTCGTCGTAAAGCGCCCGTTCTAATTGATGCTTGCCGACCGTTGTACCATCCGCCATGATGCGAGATTCCAGAAGTTCGGTCTGGCCAGCAGAACGAAGGACCGGGCGTGTAATTGGTCTCGATTCAAATGCGTTCGTCTCTGTGGAAATCTAGCATGAGTAGCGTTGTCTGTGGCCGGAACAGGCATGACGTCGCGCCACCCTGGAGCTCCAACGCTTTCCGTGCAGCTGGGCAACGGACAGACTCCGACAGAGCACGCGTGCTGCCGTTGGAGAGGGAGGGAGTCCCCGATCACAGTGATTCCAACCGTAACTGTTCCGATCTGGACCATGCAGGTGCTGCTGCCATGCCCACCTGCACGATTGTGTGTTCGGGTGCGCGACGGTTGAAATAATGGTGGACATTACTCGACATTACTCGTCATTACTTCGTCAGACTGCTTCTACTCCAGGGCTATCATGAACGATTCGTCGCTGTTGTGCAGGGCATTCACCGTCTGCTCTCATTACAACAAACAACAACACACGTCATTTCCGCTGATGAGAAGGAATGTGCAGCGCTTCATCATGCAATGCGCGGGCTTCTCTTGTATCAGGCGAATAAAGTCGGATCGCACATTTATTATCATGAGTGTACCAAAACGCTGCAACGCGACGCTGTCTCGCACGACTCACGTGTCGAACATGTCAGCCATGGAGACACACTACGATACCATTGGAACCTGAACATCTCCTCCAGCTGCACGGGTATCTTGGTAGCAATAACCCCGTGTTTCCAGAGATTCGTTGTCAGACAAACCGGGTGCAGGGTGAAAGTAGAGACAGTACCATGTTCATCAAGATACAGTGAGCGCTCTTGCTGGGAGTTGTATGGTGGACGGTTAGGGTTCGATCTCCACACAACTCCAATGACAGCAGCCGCCCGCCGCCCGCCGCCAACCCAAAATTCGTTGCCCCGAGCAACACTCTCTAACTAAACAGTTGCGCAAAGCCATGTCGTAGCGCGGCAGCAAGTGAGAGCAATGCGACACTGCTGAGCTTCATTCAATACATAGTTATCCACACTACATTTCACTTCCGGTTCTTTTGCATCGTTGCACTTCTTTGTTTGCATGTTCAGCATACCTCTGTTGCGCGTCTCATTTCCGCCCAGCATACATTAGTCCTTCGTTTGTTCGCATTGGAGCAGCAGCGCTTTCCCTCAACGAACAATGGCTACCGACAATGATTATGACGTCCTGGAGAAGATCGGCCAGGGCTCTTTCGGAGTGATTCGAAAGGTCCGCCGGCGACAGGACGGTGTTGTCTTGTGTCGCAAGGAGATCTCCTACACCCGCATGTCGGATCGGGAGAAGGACCAGCTTCACGCCGAGCTCAAGATCCTGGAGACGCTACGACATCCTAATATCGTCGAATATCACCACCGACAACATCTCAAAGCTTCTCATGACCTTCACCTCTACATGGAATACTGCGGCAATGGAGACTTAGGCGGGTACATTCGAAGGCTGAAAGAGAAAAGCAAATACGCCGACGAGGACTTTATTTGGACTATCTTTGCACAACTGGTGGGCGCACTTTACCGGTGTCATTATGGAGAAGACCCACCGACACCAGGGCGAGAGAGCGGTGTCAAGCGGGCAAAATCGCTTGTGAGCAAGCAAGGCCACACTGTCATTTTGCATCGTGATCTGAAGCCAGAGAATGGTAAGCGTATCATCGATGACTCGGCATTCACACATACTGACCAAGGTATCCCTAGTCTTCCTTGGCGAGAACAACAACGTCAAGCTCGGAGACTTTGGTCTCTCGAAAATAATTGCTTCTCATGATTTCGCCAGCACTTACGTTGGCACTCCATTCTATATGAGCCCAGAAATTTGCGCAGCAGAGCGCTATTCACATTTCTCCGACATCTGGTCACTAGGATGCATCATATATGAGCTAGCAACACGACAAGTACCATTTGAAGCAAGAACTCACATGGAGCTTATCATGAAGATCAAGAAGGGCGTCATCAAGCCTCTTCCTCCACAATATAGCCAGGATCTCACTGATGCTATCGCATGGTGTTTGAAGGTTGATCCCCGTGCCCGCCCAGACACGTCTCAGCTGTTGAGCATGGCGAACATCAAAGTCTCACGTGTACGATCGGAATGCACGGCTCTTTTGGCCCACGCCGAGAAAGAGCGAGTGAAGCAGGCGCAGCTTGTTGTGGACCTTCAGAATGAGATGACCAAGCTTCGCGAGACTAGCAAGAGGGTGGAGATGGAGTGGCATGCTCGGGCGACTTTGGCCATCGATCAGAAGGTCTATGAAGCGGTGGAAAAGCGAAAGGCGGAACTACTCGCGGAATTCGAGAGTGTTGTCGAGAAGCGTGCCGAAGACAAACTCAACAAGCATTTGGCCTCTCTGCCGTCACAACCTGAAGCCCCTTCAGCCCACGTCAGATCAAGTACGCCACCGCCTGGCAAGGACAGCGCGGCCGTCGCTTCATTCACAACGCGCGGCAGCTCCTTCGCCACGACCGATGGCAGCTCCTTTGGCGAAGCTGCCGATGATTCATTCATCGAGGCCGAGCTCACATCCCTATCTCTGAAGGAAGTCATCGACGAGGAGAACGAGGAGAACTCACCACTCGCACGCCGCTTTAAGCCGGCCCTCAAGAAGGGCACCCGCAAACCCTTCACACGCGCCAAAACCTTTGCATACAACACCGTCAACCACGACCTCGCTGGCTCTCCCATGGACGTGCACATGGCGGACCCAAGCCCGATGCGTAACAACGTCAAGGGTCTCAGCCTGTCACCGCGCCGTAACGGTCAGCAGCCACAGCAGCTACCACTTTCACTAGGTGGGCCCATCAAGCGAAACATCTTTAGCCTAGCCACCGAGAAGGAGAACAGACAGCCAGTGCGAGGCAGGACACTGGTTGAGCTCTCCCTCAGCAGTCCCGCCAAGTGGAATCCCATCGTGCATGGCGAGGACATGCCGAGTCCATTCCTGCGGAGAAACAAGTGCTGATGCGAACAAGGCGCAGGCGATGATTCCCTTCTATGTCAATTTCTACTTGCTGATGATGTGCGTTATGTTGATGCTTGATCGGCGCTGGGGCTCTGGATACGTTTTGTCTGGATGGGATTGGCGTTGTTGAAGCTGGCGGCGATTACCATTTTATGAAGAGGGAACAATGCGTCGGAGGTTGTCAGACCCTCATTTCCTTTGTCACGATAGAGACCGAAAGATGATCTTTTCGTACAGTGAATAATAAGATTCGCATCCACATTAGAAAGAGCGCTTGTGTTTCTGTCATCGTTAGTAAACAGATTTCCTATGCGCATGTATCCACTGCTTCCCGAGGTCGTTTGTCTTGTGGGATCTGCTGGGCGATGCCCAACATTCGCTTCAGCTGAAATACTTACGATCTGTGAACCAACGTCCATTGCGAAGCAATAATGGCACCGGAGGTCCGTCCGAGCTGTAGTCGGAGCGACGAGGGGGCTCATATGCATGGCCCATAATCGTAGTCTCGAGCTCCCGAGACCAATCGGCGGTGTACCCTGTTCCCCCTCCAGGTTCTTCGACATTCCCATAAATCCAGACCCACAAATGCTTGAGATGGCAGGCCAATCGCTGCAAAGGCAAAATCGTGTTGAAGTAGCATGTCTTCCTATGTTGAAATTCTGCTTTCGAGAATGCAACAGATGTTTGCAACTCGTCAGGAAGCTCAACATCGGCGAATGATGGTTCAGGAGGAAAGACAATCTTGACCGCGAGACTGGACGATGCGAGATGTGGCTTAATCTCTTCAATAGTACGCTTCCAGTCGATTAGCTCCGGGCTGCTAGTCGGACACCATGTCAAGTGGCCAGGATAGTCAAAGTACTCGAAGACGACCTCAAGATAGCGCAGGTGGCGCAGTGCATCCTTAGGTACTACGTCGCTGAGAAAGGTCGAAATGTGCAAGCGACTTGGGGAATGAAGCACGGTTTCGACGGACCACGTTGATTTAGTCGGCCAGACTACGATGCGGGTTTGACTGAAGAACACCTGCAATGCGTCCTGGCGTAGGATCGAGTTCACCAAAAAGAATGGTGTAGGCGGTGCCCAACAACCGACCTTGCTGTAGCTTGAACTTACGGTGTGCCGAATTTTGCAGAAACAGCCCCGTCCGCCGAGCTTCTCTTGACAATATGCCCGGTTGTGATCTTGTTCGCGATAATTATGGGCGTCGTCGATAGTCTCGCTTTTATCCTTGGCTATCGGATGAAAATGTAGGAGAGCCTTATAATCGGTTACGTTGAACTCTTCACCGCCACGTCTGAGGTACCAGCCACGGTGTGGGCTCCACTCCACCTCCTTTCCGGGAACTACGAGATCTGTATATCCGAGGATGTGCTGGCGGATCTCAGAGGGAAGATCCATGAACGTGATCGAGTTATTGCATCGTCTAGCTTCCGGTGATGGACTACATAACGTAGACGGACACACAATATGCTCGATCGCCAACTGAGCCAGCTGTTGAAGCACTTCAATCTTGCGACGAGCGAGCCTGATGTTGCATTTGGCCATATACGGCTGGGTTTCCGTCAAAAAAGGTTTCAGTGCCAACTCTCCGGTGTCGATATCAGCAACATCACACATAAAGTCCAGCTCTAATGTTGCAGGCGCGAGTTGTGCTCGAAATTCGGCCCAAATTTGAGACCAATTCCGAAGGACAGCCTTTGAAAATAATCAGTCTTGCAGACGCTTCGTGACTACTCCGCACTCACCTGATGTAGCTCATTCGTGATCGTGAGCGGCCGTGATTGAGAATAGTTCAGAATGGATAAGGTGCTAAGCTGGCCACCATTCTTCTGGCTCTCGGAACGTTGGGTTTCGCATGTCCGTTCATGAGCGAGACGAGTCGCAGCGTGTTCCTCAATTGCTTCAGGCTCGACGAGCCGTTCCCGTCCTTCAAAGTGAGCGTCGAGCCCAGGATCTGCTTCATCGTCGCACATCCAACCCGACCCACACGAAGTCGCGTTCAGGTCGATGGTGAGGCGCCTCAACGCGTGAATTGAGCTGGCGCGCAATCTGCTCAGGGCGGCCAGGCTGGCGTCATCTTTGGCGCGGATAACAATCTGACAATGAGAATATATATGCCGAGCAAGCTCGATGTATACGATCGAGCACGTCAGAAGGAGGCTAAGCGTGGCAGAGTAATGTGATGGAGGGTGAGAAATTGGTGATCGGTGATTAAGGTTGACTTTGATGATATGCGATAATTCCCTGTATCTGGATATAACGCAGTCACCGATGAGCCAATTAAAAAAGCTGAAGGCATCGTCCTCGGGGTCTTGGTCTGCGCGCTCCACGCAGGTATGCGGTGTGCCTATGCTGGGTGCACCTGAGTAGGCATAAATCTTCAAGCGAACTGCTGCCGGTAGTCGAAGCAGCGACATAGTAATTGAATCATCTAGGAGGGTGTCGGATGTTGAAATGAGTGAGTATCTGGCACGTGTTAATACAGTCAACCTACGATACAAGATCTTGGTAACCTACTGATAACATTTTACTGTGCCTCACAAATAGAAAAACCATGGATAAATATAGAGTATAATCAACATCGTGTGGACGATATCTACCTATATATACTGCATGATATTAGGCAACGAACGTGCCTCCAGCCTCAGGCACAGGTCTCCTACTGAAGGCAGATTCGTGCCCAGGTGGGCGCGTGTATCTCATGTGTATTCAGAATAACATATATATATAGATAGTACGAGTGGACCTTATGTCTAAAAACTCATGTTACCAACCTTCTGTTTGAAACCAGACAAGTCTCATTGATCCCGATCCAGTATTCACAATCCAGAATAATCCCTCGAGTTACTTTTCTTACAGGAAGTTGACCCGTAACGTACCCTACCACCGAGCCGGTCACACCACCGAGCCGGTCAAAACGCGCCCACAACGCGTCTTCGAGCTTCTTCCTCTTATTATATGACAATATTTGCCTACAATGCTCTCTCAAACTGAGGGAAGACTTTCTTTAGCCCTTCAAGCATATATTACCCACCAAGTTCCATCTCTTCGAGCTGCAGCAAATGCATACGACGTTCCATTTGAAACCCTCCGCGAAAGACACCTCGGCATCCACCCACGCGCGCAAACCCTTGCGAACTCGCGTAAACTTAACAATGATGAAGAGCAGCTCATAGTCGAGAAGATTCTCTATTTATCGAAGCAAGGATTCCCTCCTCGGCGCGCTGTTGTTGAAGATATAGCGAATACAATGCTGCGA